ATCAATATTATCTTGCCTTGGAACAGCCTGTACTCCAAAGAAGTTATGCAGATGAAAGGAAAGTAACTGTGCACTGAAAGACCTGGAAGACAGATGTGAACAGAGAAGAGGTCCTTGCCATTAAATTTTGCCGAAAAAGTGATATGGGAGATATCAAGTATAGGTGAGGACATGACGGAAAGTTCCAGAGAGAAGCTAGGAAGGAAACAAAAGGGGCTATGAGAGTATGAGAATGTAGGAAATGCAGTCTCAAACAACAGACTTCAAAAGCAATTTTTTGGCTGCTATACTCACAGATAAATGTTGTAGAGGAGTAAAGGTGAGTGTAAGATAAAGGTGATTCAAAAGACAGAGAGGACAAAAACGGTTATAGAGGTTGGAGAGTGTTGCTGCCGTGTTACAGAGTAGTGGTGCAAAAAAGAGATGTTATCAATGATGTGTTTTGAGATGCTTGTTGTCATAGGAAGAAGGATTCAGGTGGGGGAAGAGAGCAGGATGGAAAGAAACAATGAGTATTGAAAGAGAAAAAAGAAAACAAACAAGACTCACGCTAGAAGAATGTCAGATGGAAGGTGTGCCCAATCGATGGGAAACATTAGCTTTGGATGAATCTGGTATTAACAGACCGACGATGATATGAAAACATGAATTCTGATGGCAGAGGCTCAGCACAGCGGTATGGTCAGCAGACTTGAGTAGTGGAAAGGCACATAACCTCAAAGGCAGAAGAAGCCAGAGGCTATGGGAGAGGGCAAAGAAAGAAAGAAAAATGTACCAAACAGAGATAGAAAACGCATCTTCCCTACTCTAGGCCCTTGGCCTCAAAAGACTCCAGCCCAAAATCTGCAAATATAGTTCCTTGAAAAAGGCGCGAACTCAGGGCACAGTCTCATTCGCGCAGATATCTATATCACTTGTAAGAGTTAGCAATTATAGCCGCTACATTCACAGGAGAATTAACACCACCATGTGCTGACCGAGACCCTACTGATTGTACGTAGCCTTAAAACGCGAGCTGAGATGCACTCGAGAATTCAGTGTGAGAATTAGAGATTAACTTACAATTTCAGATGACTTCGCAGTCCCAGTTCTAGACGCCAGTTGATACAAAATACCCTTCAACAATTAGCTGATGTTCAAAATGTCAACGAGTAAATAAAAGTACATACCTCTCGCCATTATGGGCGATTCTGTAGATTCTCACAGGGAATTATTTTACCATATTGAATATAGACAACACCTTTGCGTGAAAATTTGCCCGACTTGCACAGCTCAAGTGCAAGCCTCAGATTTACTTTCTGATCATCCTGTGTCTCAGAATGGGCAAGCAAGTCCTCCAAAAACTTAATTCGGGATCAAGAGGAGGGGTGGACAAGGGGCCAGATCAGATATGTCAACCATTACAAGAAGAATAGAAATAATTATAGTCATGTTGAAGACTTGAGAACATGTGTGAAGTTGGGCGAGCGACTGATGCACAGTCATCACAAGCGGAAGATAAAAGGCGAGGTATGGAGTAGGTCCACTAGAACCGAAGGGTAAGCAGAAGCTTTTAACTAGTTAAATTAACTAGCTAGCATGTCCCATGCTGTTGCCCCATAAAAAGCTTGTGATGTCGGACTGAAGATCAGTATCCCTCACTTTTATGGCGGGTTTGTGATATGCAACAAAAGCAGATCCCAGATGTGAAGTGTAATTGGCTAACACAAGTTCCAGATAGGTGATAATAAAGTAAGATCAGAGTGAGATTTATTTTCATTTTATGTGAGGTAGTGACATGTAACAAAAGCTTGTTCAGTCAAAGGGCCAAAAAGATCTTATAAAAGGTGATATTATATAGTATCATTTTCAACTCAATGGGAAGGTTATAACCTCTTTCCCTACTGCATAGATGAAAAAGGTGAAAACTGGCAATGCCCTGGGAGTAGAACCCTCAGCTGTAAAATGAAGCTTATTATCCGGTGTTCAAGCTTGGAAATCTTTCGCGGGCGATATGTGGTTTTATCAAAGCATGATATGTCGTCTGATTTATGAAAAAGATATGCCGTAAATGTCGAAAAGATGATGGAAACTCGTGAAAGGGAAGATCGAAGTAACGTCGAGAGTAGATCCTAGGCTCTTAATAGGTAATATCTTGAATTCGATACAAGCAACGATTGAATGGAAGATGGAAGGGGTCAACTCCCGTGCTAGCTTTATAAGTCTTCATTAGCATCGTCAAAAAGGACCCGCCAGGTGGCTGACTAACCTGTAACTAGTTATTAACTTATTTAACCTAACGTAATTCCCAAGCGAGCCGATCACCCAAGCAAACCAATCACCATTTCAAAATTCCACTCAATTAAAGAACTCTTCCACTTCAACGCGCAATTATGCCACCAATTCGCAATAAAAATTCTTCAAATTCAATTGAGAGAGAGGGAAGACTTGAACTCACAATAAAATCTATTAAAAATCAAGAAATTACCTCTATTCATGAAGCTGCTAGGGTTTATAATATTCTCTACACTACACTCTATAACCAGCTAAAAGGACAAGCTCCACAGGTGAATTTACACACAAATTCACACAAATTATCTCCTGCTGAAGAAGATAGGCTAGTTGAATAAATACTGGATCAAGCTAAACAAGAAATTCCCCCCTAGCCTGCATTGGTTGAAGATACAGCTAATTATCTTCTTACTATACAGGATTCCACCACCTCCATCAATTCTCTTCTACACATTAGCAAGAACTGGGTGTCAAATCTAGTGGCATGCTGTTCAGAGCTCCAAAGTCACTATTCCAGATGCTATAATTATAACCATGCTAAGTATGAAGATCAGCAGATTATGAAGAATTGATTTAAGATCTTGAGAAATACAATTGCTGAGCATGAGATTCTGCCAGAGAATATATACAACTTTAATGAGACTGGCTTTGCTATGGGACTCTGCACCACTACTAAGATTATTACTAGTAGTGAGTGCTATGGCAGAGCAAAGCTTCTACAGCCTGACAATTATAAGTAAATGACTGTGATTGAAGCAATAAATACTTCAGAATAAGCTCTACCCCCTACATCATTCTTAAAGATCAGGACTTGTTGGAAGAGTAGTTTGAAGATCTTTCAGAAGACTGAAGGCTAGATGCTAGTCTAAATAACTGAACTATTAATGAAATAGATCTTAAATAACTTCAACAGATCTTTATTCCTGTGGTAAATCTACACAAAGTTAACAGTTCTATTCTTCTTATTCTGGACAGACACAGCCGTTATCTTACCCCAGAATTCAATCAAATTTGCAAGAATAATACTATAATATATCTTTGCATGCCATCTCATTCCTTTCATCTTCTGCAGCCACTAGATGTGAGTGTTTTCTCAGTTTTAAAGCAAGTATATAGAGACCTAGTTCAGCAGTAAATGCAGCTTGAATTTAATGTCATTCAGAAGACAGATTTCCTAGATGCTTATCCTACAGCACACACTGCAGCCTTCAAACCTCAGACTATTCAAAATAACTTCAAGACAGCTGGAATAGTGCTCTTTTAACCTGACTATATTCTTCAGCAGCTGGATATTCAACTACAGATCTCTATCTCTTTACACAGCCCTAGCAATTCAACCACATCCTGGATGCTTCAAACACCTAGTAATCCTCAGCAATTACACCAGCAGATGAATAAGATCAAGAGCTTAGTGAAGAATCAGTCTCAAGACTTTATGGAAGATTTTGACCAAATTATCAAGACCTGCAAATACAGAATAATCAGTGCCATAATTATAAAGAAGCAATACCAGAATATATTCAACACAAATAAGATAGAGAAGCAAAAATACAAGAGATCTAGACACTAAATTTAACAAGAAGTAGAAGATTTAACTAGAGAAGAGATTGAAAGTCTTCTAGATCTATCTACAGCATCTGCAGAGCCTGCAGCATCTGTTGAACCAGCAGTTATTCAATTCTGCAATTCTCTGTCATCTGAGCCTGCTCCATACTGATGAGCTCCACAACACTGTAGCAATTGTAGCACTCTTGGGCATACAAGATTAAGATGTCCTCAACCAAGTGTAATTTAATTGAATTTAATTGAGCGTCATTGTGTTGAGATAATTTGAATTCAAAACTAACTAGGTGGGATACAGTGGTTTTGGTGATCGGTTCGCTTGGGTGATCGGCTCACTTGGGAATTACATTAACAACTAGGTAACTACTACGGAGTAGTTAGTTAGAGCCCACTGCCCACGTAATGGGAGCTTAGTCTTGAGTAGGTTGAAAAAAGAAAGAGGATTGAAAAGCTCGAGGCGCAAAAGCTGGGGGTTTTATACCCGTCTTGCAGATGGTGAATGAAGGGGCTTTTCTGGCTCTTAGATAGTTACTCATTTAGTGACATATAATATTTCCTCTGAAGCATGTTTAGCGTGACCATGTCCCTACGTGGATTTTGAGTATCTCGATGGCAACTTCACCAGGGATATCATCGACCGTAGATAGATACGGGTCATGTCGATAGCAGCGGGGATAGCGATTTGGTCTGTGGAAATCTTAAACCTGCAGCCTCCCACTGCACTTGGCAGTTCGCAAAGACGACATTCAGATTATCACATTTAACCATGCTGAGAAGCTACGTACGAATCTAACCTTTATTATTTAAAGGCCAAAACGGAGGACTGTTTATCGAGGATTCCCTCGAAGAATTGCACGCTCAACAGCTTTTCGTTGAATCGAGAATTAGATCTTGTCAGAGATAGAATCGAATTAGAAGCGCTTTGGTCTCCACGAGTAGCAATCACGTCGCCCTAGAGAACTTCCATTGTTGTCCATATTAAGGCTATCATAGAGAGTATGATAACGACTCCAATGGAAATGTATGCCTAGAGATTTTCCATTTTAAAAGCCGAAGGCTGTGATTTTCCCGAATTGCAAGCTGGTTTGTGGTTTGATACGTGTGGTTGTTTCTTTTTCTACAACGGAGGACCAAATTCCAATATCAACTGACAATCATCCGTTGTCGGCTCGGAAATCAACGACTCCAGTCGTTGACAAATTCCAGATGCCTGTAACTCTCCGATGTCCTATGCCTGCAGACCTCGCGGAACTGATAAAAGGATCAGCTAGATAAATGCTCCGGATGTGAACATACATCAGTTTGTATGCATACATATGTCACACACTTGGTGCACGGTTGCATGTCAATACTTCCTCTGCAGCTCTTTTTTTTTGACCGCCAAATAGACACTTCTTGTTCTCCGCCCTCTTTTCTTCAAACAAGGTGAACCATGGCCGACCCCACGCTTCATCTTCCCCGAATTCTCTGCTTTCACGGAGCCGGCTCCAATGCTGCTGTATTTCAAAGCCAGTGCCGCGCCCTTATTCCCCAGTTGCAACCACACTTCAGACCCTGCTTCGTAGATGGCCCATTCATCTGCGAAGCCGGACCGGGGATCCTCCTAGTGTATGAACAATCGGCTCCTTTCCGGCGCTGGCTTCGCTGGCGACTTGGCCTTCCACCCCTAGCGAAGATGGATGATAGCTCCCAGATTCCCGACGAGGAAGCATACGAGTATATCGAGAAGAATATACAGGATGCAATGCGTAGGGATGATAACAAAGGAGCAACAGGAGAGTGGGTAGGCTTGCTGGGCTTCAGCCAGGGAGCCAAGTTATGCGCCAGCTTGCTCTTCAGGCAACAGGTGCGCACAGAGAAGTTTGGTGCGGAGAACGCTGGTTCAAACTTTCGATTTGCGGTGCTCATGAACGGGCCGGGGCCTCTGGTAGCATTTGAGAAGCCAGAAAACAGCAATCATGATAATGTTGATGATCTGCAGCAAGAAAAACAGCCGCAGCAGCAGCCAATTTTACGCATTCCGACACTCCACGTTCATGCATTAGAGGACAGCGATTTGCCTTACCATCGAATGCTAAGAAACCAATTCTGCGACGAACAAACAGCACGGTTGATTGAATGGAATGGCGACCACAGGATTCCTCTTGCTTTGAAAGACGTATCGCTTGTTGCGAATCGAATTGTGGAGTTGGCAAGGCAGACTGGCGTGATTTAGGAAGCGTTTGGAACAAACAAAAACTCGAAAACTGGCTAGCAGTCAGAAAAGGACATCAGGTTGGATAGCTGGGATAGGAGCAGAATAAACACCCTGAGCTGGGGTGCTTATGTACACCTTGGATTGACAGCATCAATCATGTACATTTTGGAAGCGAATCTCGGCACCAGTACCATCACTGGCTTATTTCTATTAAATATTTATTAAGAATATGAAAGCAACGCTGATACCACCCATGAACCGCGGTTGAAAAGGACGATTGTGACCTAACGCCATAGAAATTGGCCGACGAATGTGTGCCCAACATCAAAGAACTGCGAACACAGGCTATGTCTTAATTGCTATCCAAATCATCGTAACCATTTCCCCTGCGTCTTTTTTTTGGAAGTGACCCCGGTCTATATGAATCCCCGCGCTCGAGGTAGGGTTCTGGAGGTGGACGGGATGGAAATGAAACTCGACGATGCAAATCGCTATTTGGCGGAGGACCAGTTGTTCTCATACTCATGGGGGCTCGGGGGGGACTGAAATCGGACGCGGTTCGGAAGTCCTCTCTGTGGCTATCACGAGGTGAGTCATCTCGAGAAAAGCTAGCTCGGCTTGCCAAAGGAGGAGGACTCGGACCCGATCGGATGCGCAGCTCTTCTTCGTGAGGCGAAGGAGGCCTGTGGGGCATATTCGTGCTGATATTCAATGGGGGATTTGAAGATGGCCTTGAGGACGGCTGTGAAGAGGGCCGCGAAGGAGCACGTCCAGTCCGGACGTATATTTCTTCCCTGTTACTGCTCGTATCGGGAGGATTTGCACCCAGCGATACACTCGGGGATGCAGCTCTCTCCGGCTTTTCACAGACTTTGGTCAACTCCCTAGAATCAAATATGACCTTTGCCAGCTTTTCCGCGGTTACCCTCTCCACCTCATCTAATCTATTAATAGCGCCCTTAATAGAGTCATTTATCCGAGCCCGTTCTGAGTTCATATCTTTGATCATAGAAAGCCTTTCGGTCTTCTCGCCTGCCTGATTAGCCTGTACTGCTTCTAATCGAGCTGATATAGAATTCAACATCTCGGCTTGATCATTAAGACCCTTTCTCAATTCTTCGATCTCTTTCTGGGCCGTGCTTGCATAAGGATACATTTCTTGCATGGAGGCGACCATCTGTCGCACAAGGGGTTCACTTGATAGCTTGTTATATCGGCTTTCAAGTGATGTTATTGCCACATTATGGCCGGCCAATCGCTCAGAGTGATACTTTAGTGCATCATGCATTTGCGCAACATCAGCATTGTCCCTTTTCTCAAGGGCCATGATCCTTGCTTCGTGTGCTGCATTATTTATATCCTGCGTCCTCAAGTGCTCCCCGAGTTGGTCTTTTACCATAGCATAGTCACTATGGAGTTTTTCGATGGAGCTGCTGCGCCCCAATTCCAGCCTTTGCAATTCGTTGTCGATTTCTTTGTCTTTCTGGTCCTGAAGTTCTCGTAGCTTCTCGAGTTGGCTGAACAAGTTTTCCATGTCAGCTCTCAGCGTGTTGAGGTTTGGCCCTTTTTGGTTCTCGATCGCAGTGACTCGGCCTTCAAGAAGCTGGTGTTGCGCAGCGGATAACTCTTCGGTTTCGTCAAGGCGCCTTGACAAGCTCTGAACCTCCGATTGTATAGTATTTGATGCAGATTTATTTTCGATATCGGAAAGCCTTTGCTCGAGAAGGTCACATCTAGTCAAATTCCACTTTTCCCTGTTCCGGTTTCTGTCTACTATACTCTGGCAGTGCGAACGGAGCAATCTCAGACTTGAGAGCTCTTTTTCCACCTTGGAGTGGAACTTTTGTTCGAGCTTATTTAACCGCTCTCTTATGTCCTCTACTTGTTTTAGTCCTCGCGTAGCTGATTCGATAGAATTGGAACAGGAGCTGACGTCAAGCTTTAATTGCTGAAAAGTGTCATTTCTAGCCATGAGGTGGCTAAAAACCTCGGAAAGATCAGCTTGTTTCTTCTTGTGTAGATCAAGCTGCTGGTCAATCTTGTTTAGACGGTCCATCTGCTCTTTCTGCATTGCCTTGCCCCGTGAAAGATACGAGGGATATTGGAACTGACGGTCGGCAGCTCGATTCAACATAGCCTCCTGCTGACGGACTTTCTGTGTTAAACGTTCTCGTTTCCCCATCTCTCGCCCAAATACTGAAATTTCCGTGGCATAATCAAGGAACAATTGGACTGGATCTTGTGGTTTGCGACGGGGATCTTTCGTGGCAGAATGGGGTGCTCCATTTGGTTCCATGCTCGCAAGACCGGTTTCGAGGATGGACGCGGTGTGAGCACACGCGTAAACATGAAATGTAGGGGGAGAAGAGGAGATAATGAGGGCGAGATAGCTAAGCCTTTGGAAAATATTAAAGCATTTAGGACAAAACACCCATTAAAGATGAATGATGTTTATCTCTAGTCTTCCCATGAGACAAAACTGCTAGCGGAAATGGTGAAATATTTATCCGTCTGAGCTATCCCCTCGTCCGGAGATTCTGTGCAAATTACTCCGTAGCGTGGTATCACTTAGTGTACAATATTTACAAGGATTAGAATGGTTCAGCCAATAAGCTTACCATATAAAATGTATAAGAAGTCTATTGGCTCATTCATACCCGCTTCAAACCTTATTTCTCTACCCCAACCTTATTTAAGCTTCATACTATGTAATTGTTATTTACATTGATTTACCAGCATTCTCATATAAATAGATTACACTAGCGAAACCACGCTAATTTGCACAGAATCTCCGGATGGGGGAAAAATGGAACCTTTGTCGCGTGTAATTATGTAATCAGACAGCCAGCTGTGGGCGGCCTGCCTGCGAGAGCTCCCTTTCAAGATGCGACGAAACAACCTCTCTCTCCTCCCTCACGACCTGATATCCTTCATTGCACACACTGGCTGAGGAGGTGCAGATAAACTGACCTGGACCAAATTGAGTTTATAATTTTCAGAACTATGGCTGCTGTATGAGCTGTTTGCTTCTCCTCCACTTGTGTCGCCAGTCTCTAACTTTTGTACTAGGCAATTTCTACAGTCGCCGAGAGCAAGGAGCTCAGAGGTCTGAATCTTGTCGCCGCGCATTCCCATATTAGAGGGCTAGGTGTTGATCCCGATACTCTACAGCCCCGCTCTTCCTCACAAGGCCTAGTTGGCCAAGAAAAGGCGCGAAAAGCTGCTGCGGTTATTCTCCAGATGGTCAAGGATGGGAAGATTGCTGGACGCGCCGTTTTGATCGCTGGCCCGCCAAGTACCGGAAAGACCGCCATTGCGATGGGAATGGCGCAGTCGCTAGGGCCTGATGTACCGTTTACCATGGTCGCTTCGTCCGAACTGTTTTCCCTTGAGATGTCGAAGACGGAGGCCCTTACCCAAGCATTCCGCAAGTCTATTGGAGTGAGAATAAAGGAGGAAAGTGAAATTATTGAAGGAGAAGTGGTGGAGATACAAATCGACCGCAGCGTTACTGGGGTATGTAGCGGAGGACCCGAGATCCTTTTACCTTTTGCGATGAGGCCTCTAACTCGTTATAGGGTAATAAACAAGGCAAACTGACGATAAAAACCACCGATATGGAAACAATCTACGATATGGGAGCGAAAATGATTGATTCAATGACAAAAGAGCGTGTTATGGCGGGTGACGTTATCTCTATCGACAAGTCCTCTGGCAAGATTACGAAGCTGGGAAGATCTTTTGCTAGATCCCGAGATTACGATGCCATGGGTGCCGATACGAAGTTTGTTCAGTGCCCGGAGGGTGAACTTCAGGTCCGTAAGGAAATTGTTCATACGGTTAGCCTGCATGAAATCGACGTTATCAATTCGAGAACGCAAGGCTTCCTCGCCCTTTTTTCTGGCGATACTGGTGAAATACGAAGCGAAGTTCGGGATCAGATTAATACAAAGGTTGGCGAGTGGAAAGAAGAAGGAAAGGCCGAGATTATTCCCGGAGTTCTGTTTATCGACGAGGTTCATATGCTGGACATTGAATGTTTCTCATACATCAATCGGGCCCTTGAAGCCGAGCTAGCGCCAATCGTGATCATGGCAAGTAATCGGGGCAATACCAGAATCAGAGGGACAACCTATCGATCTCCTCATGGTCTCCCGCTAGATTTTCTGGACAGGGTTGTCATTGTGAGCACCCAGCCATACACTGGAGAAGAAATCCAACAGATACTGGCTATCCGAGCTCAAGAGGAAGAGATCGATCTCACACCGGATGCATTGGCTCTTTTAACCAAAATTGGCCAAGAGTCGGGACTACGTTACGCTAGCAACATCATCACAACGTCGACTCTGCTCAGCCAGAAACGAAGATCAAAAGACGTGGGAATCGAAGACGTGCAGCGCAGTTATCGCCTTTTCTATGACCCTGCTAGAAGTGTGAAGTTTGTGACTGAATTTGAGAAGCGATTTATTGGTGACGAGGGCCAGGTCAATTTTGCTCACACCAATGGTGATGCCATGGACACCTCCTAATTGATGATTTTCTTTTCTTGAACTGGGTATGGCGCAAACGGCAACTAGGATGCTAAAAATGTCACAATCGCGTATTATATGAACGGCGCAAAAAACAGGTCTTGGGTTACTGGCAATAGCAGACCTTTTTCTTTTCTGTTTACTTAGCTGAGGCGATAGAATAATTGATGATCAAGAATGCTGCAAACTCCTGCTCTTTGTAGCCCACAGATTATAGTACAAATCAATATTTTCATAGCTGTCATTGAGAGAAAACAGCAGCGCTGTTCCAGGTTGTACAACCGACTTTGCGGAACTCAACGCCACCATCTCCAAAATATCCGGCATTATTCCAAGACTCCATCGTTGTCTTTTCATATGGACCGTGCGTTGCGCCGCCATCGCGAGCATCCGACCAGCGGAATTCCCACATCGCATTCTCGTTGTCTTCTGGCTCTGCTGATTCTGTCCTTGGCGGATCAACCCACTCTTCGCCGGTCTCCCTCCGATATTGTCTTGTAAGCATTTCTCGCTCTGTATCATATATTTCTGTTTGTCCACGGCTGAGAAGGATATCTGCGGCACCTGTGATTTCTTCGATGGCACGTTTGCGAGCTGCGTCTGCAGGGCTTTCCTCCGTCATTTCCACGTCTTCTGCGGCGCCGTTAGATTTCTTGTGCTTATTTTTTTGTTTGTTCTGCCACTTGGGGCGACGTTTCTGTCCTTTGCCTAATCGGGCCAGGGCATCCAGAATTGTTTCTCCTCGATGTAGGCTGGCGATCAATGTCTTTAGAACATCGCCAGTTAGGATGCTGGCATCGGCGATAGATTTCTGTCGACGTTCTTCTTCTCGTTTCTCCGCTGCCGCTCTGGCTTTCTTCATGTCCTTTTTCGATAGTCCTTCCAACCAGCTATCGTGAATTGCATCTGGATCGGCGGCTTTTCGAATATAGTTTCCGGCTTCATCAAAACGCCCCTCTTCCTGCTCTGATCTCATATTAAATGCATCAAGAAGTGGTGCATGAGTCTTTTTTCCGCCAGCACCCAGCTCTTTATCAACGCCTCCAAGATCTGCCCGGCCTTCCTCGTCGGTATCGCTCTCGCTCGAATCCTCCTCCACAGCTTTTCCTTTGCCTTTGCCCTTGGGGTCTATGTTGTCCAGCCTGACCTTACCACCGCTTCGAGAATTGTTTACCTGTCCCTCTATTTCATCATCATTCAGAAACCTGACCTGCTTTTTCGCTTTTCCCAGATCATCCTCTGGAACTCCCATCTCCTCCTCAACTTCTGCAAACATGTCGTCCTCGTCCACATCGTTTTCTGCTTTGCTGGACTTAACTCTAGCCTCTGCGCGCGCGTCAAAGTTTTCGTTTTCACTGTCTGAGTCGTAACCATCGATGTTTACTGCATTGCGCTTTATTCTCTGACCGCGTCGTCCGATTTCATCTGCATCGAGGACGGCATCTTCTTCGGTCGCATCAGGGATTAGTGTAGACGGATTGCGGAGATCGAAGCGGGCCTTTTTGGTGGACGACGGACCGTCGGGGTCGTATTCGTTGTGATGCTGACGCGCGTAGTCGTCGGCGGCGCGTTTAGGGCGAGCAATAGTGTTTGAAAGCATCTTATCCCTTGGGATTTGGAGACCCTCCTCCGGGTGTCAACTTGGCCTGCGCATGGGACCGCCTGTCTTTGGTGGATGTTGCCTTCGAGCTTCTTGGGGGGATTGCCAAGACGTCAAGACCGTCACTGCCAAGCCTTGCGTCACAGCCCGCGAAGCAGCTCGACGGGACAGTCAGGCAACAGACACGGAAAAATGCACGAGACAAACAACCTATCAGCCCGCTCTAAATAATGTTCTAACACCCTCAATATCAGACCAAGGCTTTTGTTCTCAGCGTCTTTCACGAACTGTTATCTTTCCTTTTTCGTCAGCCCCCAGCATCCCACTTCGTCTTGACTAATACGTACTCGACCTTGTATGCTTGTCTCCCAACATTCAGCTTGTACAGTGATTCTTTTGAATGGAAATAAGAATTAACGGTACCCAGTTATGGTAAGCTTCTTTTACTAGTATTTTACTCGTTCAATAAGGCTTAAAGCTGACATGTACTGACTTCCTCAGTTTCAAGGCGGTTATTACGAGGACAATGACCCCATGGATGGAGTGTTCCATCCAGGGCTTATGCGGCGCGCTGGGCATGCAGCTCGTCGGTTTGATGAATACTATCGATGCTACCCCGTAGCTATGATGCCGGGTCCAGAACGAGAAGCTGCAAATCACGGAGGGAAGGTATTTATGCCAGCGAGCGCCCTGGACAAGCTTACACGACTCCATATTACCTATCCTATGCTTTTTGAAGTTCATAACGGCGCGAAGCAGAGAATGACACATGCTGGAGTGTTAGAATTTATTGCAGAAGAAGGAAAAATTTACTTGCCATTTTGGGTATGAGGAGACCTCCTATCTCCTCCTTAGCTATTGAAGGCTGACCGGTGGTCCGGATGTAGATGATGCAAACCCTACTGCTGGAGCCAGGAGATTTACTACAAATAAAGTCGACAGATTTGCCACTAGGACGCCTTATAAAACTGCAAGCTCAATCCACTTCGTTCCTAGATATCAGCGATCCTAAAGCCGTCCTCGAAAACGCATTCCGCAACTTCTCATGCTTAACTAAGGGTGATGTTTTCACATTTTCCTACAATGATCAGACATACGAGATGGCCGTGCTGGAAACTAAGCCAGAGAACCCTGAAAACGCTATCTCGGTGCTCGAGACAGACCTGGAAGTGGATTTTGCGCCCCCGCTTGGCTATGAGGAACCCAAACGGCCCAGCGGCACAAGTACGCCGTCTAGCATGACTAGTGCCGGTCTACCACTCGGTGGTATGCTTCATCCACATGGTACGATGGCGCAGTCAATCAATTATGCCGCTATCGCACCGGAGTCAACAGACGCAGCTCGAGGAGCAAAGGCCGTATCCTCTAACTTCCTACATGGCGGACAGCGTCTCAATTCAAAAAAGGGCAGCAAGCAGCCTACGCCCAAAGCATCTACCCCAGTCTCAGGTGTATCCACAAACGCGCAGCCACCCGCCCCTGTGCGCCGAACGAATGGCCCTCAACCACTTCGATTACCACCAGGGAAGCTCTTTTTCGGTTATGCTATAAAGCCCGTTCAAAAGAGCAATGAAAACGGGCAAAAGGAAGGGGAAAAGCATACGAGTTTCTTAGGGGCCGGGCAATCATTGCGAGGGTCGAAGAAAAAGTAATAGCTGATTTTTGAACTTACAAACATTTAAGCGTTGAAATTAGGCCCAGATGGAACCTGTATTTCTGGACAAATTGCGACTGAGCAGTGAAAATGAGATATGAAGTTTAGCGGGGAGCCATGTAGGCATGGGAGCCTTACCAAGTCCAATGAAGTACTGTTTCGGATGTCACTGTCCAGCAGTCGATAAACTGGCTATTGGAACAATAATTTTTCTGCTTCTTTCTTAATAGATCGCCTAGGTAGGCAAAAAGGCCAACCACACAGGGGATGAATTCAATTATCCCTAACTTGGAACGTTTCCAACCTTGGAAGGTTATCGGCGGTCGGTCTAACTATTCCTCCGCCAACGCACTCTGCCGCGGCTCAACACTTTTTCGCGTGTCAGGGGCATCTGCAGCGAGCTCCGTCGTCCGTAGTTATTCAATCGATAACTGTTGGGAGCTAAGGCAGAAGCCATCCTTTTTAAGTTGAATTTACTTGCGGTTTTCTGTCTTGGATACATGGAGCATAGATTAACCATCCTGCTCAAGGTTGACGGTTACTCTCTCTTGGAATCTGTATAAATACGCTCGATGAACGTATATCTACTTTCTTTTTCCTTACATAAAACGTATCAAAGAGACATCTGTCCATTATCTAGCTGGTCCAATTTCCAGTGATATTCATATCTTCTCTCTATTCTTATTTTTAGTCCGAAGATTCCGAGCTTGTCCACACACATGCAAAAATGGCCTCGAGCATCGAGCAAATCGTACCGCCAATATTCAGCACAATGGCCCAAATTGGGCCTGGAGTATACATCAGGGACTTTCCTCAGACCTTGGAGAAGCGCGACAAGTCCCCAACAATCGTTCTCTTCTTCTGGATGAATGCGACACACCGCCCTGCAGGCAAATATATAGCCCAGTACACGCAGATAGCGCCTACCGCGAGGATGATTTCAATTTTCACATCCGCTTCGGACTTCTTCATTCGAAATTCAGACGTTGCGCAGAAACGCCGGATTGCTCCCGTGCTGAATGCGATTTTGTCTACTGGTGGCTCAGGAATTGGTACAGACAGCACCGGTGAACATCTATATATTCATACTTTCTCCAACGGTGGATCCACGACGCTACGACACCTGGCTGCTTCATACCGAGCCACCACGGGTAAACCGTTACCCGTGAAGGCGCTGCTTATTGACAGCGCTCCCGGAAAAACCTCCATATCGAAAGCTGTCCAAGCACTTTCGTACAGTTTTCCCAAGTTCTTCCTGTGGAGGGCTCTGTTGTCTGCGACTGTTTGGACTTGGTTACTTGTTTTGACTACTCTGGGGAAATTATTGAGGAAGAAACATCCTTCCTTCCTCTTGAGGGAAGGGTTGAACGATTCGAAGCTGATTGATGGAGGAGCGGAGAGGTGCTATGTCTATTCAAAAGAGGACGAGTTGATTCATTGGAGAGATGTAGAAGAGCATGCAGAGGACGCACGTGCCAAAGGGTGGAATGTTTCAAGGGAGATGTTTGAGAAGTCGCCCCATGTGAGTCATATGAGGACGGATCCCCAGAGGTATTGGAGAATTGTTGGGAGGTTGTTGAAGATCGCTATGGGTTAAGGGAAAGAAAAGAGGCAAATCCAAAAAATACACCCCTTCAACAGTGTCTGCAATTTCTAAGAATCTGAAAGAACCCATTAGATTAGATATCCCTTAAGGTTGGATTTCAATAGATATTTTGACGCTCATCAGTAAACGGATAATCGTCTCTATATCGAAACCTGAACGTTGATCGTTTCTAGAAGATGAGGGTAGATACATGGCGAAGAACAGGAGGCGCTATCAACTCTAAATGTTGGTGTCATTGACCAGTTATGCGTATTTCCTCGTGTCCAATCTCTTCCAGACATCATGATGAAACAAACGCAACATACAAGCAATACGATAGCAATCGTGGCCAACATAACGTTCAAAAACCTTTCTAGCTCTCCAGAAGTGTCCCATCACACCTCTTCATCCAAGACCTCGACAATTTGCTCATACCGCGAATGTTCCCAATCATCAGTAACAGTTTCGGCGCGAGGCTGCCTGGCTCTCTTTTCTGCAGTGCTAGAAGAATCGGCAGCTGCAGTCTCGGTAAATACGTCATCCTCTTGCTTTAGGCCGACAATGTTGAAGCAAGAGCTAGTTTCATGTGGTTCGGCTTTGGGAGCAGCCTTGATCGGAGTCGCGGAACGCTCATTTTTAATGAAATGTGAGCCGTCATCATCATCGTCATCATCCAACAGAATGCTATGTTCAATTGAAGCTCCTTTTCCTATCATCTGGGTTTTAGACGGAGCGGTGTACGGAGATTTTACCCCTTTTCCAGCCGAACCGGGCTTTGCCACTCCACCCCGACTATTGGTTCGAGGGGTGGCAGTGTTCGGAGCTCGTGCAGTTCGCGGGGTGCTAGGAACACCGCCAGCTCGACAGTTATTGTTTCTTCTCGGGGTCCTTTCTGTCATGCTCTCGGCCATCCGACGGTATTCGCGGAAACGGTGCTGGAGAGAGTCGTACGTCGCTCCCTGACCGAAGTAAACAGCCATGGCCCGGTAATCCGGCTAATAGAGGTGTCAGTACTGTTGGGACTGTAAGGAACAAAACCACAGGATTCGTCTAAAGACATGTGCCAGAATTAATATACCACATAACAAAAATATGTGCTCACAGTAAAGCCAGGGTGGGATGCTAGCAATGCAGCTATCAACCGTTCGAGGGCATCCTTTGTCCAGACCACTGGCATCCTTTCTTGGTCCAAAGGAATCAGCAAAGAAAAGCACCAGTATGGCTAACTCTTGTAGGCTTGGGGAGAGATGTAAGAGAAGAAAGATGCAAGAGCCTGAAGACCAAAGAGATGAAGAGAAAGTGGTTGCGTAGGAAATTTGAGCAACACAACTTTCCTTTCACAGCTGACAGCAACTAGCGCCGAGAGGAGTCGCTTAGGTTAGAGGTGCATGCCTGTGTTAATGTCGTTCGACCAGCATAGAAGTGCGAGCTAGCAAGCAGATGCTGCATGCAAACCACATATACAGCTGCTAATTAAAAGTGAAAGAGCAGACTAACATGCAGAGCACTTCTGGCATGTTGACTCTAGGACCTGGCAAAATGGAGATCTCAAAGATAATGCAAAGACAATGTCATTTGGAAAATTGAGTTAGTCTCATTGTTGCCATCCAACAGAGCTATATGCTCTTCTTCTTCTTCAGAGGATGGTGGTGTTTGGGAACAAATTAAACTTTGATTTACTTCGAAATACTCCGACTAACATTTATATCTGCGTACAAAATCAAAGGGCGACGAATCCTCGTCTGAAGAGTTGGGTTTAAGTCTGGAGCATGACGGCTGGGCTGCTCAGAGACACATCTCGCGATGGTATGGATGTAACCTGTTGAGGAACATTCCTAGATAGATGTCCGACGGATACATCTGTACCCAACTCAGTAACGCTCCAACCTTAGGTTAAATCGACATTGACAGTTAAAGACAAAGACGTATGACCGTCAATATGTTACACATACCCAATGCCAGATGGGCGACTGAACCTGAGGCCCAACATGAAACCTGAACCGACGCCGTTTATGTCTTCAAACACCCAGGAACCGAAAAAGCGACGACCAATCGCCTCATGCTTAATTCACAAGCAAACTCTTCTTGTCGAAGATATTGATCAAGGTAACCTAGTGCAAAGGTCAGCTTCAATTCCAACGAACAGCCAACCCAGGGAAACGTACCTCAGCAAACACCGGGCTCCCATACCAAGTGTTGCCAAGCAGATTCGGCTCAACTGAAACCTCCCTGAGTCCCCTTGACTCCAAATGTTCCCAAAATCCAAGCCATTCCGAAAGACTCCGTGGAAGCAAGTAATTGGTCTGGGGCGTGGCTTCCCACACATGTGTCTCGACCAGAAGCTGTCCGAGTGGGAGGTCCTGATCCTGGAAATCGGTCAAAAATGAAGTGAGGGCACCGAATTCTGATCCCTCGATGTCCATTTTCATAATGTCAATGTAATTGTGACCATTCATTTTCATCAAGTCCTTCACGGAATAAAATGGCGGAGAACGGTCCGTGTCAGTCACATTGCTGATTCCAGCCTGAAGGAAATGAGCGCGGGAGGCATTTGATTGATCAAGGTTCTTTGCCCACGAGCCGACTGAGAAGTCGTATCCCCATATCTCGCAGTTGGTACGACGCAGGACGGCATCCTCAAAAGCAGAATCATCGCTCACGCCGAAGGAATAGACGATGCAGGGTCTATTCTTATTTGCTTCGTATCGGCTCATGCCGCAAACCCACTTTCCGCCATCGCCTTCTCTACCAACACGTTCGAGTTCGTAAGGGCAATTAAAAGCTGGGTAGACAAAATCATAAAGTGTATATGGGGCAGAGTATCCCTTCGGGAATCTGCGGGAGGGGGACACGAGAAAAGTAGTTAGCAGGTATGATAATGGTGATGATAATCGGACTGTGTGCATTGGGCAGTGGACAGCGGTTCAGGGCATCAACTTCACCGGGTGGCCGGTGCTGCTTACTTCCGATCCTTTCCCTTATTATTATCATAGAAGGCCTTCATCTTCTTCCGACCGTTGATATTCTCTTTCCATAACCGCTCATATAGTCCAAGTTTGGCAACCAAGTCACCATTGAAGGCGCTCTGCTTGCTCAAAGAACTAGCAGCCTTCTTGAGTGATGCCCCATTATCAGAATTAAATGCTGCAAAAAGAATGACACATGCAATAGCGAATGTGATAAAAAGAGGGCTACAAGACCGAGCCATAGCGTCAGACTCTAGACAAAAAGGTAGCCTCGAGTTTTTGCGGAGAAGAAAAGAGGGAGAGGAAACAGCGAGGATTTCCGCAGCGTTGAAACTAAGGGTCTAAAGCCATCTGCAAACAACCCAAGGAAGAGATAGAACAAGGGGTAAAGAGGACAAAGGGAATGCAGGAGGGTGCTCCAGATAGCAAGGACATATGTAAATCAAGGTTATCATCGCTCTTGATTCGCCGATCTCGCCCAAGTAACTTTCTGCTCCTGATTTTTCGTGGACGGGAGATAAGTATGAGCGGAATACCTCGTTTGTCCATCCGAATGCTGCGTCATTCGGGGGCGGACTGCGGAGGAAAAAGGCGGTTGGACTTGTCTCAGACACGATGGGAAGTCTACGCCGTAGAAGAACATTTTCCTCGGAAGGTTCAAGGGAGAGCTTAACTAACAAACTATGCAAAGTTCGCCATGAGGAGCCGATTCAATACGAAATAAGTTTGGAGACCATCCATAGAACGTGCAGAACTGGGCGCAGATGAGCGTCAGACGGCCTTGGCCGCAGCGTCATCATCAACGATTTCTTGTCTGTCGATCTTGAGAACGCTGAGCCTCAAAACGTATCTCGAGCCGGCCGATCGTGGAGATGCTTCGCAGCGAAACCTTGAAGATGAAACGCGATCCCTTGATCACCCAAAAAAAAAAAAAAAAAAAAAAAAAAAAAAAGAAAAAAAAGAAAAGGAAAAGGAAAAGGAAAAGGAAGAAGAAAAGCAAACTCGTAGTCCAACCTTGGGTGGCTTGCGACTGTCTCTCTGGATGAGACTATTTTGGTTCTTTTCCGACACTGATTGAACTTTGTTCCGGCAAATGGGCAGCCCAAACACATGGCGCAAAATCTCTAAATCTGGACTGAAACACGTAAGAAAGACTCCGTATCTGTGACTTTGTCCCCTTCCCCCAGAGTGGAACATTTCTCCGCGTTGTGAGATCATTCCTTGTTGATGTGGGTTGAATGTCGGATGGGAACAGCAAGCTACAGGGTAATTTCAGCGCCATCTCATCGGGTATATGGAAGTGACTGCTCCGCATGTATGTAGTTTGCCGGGGTCGTAGGACAAAACTGGTAGTCAAACCGTCACCTCTCGTGGTACCCTGTCCGGTCTGCCTTTTTCGTTGCGGCCTGAGGAACTTGTCAAGATTACAGAGCGTCGGAGTACAGAAACGCAGACTTCTGACACATGGAAGCCAGCAAATAATAATAATTCCCTTTGTTTCGTGGCGGTGCCATCTGGATGACGAACACCGGTGGAGGTTTGTGCAGCAGCGCTGATTGGGTGGTGATGCATGTAAAGTATCAACCAGGAACTCAATCCTCGAGGTCCCTTTTTTCCATTGCCACCAAGAGCCGCCCTGGTGCTTGTGCTCCAGTCAGGGGAGCCGACCATGCTTTATCAAAGACGTCAGGGTGCGGTGTTGACGACGTTTCGCATGCTCGACGGGGTAGTTAGTTAACACTCTGGCGTGAAAATCTTGAGATGTGTCAGAAAATAATTTGCAATTGATGTTTCCCGTCTCCTTTTTGGCGCCCTTAATAGTCATTTCTTTGCCTCAAACGATTCAGCTAGTTAACTCCTCCGTCCCTTGCTTCGTTCACTGAAATGCAAAATCAATGGCGGTGGATCTTTACCTTGTGAGCTTGGCAGCATGGGTGCTGGCGAACGCAACAATCGCCTTCAGGCGATGGGACGGCAAACGTTCTGATGTCAAGATCTCGGATACGGTCCGCAATGCCGCGAATCAGACAGAATTAAACCTCAAGTACACATATTTTGTCGTTTATATACTTGTTGTCGCTTCGGACTGGTTGCAGGTCTGTTGTTTCCGGGCCCATGGAAAAGTACCCGAGTATTATCTACTGTGACTGACGGCACGAGGTTGGCAGGGTCCGTATCTCTACCCGCTCTATAAACAAACGCTCCAGCTCCCCGAGAACATTGTCGCAGCTCTCTTCTCTACCGGCTTCGTTTCAGGAGCACTTAGCGCCACATTCGTGGGCAGTCTTGCTGATCGCTATGGAAGACGGAAGGCCTGCCTTTTCTTTTGTGTGATATACAGTCTGTCATGTCTGCTCACGGTTTCCCCGAGCTCAGTTTACCTTTTGTTTTTGGGCAGACTGCTCGGGGGCATTGGGACCACGCTGCTTTTCACGGTGTTTGAAACATGGTTAGTCGCCGAGTTTCACCGATTGGAACTGGAGAAAGAAGGCGCCGAATTGAATGACCTTCTCGGCACTATGACCATATTGAATACCATCGTTGCTGTTGCTTCGGGGCTGCTGAGTGAGCTTCTTGTGGGATGGACTGAAAGTAAACGATCGCCTTTTCTGGCAAGCATTTTCTGCCTGGGTCTAGCATTTTTTGCCATTCTTAGGAAATGGGTTGGTTTTTCAGTCCACTAAATTTCGGTTCGGCTGTTGGCTAATGCCATCCGTAGGGTGAAAACTATGGCGATGAAAAGGTTCTGAAAGGCGACTCCAGCGCTACTCATTTAATGGACGGTATTTCGGCTGTGATAAAAGGTGAGGGGCTTTGCACTCTGTTCGCTTGTCACGCTCGCAACTGATATCAAGGATGGCAGACGGTCGCGTTCTGACCCTAGGAATTGCTTCCACCATTTTCGAAGGAACAATGTATCTATTTGTCGTGTTCTGGTCCCCTGCAATAATCTCGGCTGAGCGGGCAGCGGACACGTCCGTTCCTCAAAACCCTCCTTTTGGGCTGATATTCGCCAGTTTCATGGCAGCCATGATGTTTGGTTCTCAGGTCTTCGCATATCTCATGCGACCTTCGTCTTCTCAACTACCCCTGGAGCAGGGCAATTCCCCTCCTCCTGCATTGGTACGATCAAGCTGTTTGCTAAAAGTTCTTCTTCCAGTCGCAAGTAGCTGTCTTTCTTGGAGTGTCTTGTGTCCCACGAGAACATCGACGTTGTGGGCTTTTTGCCTATATGAGATGACAATCGGCGTCTATTTCCCCAGTATGGGTGTTTTGAAAAGCGTACTGGTCGATGACAGGCACAGAGCAAGCATATATGCGCTTTTTAGGGTGCCCTTGAACATCTTTGTTGTTGCTGGGCTTGCGTTAACGAAAGAGGGTAAGTTGCTATTTCCAGACCTGCAAGCAGCAAATAAGCTGACACCCATTCAGGAGAGGGGTATCGCAATACGGTGTTTCTAAGTTGCAGCGCACTGCTACTAGCAGCCATGGGATTTGCACATCTCTTCCTCAAGCATTGATTTCTTTTTGAGTTTTATTGCGCCGGAGTTGGTGTTCTCAAAATAGATTTTTCGGGTGATCTGGGAGATAACATCCATTCCGTAGCGTAAATCTGCAGCCATTGGAGACTTTTAAATCCACTGTATTCTGCATTATAACTTAGTATCTTGCAGATATATATATCAATTCCCAGTTTCTTGCAAGCAAGCCTCTTGTCGCATGAGTGCTGTTCTTTACTGTAAAGAGTTCGCAGGCGAATCTTTACACTTATATGGCTGAAGGCTATGGGATGTACCATAATGACCGACGGCCTTAGCAACATCGATTTAGACGGATATTGGACAAATGGAAATCATACTTACTTCTGGCTTTGTTTACGAAGATATAAGGATGAAATTTATGTATGTGTATGAGGTCTAAATATCGTCATCTAATCTCCTCAATATCCAGCCTCATGTACCCTTTTTGCACATCTATTTACAGCCATGACAAAGGCCCTTTTTAGAAAATCATTATACACTCATAATCATAAGAGCGTTTGAGTGCTTGTAGCATGCCCACATGCTAAGGCTGGAAAGGCCAATAATTCAGCTATACACGGGTCTGCATAGTTTCCTTCTAGGTGCTTACAAATGGCCCGACATTCCGACCTGACTCTATCCTGTATCCACCATTGATCCGCACTGCACATAAGACCGAACCAATAAGCCAATATAAGGAGCGCTCTAGGGTCTTTTTTCTGGATGAGATTGCAGTATCCTGTCAGCATCTGTCCGAAGAAAATAACCAACTTGGACAAATTGGCGGCCGATGGTTCAAGACGCATCAGGACGGATAGGGTGCGCAGAGGAAAATAATACGGGTTGTTGGAGGAGTCGGAGGTTTGGCCAATTCCACACAAGTCTCGAAATGCAGGCGGGATGTCCTCAATTTGAAATTCAGCGTTGCGGTAGAACTCGTCACTCTGTTTGAAGACTGGAGCCCAGATGCTGTGATGGCCGTCGCTTTCGGCTCTTTGGCAGATTGCTGACAGGCCGCCGCCGACGTAGAGCCAATTGGAGCTTTTTCCTGGGGGAGAGAAAATCCAAGTTTCGGTGTCATTAGGGTCGACGCCATTTGTGAATGCATGGGTAATGGGCAGCATGCAGGTGCACAGGACGGCATCGATGTTTGTAGAGTCGATGGGTCCGTTGAGCTCTTTATTGAAGAGAGAAATTGAGCGATTCCAGTGGTACTCTGCAGGAACATTGGGAACATAGGATGGAGCCACATGAAGTAGATGGCTTATTGAACATGCAATTACTGCGTGCATGAGATGGGGTGCCTAAACAAGCCGATAAGCTGCGCTCATTTTGTAAAGTGTACGTATACTACCTTAAAACTCAGTGAAACACCATGCGTGCGCAAGATATGTCGGGGAAGAGGCGCATCCAACGTATGCGACGTGAAGACGTCAAATCGTGTGACCGCTTCAAGGTTCTCACGGCTCACCGACACCATGTCGCCAGCGGAGTGCAGGACATGGCCGATATTTTCTTCATTGCAAGTGACAGAGAGAAATTGTGACCAGTAGGTGTCTGGTTCTGGAGAATCAGTCTCAGGGGTCGGCATCTCATAAAGTATCGCTCTTCAGCCGGCTTGTAGATGCAGTGTACACCGTGAAGCTGGCACTGCCGACATTCAGGTTTTGTTTCATCGCACTGGAAACAAAAAAACAATTACCAGCCATTCCTAGACACTGGAAGGCGAGCAATGGAAGGAAGGAGAAAAAGGAGACCAGTGAGATATCAAAGGTTGGGCACGCCATAATATGGAGTTACCTTAATTCTTCGTCGTTTGCATACTGTGCAGCCCGAGCGGGACTTTTGATGCGGTCGCCGTCGGGATAGAGGTAATTCTTCGCTGGATAATTCTCCTCTGTTTTCTTGGCTTTCACTGTGGGATTCTTCTGAGCTTGAACGTGAACTGCTTGTTTTTCCTGTGTATTGTGGCATGGCGAACTTATCAGGAGCAAAAGGTCAGCATCTGAAATAGCTGAGCAACGAAATTGTGCTCTAGAACCAGGTGAATCTATTGATTCATTGATCATTCGAAAGAATATTTATCAAGAGGATCATCATGATTTTCAGACAAGGAAATTCACCCACAAATTCTTTGGTGTCAGAATACTCGAGCAGTGAGTAAACAGCTGCCTAGACTGAAGACCCGAGGCTCAAAAGATTGTTAAATTTAGATCAATTCTCGTATTTAAAACTTGCCGATTCGCCAGCCCCGGTCAAGAGTGGTGTGTTGGGTGCAAGGAATGACGATCGGCAGCCCGAGCAATTGGTCGTTGCCGGGAACTGAGGAACAGCAAGGTGTCAGACATATCAAAGCAGATTTTGAAAACGCGACCATTGCCAACAACATGCGTGTTGCAGAGCCCAGAGCCATCAAAGTGTCGAGCTAAATGAACTGAGGACTGAGCCGGAGAGCTTCATCTGCGCACTGGATATGGACGCAATGTCTGTACTGAGTCCGAAGAAATATCACGCTATCCGTTACCACGAGCAGAAGGACGCACGGCCGTACCCATAGCAGTACTCGAATAACTACAATGCGTTCATCGCCTTTAATTCGTGTGCAAACAGGATACCTAGATCGCCTGATATAAAGCGGTATTTTGGCACCGAGCAGCGGAATGGGCGCCAAGAGCGGAGTAGCGCTTAGTCATATCGACTTTTGGGCTGGACAGGGACGGCGGCGGGATGAGCATACGGGAGCTCCAGATACACTCAGGCACGCGTTTTTGATCCCTCCAGTCTACAAGGCTCTGTTTTTAATATCCAATTCATGTGCCCTTGAAGCCGCTGCCCCCTCAAACACGACAACTGACCCTACGATCGACGGTGCAAATCCACCAACCGCCACCCCACCGCACCCACAACCATGCCCCTGTCCAACGCCAGCAACGACGACGACACCGCTGCGCTCCTCGACGCCCTCGAACACGAAGAATCGAACCCAGTCTACAATTCACAGCGCATCGCACAAATAAAAGCCGAACTCTCTTCCACAAACACCTCACAATCCAACCCCATCGCAGACAACACAACCCCCTCCTCCGCCGGCACCGTAACGACCCTCCTCAACAACTCCCCGCTCCCGAGCCTCCCTACCGACCAAGCAGTCCTAGATTTCACCACCCAACTCTCTCACTGCATCCTGCACTTTTCCCATCCGGACTTTGCACGCTGCGCCACCATGGACAAACATCTCACCTGCCTATCCACCGCGCACTCTTCGAGCAGTGGAGCCCGATTCGCGCGCGTCGACGTGCGCAATGTTCCCTTTATAGTGGAGAAGTTGAAGATCAGAGTGTTACCGTGTGTCATTGGGTTTGTGGACGGGGAGGTTCGGGAGAGAGTATTGGGATTTGAGGGGTTGGGAACAGGGGGACTGGACGCGTTGGGGGATGATTTTGACACAGGTGTGTTGGAGGATAGGTTTGTCAAGAAGGGAATATTGAGCGGGGTGAAGATTGGGCGGAAGGGAAGGGATGACGATGGGCAAAGCGATGGGAGTGAGGATTGGGAGGAGAAACGAAATCGCGGGAAGAAGTCGATTAGGAGCGGAAGAAGGAAGGTGGAGGACGATGATTCGGATTGGGACTGATGCTGACGGGTTATATCCGGCATGCTTTATGGGAACCTGCTGGCGGATTTGATTCAAGCACCGGCTAAGCTCCGTTATACAAGTGGTGCTCGAAATCTCCTTGAAATTGAGCAGTTGGATTTTAGATATGGACCTGATGAAAGAGTACTTCCGAGACATAGATCAAAAGCAAGAAGATACCCATGATACCCTAAATCAGGTCCTGTTATCCCATGCTACGAATATTAAGTGTGTACAATCCTCAGAGATAAGATTCCGGTTTTTATGCTACACTGTCAGTAAACTAATATCTATCATACAGCAGAATCTGGTCTGTGGATGACTGCGCCGAGTCTCAGGATCCTACTTCCCAACACATCCTCATTGCCTCGTGGGAATCATTCTTTCCTACGAAACCCAATAACATTTAACATGACAAATAGCGCTGCTCTTCAACAAACAGCAAGAGAAGGTCCAGGGCAAGGGCATCCAGGGCTCAGGTATGATTCTGTGAACAGGATTGGGTAGAAAGCAGCCACGAAAAAAAAAAAAAAAAGCACGTTCAAGTCTGCATAATCAGAGGTTGTAATGGTAATTATTCAGAAGGGATAACACAAGATGATGCAATATGGGAAGGTGATTAAACAGTTTCTGAGAGGGAAAGGGGTTCGCCCAATAGTACAAGTTGGAAGAGAAATAGAAACACAGAGTGAAAGAAGCAAGTTTGGTAAAATAAGAAATAAGAATCCATGGCAAAAGCATGAAAAACAGGGGAATCGCTCTGAACAAAAGCAATAAAGGCAGAAAAGGCCATCGAGAGAAGTTATGGACGTCACATCATCTCGGCATCAGAAAAATTCCTGCTGATCGACTTTTTCTTTGCTTGAACAGATGTGAGGATTGTTTAGCCCAATCAAATGAAACCCAGTGTTAAAAAAGGCCCACAAGAAATACATGGAGCAAAGAGGAAAGAAAAAGACATGCCTATGCTGGTGCTCAAAAAGGGGTAGAATTGGTGTGGGAAGCTCTTCTCTCATGGCCGATATTTGCGAGAGGGGGCATACAATGCAGCGCTCAAATCGCAATACTTTTCATTCCTTCAAAATCTTTCGCGTCGAGACCGGTGGATGAGCGTGGTGTGGACAGGCCGCTCTTCGGTTTGTCAGCAGCTTTGGAAGTGCGTTTGCTAGTACCTTGCTCCGCATGCCCGTCGTTTTTCGAATCGGTAGTAGGGACCGGTTCTGCTCTAATTGAGGCAGCAGGCGAGGTGAGATCAACGAGATCTGCATCCTTCGACTTGCTCTTGTCTGCATCGTTCGGCTCATTCTCTTTGACAGGAGATGATGCTTCTTCTGCGACTCGTGCCAAAGGACTAGACAATGCTAAGCCACCCTTCGGGCTACCGTTAGGCCCGCGTGACGGGAATCGATGCGGTGAACGCCCTCTCTCCTCAGTGCTTGGAGTTGGACTTCCATATGGGGAATCTCTCGTAGTTTTTCCATTGACAGAAGTGTTGACACCAAGACCGACGCCTCCTGACCGCTTCTTTGGAGGTCTACGGCCATGCTTCTGATCAGTGCGCCAGCGGAGAATCTCCAGGTACGGAGGATCTGCGTTTCTGAAAGGTTTCAATCTCAACTCGTTGGAATCTTCATCCACAATAACCTTGCCAGAGTGGAAGTCGTCTGCGACCATGGCTAAGAAAGCTGCCCAGGACCTGGCAATGACATATTTACAATCATAGTCGCGTCCGAAGAGGATAACCTGGCCCCATTTTCCAGCTGGTCCGGGTGCAAGATCAATGGCGATATTGTTACCTCCCCAGTCACGCGCGACGGGGATCCAGCTTGGGTGGGCATATGCCTTCTGAATGGCCCGCACTGGCTGTGAATCTTGCCTGTCGAGCAATTCCTGTCGCCAGAGAGGGTTAGACTGAGCTTGCCCTGCACTTGAAGTCGAGGAACCTCCGTATGCTTTTAGGGGAGGCTGTGGCCCGGAAATGGTCGTCGTGCTGAGGAACTCTTCATTGACTGTTCGCCAGTTTTTCCATTCCTGAACAATTTCCTCACAGTCGAGAAGCATACACCCGAATAAGACACCGGTGGGTAAGCCACCTCGTTCTTGGCCGTCATGTATCATCAACGATTCGCGGACTTCCAGTGGTAGACTGCAGTCCAGCTCATGCTCCAGCTCGTTGACATCATTCTGCGTGCAACCCTCGCACAATTGATCAAAAAGTTCCTCGTAATTCCTCTCGCACCATTTATCTATTTTCCTCCAAGAATGCGAGACCGGGGGAGGGGGTGGAGCACCGTCATGGAAGCTCTGCATCTGCACGCCTTCGTCCTGCTCATTGGACCGTCTTTGTTTGGACCTCATTCCCGGTGAGTATGGCCGGGTCGGGGAGGTGATAGTGTCTTGGGACTCCGACCAACGCTGGGATCGCTTCGACGAATCTTCTTCGAAGGACGAACTGAGATCTGGTCGGGACTCGATGGCACTGGTCGCTACGGAGGTGAGGGGTGCGTGGCGGCTCTGGCTGAGGGGCACATGCTGCCCGGTGCGGTAGGGAGAGTCGTGGGAAGCATGCCTGTCATTTGATGTCATGGTGTGCCAGAAGGAACGCCATGCCGACCCGAAGCTATGACTATCAGCTTCCTGCACGCGGCAAAAGGAAATACGAAAAAAAGTTGGACTAGCGTGCACTTACGACGTCATGGCTGACAGAAGCCAATTAGTGCGATGTCGAGTCGAAACAAGAGAAATGAAAGAGTCAGGCGAGGAGAGCAATCCGCTGGGTCATTGAGCGAAGCAGTGCGGGAGTGGGTGACACAAAAGGAGTGTGGGAGGGCCTTGTTGACTGCGGTTGCAAGCCAAGAGGAGCGATGCTGGCACGGAGAATTTCAGGGGCGTGCAGCAATGGAAGGCAGTGCAACGGAGAGCAAAGTGAAACTCGCACAAAGCAGTGGAAAGAAGCACAGGATATGTGACCCAGTGTAATGATAGAATGGGGAATATAGCAGGGCTGGGAAATGATCCTGAGGTGAAATCAGCTTGACAGGTAGGGCGATATGACCGTCGACAGAGTCATTGTTGCAGAAGAGAAAATGAAGGCGGACGAGCAGGAGAAACAGGAGCCAATGGCCGGGCTGGGGGTTGCGTTGCGCGAAGTTAAGTTGGTTTCATTCGGTCGGTTGGGCTGTGCGCCACACTTAACACGGCAGTTAACCCTTCGTTAGCCACAGGAGGACCTCAACCACAGCCAGTTACCAGGCCAAGCTAACTAACTAGCCTCGGAGTTAGCTTAGCTCTCCCAACTTAACCTCCAACCTAATCTTACTTTGCCGTGTGGCACAGTTGGGCTGGCTGGAGTCGTCAGAAACAAAGCAGCGAGTATATTGGAATCCCACCGAGATGCGCGGATTCAGGGGACATCCACTCATGTTTAAGACCTGGCCCTTTCTGTTTTGTGGTTGGTGGGTCCGAGATGGAACGAGAAAATATTCTCTGCACCACTCAGAGCTTGGAATGTAGACAGCGGATCTTCCATGTTATTTTTATTTCGCTCTCTTCCGCCGGCTGGTGCTCTTCATGAAACACCTGCAGGGTGGACCCGTCCGCCAAATTGCGCCCAAGCATCACATGAAACACCAAAGCAACAAAATACGGGAAACTTAGTATAGAGTAAAGGTAGTGAACGTGTTTTATATTTATACTGAAGCCCAAAATGAATGTCGTGGCTATAAACACGGCCTGAAAAGAGGGTATCTAGGTGAGAACCAACAGACGAGGCAGGGAAGAATAAACGATAGGCATAAATGAAATGATATCAAGAGGAACAAAAAGAACGACTTTAAGGTAACATGGCGGGTCGTGGGCGAATCGGAGAGGTATGTAAAAATAAAATAAAATAAAGTAAAATAAAAAAGGGCAGAATCCGTATATCAGGGGAGTTGATTGCGATGGGGCCAAAGGCATGACGAAATGGAAAAGGGGGATGACGGTCGAGAATTGTGTGAGGTGTTTAAAAGTCCATCCATCACAAAGTATAACCCATCCAGCGGGTGCAAGGGCTTAGAAATTAGACGGCAAAAGCCCAAAGGTGAAACCAAACGGTAATGCCAAAGCCATATCAGTCGTAATCAAGGGAGAAACCCATCTGTGACTCCAAAAAAAGGGGAAAAAAAGAAAGGAAGAAAATCACACCAGGTGCCCGAGAATATGCCACGTCCATATACACAACTCCGCTCCCACCATTTCACAGTTCTATTTTAGAACGGATATCGTCAACGAACCCGACCTGACGCCATGCTTAAAACATGTAAAAGAGAGGGACAAACAGCGTCGAAATGCCCTGATGCCAAAACAAAACCATCCGTTCCTCTCCCCCACAGCCTGTTCTGTCCATTGAAATAAACACCCATCAACATAAAAGGCAGCACCGGCAGACAAATAGGTGCCAGTAAATCCCAAGGAATCAATCGATTCCCTTCCAAAAGCTGATTGAGATAAACAACCGGTGAACTCAATCCAGTACATAATGGAAACAATATAAATATTCGCACGCTCGTATCATGGTTAGATATAAAATAACACAAGACTCAAAATGAAAATAAACAAGGAGAAGAATGTCTGTGTGATTATAACGAAGACTGGGTCCATGCAATACCTCACGCCATGGTCTGTCTCATGCCTTTAACATTATGTGTGTCGTTGACATTAAGCTTCAAAATGCGTCGGAGGTCATCTTCCATTCTCTTCGTTTCCAGCGGATCTAACCGCGTAGAAACCCCTTGAGCAGGCTGCCCCCCGGAGACTAGTGAAGGCACGGTCCGGTTGGGGGTAGGCGAAACATAATTTCCATGGAAGGTCGAATGCCCAGAGTAAGTGTGGGCAGGATGATTTCGTGACATTTGGAAGGTAGGGTTGTGTTGATTGACAGGAAACATCTCTTTTTGAGTATTAGAGGATGGGTTTGGGAACTTGTGGGCTCCATTGCAAACGGAGGTCAAGTATTGGTAAGGAATGCTGCTGCTTTTATCACCAGCATTTACCTTGGCCGTGTTCTGTTCGGATGACACAGGAGTTGTCATGCTAGATGGTTGCTGTGATATACGGCAGTGGTTTGGCCTTGCAGTGGTGGATTGTGGGCTAAAAAGACCAGAATTATGGCGAGGTCCGAGCGACGACGAGGCAGAACGTTGAGGGGTAGGGTTTAAGAGCAAATTTTTCAACGCTTCTGCCTTCGCTTTTCTTTCTTCTTCGTTTAATGTAGTAGTATCCGCTGGACTCGATGGAGAACTCGCAGATCGAAGAGCATTAATCCGTTCTCTGTAGGAAGGAGCAAAGGACGGACCGATCGCCATCATTTTGCTGTCGGGGGTTTTAACTCTACTCTCAGAAGCATCCATCTCAAGAGGGAAAACTGCACCCGAGACGGGCTCGGATTCTTGAGGTATTTCAAATTTTTTGACATCTTCTTGTAGTGGAGTTGTGGATCCGGACGTGCGACCACGTTCCTTTGTGCCGTTTACGTTATTCGCTTCCCGAGCAGCCCTGAAAAGGAACTCAAGAGGCGAAGACGTATTTTTATCTTCTTCTTGAAGCAAAGGAAGTGTTCTGGCTTGTGTGGGCGAAGAGTCTCCATCGTCAGAGTCATGGACTTTTTGAGTTTGGAGGGGCGAATCAGCCTCAGGAACGGATTTCGATACAAAGGAGGGTACCGGCAAGGCAGATGGCGCGGGGGAGGCATGAAATGTCGGCCCGGCATAGTGTGGACTGCCCCGAAGTGCCAACGGAGACTTCACTGAGGGTTGCGAGGATGTGTGTCGATGACCGGTATTCCCGCTGCCATTTGACGGTTTCGATGGATCCCAATGTTTTTTCGTTGGCCGTGCTTTCTTGCTTCGTGATCCACCTTCCGATAGAGTATTTGAAGAGTCGTATGCAGAGTTCGAATCGTTGTGTTGGGCGGATGGACTGAAGTAGGGAGGGGTTCCCTTTCCTACCACAGATGACAGGCCGTTCGTGAGGGTATTCGAATGAGAAATAGGGGTGGCAATTCTTTTAGAGTGTTTCTTCGTATTTCGGGGCCCCTTAGGCGTGGAAGGTGTTGGGGTCGACATCCCAATCAAGTGGCTTATTAAATAGCAGCCTTTGAATAGATAAAGAAATAGAAAGCAAATTCGCGAAAAGTAGAACGTAACGCTCGAATAAACAAATGCAGATCAATGCAAAATGCACCCCGCTAGAAGTCAAGCAATGGGGAGGTCACGTTGCAGAGGAGCCTTGTTGGATTGTTTCAAGCAGACGCTTCGTCCTGGCGGAGGATTCTAGAGATCGAGGGGAGTCTGATGAGAAAGGTGTCAGCGCGGGGAAAGAAAAGGGACATTCCCTAAACATATTTATTCTGAATAGAAAAGATATCAAGGATCATAAGCGCCGTTGAAATTTTGAATGCTGTTGGTGAAGATGTGTTTTTGAGGGGTCTTTTGGGGAGGCGGGAGGCGGTTAAGAACGACCACCACAATGACTGGGAGGAGGCGAAAGTTCGCCCAGCTGTGTCAGCAGGTGAGAGTTGACGCAAGGTTGCCGTAGTGTTTGCTTTGTTGGTTTGGATACTCGAGCCATTCAGGTGACACCACGCTAACTGTTTAGGTGTTAAGCGTTGTGCAGGTGACATCAACAGTCAGCCGAACCAACCGCCAGAAATGCGGCTTTGGGTGAAGAGTCAGAAGTGTACCGCTGATGAAGCTCCTTTGTATTCGGCGCATGGGCAGAGTACAGAGTACACAGCAACAGGACAAAATGCCTGCACTGTAAAATCACTGGTGCAACTATCTAACTGTTTACTAGATATGTGCTGTGTAGTTTGTACATCTCTCCATTCCTAATGACCACCAGATAAAGTGGGAGGTCCTGGCGGGTCCACCAATCCGAAATCAGTACTCCGTAATCAGATCATCAGTTAATTAAATTCAATCCATTTAATTTTAATTTTATTCATTAAAATAACAAGTTTTAAAATAATGTAAATTACATAATATCCCTAGTGGTGTAGTGGCTAACATCGCCGTCTTTCACACGGCAGCCCTGGGTTCGATTCCCAGCTAGGGAGCTACTATTCAGTATAATTTTTTTTAGTCTTTTTGTATAATCCGGCTCGTTCTCTGGAGTAGAGATTAGCATGATTATCGAGCATTTTACGGAGATGTTGACAGAAATTGATATCACTTCTTGTGCAACCCGCACATGCTGGTCCCCCGGTATGGCAATATCTAGTATCAACCTAGACTAGAAACGGGGCCAGAAATTACCACTCGTTCCAGAAGGCCTTTTGATACATGGATGGTTTGCAGAGTTCTAAAGCTAAGATGTTACAAGTTTACATCGACAATGCTGTTGCAATGTTCAACCCTTGCGCAATCATGGTCAATTCAAATGCCATGCTGCCTCAGCAAGCACTGTCAGCCAATTTTTGTGCAGACTCTTTGCGTTTTGTATCATGATGGTCCCCAGCCTGACTCGACGCCAAGGATAAGGCGATGGACACTGGCACTTATTTCATCTTCATTAATGTTCCTTCTCCCACTTGTGAGCCGAATGAGGACAGCCGGCATGGGAACTAGGATAAAGTATGAGGCTAGAGTGTGCACTGAACATGCAGGAGCTCTCCGCCAATTCCTCAGGAAGTTTTAAAAGAGAACATAAATCAATTCAGTACACGATTACTTGTGCTGTAGGGATCAAAAAGGATAATGTGGATATGCACGGGTTTGATCCCAACCATCAAGCTTGGAGATGTTCATGCAAGTAGCAATGACTGTGACTGCCGAACTATCAGTTGTAAAGATCGTTAAAAAGGAGGTGTGAAAGTGTACTCCGTATTTGACTAACACATGATATGGTCAAGGCTATCAAGGTACTCCATACGCAATGATGGAACTTGATTCATCGCAAGGTGTATCAGAACTGGGAACGCTTCAAATACTTTCTTCTCCCAGTGTAGATTCCGAGTTCTAGTGCATCTAGTAGACCTTAATGGGTAACGAGAAGGACCCATAGGGCACTTTTCGGAGAGAAGGGCGCCGTTTGAGCAGGCCGTGTCCCGTCCATGGTGACGGATTAAATGGATAACCCGGTCGACTAGCTGTGGGGCGTAACTAACCCCAAATACACTAGTGGTGATTGGGCTCGATACGTAATTGGACGGGCAGCGACAGTAAGGCAACCCCCCATAATACTCCGTACAGCGGTTCAACGTGAAGCTGGGCAGAAAGCGCGGGCAGTATCGCAGCTTCACCCTAAAGTAATTTACATCGGAGCCTAAGCCAGCACGAGAGTTGGGCAGAAGTATTTCTTTGGTGAGCTATTCTGACAATGTTGCGCCCCTGACGGTCAAAAAGCTAACATCCGGTGCCCTAACTTGGCGGAGAGTGATCAATGAAAGGCAGCCGAAGCAAATCACTTTCAGTTGAAAGCCCAGCTATCAAGTCGTGATATATAACCTCCCTTCTACCGTATCCCTCGCTTATTTTGGCTACGCCTTGACCGAATTTAATCGATTGTGCCTGCCTTCTGAAACATGGCCGACGTTGAAATGACCGATGCCCCAACAGCGCCAGCAAAACTCCGGGGTGCGACTAAGAGCTCTAAATCAGGCGCCGCTGAGGCCAGCTCCGAAGGAAAGAAGCGGTTTGAGGTGAAGAAAGTATGTTGTTGAAGTCACGCCTCGTGTTGAACTCGTGCTAATGTTTCAAAAGTGGAATGCCGTCGCTCTCTGGGCATGGGACATTGTCGTAGACAACTGTGCCATCTGCCGAAACCACATCATGGACCTGTGTAAGTTATTCTGGATTATTTATGCGCAAAAGGCCTAACACGACAAATCTACAGGCATCGAGTGCCAGGCGAACCAGGGGTCCTCGACGGCAGAAGAATGTACTGTTGCGTGGGGAATATGCAATGTCAGTAGCTCTTTATCCACTATTTGCTCTGTTTCTTTGATTAGTTCAACGAAAAGGACATAACTTACGAATGCTGTTCTTGTCACAGCACGCTTTCCATTTCCACTGCATCTCAAGATGGCTGAGGACGAGACAAGTCTGCCCACTAGATAACAGAGACTGGGAATTCCAAAAGTATGGCCGATAGACGGTTATTCACTCGACGGAAATTTTACACCGATTACGGAGTCTTTTACAGATCCAAAATTTTCTCTAAATGGGAGGAGCCACTCGAGCTGCGCCGCCGACCACTCGATATGGGGTTTGATTATGGGTTATGGTCGGTGTTATGGCGACATCAGAGGTTAATAGGGCAGTAAATTTGATCTTTACTTTGAAGCAAGCATGATTCAGGCCCCATTTGGAATTATTTCATCTCGTTAAACTCCTCCCAGTGTATGCATTCGCTTGTGTGCATCTTCTCTGCGGGAGGTGATTGTCCAAGGAAGCATTTGCTATCCTTGAGACAGCCGCAGCGGTCTATATCCCACAGTGATTCTATACGTATCTCCCCAAATCCTAGTCCTCAGCGCGCTTTAACGTTTCCTACCACAATTCCTCCCCCTTGCACTCCTCCAATACCCGGCACCAGCCAGGGTTCGGGGTGTTTGTTATAGATTGGCCATGACGGTACGACAACCAGCATCGTTGAAATTAGCCCAACCGTCCCGATCAAAACCGTTATGAAGATGTCTTGGTATATGTAACCGGCGATGAACCCAATAGCCTAAGGGTGCGGTAAGTTTCGTTAGTTCAATAAGGAACGGCGCCCCGGTTTCTTTGGGCATCGGACGTTGTTGCCAATCAAAGAGGGAAGTGAGCGACGGGGAAAGGGTAGGGCTTACGCCGAAGAGAATGAGTAAAACGGTACTTAGTATTTCAGCAAGGCGCTGGCCATGGAAATCCTGTATCTTTGTTAGCGCTGATGATAATGTTTCTTGGTGGATGATGGTAGGGATATTGGGGGTGTTTGAATGAACGCACTATTTGAGCCTCGAAGATATCCTGGAGGGGGGCGAGTATTTCATCCATCTTGAAGTAATAATGACTATCGATTTGCCTCTCCGCGTAGCCGGTGAACGGTTGGGAAATGGATCTTGAATTTCGCGGGCTCTGCGCGGGAAGCTTGGAGATCTGGCATGAGATCACATGTTATGGTTGCCAGTTATTGGCTCGGAGGGTTGAAAGCTTAAGCGTCAGGAACTTGGCGGAGTGGAAGTGCTGGAACTGGCGAACGCCAGGCTACAGCACACGCCTCGCTCATTATTGCTTTTTTTTTGAGATCTTCTATGGAGGAGTGAGCAAGATCCGTTTTTTTCCGTCTCGAGTTTTTGACGATACTGTTGTATGGAGCTTCCCTATATTCGACGTCTCTCCTGAATATAGTACTCCGTAATGCAATCACCTAAGAAAGAAAAAGAAATGCATGAACTATCCGTATGATGAATAAAGGCTTGTGGACGTCTACATCAATCCATTCGAGTAAATCTTAGAGTCGAACGCATCAAAAGTGTCGGAATTTGCCCACATTTTCATCGCTTCTTCGTTTGCGAGATTTCGTCTAACCATGAAAATTCCCCGGTTTTATTTAAAAACGTAGGTTCCTAGGGCCATAAGTATACCGTGAACGATTCTAAACTCCGGAGAGATCATCACTTTCGAGGTGAAAAGTTTTGTGTTTTATCTGATGCAACTCTAGCGGAGCGACTGAGCACGGCACAAGCCATACTTCTGACTTATACGCTGGTAGATCCCCTAATCCATTCCATTGCCAAATATGGCGACTAGGACCAAGGTTGAACCCGACCTTTACGCACCGCGGTTTGCACCAGGGAAGGAGTTAGTAGGAACTTCTCAGGGAAATGCGTTCGATAAGCCGCCAGAAGGGTGGATTCTCGAAGAATTAGAACGATTCGGCGTCATAGGCGAGAGACCCTGGGAGGCTCTATCTTACATTTCAGGGGTCAGGACTCATGCTTACAAGTGCCTTAGATGTTGAAAATCCGACAGAGCCCGACCTACAAGGTCCCATACATCCGATATTCCAGCTCGAAAGATGGCCCGAGTTAATGCTAGACCGTGCCAGATATGACTCGTTTCGACCGAGTTTCATACTAGCCACGAAGTTGCTAAAAGTGGCCGGCCCGTTCTTAGCATCGGTGATACCAAAGCTTAGAATGGATTCAAGAAAAGAATACATTGTGGTGAAGGAAAGTGTAGCAGAGTCTCAATTGCACCGGTGCTTTGAGCGATTGGACGTAATTGCACAGCACACAGAATGGAGAGAAAACTCCGTCATGTGGCCTAACATTGGCCGGCATGGGCTCACAGCTCCCCATGGCGGAGGGATAGAGCCGGATCAACCCAGGGATGACGAGGATGTCGAAGTTTGGGAAAGCTCGACCAAAAGAGATATCTCTAATGGATTGCCCTGCCGCAAGATGACCGTTTATCTTGCCAGTCAATATGGAGAGGCGTTGAAGAAGTTTGGAGGAATGGAGCCTCCAAGCATGATATATTTGCAGGTCGTTTTCATGTGCGCAGTCACCCTTGTCCATGAAATTGCTCATTTAGCCTTCTCCGCATGCTTCTCAAACCGACCCTGGAGGGGGGAGCCACTGGTCAAAGATGAAGTGCTGCGTGAGCTGGGATCCAGTTTAATAGCTTGGCTATTCAAAGGTTGGGTCCCCGAAAATATTAGCATCGATCCTAATGGCAAAGATGACCATTCATTCAAATATGGATGTTGCTGGTATAAACAGCGCCGCCATCCAAGGGCACACCCGCAATATACGACGGTGCATTCAATGCCCATGTCGTACATCCAATCCATTCTAAGTCAAAAGAAGTGGGACAAGTTCGACGAGTACGACATGCCATCGTATTCCATGGCAGTTAGAACACTTCTCCTGGAACCTTTGCTGCCTTTTCCAGCAGGAATCACTGCTCGCATCGCCAGAAAGGCGAAGCGAGTTCAGGTGGACGAAGATCCCGCCTTAGTCCCATATTCTGGCATTTGGGACTACCATGATCCAGACTGGGAAGAGCCTGGGCGACTGGGATCTAACGAAAAAGTCCCATGTTCTCCCAAAACACCTTCTCTCAAATCTGAAGTGGATGCTAGAGAGACAAATGACGGACTGAGGGGCGGAAGGTCAGCTATCAGCCCGCCACCGGCTAACCGGAAAGGAGAGGCATCCGAAGAATTCTCCGAGTCTGCAGCTTCTTCTCCCATCAATATTTGGTCTATTCCGAGTGCCAGCAAGTCACCATCTCCGCTGCAAAGAGGAGAAATGCAACCGCGCTCGGAGCGTAGCGGCCAAGGAGACTGTGTAAGAAGCGAAAGTGCGAATAGAGAAGAATGCAGAGATGTTGGAATCAGCTATGAAGAATGTCAGACAGCAGGTGTGCAGAGGTCGCGCTTCAATGGTAGCACAATCCCATACCCCAGGAATCTGGCAGATGTCGGTGCAAATGTCACGGGTCCTAATTCCATGCCCGCGAGAAGGTTGAGACAGCGCACAAGTGCTTGTCCCAGCCGGCCAAGCTTCCGCGGACGTGGAAATGGCGGCCACCACATCTCCCATAATTCCGTGGGAAACAGTCATTCGCAACTCGACAATGAGGACAGCGGCATCACAAAGCACGGCATGCAACGCTTCCCTGTGATGGCACCCCCATCTGTGCATAATTCACTTCGGCGATGGCCGGCAGAGAGACCTCTTCGAAGGAGCAGGAGGCTGCAAGGCCTGGACCCCGAAATGCCGGACGGACTTCAACCGCCCAAGAGACGGCGGGTTGTGCGACATTAGATCTTAGTAGAAAGGAACTGTTACGTTGTTGGCCAAAGCTCTTGAAGGAGCCACAAGTCGATTTACTTTCCAAGGGGACGTCTCTCACTATTCAAGGACCCTTTTAGTGGCAAGGAAGGATATGAAAAAGAATCCACTTCCGGCTCCTCCAAAGCGTAATCGTATGTTGTGTACTCCGTAGCGAAAGTGGGAAACATTCAAAGGTCGCCTAGAGATAACTAATTGAAGATATACCGAGCATCGGTTGGGCGATTTGCAGAGCCAATTTTAGCCATCTCCAGGGTTCCATCCGCCATCCCTCAGGCCATCTGATCCGATCCATGGAGCAGTACCGGACTTGGCGTGGCAGCTTTTCGCAGAGATATCCCTGAACGTCCAAGAAAGGGGTGGCGAGTGGAGCCAGCCAAGGATTCTGTAATGGCAATCGAAGGCGAATTGGCCCGTCGATTCACTCATGAGCGTCGACTGTGCTTTTCGTGAGAAGGATCGCCGAAGAGACACGGGAAGTCGCTAACACACCATTTTGGGAGCAACCGAAGAACCATGTCTTAGAACGCGCCAACGAAAAAAGCCGGCGCGGTTAGAGCGGCGTGAGCAATTTGCCGAATGGGCTTAGATAGGCGAGCGGCTCGGTGGGCAGTCTACCGTGTCTGGCCTAGCGCCGGTGCCGTCCGCAATCTGGGTTTAGTCAGCGTCGCAAGGTTCGTCGTGGTTGGGGCTTTTGAACCTGCCCGCCCCTCGAGCTGAGATTTTTTTTCTTTCACTTCACCTCTCCAGAAAATCCCCTTTCTCCCGCCCAGCCCATCACTCCATTTTCTCGCTGCAGAGTTTCTTTTCCGCCTGTTCATCCATTCCATGCCGGGGCCACTTCACCCGCGTACCGCTCCTCTCGCCAGTACGCCGGTCAGCGTCCCTTTGTTCTATCGCTTCTCTGTCTCAGTTGGGTTGAGAATCATCGCCTTGTTCTGACTACAGGGCAGCGGCAGACGATCTCGTTCCGACTTCCTAGCGCCCGTGACGACTCCGGAGCTCCCCAGCTCCTATTGGACCAAGACATTCAAGTTGGCGGGGGTTAACTACGCCCAGTACTCCTTCATTCACCCTCTTCTAGGCCCAAAGTTCAGGGTCTTCGGCGGGGGAGACACTCGACCCCCATAACTGGGCTTTCAGCGTCATATGTGACCTGGCTGCCGAATAGGTGCACAGCAGATACAGCCGGCCCTTTCCCGAGGGCTAGGCTGAAGGATAAGGGACCAGGGCCGCAGTTTCGCGACGAGCTTCCCAGCCATTAACCGTTTTGGATAATCCGGACGAGTGAGCGCTTCCGGGCGTTCGCTCCCCTCCTCTCCCCCCTCTCCCCGATTGTGAAACTCACACCACCCGTTCTATCGTACGACGTCGACGATCCTTCGTTCACAATGAGTGAATCACCGAGGTCAGAGAAGTGCCAGACAAGGTACAGCACTCCCGTTCCCGAGCTGGATGACCATCGCTTCCAAGCCGAGTCCCTGCCGAGAGCGGACACCATCGAGAGCATCGCCGGCAGGCTTCCTATCCCCCAGGTGGTCACTACGCAACCCGAAGAACCCCGCGATTTTCACCATGTGAGGGAGGCGCTCCTCGACGGCTCCTTGAAAGTTCGCGATTTTGAACATGCTATTGTAGATGACGATCACTCCATTCAAGATCTTGAACGTGCTGGAGGAAGACGAATGTCTGTGAGCCCTGCTGCGGTTCGCACCCACAGACGCACCCGAACCAATCAAGACGCATCGTCGATTTCTTCCTCCAGATCATCCTCTCCTCCGAACTCGGTTGACGCTTTCGCGGAGCCTCGTCGACGCGAACGTGCAAATACCCTCGAAAGTCAGTGCCCAGCGGACCTCGACGCCCTTCTGCATCGCACGATATCTGCTGGTACACATCACCGGCGGCCAACCTTTAGTAATGAAAGTGTCATTCGGGCAGACAGCGTAGACCCGCGGGTTAACATGGGAGAGGGTGGAGATGTATGCTTCCCCCCCCATGAGGAATCACGAAAGTCATCGCTTATCGACTTTGAAGAGCTGGAAGAGTTCGTGGCCCTTGGGAAAACGGCAAGTCCGCCACCCAATGGTTCTACTCGGCGCAAGCATAGCATGAGCTCACAAAGCAAGCAACCACGAATCTTTCATGATTTGCGCCCTCATGCTCACAAGACAGATGATCCAATCCCTATCATGCGGGGTGCAAGTCCCTTGGAATCATCATCCGATTTTGTTGATAAAACAGACAGAGTTGCAAAACAACTTGGCGGAGCTCCTGTGGATGCGGTTGACGAGAAAAAGCTCTTTGAAATCCTTCAGAATGAAAATGACCCCACACGCTTCAGTTTCTTCTCTTCAGAATTTGAAAGCACAATCCATGCTGCCGAACTAGGGGATCTGGTCCTCCCAGGCGACAGCTTCCGAGACCTTTTCCAGCTTGGCCCGGAAGGAGGTGTGTGGTGGCTCGACGTTATTAATCCAAGTAAGGATGAGCTTGGGGCAATATGCCGTGCATTTTCCATCCATCCTTTGACAGCAGAGGACATTATCACTCAGGAAGCCCGTGAGAAGGTTGAGTTGTTCAAGCAGTACTATTTTGTCTGCTTCCGGACCTTCTATCAGATCGACAAAGCTAGTGAACACTACCTGGAGCCTGTCAATCTTTATATGGTGGTGTTCCGCGAAGGAGTACTGTCTTTCTCGTTCATTGATAACCCTCATGCTGCAAATGTCCGCAAGAGAATTGGGAAGTTGAGAGAGTATGTTTCACTTAGCAGTGACTGGATCTGCTATGCCATGATGTAGGTTCCCATAACTCTTTGCAATTTCCCTTTTTTTTTTTTTTTTTTTTTTTTTTTTTTTTTTTTTTGGGTGAACATATGATCAGAGACTAACATCGCCACAGCGACGACATTGTTGACAGCTTTGGACCAGTCATCCGTGATGTAGAGAGAGAATCTGAAGCAATTGAAGACCATGTATATGTTGCCCGTGTGGAAGACTTCAATGTCTTTCTTCCTCAAATCGGCGGTCTCCGGAAAAAAGTGATGAGTTTGATGCGACTGCTAGGCGGTAAAGCAGATGTTATTCGGGGCTTCTCAAAGCGCTGCAATGAGCAATATTCGGTTACTCCGCGTGGAGACATTGGTCTATATCTCGGTGATATTCAGGACCATGTTGTTACGATGATGTCCAATCTTGGCCATTTCGAAAAAATGCTCAGCCGAGCCCACAGCAACTATCTTGCCCAGTTGAATGTGACCAACATCATGTTGGGCAATGATGTGAATAGGATCTTGAGCAAGATCACCTTCTTGGGAAGTATTTTGGTTCCATTGAACCTGATTTGTGGTCTTTTTGGAATGAACGTCCCTGTGCCTGGTGGTGAAGGGGGCAGCTTGTCCTGGTTCTTTGGCATCCTTGGTGTCATTGGAGCCATCATGGTCATTAGTGTTGTGTTAGCACGGCGGTATAAACTGCTGTGAAGCTAACATATCCGCTGGCGGTTGTCCCTGACAGGTGCAGGTCATTCCTCAACTCCATTCATGGATAAATTCTGTTGCTTGCGTTTTAATTCTGCCAAGACTTGTCTTTTGTGTTTATATTATTGACATTGACTTTACTTGTTTATGTTGTAATTAATTGCTTCATCAAGCTCTTCGACATAGATGCAGTTATACAATGCCAACCAATAAACTGCCGAGAGAGCAATGCAAAAGTAATCTATCCAGTATCCAACGGAGTCCAAATCCTATTGAAACCACCCAAAACCTGAAATACGCCATTGAGCCGTGCCTTCCAGTCCATTTGCTCCCAAAACGCCTTATCTGTAGTCTTGAATACAATGCATCATGATATCTTTTGGCGCTTCATCGTAGATCCCTTAAAACCACTGTTTTCCCTTGCCCGTTTTCGTTCCATGTCCTCTTTCATTACTCGTTCAATAGCGCTTAGTGGCCTAGGCGGTATATCGGCTTTTTTGGTAGCTGCAGTCTTTTTGGACATCGAAGCAAAGACGTTCTTCGGCTTTGAACCTGAACTTCCAAGTCCAAGTTTGATTGGCACCTTTTGCGTTTGAGCTGCTGGAGCTGGCGTCGACGCTGAGGAAGTGATTTCCGATTTCTCTGTTTCAGACTCATGGTCCATCTTAGGTTGATCCGGCTTCTCAGAAGCCGAAGAGAAAGCAGAGTTCTCTTGGGGGGTAAGCTTCGAGGCGAAATTCAGCGTAATCTTCTCTCCTTCTACCCTTTGTAGTTTCTTAGGCGCCTCCGGGGCATCGCCATCTCCAGTGCCTGTGGCGTCTTTATCCCGCTGAGCTCTTCTGATCTGATCCTCGATCAGCTTCTTTTCTCGCTCCTCATCCCCACGATCCTGCCTTTCACGTTTTCGAATGGCATCCTGCCTTCTCAGTGCTTCGGGACTATTATCGATCCACGAGATGAAAATGCCCTTCTCTCCCTCTTCAACCCTACATATCCCTTCCCGGCCCAAATATTTCGCAAATTCCGTCAGGCTCGACCACTTCGTGGCGTTCATGTGGATATGCTCCTTGTTGGCGATGTACTCTTGATAGAAATGGTTGATGTGGACCTGTTTCTCGCCATGCGAAGTCCGCAACAACTGGATAAAGTCGCGGAGGAAATCATTTGAGTAACCCTGAATGTACTTCTTCGGATCCTCTCCCACTAGGAGCATCTGGCGGACGTGTGATTCGGATTGAGTGTGGCATTTGAAACCGTTCTCATCGCGCATCTGCCTTTGGCAAACCTGACAGTACCAACGTAAGCGCTGCAACCCTTTCGACTTCAACTTATTGGAGATAAACTTTGTACTCCCAACCTCTGCGCGCGGCATGATGACGGATCGACAGGAGATGTGAATGGAACGAGATGCGGAAGACCGAGTTGAAGGTCTCAACACATATTCCAGCCCGCTGTTCGTCTTGATGGCAACTGCGGTTGGTTACTAAGCAAGGGAAGTTTTAATAACCAGCCACATATGGCTAGTGGACTCCCTTTGTTGTGGCTGGGAACGCGCTAAAAATAGTCTGCCTGAATTCCCCGGCCACGGCGGCGGCCTTTCCGGGGTTCTTTGGGGCAACAAGGTCGGTCGTTGTCGAGGTCTGTCTCAGCTTTATTTTTTGTTGGGCTCGGTTTGGAAGAGATGGATTTTCCACTGCGATGATGGGTTTGGCATTTACGCCTTGGTCGTAAGCCGATGGAATTGTTGTTACTCAATGGTCGGCAACCTGAAACTGTCCTGATAATACCAACTCCGTCGAAATATCTCCGACGTGGATTTTGATGTGCGAGCGGGACACACCTAGCTTACTTAGTTTCTAGACTCGTCGCTCTTTTTTTCAGCTTTTGCTCTCCTACACGTTCTCTTTTCCGAATGCCTTGCCCAAAGCTCACTCCTCTTCAGGCCCGCTTTGCTGCCTGCCTCGCCGCCACTCTTTTTCTCATCTTCCTCTATCTCATTCCCTTGAACATACGATTCGCATACGCAATTGATGTTGATTCGATAATACGCGAAGATCATAACCATCCCATCATACTAGATTTGGATACACCGTTCGGAGTTGCGGAACTTGGAGCTCAGGAGCATCCTGATGTGCTGGCTAAGGAGGATCTTCATCAGAATGTTAGCCTTGTAAGGAGAGCACCTGAAGGAGTGGACGCGCTGGCGAACAATGCACCAAGGTTGAAAAATATCAGGATGGGAGAAACCCAGTACTGGATGATTCCTAAAGACGTGCTGACCGGCCCAAAGTCTCCACGTTCCCCAGGGCTACCGACGGTCGTTCAGCCAAAGAATGAAGAACCGGAAGCTGATGGCATACTGTTCGAAAGAGAAAGAAAACGCGATGGGGGATTATCTCGTCGATCTACTACTGTTTACGTTACGTTGAATACCTGTATTCAACCCTCATTGAACGCCACTCAACGATCGGATGATTCTTCTCCTCCGCAGCTTCAGCTCTTTTACTCTGAAGATGGTTCAGTAAAAGAACCTGGTCCAGATACTCCTGAAGTTCTGTCTATTGATTTTGACGATGGATACGCTTCTGCAGAGATACAGGCGGATGGAGATGTGTACATCGGAGTTTTTGCTCCCACCCATCCGAGATATCGTGGAATGTATAACTACGAAGTTGCAGCATCTGTGGATGCTCCTTTCCATAGCGTGGAACCCGATACACCCTTCTTATATTTTGTCGACAGTGACAGCCAAGCAGCTTTGCTTCAGACGAATGCTACGACTGCAGCGAAACCAGGAGATGAATCGTATAAAGAGTGGATGAAACTAGATCCGCCGCCATTTACCATGTTTGCGCATAATATGAACAGTTCAGATATCTTTGGAATCCAGAAATCGTATTGCGGGCTTAGCAAGAATGCGCAGATGAGCCGAATAGGTGGTAGCCTCAAAACCGGGATGACAAATCGTGGCCTGACGCCTAAGGAACAATTCTACATCACAGGGCTTAATCGCAGCTCGGGGTACTATGGGATTCTGGCCATGGAAGGAAACTCAACTGCGTCCGGGAATGGTGTTGTCGGTGGAGGTGGTAAAGTCTGGAAAACGATGAATTTTACCACTAAGTCAGGTAAATCTTCAGTTTATATTAAACATACACAGAATCTTATTTAACCTGACGTGTTTAGACAACAATTGTGCAGTGGTATACGACCTCAAATTCTGCTCCGAAGTCGCCTACGCGGTCCCGTCCAACCCGGCTCTCAATGTCTCTCAGCTCATGAAACTCTACGACGACCATGCCGCCAAACTATATAAAAATTTCTCATATTCTCTCCAGCAAATCCCCTGCAATGCTTCCTCCTCCTCAAAATACTCTCTCGCTCGCGACTGTGATGATTGTGCATCTGCATACAAGCAATGGCTCTGCGCCGTAACCATTCCTCGCTGCCACGATTTCTCCAGCAGCCTCTCATTCCTTCGCCCTCGTAATACGGGCCAAAATTTCTTAAATGGAAGCATTTTACCCGATGATCACCCTCTACGACAAAACGTCCTCACAAATGCATCCCGCAACCCGTTGATTGACGAAGAAATCAAACCCGGGCCGTATAACGAAGTACTGCCATGCCGGGAACTTTGTTATGATTTGGCACAGAGTTGCCCCAGTGCGTTGGGTTTTGGGTGTCCGACAAACAAGTGGCTGAATTACTCGTACGGGATAATGAGCGATAATGGAGATGTTACGTGTAGCTATTTGGGGGCGGCATACTTTATGAGGAATGGTGCCCTGAGCATTGCACAAGCTGGCGCTAGTATGGGATTACTTGGTTTGGGTTTCTGGTGTCTCGTTTGGGGCCTTGTGTGACCCCTTCCTTTTTTTTTCTTTTTCTTTTTTCTTTTTTTTGTTCTTTGGACGGATTCAATTGCCTATGTTCAGGCTATGTTATCGACTCCTTGGTTCGTGTGTATAGAGCTTTTTTTATATGGCCTGAATGCCTAATTATAATAGTGAGAGATAGGATATTGGACACAAAATTCGAAGCTAGAGCTTCCGTGAGCATTTGCAGGGAGTCTAGAATAATTCTCTCTCAGGCTTAAGAATCATGAGTGTAAAATCACAATATTATATCATACAGGGTATCTCTATGTAATCCTAAAGAACATCCATTCTCCAAAAATAAAGTCTTTTAAACGATTCTATTTCCCTCTCCTAGGCGTTGGCGTCCACATATTCTTCAACCCAGATGCTCCATTCCCCAGTTCCGGCCGGCGGGGGGTACTGTTTCCCACACTTGCCCACAATCTTTGTCCTGCAGGCGTTAAGGCTGCTTTACTCATCCCACTTCCGCCAGGGGTTCTCCCACCAGCTCCAACCATGGGACTACTAGGAAATCTCGGCACCGGCGTCTTCGTAGTACTGACAAACTTTTCAACACGTTTAGTTTTGGCAACACGTTCAACCATGCGATGGTGTAACGCTTCGCGACGACGGGTTTCTTGGAGTTTGAAGGGATTTGGAGTGGATGATGCGCTGATGGTTAGGAGTTTTAAGTGAGAATCTTCTTCGTCTGCGGTTTGCTTGGCAGTGATAGGCTGGGGATCAGGTTCGTCCTCATCGACAAAGGCGTATCCATTCACGCGAGGAGTCTCGCCGCCTGTGAAGCCAGATTCAGAATCTGTGACTCGTGGACGGCCAGAAATGGCATCGCGGATGGCTGAGATCGAAGGCGATGGGGGTGGAGCATTTTGTGAACCGTCACTGAGTGATTCGGGTTGAATTCTAGTGTTGTGGTATAAGACCCGCTTCGGACCAGCGCGCGACGTGGTTTCAGCTTTTTGCTGTACAGTCTCATGTGTATCTTCGATCGATGAAGGTATAAACATCAATGAATTCTCCGCTTTCGGCTTCCAAGCATCCGGCCTCGCGGGGCGAGCATCAAGATCTGTCTTGATAAGCTCCTTACTCGCCTCCAAACTCTTCTGGTCTTCCAGTCTTTTCGCCTCGCGTTGTCGATGCGCGATCTGTCTTGCGGTAGCAATCTTATTTCCACCCCACATCCATGCATATTTATCTCTCCGCTTAACATTCTGTCGATCCAGCAGCTTATTAAACGACTCATTATCCTCGCTCGTATATTTAGACTGAAAAGCGCCTAAGCCCATTTTCGCCGCATCGGCCTTCATCGTACTTCCTGAAATAGGCATCTTTGACGAAGGAGTGCTCATCGAAGAAGCCACAGACATTGGAGTATCACCACCCCATTGCTTGGGTGTGTCTCCGGGGCGTGCTGAACGTCTGGGAGTGGACAGGCTCACGCCTTGCCGCCCTTGTCGACCAGGTGTCATGACCTCTGTCAATCTGCGTCCTGCTGCTGCAATTAATTCTTTATCCTTCGACTCGAGGGCATCAAGATAGTCTTGTTGGGTCTGGGTTTCGAGAAGTCCAGGGAAGAAGTCCCTTGCGATTATGTGGGATAATGCATCGGTATAGTCGTCTTCATCGAGGACTTCGAGTGGTCGTTTGATCCGTTTTGGCGGTGGCGGAGGTGGCATCAGATCAGTATCTAGGCTCCGTTTGACCAGAGCACTGGATGGTGATGAAGAAGCCATGGTCTTCTCTTTTTAGCAACCAGTAGGTTATTCCTAAAGGAAGTTTGATGTAGGTATGGCTTCTGGACGTGAACCTCTCGAGAGCGAAAGGCGGCGGCTGAGCATCAGATGAGATAAGCCGATCATATTAACGTAATCCGCAAGCGAGCGAAAGATTTTTTTCAACTTCCTCAACCATCCACTTCAACGCGTCAGAATGCCACCAATTCGCAATAAAAATGCAAGATCCTCTATAGAAATAGAGGGCAGGATTGAACTTGCTATTTCTACACTTAAAAAGCAAGAAAATTAGCTCAATTGCTGAAGCTATACAGCTATTTAATGTGCCTTATACTACCTTATATCATCAAGTAAAAGAAAGATATGCAAGAACCAGTCTACGCGCAAATTCAACCAAATTGACTGAGCCTGAAGAAGATCAGCTAGTTCAATGGATCCTAGACTAGCTAAACAAAGAATCTCCCCCAGACCGGCATTTGTTGAGAATATGGCTAATCATCTTCTTGCTATACAAGATCCTACTATCAGGGGCCGAGCTGAAGCTACTAGCTAGGCTCCATATACACGAACGTATCGCTTGGGGAAGGAAGAAGAAGGAGGGTAGGCGAGTGTGTGCATGATATATTCACAACATTTGTGTCAGTCATCAGGGAGCTTGGCCCTCATTCTGTTTCTCAGGCATTGCACTATCACCAGTATTTATAAATGCTGGGGGCCTCATCTTGATGCTTACAGTGCTTCCATTTATCAAGAGCTACTATCTTCTTCATGAGTGTGGCATCATTTCATATTGGGTGCACATATTCTCTTTATTTAACAAGATATTCAAGATATCAGTGTGTGAGGATTGTATGTGTGGATCAGCGTGACAATGAATCACTAAGAGGAATATACATGGAAAAAGTATGTGAGGTAAAAGGTCTGGTATGCTGGCAACTATATACAACTTGTAGACAAGATTGCCACTAGCTCCTAGCAAGAGATTCATGCAGTAGTGATCTTTTATGTGTGCTTGTGAGCATATGACTTAGTGTCTCATAAGAACACATGCAACTTCCAATAGCTTGCAAGCCAAGGCCCTTGGCCCTCACAGGTGTTGTTCATCTGTGTAAGGGGTTCGCGGGCGAATCCTTACACTTTTTGACCTAGTACCACGCACAAATGTTGTGGATATCATACACATGCTTGCCTATCCTCCTTTTCTTCCTTCCCCCAAGCAATACATTCATGTATATAGAGCCTAGCTAGTAGCTTCAGCTCGGCCCCTGACAAAAAAAGTTTATTATAATTCAGATTGTGCAGATGTTGTGTAAACACTTAGTTAGTTCTTAGTAATTAAAAAGCTTCTAGATTGAGTTCATATATATTTCAAATTCTATACATTTTGGACCCTTTATACGGAGTACATGCATTGTAAATATATGGTTGATCTACAGTTTCAAGCTTGCAATCTGTATTTTCCAACAGTTGCCCAGAAAGCTCATTTTTCCGGTATGGTGCTTAAGAAGCCTCACGTGACATTTACAAGGTCCACCTTGGCTTGCATAAGGGGTTCGGGTGATCTGCAACCACAGAAAACCGGACCTCCTGTGCGCTGCGGCAGGCGATGGTCATGTGACTCCGATCCCCTGCAGCCCTCTCTTTCCCCATCTTCAGCTTCATCCGTAGAAACACAGGCAGTTGCGCGGCTGGCATAGATGGTCCCCGCCCGCGGCCATCATCGCAACCAGGCATCTCTGGAGAAAATCATCAACTTTTCCGCCCCCGAACCCTTGACAGCAGACCAGCGCTCCGAGACCCGTGACAGGTTCTATGCTGTCATCAATCATTTCAGTGCCACTGATAGAAGGGATGGATACAGCCGCCCGCTACTTGTCCGGTATACGTTTGAGTATGCACGCTCTGAGCTGTCGCAGGATATCTTTCTGCGTGCCTTCTTTGAATTTATGAACCTGGGTCTTACCAGTGATGATGATATTGATTTTGATGACGATCAGCTGGACAACGGTTTGACCACTTTTGCAGACTTTCTACTGGATAACTTTTTTCTACCCCGTTGGGTCCCCTATCTTCCACTGTCTTGATTCTTTGATGTCTGCTAACTCCGTGCATGAGCTAAGGCTTCTGGTCACCACACCGCCCAGCCCTCACCCGCTCATCTGTCAGTTATTCAGCGAGCGCAAGGAGGAATACATGAATTTACTGCCACCCCTGATCGACTCTCAGTCCTTCGAGGTATTTGCCTTATCCGTGACCGGAATCGTTGCGTGATTTCGCGCATATTCGATCAGGACGAAGCAATAAGTCGTCTGGAGCGACATGGGAATAATGCTCGGGACGACAATGGGCAGCTACTCCTTGGAGAGGAGTTTCTGACTCTAGAGGTGGCACACATACTTCCACATGCCCTGACTCAGGCAAAGGCAGATTCTCAGTTGGTAAGCCGCCTTGCCACGAGGACCAAAAGAAGAAGAATAACTATAATATTTCCATGGGTAGGACGATTCCAAAAAAGCTGCCCTAATGATTCTCAACATGTTCGATTTCAATGTTTCACACCTGATTAATGGTGTTGATATCGATCGGCCATTCAATGCTATCAGTCTTACCCAGAATCTCCATGGCCTATTTGGCAAGTTCAAAATCTTCTTTGAACCGGTTCCTGGCCAGGAACATACCTATCGAATTGATTCCTGCCTCCCCCCGGGTGCCGTACGAGCTGTCCCCGTCACTCGGACCCTCTATCTCACACCTGACCGCTCAATCGAACCCCCGTTGCCCCGGCTCCTTGCGATACACAGTGCCATTTGTCATATTCTCCAGCTCTCTGGTGCTGGGCAATACATTGACAAGATTCTCCAGGATCTGGAGGAGATTGGTACCCGAGAGGACGGGTCAACCGACCTGGGCCGTTTAGTGAACCTGAGATTGGGTGGTTGGCTAGACGGCGCCGTTGATGTCCACTGATGCTTTATCGTTTGAGTTGAGCATAGAGTTGCGGCGCACTTGTATTTCATTTTTGGCTCAGGTCGCTAGTCGCCTGCTTGGTTTGCTCGTTGAATGTTTTCCGTCTCGATTGATAGGTGATGTAATACAATGTTGGAGGAGAAACAGTGAATGCTTTATAGAGCTTGTATCATTCTTTCTTTCTTATCATTTGCTCTTCTCATCTTTCCACCTTCCTAGAAGAGGCCTCAAATGACTGAGCAGCATCAATGTGAAAAAGAATAGTTGGCAGCAAGAAAGGCTCAGAACTCCACTTTGTAATGTAGATTTGTCTCTAACCTGTGGCTTCTTTGGCTGGCCTGTCTGCGAGCTCCTATCATATGGAAACACAGTGTCATATGAGTGGTCAACTACTTTTCCTGTAGTGGTGTAGTCATTCTGAGATCTCAGTCTCTTCAGTCCATATCATAGAATATCACATATTATAAAGCCAGATGCATCTGTTTCCAATCTGGTCTTTCATTTTATATCAAAATACTGAAGTATAACAGCTTTTGTGAACATCATTTTCAGACTCACCCTCTATTTCTTCCCCAGCTTTGATCAAACACATCCATCCCACTTTGCTCCTCTGTGCCGTCATCATGACTTCCCTCCTGAGATGGGCCAAAGCCACCTTTCGAAGAGTTCCCTCCCTTCCCCTGTGTTTCCCGACCAGTGGCTTCGAAACAGTCAGTGGGTCTGAACTTGATGAGGAACGATTTGAAGAGTTCAAGAAAGGACAATATTATCCTATCAACATTGGGGACGTCTTGAGTTCCAGATACGAGATCATCGGTAAACTGGGATTTGGGGTTACCTCCACCGTATGGCTCGCTCGTGACCTTGAGTAAGTCAGTTCCCTCTATGCAGTGAAGGTATATACGCGTGATAAAGCTAATCAGGAAGAGTTTCAGATTTATAAGTATCTAAATCAAGGAAATCCATCACATCCTGGTTATGCCCATGTGAGAAAGGCCCTAGATGTGTTCACCATTCCTCGTCCCGGAGGTGGCCATCATGAACCCATGTGGGAGAGTTTCAAGGATCTACTCTATCGCAATCCCAATCATCGATTTACTGAGGACCTACTCAGGGTTGGTCTTATACAAGTTTTGCTTGCGCTTGACTACCTGCATACCGAATGCAAGCTTGTCCATACAGGTAAGAAGTACTTCATTTTCTCAAAAGTACGACCGCTAACCCGCAGCCTGATTAGACATCAAGGGCGATAACATTCTTCAAGAAACAGAAGACAGAGCGATCCTTGAAAGCTTTACAAAAGCTGAAATGGAGAACCCTTCACCGCGAAAGTTTATCAACGGAATACCAGTGTATGCTTCCCAATGGTTTGAATTGCCAAAGACATTTGGCCAGGTAGTCCTGAGTGATTTTGGTTCAGCTGTACGAGGAGATGAGAGGAGAAATCATGATGCACAGCCCAATGTTTACAGATCTCCAGAGGTGATGCTGAAAGCTGAATGGAGCTACCCAATTGATATATGGAATGTTGGCGTCATGGTATATTTTTACTCTATATTCTCCCACTTCATCATGCTCCTTTGAGGTTACTAATGAGTGGGGAAAATCAGGTCTGGGACTTGTTTGAGGGCAAGCACATGTTCCATGGCAATGATCCCGATGGGAAAGGGTATTCCACCCGTGCGCATCTTGCTGAGGTGATTGGCATTCTGGGGCCGCCTCCCTTAGATATGCTCAAGCGTGGAAAACGGAGTCTTGAATTTTTTACTGAAGATGGTATGTATTATCTCCCTTTCCCTGAAAGTACGTAGCAGAGGTGAGAGGCTTATATAAAACTTTTACAGGACGGTGGAAGCCTGACATAGAGATACCCCAAGCAAGTTTGGAAGCGTCGGAAGAGTTTCTTAGGGGAAGAAATAAAGAAATATTTTTAGTTTTTAGGAGAGGGATGCTTCAATGGCGACCAGAAGATAGAAAGACAGCAAAGGAACTGCTTGAGGATCCATGGCTAAATGATCAGATAGACTAGTCCACTGGTAACTATTTAATACATGCCACGGATTGTGAGTGAAATGGATTGCGGGTGAAATTGGATGGTGTGTAAGGAATTGTACATACAGAATTGTACTAAGATCTCATTCAGGTAAGGAATAATGATTGATATTAAGTAAAATGTTGGTTCTAGTAACAAGTCACAGTGCAAAGAAAGAGAGAAAGAAAGAAAATAGGAGAATTACAGATATATATTTGTGATACATATATATCTTGTATGTTACATAATGCCATGACATGCAGGTGATAATCCATTGTTAATCCAGTCACCCATCCAGGCATCAAGGGTGAGGAGATGGGCCAATGTATCTAGAAGATAATAGATGAAGGGAGATGATGGGGAGATGAAGGGCTAGCCCCTACACTAACTTAACTTAATGTTAGAGAGATCTAACAAATAAACATCAAGTGGCAGTAAATATCTTGTAGTACTGTAGCAATATGGGAATAGGGGGCTGAAATGAATTACAGAGAAAAATGCATAATCTATTCTCATTAGCTGTCACTGATGAGAAGATGGAGACAATGGAGATGGCAGAGAGATGGCTGGGGGATGATTAATTGCAATAACCACTTGGGGAGAGCTTAAGCTCTAACCACTTTAGGCAATCACTATATAAGCACCCACTGCTGCCAGGCCAAGATCTTGCAAAGTCCATGGCACTGAAATAAAAGGGTACAAGAACACTGTCAAGCAAGGCTACCCTCACCTGCTGTTAATGAACAGCTAGGAGAGGCCATCTTATGGTCAATCATGATATCACCTTTCATGTACATGGATTAGCATTACGTCTCATCCTCTGGGGCCGCAGATGCTGCTGTGACACCAGCAGATTTGGCTGTACACATTTCTCTCTCTTGCTTCTGAAGTATAGACATCTGCTGGTGCAGTACTGATTCTGTTCTTTCTGGAAAACATCTCTCTATCTCTGGCCAGGATTGGTGCTCCTCTATCATGCTCAGGAGCTGTGTGTCATTCTCAGGGAGTCATTGCCACAGCTTGTCTCTGTAGCTCTTTTTCTCCTCACTGTGCTCACAATGAGTTTTTCTGATCTTGTGAGAAGCTGAGTGACTGGATGACTGCATACTCTCATCTCCCTATATTGCCAGTGCTGAGTTGGGCACACAACTCGCTAAAGCACCTTCAAATGGCCAAGAGATGAACTGCAGGTGCTTATTGAGCTGTAGAGGAACCTTCCACAGATGATACAGAGGCAATGTGAAGCTGCTTTGTGGCCAGTTCTTCTGGTTGCTGTGGCCCTTGCTTGTGTCTCCTGGACTGTTTGTCACTGGGGAAGTTGTTGCTCATGCTGTAGGAGCAAGGCACATCAACATCAGTGCTGCAATGGGCAGGGTGAATCTGCTGATGATCCAGAATGTGAGTGTCATCATCTGTTTGAGAATTTCTATTCCAGCTGTCAGGCCTCTCTGTGGATCCCTGGTCATGGTTGGGGGTGTCACAGGATGTCGACAGAAGAGGTTCAGAATATGAATAGATGGCCTTTGAGTTTGCAAGATTATCACCTTGCTGGACAGGCTGGTGAAGATCACTAGTATTCTAAGGCACATTGTTGGCAAGAATCACTGGATCAATGGGAATGCTGTTCTGGAGATTCAGGAGCCTGAAGAAATTTTCTAAGCTACTATCTGAGCTGGTTATACTGGGCAACAACAAATCAGCCCCTGTGGCACCTCTCCTAAGGGGAGGCAGCTTGGTCAGCATATCAGAGATATTATCTTGGACATCATGGGCTGAAGTGGGATGTGAATTCAAGGTATGATGTGCAGATTCATGGAAAGGTGATACACCATGCTGAGGATTCTTCAAACTAGGTGATGGTATAGACATCTCTCTTGATTGGGGGGGGCGCCAGCAGAGATCAATGGTGAACACAGCTGAGCATTGCTGCTGATAGGCACACAGACTTCAGCCGGCGGCTTCAAAGGAAGGCCATGCTTGCAGGGTAGCAGAGTGTTGGCAGAGGTATCACAACATGGGGCTGGGGGAGGGGGGTTTCTGGCTTCTAGAGTGTGAGAATTAGGGCATTTGTGCAGTGAGAATGGCTTGAAGTTGTTCACATGAAACGCGAGGGCCATCTGGATAGAGGATTGGGGATTTGAGGGGTGGAGATTTTCAGTCAGAGGCAATCAGGGAAGCAGGAAGGAAAGTGGGAATTGAGCCTGAGGAAAGAACATGCACAAGTGAGAAAACAGATTGCAAAGTGCCAGTGATTTTGTAGGGGGCTCAGCCACCCCTTATAGCTCCTCTCAGCACAGAGGCTCCACTGCTTCATAGTCTCCCATCTTCCATCAGAAAGGGAGCAGAGGGAGCGAAGAGGCGAATTCCCTCTGATCCCTGGATCCCCCCTGAGGCTGCTGACATGTCCCATGCTGGCCAAAAAGCCACCTGAAGCCCAATAACCTGTGGCCTGCTCCAATCACATATGGCCATTCACCACTTGCAGCCTTCACATGTTGAAGCATACAATCCTGACACTGCCCACCCTGGTCTGACCTGCAGGCACACACCAGCACAAATGAAATGCAGCATTTTTCCTATTGGTCCTCAGAAAGAAATGTGACAATGACAGTCAGTCTTGGTGACTCAAAGAGTGATACAACCCACATCACTCAGGCCCAGCAAGCACTCTGATCCCTGGACACTAGCCCACCAGCCATCCCAATACACTCAATCAGCCGCCGCCTACTCCGTCTCCACACGCAATCCCACTGATGAAAGGGGCTTCAAGACAGGCAGAGTCTTTTGAAAAGCAGACCTTCCAAAGAGTTTATAAAAAAAAAAAAAATTGAAAATGAAAACAGAAATAGAAGAATAGATCAATCAGTAAGTGAAGATCTCCGCTGTTTGGAATCACCGATCATGCGGCGCAGCGAAAGGCACATGTACAGAAAAACACGGGTGCGGACGCCCCAACAGCCTCGATCCCAGAGTCAAGTGAAGCAGCATCGCAAGGGGGTGATGTGGAGGGCTCAGAGGCCAGTGGGGTGGTATCAGACAGCAGTTCGACGACTCCGCGGGCGCAGGATCAAGACAGGTGAGGGCCGGATAAAACGGCACCATCCCTGCAAGGGGGGAAAGGAGAGAGGGGGGCAGTGCACGCGAGCGCGAGAGGCAGGGCGAGGGAGAGAGAAAGAGAAAAGAAAGAGGAGAGAGTGTATGGTTGTTGCGAGGGCACGAGATGGGTCTTTATAGATTGAGCGGCGTCTGTTGAAGCGGCGTGAGAAGGCACAAAAGCGGCGAGAGGGGACGCCATCCCCGAAGCAGCAACGGTGATGCCGCAACGGGCCTAGCGCACGATGCAGACCAACGACAACAGCGCTCAGCGGGCTGGGCGCCCCGCTAACCGGCACAAAAGATACGAAGTTTATTATATCTGTATACTCTGTAGTATCTTCTTCATTTTTATAATGATCAGACATAAACTTGTTAAGATATAAGAAAGCAAAAAGTTGACATTTGTATGTGTATTTTGGTGTCCCGCTCGCTTGGTTGTCCCGCTCGGTTGTGGATTACGTTAACTAGTTACGGGCGACAGTCAACACCTCGTTATGAAATAACGGTGCTGATGGATGTTCCATGAAGATTGAAGAGACGAAGACTGCGAAGCCAAACTGATTAATTCAAATTGGCTATTTATCACCCCAGCTCCATCCTCCAGCCCACCTCACCCGAATGCACGAAAAAGTCTCCACAAAGTACCTCCCCCTTCCAATTTTTATGACCACCACACACCTCCCTCCGCAGCTAAAGACCCTGACACCTGTCCTCCTAAAACGAGTGTGACCAATTAATGCAGTGAGAAGGGGTAAAAAAAAAGGGGCAAGGACATATGCAAGCGATAGACAAGAAACAAATGCAAAATATAGACACCAAAAGTCCAAACAAAAGCGCTTCCAAAACCAGCCAGTGTCTATATATATTTTCAAGAGCCCAACAATGCAAGCGGGAAAATATGTAAACGAGAGTAAAATGGGAAAATGCCTCGACAAGATCCACATTGGAAAAATCAAATAAAAAGAGAGAAAGAAAAAAAAATGAAACAGAAACGAAAGGAAAATCGTGTGAACGTTTGGTGCACCTCGCAGGAGGGCAGAAAGCACCGTCTAGATGGTTTTGGTACAAAGTAAAATTGTGTGGATGCAGAATATCAGGGGCTACTCTTTCGAAGCGCAGCCGTGAAGTACAGGTGATTGAGCCTTTTCTCTTTCCGGAGATCGGAAGGATAGCCAGAGAAAATAGAAATAAACAATAAGCAAAGACATTACCAGAAGGTCAGGCGAAGATGTTTCAAACTATGTGGATCATCAAGTCGTACAGCATGCAAAACTTGGGGGGTGAGGGGGTAGGGAAATGCCTCCATGGGCATGTCTATCGAAAAATTGGGTCATGTCAAATGAAATGAAAAGAAGGAAAAAGAGAAACGTGAATGGATGGAAAACAGAAACAGCCAAACACGCAAAAACAAGCAAATGTGATCCAGTCTTTGATACTTGGATAGCTCCTCCGTTGGTTCTGGATCCACTTAGTGCGCTTCGAAATGCATCGGGAAAGAGTTCTGTTTGGGAGTTGGCGGTGCTGCCGATGGGAACAAAGAGTACGAAGTCCGTGTCTTGCGATGATTGATCCCACGAGTAAAAGTGGACGAGCGCTTTCTCGCAGCAGCACCTGCATTTTTGATAGATGCTCCCATGTCAAAGGTATCCAGAATCGATTCAGACTTGGCTCGGTCATGGAAAGGAGCTGCAGGGACGGAAGGTTTCTCGGCAACTGGCGTGCTTTCTGAAGGCGACGTCGCGGTATTGGCCTCCAGAGACAGGGTATTATTAGGTCGAGCGTGGAGAGTCAATGCGGGCGAGCGCGATACAAAGGATTTAGCTTGTTCAACCAAGGGGCTTGTGCTCTCGCGACTAGCAGCATCACGACTGCCACCTGGACTATGAACCAAATCCGGCACACTATTAGTCGATGTAGATGAGCGGTGCTTTCTAGCAATTGATGCAGCACGGGATAAAATCATGCTCTCCTGAGAGTTGCACTTGCTAAGAGGTGAGCAACTGCTGCGAACGGATGTCGCTTGATCGTCTGGCTGAGCGTAAATGACTTCCTCGTCGCTCTCTTGGATATCGGGCATCACTCCACCGTAAATTGGCAGCGGCGACAACCGACCCTCGAGAGGCTGTCCTACGACTTGAAAAAGTTCAGGCCTGTATTTGCCTATTTTTTTCCCAGGGCTGGTGAAATAGTCATAAGAGTGAGCCGACCCAGCTGGGCTGACACTGCCAGGTCGTGGGAAAGAAAACGCGGCCTGTGGCTCTGGCGTGGTTGGGGCGGATTTGGAGTCTTTTGATGGCTCGAGTCTCGGGATGAAGTTGGGCTTCTGCGGGCTTTCCTGGTTACGAGCTGCCACAGGATTGTCTCTAAGAGACGCCGCAGCCAGATTCTCACGTACTTCTTCGAGAGACACTCGCTGCCAGTCAAAGTTCGAATTGGACTCGGCTGCATGCTCATAGCAGTAGTCAATGTCGTCCTCCCAAGAGTCTTCCAAGGGGTGATGCACCTTCACGGAGGGATGCGGGATGCATGCTTTGTCGTCAGTGACGGACGGTTCTTCACATGCATCCTCCAACAGTCCAAGTATCGGCGAGTGCACGTCTTCTGGGCCGGGCGACCGGTCGATGAAGGGCGCATGGAGATGCTCGCCGAAGTGCTCGGGAGCAGCAGCGAGTCCGGTGACATGACCCACCATCTGAGCACCCGCGTGGCTGTTGCGCCAAGACGGCTCGTTTTCTTCCGGGATGTTTGCAAGCCCGGACACATGGTCGACCGGCGATGCTCTGAGCATCTTTGGGGAGTAATCGTCCGTGGTGAATGCGTGGACGACGTCGTCGGGGAAATGCTCCATTGCGTCATGGTAAGAGCCCTGTGTTTCCGTTGACGTCCAGTAATCTTGCGATGGTTGTTCGGCGACTGGGGGCGGAGAATCGTGCCCTAACAATGCATCGATAGTCTGCGAAGTTGGATCGGCCCGGTGGGAGCATGCAGTTTTCGACGAGTGACGAGGTGGCGGAATGATGCAAGGTGCCGGGGTTGGTTTGTTCACTCGTGAAACTGGACGGGAGAAATTTTCAACGGAGCGAGAAGCTCGCTTGTTGCTCAGACTGTTCGGTGACCTTGGCGTCTCTGATCGAACTGGTGAATGAGGAGGGCTTCGAGTATATAAAGATTGCGAGTCAGGGGCCAATGTGGAAAGGTTGGATGTTGACAGGTCTTCTGAAGAAAGGTTTCGATAGAAGAGGCTTTCCGCTCTGATCCCTTTGAGCTCTGTTTTTGGCCGCTGGGAAGCCCTAATAATGGAGAACTCGGTAGCCAGATCATGTGGATGGGTATACTCGATGGGAGGCAGCTGGCTCTGGTGGGTATGCGTGACGTGTTGGAAGTCAAATGGTTCAGAGATATTTCTTTTCAGGAATTCATCTGCCGAAAGCAGGCCAGGTTAGCGGAGAGGCCACAAATCTTGGAAAAGGAAGATGGAAGATTTCACATACGCATGTCGCTGTGTCGGGTCCGGTGACTCCGATAGAAGAGACCCAATCCATCCAGCCTTTCCCTTTCTCTCGCAAGTCTGTCTTTGCTTCTCTCTCGGCCTCTGATCCTGACCATGTCTTCCTCCGGTTCAATTGTCTGTTGAGCCAAAAGGCTAGTTTTGCTTCCTTGACGCTTCAAGATACGGCTACCACGCGAAATCAATGACCTCGCGAGGCCTTCTTTCTCGCCAGGTAAAAAGAAAGAGGAGAGGGTGCGTCCGTCTTGAGAAGATCTTCGCGATGAGGCATCAATTGAAGTCATTGATGAAGCAGGAGACTGGTATGAGGAGGAGGTTGAATTGGTGGTATTGCTGCGAGAGCGGTTTTTGAAGACGGAAAGCCGCTTTGGGCTATGAGCCCTGGAGCGTAGTCGGATACCTGCAGAAGTGTCTGGCAAGGTGGAGGATGATGACATAGGAGGGAGTTGTCGACAGACCTGGTCATTATAGAGCGAGGAGGAAAGGAGAATCTGCGACGAGGCGGTGTTGGGCCGGGGGGAACCATATGCGGTGTCGACGTTTAGGAACGACATGGTAGCACGATCCTAATAACTGGTGCAGGGGAACTGGAATCTGTGAGGGGCGCTGCGGTTTCCTCCGCATTCGACCACGCGAGAATAAGTCCAGGATAAAGGAAGCAGGAGCCCTGGATCGTGTCCCCAAGCAGAGAGCCGGGATCATGGATAGCGGGTTTACCAGATTCGGGGCAACCAGGAACAAGGGCAACACGTTCGACCTCACAAGCCAAAAGGAAAATGCCCCGGTAGTATCCTTTGGCCCAGCCGGGGTGTGGGCGGAGCTAGGGAAGATCAATTTGGATCCACGGCGGTTCAAGACCGCGAAGACGGGCTCGAAGGGTGAGAGAACCGGGGGCGTGAAGGGATGGGACAGGAATTGAACAGGAATAGGAAAAAGTAAGAGCAGGGATTGTGAGTTAGTCCTGCGGGCTGCAGTCGGGCAAAAAAAGGCGAAGAGGGAGAGAGGAATGTATTGTCGTGCGGATTGAATGACAGAGAAATGCCCCTCGATGGACTTTAAAATAACGAACGGGATGCAGCTTAAAATAATAGGAGAATTGAAAAGAGAAGAGAGAAAAGAGATAGTAGTGATAGAGATAGCAGAGACGAACGGTCAGATCTCTTTTTTTTAAAAAAAAAAAAAAAAGAGAGCGTGGGATCGAGACAAGGCAGAGAATGACACAGTGAGAGAGCGTGAGAGTTCAACGGGAAAAAAAAAAAAAAAAATGCAATGGTTCAGGATTGACCTTAAAGTCCGCTCCTATGTATATGTCCGTAGCGGCATATTTTCCTTTTTTTTTGCTTGACCCAGACTCTCTACTCTTTACGGGAAGAACAAAAAAAGAAACGACAGTCTGCCTGGCCTGGCTGTGATTATTATGGTGGTGATTCCTGCTTGTGAAGAGGTGAGAGATGCCCATCCCGCCGGCCTGAGAATGCCCACTGGGCCAACTCCACATGGGGGCGTATCGGGAAAGGATGGAACTATGTTTGTGTACTCCGTACTCCGTATGTAAACTATTATGCGGAATGTGCGTATGTATGGATGGGCCGGTATCGAAGCACGAGAGTTTTCGCACCGCGGCCAATCGGCGGTCTCGCTGCGCGCGTCTGCGTCCACCGGCCTTCGAGCTGAGGAGCAGTTGCGGGCAAAAGCAGAAGAGGTAAACGCTCTAAGCCGCGGGGCGCTCTATTATTCGCCCAAGTGCCTTGTCTGCTCGCTTCGCCGATTTCCTCAGTTGTGGTTGGTGAAACCCTAGCAATTCGAGATATTTCATGCGTGCCATCTTGGGAGCCAGCGATCCCACGAGTTTGACAAAGGTACTAATTAACCTTCTGCTTGGTATGGAGAGTGGTTTCTATTTTTCTCTCATGAGCCCACCGCGTCGTCAGACTGAAAGCGGATAACCCTGCAAGCCTTCCCCATCCCCCAAGGTATTTTGGACGGCTCAGCCAATGGGAACGGGCCAGAACTGGGGGTTTTGCCAAAATGCAACAATGCATTTCTGCATGCCAATGCAACTGAAAACGCAGGTCGTTCCCGGCCAACAGTCAGATTATCTGAGCCATTATTATCTTACACGGTATATCAGAACGCTGCACAGTGGGTGTGTCTTTCGAATGGGTCCGTCACTTCTCAGAGAGCGGGCAATTGGCCTTTGAAAAATTCGTGAAACGAGTCGTGATACATTACCCTATGCGTAGCATATTTCCATGACCATTGCCTTACATACATACATGTACAAACGGGTGGAATTTTTTCATGGCGTCTGCCAATCAACGGTGACAGTCACCGGATAGAGTGCTCCGTACAAGCGCGATTAAAAAGGCGCTTCTTGGCTACGAGGAATTGAGTTCTACGGGCTTCTGATCGGCCAGGAATAAAATACCCAGTCTTTTTCGAAGGGAAACAAAACAAAATGCCGTGAAATGTGGATTGGCGATGTAGCACGTCAATACGACTCATTCGTAATTCCAATACCTTTTCGCACTTACACAGGATGCTTGGCGAAACGGCCCATGGCTTAAACCGAACCCGGGATGCTGGATGGCCCCTGGCGAACCGGCCAATCGCCGATGCGTCCCACCGTGCTGTGGGGCGCTGAGGCTGCCTATTGGGCGTTCGCATGGGGCTTTCCAACCAGCTGCCGATCAATTAGGAAAAGTGCGGAACAGCGCCCATGATGCCGGAACAGGGGAACACCAACGGGCCACACCGGTCGAGGGTGGTGTCGCCACCATCCCATTGGCCAAGCAGCGTGAATAGAGTTCCCGGGGCAGCCCATTTAGGTCCGTCTTAGCGGTAATATCTGCGTGCCCCTGTATCTCCCAGTAATTACCTCTGTAATCGCTATCGGTAATCTTACCTCGCCTTGTCGACAACGGTGTGAAGTTGTGCTGGACGAAGGGCTTCAGGATCGACATGTGGGTGAAGAGAAGAGGCGCGCACCTTGCGAAGAGGGTCGAATGGTTCAGCTCTCGCCACGAACTGTTATCACATTCATTCCCTGGCAGAATCCAGGTTGGCCGGTCTTCCTCTGTCATAAGAACCAGCCTTAACCTCAGGGGTGGCCCGTATCTTCACGTATCTGTTCCTGTTCCTTGCAGCATCCCTTCCAGGAGTAACATCAGAATGACGAAACCGTCCAGCTCTGGGTGCACCCAACGCCAACATTAATTCCGCCTCCGCTGTCCCACCCGGGGAGTCGTACTCGAAGGGGATTTCGGCAGCACCGCTTATCCCTCATTCCATGATGAGACGGTGAAATGGAGTTGACGAGCCAAAAAAAAAAAAAAAAAAAGAAAAGGAAAGGAAAAAGAAATAACAAGAAGCCGGAATAATCCCCGCCAATCTTATGGATGATGATGAGCACGGATTCACACTGAAGAATATATTCTCCCTCTTCGTCTTTTTCCAGCGATCACAGACATATACTCCGTATAATACGGAGTATTCCTCCCTGGCGGGGCCCAGGGATACCAAAGAAAAAAAGAAAAGGAATGAAATGAAATGAAAAGAAAAGCAATGAAAAAATTATTGAATGGACTGTATAAGGCTGGCACTCTCACCATATGGAGCGCCCTGGCAGCATGCAGTGCAACATATATGCTCCTTTTCTCGAAAAGCGTTGGGTTGGCTACTCACCCGCCTCAGCCAGGGGTTTTACATGTGTCTAGTCTTGAGTCATGGAATACATACTTTCGATACGCTCGTCCCCGGAAAATTATATCTTCACCTCTCTTTCGGCAAGGTTTACAAATTACTTAATGTGTCTCGCAGGAAGATCCTGATAGAGTTATCGACTGACTATTGAAACTTATCTATGCTTATTGTAACTGCACCGCCATGTATGACAAGCATCTATGCTGATCTCTACCCCAATCACACGCTTCAGCGATGAGTGAACGCGGACACGGGAACACCCTGCAAATGCTCTGCTTTTGAAATGAGATGAAAACCCGTCCGATCTTTGACCTTGGGAGACACGGGCGTGGGAACCAGGATTGACGTCGCTGTTAACTTTTATCCGTGCGTCCATGAGAGAGCTTGGTTGGCCGCAACCACCCCTAGGCCATGGCCACGGCAGTAATTTGTCAGGAGCGGGTTGGAAGCGGCGAGATCGGACTCGACCTCGAGAGGACCGGGAAAATTGAATCTCAGCGACGGGCGCCCAGCATTATCCTCTCCTGCAGCTCCATCCTCCACACAGTTTATATGTATGTACATACAAACATACATACGTAACCCCCGTACGGGTTGCATACAGAGTACACAGCTGGTGATGTACTCCGTATGAACGGCGCAAATGTACTCCATACAGACCACAGAGACCAAGTGGGGGAGCAATCTAGATGGGACGCCGTCGGAAATTTTCGAACAATCCAGAAGTACAAACACACACTCACGTACAATTCAATTCACAACCGTTCTACCTTACCCTTTCGTCCCCGTCCTGAGAAGAATGCCACGGGAGCCGTAGCGTACATCGCTTTTTCACGAGCATCCTCGATTGCCATAAGCAAACGGACACTACTGTGGACACGAAAACGACATTCCTCCCACGGTGAGCGAAGACGAGAAAGCTTAGCTCTGTTGGCCTTCATGCCGTTTGATGGTTGTGCCCCACAGGCGACTGTCCACAAACACAACCGTCGTAAGATCCTCGGGATTTCGATCTCGCCAGGGCGTCGAAATCGCCAGACGACAAACTCTCCCTTCCCCAGTTTCAGTTCAACACGGGGCCCGCTGCTGGGCTTTAACGAGGGGTCCGCGAACTTTCAATCCACATGCTTCTCGTCCAACGTAAAAAGATGCATGTCCATCCGTCGATGTGTCTGCATGAAGCCAGTTCTGCATCTCGAATGATTGGAGAAAACGAGGGCTCAGACCGTATGCGGTTCAACATGTTCCGAGCAGACACTCACATGAAAGTTTCTTCGGAAAAATCGAGCCCCCCATCCATCGTCAACCCTACGGTTCGAACCTTCATCGCAGGAACGCTATGATCACATTCCCCTTTCCCCTCTTCAGGACTCGGTTGGGTGTCGAAAGGCTCCGCACGAGAATCCCGCAGTTTGCTCGAACCCCTCAATACCAGCAAACCGATGCAGCTGCGGATCATTCCCTACTCCAGAAGAGATGGATTTGAAAACGGCTCACAGCCTCGGCCAGCCGTCTACCAGTAGAAAGCGCAGCATGAGACATGAACTCTCTCCAGCACTCCCTTCCCGCCGGACGACACAGTGCGTGCTCCGTAAATTCCGCCTTTCAGATCGATATTTCATGGTCGATCAAAACATCAGCTGTCCAGCCCTGATCGGCGTTTTCCAAACAGACACCTATCCATGGCTATCACAAACTATAAACGAGTTCCCCTGTGCATAACATAGTGTCCTCCTAGTAAGTGGGCAAGCCCACTGCCCTCAAAACGAGCACCAAATCACCTTCCAGCTTCGTGAAAGCGTTTTCGCCGTTGAGATCGAGTGGCACAACACGAACCGCGATCGGCATAGATCGAACCGCTCTTGCCTTCGCTGCCCACCAATCCTGCAACCTAAGTGGTCGAATTTCGCCCTAGTCCCTGAATAACTTGAAACGGCTTCCCTGCAGCCGGTGGCTTTCGAGGGGGAAAGAAAATCAAATTTATGCGCAAAGCTCCTCGAGATTTTGCTGACACTGATCGACCTTCTATGCATGATAGGAGCAAATCATTGCTTCACTCCTTTCGTCGAAATACAGGGAGCAGATGTACATGGCGTACTTCGTACATATATTTATGTACGTATGGCTTTGGAGGTGCATTCTGGGCTGCGTGCGCCCTGTAGAGTTACCCCGGACAAGAGAGTGATAAATGCAACCACTAGGAAAACCTGGAGGGATGCGAGAGTCACTTATCGACTCCTGCATGAACTGTTCACCACCCCTAGGCCAGTTCCACTCGTCTCAACATCACGCCTTGAACTCTTTTTTTTTTCTCCCTTGTATATCGTTTCAGCCTCTTTGCTACACGAGTCAGTGGCTGAATCGACGAAAGTTTTCGAGAATCGCCATGTGCTTTGCCGACAGCAGCGCTAAACGCCACAGTCACGGTTCTCGATTTTACAAACAGGTTCTGCAGACACTTCGGAATCGAAGCGAATGCAACAAGGCAGACTCGGCTGATCATAGTCTTGAAACAAGCTCTTTCAGGAGACTTTGCGCATGAAACGAACGGGCTGCTTGGCCTGAGGCCAACGAAAACGCCTGCCCCGGAGTCCCCTGCCAGTGAATCTGGCTTTTGGGGGGAGGGTGTCGAACAGGATTTTCTCGCTTCATCCGGTGGTGGGAGATTTCTCATGGGCTTCATGATATGTGACCTAAATTCATTTTAATTTTTCATTAAAGTCGCATTCAGCAATGCAGTACTCCGTACTCCATACAAAGTACTCCGTATTGGATGGTTTTATTTCCATTTTATTTTATTACTTTATTTCCCCCCCTTTTTTTTTTAAAAAAAAAAAAAAAATTCTTCGGCGAATTTGCAAACAGGGTGTGCACTGTGCGCGTACAACATGGATTTTCCCCGACAGATTCGCCAGGAAACCCGTGCAATGAAAATGGACCATAACCATCGACCTTTTAGCCAGTGTGTGTATTGCACTATGCTCCTGATGGATTACCCGCTGAGCATTGTAGCTGGTGAAAGACACGCTTCTCGCCGTGGCTAGACCTCAAATTCCTGAAAAGGAAACGAGTCCAGGAAATCCTTGGAATATTGGAATCCTTCGCAAAAGTTTCGGATACGAAGCCGATTCTTCACCTTTCCCAAAGAGCTGGAACTGTGATCAAGCGTATGCACCTTGATCCTTTATGGGGGCAGAATCTCGCCCTTTTTTTTTTTTTCCTCTCCTTTGTGATATCATCTTATACAATAATGATATCAAATTCTTCAGATAATGAATAATGAAGTGCGCGTTCCCACAGGGATGTGGACGTACGGCATAATCCCGTTTTTCGGCCTCATATCCTCGCATGATAGATTGATAAGCAAGGGTATCAAGCAAGCTTGCCGGATGAGATGCAGTGGAAGATGTCTCAGTAAGCATCCACTCTCAGCAGGCCTAGAGGGCTACTACAAGTACTTTAGACAAGTTCTCGTTTCCTCGTGAAGGCATACCTTGTCCTCCAGCAATTACGAAAAACGGGGCTCGACCGTCGGGGTCCGCTGGTTTCACGGCAGCCCAAAGACCACTTTCAAATACCATTTATTCCCAAAGGTGCCAGATTGACTCAGTATCTGTTGGGGCAATGCCTGGGATCTAATACACATGTACTCGCCAATCGCAAGGGCGAGTAGAAGCTCCTCTTCTGCCTATTCGAAGTAAACAGCCCTCAGAAGCCAATTCTAAGAAAAGCTGTACTCGTTTCATCGTGAGTCGAGAGAATTGTTCAAAAACTTGGGCATCAACTGAAAGTCGAAAACTGCCCAGCGATGGACCAACTCTGAGCCAGAGTGGCTCATTGGCAATGGCCATTGCATTTATCTTAACGTGGAGCTGCATGAGGCTATTCGACAGAGCTGCCCTTATGACGATAGAAACATTCCGTACATTTCCGGTTTGATTTCCTTTTTTACCCCCAGCCCTTGTGGCCTTGCAAGGTGGATGGCCTCCCAGGACGAGGTAGCGTGCTGGAGGAATCTCCGGTCGCGCGAGATGATTTCGAATAGTTATCCCTTTTTGCAACCCATTTACAGATTATACCCATGAGGGTTTCAGTTGAATCATCAATGACCGTGTAACTGTCCTTCCTCTGCAAGCTTGCACTTTACAAGCAGCAGTGAAGTAAAATGAGGGCGAAGGATTACGGCCTCGCAACGCTTGATGACTCCGTCACATTCTAGAGTCCCAGTGTCCGTAGCCGTCCGAGTCGGTGTTACCAGAAATCTCGTTGCTTTCGCGAATCGCATCGCTACCAAATATATTTTCAGGTGGACAGGGGATATTCTAATCCAGTAGAATGCAAATTCATGGATGCCTGGCCAATTACTTGGGTGGGACTCGTCGAGTAATGCTGTGTACACCTGGGTGCAGATAGCATCTGTGATGGCAATCTCGAAGGACTTTCGCCCTTGTTGCTCAGGGTCCGTTATTTGAATATTACCTGGCGGACCTTACCAGAGGCCATCAGCCGTGGACACGACGGGGCTGAGCTGTTGACTCGACCGGACAATTAGAAAATACCTTTTGACCAGTCCCATCCTGACCGAGTTGTTAGGTTGTTATCTACCCAACACAGTTTAGGTAAATATGCCGGCGTTGGCACTTCATCGAATTTTCCATCGACTTCAGTGGAGATCGAGGGCTGAATGATATTTAGTTAAATAGCTGCGGCTGGACCCGAGGTTTCACAACGGCGTTTCCGTGGACTACACCAGGTGGAATGTAGTCACGACCAACGCTGCAGTCGACTTGTATACTGCCCTTTTGACTTGCGGCAGTATATGACCCCTGTCTGCAAAGCGACCCGTACATTATGTCCATAAGAAATATTCGCGACGAGTATCGATACTTTAAGTCTACTGAGGCTAGGTATCCGTGGGTAGTCTGTCTATGTTTCACAGCATCTTCAACTTTCAGTATCCTCTCTCACGAGAAAGGAAGAACCAGGAATTATGTGATGAGAAGCACTTTCAGCATTCTATATCCACAAGCGCCCCTTTTGCTTTTAGCTTACAGAACCATAACTCCTCTTCGGCAAACATCCAGATACCGCCCCTAACGAAGTTGAAATTCGCTGTAATCCCACCTACAATGATTTTGCCCAGGAGTATACCCTGGGAGTCCCAAACATGTACACCGTCTCCGCAGCCAGAATAAACATACCCATTTTCATCACACTTAATGCCGTCAGGGACGCCTGTGTCACAGTACGCAAATGTCCGCCTGTGGCCCAAGCGCGTCCCGTCATCAACCACATCATACACATAGATACTTGCAGGTTTCCTCGGATCGGCAAAAAGTTGATGTCCATCACCGGGCCCATTATGAGCCTGAATAGCACCGGTGTCCGTAATGTACATCCTCGAGTAGTCGGGACTGAAGCAGAGCCCGTTGCACATTTCAAACCCATCGGCTACTACCACACACTCTCCCGTTGAGGGACGGAATCTGTACACCTGCGCAGGCAACTCTGGCGATGGCCGAAAGGCCTGCGCATATCCGTACGTGGGATCGGTGAACCAGATATCACCGGTGCCATGATGCACTACGACATCATTGACAGAATTAAAATGCCGTCCTTGGAAATTGTTGATCAGCGTCTCTGCCCGGCCCGTCACGGGATCGACAAGCACCAGTCCCGATGGACGCGAGAGATCCCCCTGCGCGCAGTACAGGACCTTGTCATCGAAGTTACACGCCCCGTTGGCCTGGACGACGTCCGGGTAGTCGAGCTTGGAGATCTCATGCGTGTCGCAATTGATTGCGTAGAGCTCGATCGGGTCGCATGTTTGGAAATTGGCGGTGAAGTAGACCGAGTTTGTGGGCTTGATGTAGACGCCTGCTTCGTGGGCGAATTGATAGCTGCGCTTCTCGATCAGGGTGAGCTGCGGTGAGTCTGTCTCCGGGCCAATGACGTCACGGATGAAGCGGGCATCGAAGGCTACGAAGCGAGGGACGGGGGAGCGGGCGAGCGAGAGAGCATAGGGAGCGTCCTTGGCCGCGTGGGACTTGTCAACGTGGACGACTGGCGTAGCTGGTGCTGGGGTCATCTTCTATATGGTCCCAGGAGATCAGTTGACTGTGAATCTAGCCACGGGGAGTTGGATCTGCGAAGGAATGAGTTCAGTTGGATTCATCAGCAGGACGTGGGGTTTGAAAGCGACATTGTACCCTCTGCAACGTTCACGGCTAGCACAAATTTCCATCCTCGTTTGCGTGGGCTATTCGGCACGAATACTATCGGAATATTGAACCGAATTTTCGGCTAAACGTCTTGCGGGGACGAGAATCGGGATCTGCCCATTGAGGCGAGGCAACATCGACGCCCCCGACGATCAGCGACGCATCGAGTTAAATACGTACGGACCTACAGGCCAAAATGGTTCTATGCAAAAGCAGTAAATGTCATTCTTCTTAATTAGCCATAGTGTACACTACATGTAGACCAGATACAAGAAATACTGCTAAAAGACAAAGAACGAAACGCCTGTCCATGTTTTGTCCTACACCCGGGAGAGAGCTAAAGGGGGAAATAAGAGTCCAGACAAGAGTAAATCGAAGGTTCATAAAAAAAGAAATATCGCAAAGTGGACATAAAGATATGAGTGAATAGCGATGAAGGACTGGAAATGGCCTCATTTGAAGTAAAGTGAAAGGCTCATTCCTCGTCTTCTGCGTCCTTCATTTCGGCATCTACACCGATATCATCACCTGCCTTGGCTTCTTCCCCTTCGCTTCCCGGCTTCTCATCGAATAAGTCGTCGTGCTCTCCCTCGTCCTCATCCTCATCATCTTCTATCCGTAAATTGACCTTCTTACGCCGACGCGACACCAGGGTATCTTCGCCGTCTTCATCGAGGTGGCCGGTGTCACGCATCCTCTCATCTCGTTCGTCTGCAGTTGGCGGGCTACCGTTGCTAGCTGGAGCGCCTGTCTCTTCGTCGCTTTCAGACTCAACAACAATCTCGCTGCTCTTGTATTTACTTGACTTGGCCGTCGCTCTTCTTTCCAAACGTCTTCGCTTTCTTGGAGCGGGCTGGTCTTCGGCATCGGAAGTGGCAGGTGTGCGTGAGCTAGCTGCGCTCTTAGCTCTGGACTTCCTCGACGGTTCTCGTTCTCCATCTTCTCCTTTCTTTTTTCGCTTGCCACCAGAAGCCTTCTTCCTTTTAACCCTGTCTCCCGTCTCGGAGTCAGTAGTGTACTCAGCAGCTTCTCTTGCCTTCTCTTCTTCAGCCCGAATAGCAGCAAGCCGCTGGGCCTCTTCGACCATCTGCTGTCTCTCTTCCGCAATCTGGCGCTTCCTTTCTGCTTCGGCCTCCTCGGCCTTACGCCGTTTTTCTTCTCGTCGTCTCTGTTCAGCGTCACGGGCCTCCCGAGCTTGTTGCAACTTGGCGGCATTCTTTTCTTCATACTCTTTCTGGCTTTGTAAAGCACGCTGAAGTTGATTGATTGTTGTGTTTCTGATCATGTTCGCTCGCTGTTCAAGTGAGATAGGCGGATAAGGTGGATTCGGTGCTTTTGCAATTTTTTCAAATGTCACCACGGCTTCGTCGAGTCCGCTCAGGGCTTCTTCGATCTCCTGGGACGTCTTTTGCGTCTCTGGAAGATTCGAGGCGAGATGAGCAATTTCGTTTTGGACGAAAGCAATGTTGAAGTCAAGATGCTTCTGTTCGGGGGCCACGGCGCGAGCACGTTCCGCATACTCCAAAGCGGTCCTCATCGAAGTGATGCTTCGCTCTTGTTTGCCTTTCAGGAACCATACGCGGCCAAGGCAAGAGAGAATCTGTGGGTCCTTGGCCCTATCTTTTGAGAGAGCAATCTCATACTGCTTGTAGGTTAGCTAGCGCCACACCGCGATATTTGTGAACGGATCCTTACGTTTTCAATAGACTTGGAGAATTGCCTTAGTTCTGCAAAGACGTGTCCCAAGTTCAGGTAAACACTTGCGTCCCGTATAGAATCTCGAACTTTAGAAAATACTTGAACCGCTGATGCATAATCTTTTCTGTCATCAACCAATGCAATTGCAATTCCTTGGGCGGCATATGCATTCTTCGGGTCTAGTTGAAGGGCTTTATCGAAAAATTCAACGGCTCGTTCGTATACCTTCCTACGCTTTTCTCGATCTTGCTCTCCATCCCGTCTCATGTCTCGAGCCACCATTAGGTGTATGTTACCCATAGCGGTCAAGGAGTATCGATCGTGTTTGTCATAACCTTGAAGAGTATGTTTATGATGTCGCTGCTCATGATCTTCCGCGATATTGGCAGTTCGACGTTTTGATTTATTGAGATACCATCCAAAAAGGGCGCGGACTTCCAAGTTGGTAGCTTCTGCTTCGTACAGCTTTGCCATCTTCTTTGGCCCTTCATCAGTTGGGCTCTGACGGAGTGCCATATACGTGAGACGGGCATTAGCTTCGGTGTAGTCACTATGCCTTTCCAAAAGTCCTTTGTATACTTTCTCGGCTTCTTCTGGCATTCCCGCAGTTTCGTACGTACGCCCGAGATTGTAACTGATCGTTGTAACAAGCGCATCCGTATCGGTTCCATCATCTTTCTCCTGTGTTTTCACACAGGCGTTGAGAGCGGTTTGGAACATATTTCGAGCTTGTTCAATTTTATCGGCCTGATAGAAGAAGCAGCCCATGTTGTTGAGTAGCTGAGGAGCCAAACGTTCTCGGAGGATGTTGGTCATCGTTTCTTCATCTTCAACATTATCCGGTCTATCCTCTTGTGGAATTTGGGCAAGTTGTATCTGTTCAATCTGAGAAAGGCATTGCATGCTCTTCTCCGGAGCGCTGGTCTCATACAAGCGAGCAAGGTAGAGCAGTACGGATATATCCGGAGATATTTTCTTCTTCTCATCCTTCCACGAGGCGCGTACAGCTTCAAGGAGACCAATGGCCTTCTTAATTTCGGTGGATTTATCTTCTTTATTACCGCTAGCCAGGGCTTCAAATATTTCTTCAGCATAAAGAGAGCCTAGCAGCGTCATCGCTTCCGGGTTTTTCTTCTGCTGGAATATCTTTTCAAGCCGAAATTTTGCCCCATCTTTGTCATGTGCCTTGATCTGCATCTGCACAGCTCCGAACTTAGCGGGGAGATATCCTTTATCCGAACCGCCTCTTGCCTGGTCGGATCGATTGTAGTATTCCTGCGCCTTCGACGGATCGCCCTCTTCATGTTCTTTACGTGCGAGCAAATACCAACCATCACTAGCAATGGCATTGACATCAGTGAGCTCAATGGCTTTCCTTGCAAGTGCCTCAACCGTCGGAAAATGCCTGCGGAGGAGGAAATAGCCGCCGAACATAGTGCAAGTCAATGGGTATTCCTTATCAAGTTTGAACGCTTTTTGGGTGTATTGAGTCATGGCAAGCTTGTATAAGGACCCAAAGGCAGGATCGGTTGTTGCGTGACGAGAGCTATCGTAAAGGTAATACGCAGCGAGGAGGATGTTTGCAACTTTGGAGTTGGGATTCTAGAAGACGTTAGATAAAATTTAACTTAGAGAAGAAGAGAGCGTTATACCAGAGCAAGGGCGCGGTTCCAAGCTGCTTTAGCCTGGTCCTTAAAATCAAGCTGCCATAGGCAGCAACCGATACCGATTCGCGGATCAGGATCTGTCATGTTTGGCATTTTCATCAGGACATCCTGATACCCTTCCAGAGCTTCAGCGTAGCGTCCCAACATGTACTGGGCTCTTGCTCGACCCAGTATAGCCATGACATTTCTATTCCCGAGAGCCTTGGAGGATTCATCGAAACATTTCAACGCTTGTCGCAGAGATTCTACTCTCTCGGAGGTGTCGACAGTGCCGGGTCTGATCGGCTTTGCTGGAGGCTGTAAAGATGCACGGAGGAGAGAAAGGACACCGCGCGCGAGGAAGAGCGGTGGGAAAGCCGGGTTCATCCGAGTGGCCTCATTGAGGGTAGCGGTTGCGGCTTGAAGATAGTAATCTTTTGTTCTCGCTTCGGACAGCAACTGTCCTTCCGGAGCGACTCTCGGAGCCTGCCTGCTCTTGAGCAAGTATAACCAACAGATCCAGTTCAGCAAGCCGAGCTTCTCCACCGACGCGCCATGAGATAGAGACGCAATCCCACGATTGAGGATCTCGATAGCGAGATCAAGTTGATTGTGCTTAGCATAAGCAAGAGAGATTATCACCCAAAAATTCTTTGTGGCCTGCTCATTGTCAAGGAGAGTACAGAGCTCGGTGGGATCTTCGGGGAGTTCTTCAAGGCTAATTTCGACTTCGGTGTCAAAGGAGGATGCCGGGATATCGATGGCAGAAGGGATATCGGAGAAGCGAAGATTTGCGGGAGGCGCATTAGCTACATTGTCCAGCGCGACGGTAGAGCCGTTCACATAGCCATTTTGAAAAGATGCCATAGTGGTGCGCAAGCCGGGGAGCTGTGAACACGGAGAATTGGTGAAGACCCACCGACGGAAATCAGATCACCATCACCACGCAACCATTCAATATGGGATTTGCCTGCTAGTATAGGGCGCGGTAGGGCAATCAGAACGCCACTGGAATGGGAGAAAAGAGTTTGCGCAAGAGAGGGACCGGCGAGCTTCGTCACGCTCCGAGTGCGAGAAATGTCAGGTTCTCCCGATCGAGCATTGGGCGATGCTTGCAACGGGGCTGATTAAGCCACACCAGCCACATTTACAAGCCCATCTCTGTGGCTGGTGGGCCCATGAAAGTATGGTCACGTGACAAATCTCTTTCGGGTGAGGTCGCAACCGAATACGCACTGTATGAATTGTGTGCAATTTGGAAATAAGATTCTAATCCCTCTGCAAAGGATTATACCCCCTGTAGGCCAGCCCAGAATTTGTCCTTGTTCATGGAAGAGTTTGCCTTAATCATTTGTCATTCGTATAGCTAGCGGTAGACTTCTGGCATCTAACCTGCCATTAGCACTCGCTATCATGTAGTTCATCTAACTGCAGGAATTACTGATTAGCTCTACGGAGTATGCAGCTCGACACCGAAGGAGTTACCCGAAATAGTCGGTCAAAATTCCAAAATTTCTAACCAAGCAAGCCGCCCCTAAAAAGCAGAAAAACCAAAAGCCCCCGAATTCCTAATTCCAAATTTGTGGAAGGAACTTAAGAACTAAGCCCAATGTGATAAGAATTGTAAAGACTCTGCCGGCTTCACTCCAATGTCTGAGCCTGATTTCGCTTTCGATATAGCCATCATTAGCACTGCCTGTCGCCTGGTTCCTCTCCTCTTTAAATCCTGTACTGGAGGTGGTTCCGGGTTCGAATGGCGGGAATCGGCCGGTTTCGGCAAACCGTTCAAGTAGCTGATCCTTCTCTCCCCATCTCTTATAAATCCAATCCTCGAACTCCTTCTGGTCGTTGAGTGGAATATCTAGAATAGCAAAACGCCGCCAATAGAAATTCACAGCCTTCGGAGGTCGCCCCCGCAGATACGTGGAACGAAGAGTGAAGTAGGATTCTGCATAGCTGCCTTTCCTATCTTCTTTGTCAACAATCCTTTCCTTAAACTCACGGGGGATCAAAGACACTACTTACGGTGGACCCTCGTAACCAACCGTGCAGTCGTACACATAATCGACAGTTCCTCTGAGCTTCTGGAGACAAAAGAACAACCCAGTGGAACGGGGGAGCAGCGTGTGTTTACGCGGAGCAATTCCTTGCTTCTCGCAATATGCATCGCTTCGTCTTTTGGTGTTTCGAGATAGGTTCGTGCCTTCGGGGTAGATAAGCAGCCACATGGGGTCGAAGACCGGTAAGCCATCGGGAGACTTTCCATGGCTGGTTTTCAATTTCTGCAAGCGATGCTGCAATCGTGGCTTATCCTCAATCCATTTGCGTGCCATGAAAATGAAACCGTACAGCATCATTCCCTGTCCGATAAAGGGGATATATTTGAGAGATTCTTTCAAGATAATATATATATATCCGTGCATATTGCTCGTGTATGATACCCACCACAGGTAAAGCCAGTCTGTGTAGACTTGATGGTTCGCGATCAAGACAAGTCGCTCCGGGAATTTTGTTACAACCGTTCCATCATTTAGGAGGCTGAATTGGCCTTGCATGCTGCTATCCCCACTGATTCGAACTGGCGTTGGACTCGACCATTGTGTGAGTGCGGTAATTGTGATGCCAAAGAATCGCTTCGTCATCGCCATGTACGAATAAAACCACCGCTTGTTGACGAGGTAAAGTGGCAGACCTATAGCTTGAGTTGCAACGATAGAAATGCAGCAGCAATTGAACCATGTTACGATCAGCAAGCTGCGAACTATCTGGAGAAACAACCCATAATTCCCTTCGGGACGGGCGTATTTGTGTCGACCTGTGTCTCCTCGGTATGATGTCGAGTCAGACGCCAGCTCTGGTGCTGGCGGCTTGCGTTGTATCGGACCGTTGGACGACATGAGATCACTTTGTGCTTTACGAAGGCCGGAATCAGATGCCAGGTTCCAATGTGATCCTCCTTTCCCGAGGCGGCTGGCTCTTAGGCCGCTCTGTTGAGAACGTCAAACTTTTGACACCAGAGAGAAACCAGCGACTGGGCTCTCCTAACGTAGGATCGAGATGTGAAACCACACCTGAAAGTTCAACAGCTTTTCTCGTCTCCCTTATTTCCACTCCACACGGAAGTGACGTGCGTATGGCGGTGTAACAGTGCTGCCTATAGGAAGATCTCCAGAGGGGGATGGCAGGAGAGGATCAGCGATTCAGAAGGGCTAGTCAGAGGGAACAGCCGGCGTCAAGAGACAGAAAGCTCCATGGGCCCGGGGATAGAACCGGGGTAATATTGGGAACGTTGAGTGGGAGCCTGGGGCTGCTCGTCATTCTTGTTCTGTCGCTTAAGCTGCATTGGAGCTTCAGCAAATCGCGATGCAGCTTTGTTCCACTCAGGTCCTGATACGTCAGACCATGTGACCACATAGTGAACCAGTCCACAGAGCAAATCCCAATGGCTTGGCATCGAGTTCACGGTCGGGTCGCGTGCGCGTGTGCGACGAATTTTTAAAGCTGTGTGTGGACGGGAAGCCCATACTAGCTACGGAGAGACTGCTTCCTGACTGCAAGTGCCGTTTAATCGATCTTGGATTGCTCTGCCGATTTGTAACCATGCGCCCTGACCCCCGCTTCCGACCGGTTTCCTGACCTTATGCTGGGAAGCGCCTCGATCTGCAACCCTGCAGGATAGTTACTGTGTACTTGACCTGAACCCCGCTGGGTTTTTACAGAAGCAATTTGAGGACGGTTTCAGGAATGCTGATGGCCAGCAAGATCAGTAGGTGGGATCTGCTTTTCCAGCAACATCGATATTACCGACTCACCTCATATTGACCACTAGATTTCGACCACCTGATTGTTATTTTGCATTATTTCTACTTTGGTCTTAGCTAAAGCCACGATGCTGTTGGTAAAAGGTCATTTTCAAAAGCAGGTAGTGGCTCTATTGGGGAGAGCCATCAAGTATCGCAGATTCTCCTCCACTCCGCGGTTACGACAAATCGAAGATATCAGCACTCTACCGGACCGCATATTCCCGCGCTATCAAGGTGTGCGTTAGAATTCTAAGAAAGAATCCGAGCTATGCTTGTTAACCATATTGACTTAATCGATATCGTATAGAATCCAAAGGAAGCGACCTCCTTGCACTGCAATGGCCTGTGCCGCCACGAAATATTCTCCTGGTACGCAAGAAAGGGGCCCCGGCCGTGACTCAATCTGTGATTGAGTTTGCAAAGTCCGTATCCCCCCACCCTCCAGCTTGCCAGGCGAGTTATATTAACTGAGATTCAGTTATATCAAGTCCACTTATCCCCCAGTTTCCATCCTCTTAGAGCGAGACACTGCCAACGAAATCCACGATGCCTTGCCGTTCCCAGTGTATGCCAACACAACATCTACGGACATTCTCCCCGAGAAGGTGGATTTGATGGTTACTCTGGGCGGTGATGGCACAATTTTGCGGGCTTCGTCCTTTTTCGCCACGTCCAAAACGGTTCCTCCGATTCTGTCGTTTAGTATGGGCACCTTGGGTTTCCTCGGGGAGTGGAAATTTTCAGAATATAAAAGCGCCTTCCGAGAGGTGTACATGTCGGGGTCTGGTTTGGGAGAGCGTGCAGCAGTGCTTGGGAGTCCATCAAAGGACAACGACGAAAAGGCGACCGACAACATGCCGCGAGATTGGTCCACTCTTCGTGGCATGTCTATGGGATTAAGCAGAAGCGCACGGATCCTAGTGAGAAGTAGAATAAGGGTTGGGCTATTCACGCCAGATGGAAAGCCGGTGTATAACAACGGTGTGACTATGTCATCCCCCGCGGATGATGATGCTGGGGTGTACGCGATGAATGAAGTAGTGATTCATCGTGGTAAGCAACCGCATCTTGCGATTGTTGAAGTTTATGTTGGTGGTCGATTCCTCACTGAAGCTGTTGCGGACGGAATGATCATATCTACTCCCACTGGGAGTACGGCTTACAGTCTTAGTTCAGGAGGCAGTATCATTCACCCTCTTGTGCCCTCCTTACTGCTGACTCCCATCTGCCCGCGAAGCCTAAGTTTCCGGCCGTTGGTGATTCCTTCTAGCACACCTGTAACTCTGCGCCTGAGCGAAAAGAATCGCGGCGGTGAAGCGGATGTTAGCATCGACGGTGTTCTGGTAAAGCAAGGTCTTCGAATTGGGATGAAGATCCGTGTGTGGGGCGAGGATATCAAAGTTGTCGACGGCGCCTGGCATGGAGGTATTCCATGCGTGATGCGCAAGACGATAGGTGATGGTGATGCATCTGACGGGTGGGTTGGGGGCTTAAACGGGCTTCTGAAGTTCAATTATCCATTTGGCGCGGAGCCATGATGACCCTTATTTTTGAAACTTGAAGCCAGAATGTTGTAAATATGGCTGCGTGTGCCCGAGTTTGCTGGCGTAATATTGATACCCAAGCCTGAACTTACCCCGGACCTAGTCAGATTGTTTTGCCATTTTTATCGAGCTGGAGAATTTCGAAACGGGCCAGACCTCGAAGTTGCCAGATTTATTTAAAAACGGCTTTTTGTTGGACTCGCCCGAGTCGCTTATTTTGGGGGGATAACTGTGTTTCAGCTGCGCGTGCTCCATCAGAAATCGTGCCGCCATGGCCGTAGGCTTTCGTATTCCGGAGACGATGTGCGAACAAAATAGATCCCGCCACTCAGCCTACCAACTACCCTTATCTATGCATTGATTCGGAGAGCATATGGGAAATATATCTCCGCCCCTAACTTCTCCCATAGGGTTTCTCAAACCTCGGGGCCTCCTTTCACCTCTTCTCGAGTAGGATTTTTTTTTCTTCCCTCTTGATTAATAATGATACATAATAATCTCGAAGCCCCTTGTCCTGTCCAGGGAGCAGAACAATTTAGGTTTCAGGAGGTTGATGGAAAGGATCAGGAGTACTCCGTAGAGGGCTTGGATTCCAAAGGCCTTGATCACTAAAAATTGGATCTAACAAGATACCGCATATAGGATGCAGCTGGATGCGATGCACAGCCTGCGATGCAGCACAATCTCTCCGCTGCCTTGCACTCCGGCAGAGTAGAAATAAATGGACTGAGATGTTGCTGCTGGGGATGTATCAAGTGCCAGATTGACGCTAGACGGGGTGTGCCGCCACTAGTCCGCCCTCCCCCCATGCAATCGCGAGAGGAACAGCCAACTCCAACCACATCCACCTTCAGCCTCCACAAAGGGGGTTTATCAAATTCGCAAATTCACCGCCGATTGCTCCTCTGTCATTTCAAACCCTCGCTCACTAGCTTTCAGCCCTTATTCTTGTGCAACACAGACACTTGTTCATATCCTGATCGGAATTCATTCGCACACTCCCTCTGTTGTCCTGCCATCTCACCTTGTCGGCCTCACTTCATGGCTGGACCCTCACTTTGTCCGCCCCACGCCTATCCCTCGAAAGCAGTTGGTTGCTGAACCAGTCACTACCGTCTGCGTTGCTTGAGCTAGTCATTTGCCTGTTTGGATGAACTCTCAGGCACTGGTTTTGCCCCTTGTTCCTGTTTTATCTCTCTTGAGTCCCAAGCAAGGCAGTGAATTCCTGAGGTAAGCTAACAGCACGTCAGACTTATTTTGAATACTTAATCATGGCACATCTATTTCTCTTTGTCTGGACAGTGTGCCTTACTTAACTGGGTCTTTTTGGGTCTATGTATCGCGTTGGTTATGAATGCCGAAGCAGTGTAGACTGACTCTCTACCACGATATAGTTACCTTAATATCCATACCCCCTCCTTCGAAAAGTCTTTGTGTTAGATACACTCATATCTACAGCTCCTTTCTGGACATGCACATGAGTAACACGGTCTATTGCTGAAAATGGCATCTCAAAAGTAAGTTGCACTCTATCTGCGCATTGTTTTCCCGAGGAACCTGCCCTCAAAACTGTTTAGACCCGGTCACAAAAGTTACCTGGAACTTTTACGTCTCCTTGCAAAGAACATGCAGGTCAATTGCTGATACCAATGCTGATTAACTGAAATCTATAGTGTTTATTCCCGGGACCAGTTCATGAATCCTGGTCCTGCTCCTCGCCCGCCCACAGACCGACCCCGCATTAACACGGCGTCCACTGTGTCAAGCGTTCCCACCAGCTTTAGCCAGATGTCCTTGAACTCGCCGTCCACGCCCACCTTGTCCATATTTCCGAATTCTAGCACACTGTCTTTGAGCCAAAAGAGTGGCCAAGGCGGGGTTGCTGTAATAAAGGAGGGATACGTCCGCTGTAAGGAGGATAAATTCTTAGCCAGCTGGAATCAACGCTATCTAATCCTTCGGGAATTTAAACTCGAATTCTTGAAAAATGAGACTGGCAAGGTGGTCCTGTCTATCCAACTTAACAACATTACCAATGTCACTCGTTCAGAGGATACGCGGATGGCATTTGAGATTACTCGAATTGCCAATCCGAAAGATGCTAATAACCGTGCGGCTCTTACAAGCCGAGACGTAGCCACCAAGACGATTACTTGCGAAGTCAAAAGTGACGACGAGATCTATGAATGGATTGACAAGATCTATGAGCGCTGCCCTGGTATGGGTGGTGTCAGCAACCCAACCAATTTCAGTCATCGTGTCCATGTTGGATTTGACCCTCACACTGGAGCGTTCGTTGGGCTTCCTGCGGAATGGGAGAAACTTCTGACGGCATCCGCTATTACGAAGGAGGATTACAAGAAGAACCCTCAGGCTGTTATTGAGGTCCTTGAGTTCTACTCTGATATCAAAAGGCGTGAGCAAAATCCGCAATATTATCAGGGTATGGGTCCTGGATACCCTTCAAGTCAACGTCCAATGCAATCAGGCCATTCTTCCCCTTCTCAGCGGCTGGTCATGCAACGGAGCGACACCAGCCAGTCTCAACGACAGTATGGTGAAATGTCATCAAATACTTCTCCGGTTTCGCACCGTAAGGTCTCAGATGCCGACCGTTCTTATGCATCATATCAGCAGGAGGTTTCGAAAGAGATGCCAGACCCGGAGCAGAGACGCCGCATGGACGAGGAAGCTCGACGTATCCGAGAAATGCAACGCCAGCGTGAAGAGGAACAGAATCGCCGAGAACAAGAGGCATATAATGCCTCACTTCCGAAGACCCGTCCACCTCTTGCACAGCAAGAATTAGGCGGATATGGAGGTGGTCGAGTTGAAACGCCTAACAATCGATTTAACCCATCGCGTCCTGCACCTAACATCCCTACTACTGATCGTAGTCGCCAACAGGCTCCAGGGTCACTTCGGCAAATGACTCCACAACGCCCTGCGCCCTCAACCCCCAAAACTGGCACGTCGACATCTCGAGCCGCCGAGCCCCTTAATGGCCAAGGATCTCTCCGTTCAGCGCCACGACCCGACCCATCCCGTCAACCAACATCTGATCGATACGCTCCAGAGAAGCGTCCGAATCTTAATACACCAGGTCAACCTCCAAGCCGTCTTCCGGCTCCTGTACAGCCTGTTAAGCCTCTTAACATTGCAAATAAAACAACTGGTGCCCAGACTAAAGCTGTCCCTGATGGCATTCGACAAGCGGAAGCTGCTCTAACCAAGAAAGCCGAGCCTCGTCACAAGGATGTCCGCATGTCGACTATGTCGGAAAGCGAAGTTATGGAGAGACTTAAACAAGTCGTATCAAAGGATAATCCAAGTGAATCATATAGTAAGCAACGTAAAATCGGTCAGGGCGCGTCTGGTTCTGTATATGTTGCGCGGATTAAGGAAACTGCCACGTCCCCTATTGCTCGTGAACTTTACCGCACGCATGGTCCAAGAGCACAAGTTGCCATTAAGCAAATGGATCTCAAGAGTCAGCCGCGCAAGGAACTCATTGTTAACGAGATCATTGTGATGAAGGATAGTCAACACCCGAACATTGTGAACTTCTTGGATTCGTTCCTGCAGGAGCAAAACAATGAGCTTTGGGTTGTTATGGAGTACATGGAAGGTGGTCCTCTGACTGATGTGATTGAAAACAATCCTGTCATCCAAGAAGATCAGATTGCAACTATCTGCTATGAGGTAAGTCATAGTCCTGCTTTTGAATTTTGATTGATCTGACAACAATCACAGACCTGCAAAGGATTGGCACACCTCCATAGTCAATCAATCATCCACCGTGACATCAAAAGTGATAATGTTTTGCTTGACCGCGTGGGAAATGTGAAGATTAGTATGTTCAAGTCTGGTAATATGCTGTCGCTGTGCTAACAACAGTTGCCTAGCCGACTTTGGTTTCTGCGCAAAGCTTACTGAATCAAAGAGCAAACGTGCGACAATGGTGGGCACACCATACTGGATGGCTCCAGAGGTTGTCAAGCAAAAGGAATACGGGCCACGAGTCGATATCTGGTCTCTCGGTATCATGGCCATTGAAATGATTGAGTCCGAACCGCCCTATCTGAATGAGGAACCTCTCAAAGCTCTGTATCTGATTGCGACCAACGGAACACCACGTCTAAAGAAGCCGGAAAAATTGAGTAAAGAGCTCAAGTCTTTCCTTAGCGTTTGCTTATGCGTCGACGTTCGCAGCCGTGCGTCGTCAGACGAGCTGCTTCAGCATGAGTTCCTCCGGAACGGTTGCAGTCTGGCTAGCCTTGCAGAGTTACTTCGGTGGAAGAAAAACACCGCCCAGTAATTCCAAATCGCTATTACACATTTTGGTGATTGATGCAGTCGTCTCAGACTCCGAAAAATTTTTCCAATTGGGAGCTAATTCCATCCCTTCCGCGGCGGCATTTTCGGCTTGATAAATCATTTGCATAACCTCTCTTGCTTCTAACGACTTGGTTTATTCATGTCCCCGTCCTTCACTCGAGTCATCGTACCCCCACACACTCTCTCTACGTCTTGGTCGTTATCCGCAATCCTCCACTTTTGCCTATTCCTCTCGGCTTATATCCCGCCTGCGACTTCTTCTCGCCGTTAATGCTCCTTGTTATGTTGCCCATTACCCCTGGCGCTGACAGTATTACCTGGCAGGCGTTTCTGGATTCATGAGGTGTCAATTATAATTAAAAAGAGACGCATATCAACGGCCCATTAGTCAGTCCCTTTCTTCTTTTACGCTCCATGCCTTAAATACCCTATATACATATTTTGAGGCGATAGCGGCAAGCCTTTCAGAGCAATGTTCTCGATTTTCTTCGCCCATGACTGACGCCTTTGATGCCGAATACCTTGATTTCCTCGGATTTTCTGCACAATTCAATTGATCTTCGATTCTAGGTTAAGTTAATTAGTTTGTTCTTTACGATTTTACCGGTTTTTCTCTTTTTTTTTTTTTTTTTTTTTTTTTTTTTTTCCTTCTCTCTCAGTCTCCTGCGTCCATCAAATCCGTGGCATTGCATGAGGGTCATCGATGACAAAAAGATTAAATACACTTTTCTTTCCAAGGCAAAATTTTATCAACCTCATTCAGCGATGGTATTTGAATATTCCAGGACCTTTTTTAAGTTATTTTCAGAGATGGCTCATAGGTACTCCCAGAAAGCCCGTAGATATGCGTCAGTCCTCTATCAGCAAAAATGCCCACCCTCTCACCTTCGCTTTTTGAAATCCAGCTTCGTTGTTAGATTAAATATATACATAGGTGTCATTATTAGGGACGAAAAACCAAAATACTCGTCAAACCCTAAAACAAGACAGGGATAAAGGATCAAATGCATTAACGAGGATTATGCGCATCCAGGCAATCCTTAAAGCATAACTCTCCCAACAAAACCAGCCAGTTCCCCAAAAAGGACACCTCTCAGAATAGCCTCGCCTTCTTCAGCAGCCCAGTGTCCTGCATCCATCAGTTTAACCTTCCACGCCTCCTGCTCTTCATGGGGTAGGTCTTCCCATCTTCTGCCCTCTGGTTGGTCTCCATCGCCTCCATTCTCATGAATCCTAACGTCTTGCCCGTGATCTTGGACAATCACGGTCTGGGAATCGCCCTTTGATGAAAGGAGATCTCGTAGTGGGAGCGCGGACGTCCGTATTACTGACGTCTCAGCGGCCTGAGTAGACGTTGATGCTGCCGTCCGTAGGGAATATATAGTGGGTTGGCCTCGACGTCCATCTTCAAACATGTACGGCCTTGCTATTAAATCGCGTAGGCGCGGATGTAGCCATTCCTTCGCACCTAAGACTGGGGGCACTCCACCGCGGATTTCGGTAAAGGCTTGCAGGAAGAATGCCCCCACTGCAACCACGATCAAGGCCATGATTATGGCGAACAGGTTTTGTAATATCTCCGACGGGCCGGGTGTTACAAGCACATAGCGAGGACGCCTAGAATCCGCCGGGAATGGAGAAAGGGGCAAGGTATGCACCACAACCGTATTCCCAACGCTAACTGTGACCAGTTTGATGTATTGAGGTTTCACTTCTGCTGTGACCGGGTGAGAAGGTGGAATAAAGTTGGAGAATGCAATCTTGGTCATGGAAAAAGGATGTAAATCTCGAAGGGTAAGGTAATGATAAACCTTTCCAAACCCACGCTCTGGAGAATAGTCGACGGTAAAGATCTCGATGGACTGGTCATTACCAGACACAGCAACCACATGTTGCCGTTCGCCCTTGGACGATGATGACAGATGGCATACATCCAAGCCAAAACCGATTTTCATAGACTTGTGGAGACGACGTCTCCTTGTAACCAAGCCTTGGGAACCTTTCATAGTCACAATTGCCAACTCACAGCCAGATCTGTTGGCAGAATTCAGAAGTAAAACGAAAGAAGACGGCGAAAGGAACCGTATGGCGCGGATTTTCGGCTTCTTTCCACCCTCAGACCGGAGTGTATATATGCATTGGAATTGTAGAGATTCCGCCTTTTTTGACGCCGACAGCTCACACATATATAGCGAGGATCCATTCGTATATATAAACTTAAATCTCCCCTCATCATCAATGTCCAAAATATCGAGGTCTTCGGCTTCTTCCTGGTTCCCAAGCGCCACCCGTCCGAGAACATCGGACTCCTGTGGAGTGGAGGTATTCGCGTTGAACAAAACAATTTCGCCCTGCGCTGCAAGCCCACTCGCTATCGCGGCAATCCGGGGTAAACTCTCTCCCTGGAAGGGAGAGAATCTTAAAGTCCTCTGATAGGCCTCTTGATCCTTTTTGTCCTTTGAAGCCCTGGTTCTGAATAATGACGCTTTTGATAAAGGTACAGTTTGCAAGTGCTTCTCGGGCTTAGATACATCATCATCATCCACAGCGGAACCTGCCCTCCGTGATTTTATGTGTGGAATATCCACTTTAAAGGATCGTAGATGCTGGTTGTTGTTTTGCTTCTGTTGTGCTTGGGAGCTGTTGATTCCAGCGAAAGCTATGAGGGACTCCTGGCTCGATTGGGCTATGCCCAGCGACATTACGGAATCTTCGTCTCGCGATAGGCCGATCTCGACGAGTTCAGCAATTTTGTTTGGGTGTGAGGTGTTGAGGAGGGACTATAGCGAATTACGGTGTTAGCAAAGTGCCGCATAAAATGACAATCATCTTCTGGAAGCTGGGGAAACATGCAATCTTGTTCCCAACACCACTACGCCCTTCACCACCGCCTCCACCCACAAGGAGCAGGCCATTGTTTCGGGGATCGAAGTCTGCGGCGAAAAGCGGACATGAGAGGGTAATCTTCGCGGAGGAAACTGTGGGAGCCATGGATTGGAGTGGTCGGGATCGGACGAATAGCGAGGAAAAGGTAGAGAAATCCAGGTCCTCTCTATGTGAAGGAGAATTACCAATGCTGTGAAATAAGATCGTGGATGGACGTGTCGATGCCAGCTAGGATGCTAAAAAAGACGGCTGGCAGACGATGGTTGGTGCACCTCAACCCAACGTCATTTAACCTTAAGCATGTGACTGAGCATCAAACGTTTCGCCCTAAAGCCATAGCATTTTTCTAAGCTGCTGTTCTGATTGCTGAATCTTTTATGTACAGTTTACAGGTTGTCAGCTATATTGCTTCTAGCTAAGAGAAGAAATTGGGTCTAATATCGCGTTCTCTATGGCCTATCTCCCCATCTAATCCACTTCTTGTCCCAGGAACTCGGGTAGTCTTTTCCTGACATCTTCCCAAGTCTCTTCGCCTTCAACCAGAGATTTAACCGCTTTACAAATTTCATCTTCGCTAGCGCGAACTTGTTTCATGCTGTCTCGGTCCCGTAAGGTGAACGTGTTGTCCTTAACAGACTGGAAGTCAACGGTGATGCCGAAGGGGGTTCCAAGCTCATCATTTCTGGCATATCGTTTGCCGATACTTGCTGAACTATCATCGACACGATTGGAGACCCCCATGCGTCGAAGCTTGAGCGTGAGTTTCCGCACAAGTGGCTGGAATGATTGATGGCTGGAGAGAGGAACAAGGAGGACTTTCGTTGGCGCCGCGAGAGGAGGGAATGATAATACCTATTATATACGTTAGGTCAATTTGATTGATATAAGGTGAAGAGCCTAAGGGATGAAAATCGTTGAATATAGAGAATATACTTACACCACGGGCTTCATCTCCTTCTCTTGACCAGTAGACATGCTCCATCAGGCAATACAAAATTCGTCCGATACCAAACGATGGCTCAATGACGTTAGGAGTATATTCACGGATATTTTCCACTCGAGTGCGTTTCTCGATCTTAACGAGATCTTTCCCAATCTCAACCTTTCCATCGTTGACACCCTCCACGTCAATCGTGATCTTCCCATCTTTGTCCAGATCCAACGCAAGCTTTTCACGAAGCTCCTGGGAAAGTGCATCGATGGCTGCCTCAACAGTCTTTCCGTCCTTCTTAAAACGCGGCCCGAACTTTTTCCTGTCAATATCAACCTGCCACTCTTCGATCCGGAGAGGTTCCGCTCGTGTTTCTCTAACAACCAAAGGAGCGCCGGTCTTGTTTTTGTGCACAGAAAGATCGTAGGCGCTGCGATCAGCACAGCCGACGCACTCAATCCAGCCATAGCTGCTGAGAAGTTCAGCATCCCAACAGTCTGTGGCGTAGTGGGCCATCTCATTTGCCATATGCTGTCGCAGGCGGACTTTGCTCTCATCAATGCCAATCTTCACGAGGAACATATAAATGCGAGCGAGGAAGTAGCCCAGAGTCTCGTTATCCACTAACCCAGTCTCGACCGCTTTGCCGATCGTCATACGAAGCGGTTTCGTGCTTCCAGACAGCTGAATTTCTCTGCTTAGGAAGGAAAGCTCTGTATTTTCAACCTCGTGGAAACGAGGATGTTTCTTACCACCCTGAGGGTCGACGAAGTGCTCAATTTCTGCCATCAAAAATTCGCGGACTCGTAAAAGGCCAGATCGGGGTGAGATTTCGTTCCGGAAAGATTTTCCAATAGACGCTGAGGCGAACGGCATTGACTGCTGGTTAAAGTCCAATAATTTTTGGAAAGTAAGGAATTGTCCCTGTGCGGTCTCTGGCCTGAGATATCCAGGGATATGCCCGCTCGGCCCAATTGCAGTCTGGAACATGAGATTGAATGACACTGGAGGCAGCACATCACCGCCAGTGACAGGATTCTTGATATGGTGTTTGACAATAAGAGCACCAAGCTCTTCCCCATTATAGTTATCGATCTGCGCAAGGATCTCTTCGTATTCCGCGACCACAGCATCATCAAGTCTGACTGCCTTGGTCTCCTTGGCCTTCTTCTTCTTCTTCGCTTCCTTCTCCTCGTCAACCTGCACCTTTTCTCCACGAGCCTCTTTGTCGCCCTTTAGTCGCGATTCTAAAACTTCCTCCACGAGATGATCCGCGCGGAAGATTTCACCGGTCTTAGGGTCCTTGCACATCCAGTCGGCGAATTTATCCACGTGCCCACTTGTTTTCAAGACCTCGTGGGGAGTAAGCATTGTGCAATCCACCTCTAACATGTCTTCTTCCAGCACGAAATGCTTTCTCCAAAGGTCCACGATGTTCGCCTGGAGAGCGCATCCTGGTGGACCGTAGTCGAAGAGGCCAGATACCCCACCGTAGATTTCGAAAGAAGGAGTGTAGAATAGCCGTCGCCTAAGCATAGAATCCAGGGCCGCCCGGTCCAGGGGCTGCCCAGCCTTGGTAGTAGCCATTGTTGTAACGGCTGGTGGTTTAATCGAGGCTTTCGCCTTGTTAAGGATTGAACTAGCCGAGAAAGATCTCACTTGATCCTGTCTGAGTCGAGAGGTAGAAGAAAAAAGCCGTAAAAACGCAGAACGGTTCATTCAAGGCCTCGGATGGCTACGAGGGCCGAGATTAGACGGTAAAGTAAGCAAGAGAACGAAGGACAGGGGGATTGCAATGGCGGGGTCTGCATGCGGTCGCTGTTTTATATCGAATTGACCCCCCAAGGTTTTTTGAGTCATAAACTTTGGTTACCGGCGAAAAGATTTTCCGACAGCTTTTTTTTCCCTCGGGGAAAGATCAGGACGTTAAGAAGAGAATCCAGAAGTCGGCAATGCTTTTGAGAGATTGAGCGCAATAAGTATGCCGTCGAAGAAATCTAGACAGACCCCATTGGGGGCTCTGGAGCACAAACCAACCAACAAACTGCAACGACAAATGCTTCACATCAAGCGAAAACAAGCCAAAGACAAGCTATCACGAGCGGAACGGTTCGCACGCAAAAAAGAAGAGGCAAAGGATCCCAGGCTAAAAGCGGAGCGACTGAAGCGAAATATACCTTTGACTCTGGAAAGGAAGAGAGTATGGGATGATGTGGGCAGCGATGTGGAAGACGGGCTGGGTATCAGCTTCGATGTAGAGAGAATAAAGCGGAGGAAGCAGGAGGAACAGGATACCGCTAATACGCAGGCTCCAATGCGTTCGGAGGGTGGTGAAGAGCAAGATGAAGTGGATAGCATGCTTGATTCCGACAGTGATGGCGAGGAGCATGATCAGGAGAGCTCCCGGAATAATGAGTCCAAGAAGTCAATGCGCTCTGCAACAGAGCGCGCCACGAGCCCGACACAATCTACAAGGAGTACAAATCTCGATTTAGCACCGGATGCTCTAGCTGCCAAATTCCCGAGCCTCTTTCCGAACGAAGCGCCTCCAACCCCGAAAATACTCATCACGACATCACTCAATTCTACACTTCACGACCAAGCAAGTATCTTGACCGAATTCTTCCCTAATAGCGTTTATATCCGCCGTTCCGCACATCGTTACAGCCATAAATTCTCAGTCCGGGAAATCTCAAAGTTCGCCTCGAACCGGAATTACACTGCGCTAGTTGTGGTTGAGGAGGATCAGAAGCGGGTTTCTGGGTTGACAGTGGTACACTTGCCGGTCGGGCCGACTTTCCACTTTTCCGTGAGCAATTGGGTTGAAGGAAAGAAGCTTCCAGGACATGGGAATCCTACAGGCCACTGGCCAGAATTGATCCTGAATAACTTTCGGACTCCGTTGGGTTTGCTCACGGCGCATTTGTTCCGAACTCTTTTCCCTCCACAGCCAGATCTGATCGGGCGGCAAGTTGTGACATTACACAACCAACGAGATTACATCTTTGTACGAAGACACCGATACGTTTTCAGAGATAAGCGGGAAACGGAGAAAAGCGTGGTGGATGCGGACGGTAACGAGATTAAGGGGGTTGAAGGCATCCGGGCGGGCCTACAGGAGTTGGGCCCCCGATTTACCTTGAAATTGAGACGCATAGATAAAGGGATCCAGAGGAGGAGCGGACAAGAATGGGAATGGAAAGGTCGCATGGAGAAGCAACGGACGAAGTTCCAGCTCTAAAGGCCTCCATTTTTCTTTTCTTTTTTCCCCTTCTCCTTTCGTTTTCGCCTTTTATATGATACCACCATCGATGATATTCATGATGCCAAACTACCTTTTCTTCCCTCTTCTAGCCTAACAGATTATCCCGTGGCTTGTCCTTCGTTTTCCAAGAACGGAAGCGTTATAGGTGCTTTTGTATTACACAGACGTAGTCTGCAATTTCATACACCACTTGGACGACTTGTGTTGCCCCTCGACCGTGATCGAGGAGCTGAACCTTGAGTTGAGCTGCTCTTACGTTCGCATTCAAGCTCTGAATAGGCTTCTGTAACACTTGGCCGAGAATAAACTTAGCTGATGGTGAGCGTAATTGTCCGATCTCCGCACGCATCGAGCAACCAAATGCATCGATATCATATCAAGACGAAACTTCGCCGCGGCGGGTATTTATAGCCAACGTTGAGAGCAGTTAGCAGCTTGGATAGAGGTCAAAACAGGTTTAAATATGTGACGGTGGCGGCAAAAGGTTGTATGTGGGCCGCCACACGTTACAAGCTTACTACTCTTGCAGCACGATAGTGCTTCTTTTGGCGTGTGATCGCACTGGCGATGTCCCGGTTGTACGCAACAGAATTGCGGGGGTTGTGGAGCTGGACCGGAATTTTGCGTTTCTGGGGAGACACGTCTTCCCCGTCCAGGTGTGCGCGCTGGGAACTTAAGTAGCCATCATCGCAGCCACGATCCAGGGTTGAGAGGTTTTGACCTCTCTCTCGACGATGATGCGGTGATTTTATAGCAGATGCAGATTTCAGGCCAAAGTTAACAGTCATGTCTGTTCCAAAAAGAGTCACTTCGACTCGTTCGGACGCAGCTCCATACCTTACAGCTCTGCGGCGAGATGGCTTCGTCTTGATTCCAAACCTCATTCCGCTAGAACAGGTGGCTTCGCTTCGCCGTGCAGCCGCAAAGGCAACCACTCTAGCCCGTAATGGCCAATGGCCACATATCCGAACAGTCCCAAAACAATTCCCTCCTTTTCCAACCACACCGCCGCCTGCGTCTGAAGGTGGAATATGGGGGGTGCAGCATCTACTACATCCAGATATGCCAGGACGCTCCGAATTTGCTAATCTTTACTTCTCTCCACACATCCTTAGCGTTGTTGAGGAGCTTGTCGGGCTCAAGGGAAAGCCGGCTTCCGACGCTGAGCCACTGACCATGGAGCTCTTCAACCTCTTAGTCGCTCCAACATGCACGGACTTTGCTCTGCGCTGGCATCGCGATGACATTCCCACTCCACCGACACTTACAACCGAGGAGGAGTTGAAACAGCTCCAGGCTAAATCTCCCGCTGAACGGCCCCAGTCCCACGCGCAGTACAATATCGCTCTATACCCCGACTCTTCGCTCATCGTCATCCCTGGGTCTCATCTACGCGCGCGCACACAAGCTGAGCGTGATGCAGATCCGTACGAGGAGAACATGCCAGGCCAAAAAATCGTGGCGTTGCAGCCTGGAGATGCAGTCTTTTACGATAGCAATATCTTCCACCGCGGAGTGTATAAAGGTACAGCGATCCCAGCTCATGAAAATGATGAAGTCGGAGACATTCGGATGACTCTCCACGGCAGTGTGGGTTTAGTGCAGCCAGTTGAAGAGGGCAAAAAAGACCTTAGGGCGACGGTGGTCTTGCAGCACTGCGTGGGCCAGTGGGTAAATAGGGAGGACGCCAAGTTCGACGGGTTAGGGCCAAGGGCGGAAGCGATGAGGCAGCGACTGATTGAAAAGGGAACTGGAGAGGGCGTGGGATACGCATTGGATGGATGAGGTGTTTCGTCATGGTTTTTGCTTGGGGCTCTTACGGAATAACATGATGGTTGTGAGGCTTTTTCTGGTTAGTAAAACTGTACCTTTTCCTTCGTTCGTCATTGGGAGGCCGTCGGCGGACTTAATTGGACTTGTTGCGGTGGGACGTCCAGACCGAACCTATTTCCAGTCAAAATACGAGTACTCCGTAACTACGGAGTACTTACAGTTTTAGTCATTCCTCAAATTTTCCAGCAGTATTCCGTACTCCGTAATTGTCGCATCATGGGGTTCTGCAGCTGTAGTGGTCGGCCTGGAGAAAACCGCTTCTCGAAGGATCCTTGTTACGGGGTGCGTGGGCGTGGGCGTGCAACCCCATTTAGAATCCGTCTCTCGTATGCACGTCATCACCTGCCCGTCGGAAGGGCAAGCCTAGGCTCCGGGGTGGAGCGCATTTTAGCGCACCTGGAGGGGGTGTCTCTTCTTTCTTTTCGCACCATTGCAGGGTTATCCTTGACATGACCAAAGATCGAGGTTTGAGCGCAAAAATGGGCTTCGTCATAATTGGGTGTCGGTGCCTTCAGGTATCCATGGACCCGGGAGGGCGTCGCACCCAGGCAGACGGGAAGAAGGAAACACAGAAGCACCCTGAATGCAAGCCCCGGGATACCTGAAGCTGTTGACGGAGGGGTCAGCGCACCATTTGGGACGCCGTGACTGGCGCCATGCGCAGACCCTAATGCATCGGCAGGCGGGAGAGATTGGGATTGGCTTGAGAATGATTTAAAGCATGGGCCAAGTTTCATGCTTGCGCCCATAATTAGCGTTACATCCGTTTCAACGACGGCTGCAGAGGGAGCTGGTACGAAGCCAGCCACTCTCTCTCAATCAGGCTTTAGGCTCCAAAGGAAATATTGCGTCTCTCCTCCACATAGGGACCAAGCTCCGCGTCTCATAGGCCCTCGTCCCACCCCGACCTTTAGGCACCTTTAGGGGCCCTCTGACCGCCAACACACCCTACAGGCGTCCTCCACCTCCAGTTCTTTCTCATACTCAAATCTCGAGTATGAATAAAAATCCATCATTTCTGAGGTATTCGCGGAGATAACCAGACGTGATCTTCGCTATAAGCTCAAGGACATCAAACCAGTTACAGACCTGAAATCTCTGTGGTTGTCGTGTCCTCACTTCGCTTACCTCGTCCGTACTCAAGCAGCTTTACCCCGTGCAATATTTGACTCAGGGCAGTTCCAGAGAATCTGAAGCTACTCAGAAAAGTCGACTTTACTCAAATTGGGTAGTTTGTGGAAATCAGCCATGTTTGATTAGGCCATTGCAATTTGCCGGGACACTTTCGACGTTTCCAGAAAGGCCGCGCGCTCCTGTTACGTACGAAGTGAACTTTCGAGCAGCTCTTTATGAAGGAGCGTCTTGACACGGAACCCTTCATTTAAGGATTAGGAGGTCAAGAGAAGGGTTTGATTCATACATATATGTCTCGCGCAAACGATACCGGGAAGCTTTTCGATAGTGGCATTTTCGAACACGCATGGACTACCGCGTTATGAAGTTTTGGAAATGCTAATACATTCGGCTTCGGATTTTAAGCGCCAATCCTAGAGATTATGGCAGCCATGAGGACTCACGACGGTGTATACGCATAGTACACGGTACACAGTACTGACATTGCCATTATAAATGCGGACTACTAGGACGACTCCGTAGGTATATGTAGCATGCTCTTTATTATCGTGCTCAGCTACCATGCAGCAGGCAGTAAGATACGTCAATTGGATATGCAGTGCCCATGCGGCGGAGAATTTGACTAGGTAGATGCACCAGCCAAAATAACCGTGATTTGACGGCTTAGAATAGTCTGGGAGACCCAGGAAACGAGATTTCTTCGAGGGTTTACTTCGGAGCCGTGACATTGTCCTTAGTATATGCTAACCAAGCCTTTAGAGCCTTCAGCTGTACCTTAATGAAATAGGTTTGATAGAATGGCCCTGATAGAATGAGCTCGTTGCACTCCCAAAGCTTCAGCACCTTGTAATTGGCTTTGTTTTGGTGGTGACGTGCTCTTTCGCGTCTTTTATTGACCAAACACAGGACCTAAGATATTTAAGGATGGACAGTGCCTGTTTCGATAGTAGCCGCTCTGGTGGATGGAAGGCCACCTTTGATGCGATTCGCAACCATCAGAACCAGATCCGGATGGGACTTTCCACGAAGTTGAATTTGGACATCACTGAATAGGTTAGCTTTGACTCACTGGGGGCTACGAGTAACCCAGTTGTTCATGAAATTCGTTGGTACAACATGCACTGGAATCTAGCTCACCATCTTGTTCAGGAGAATTGGATGCATCCTTGAGGTACACTGTTCGCGTCTCATGAGAAGTGAGGTCCCGAGAGTTGTTTAGAGAGGAACTTACCATGATGACACCGAGGGATAGAGATGGAGAGGAGCTCCTTGAGGTACTTTTCTGCTGACGGAATCATCAGAGATTGAGTTTGTTCGTTCATAACTAGCGAGTAGATCGGATCCCCTTCGTCCACGCAACAGACGAATGTATGTTTATACAGTGCGGAGTACATGATTACCATCCCCGTCCATCCATATTATCACGCATCCAAGATAGTTGGTTCGATAAGTTGAGGTCCATCACGGGCAGGAAGCATTCAAATCTAGGCAGCTATTCAGCACAGATCAACAGTCCTTCCAACATCTGGCGCCAATCCGGGTCTTAAAAAAGGAGAACAGTGAGTGTTTGGAGGACAGAAGGGACGTATTAATAGTGATACGCCGCTTCTCAAGCTGTGCTCTGGAGGATGAATCAAAGAAGCAATTACGGAGTAGATTCCCGGAATTCCCAGGGAATCAGCGGTGCGATGTGCTGCTTGGCTCATCTCCACCAAGCCTTGTTCGCGCACGGAGAGGGCTCCGTGCACCCTACATTCTCCATCCTCCCTAAATTTCCGGTCCCGATAAACGTGGTAGAGTGGTGTTCAGCAGATTCCGTTGGCTAGCAACTAAAAAATGACTCCAAACAGCCCAGATGATGGCCATCAAGGGTGTTTGTTTTGTGAAGAAAAGTTGACCCGAAAGGGCGGGAATATGGCTAAAACAGATTGCTGCTTGGATCAGCCCTTGGCGACGGGAGGACGGGCGCCAGCGAATGCGGTGCACAGATGGACCGTGGATGGGTTCCTGCATGCACCGTAAAGCTGGATCCGGACACGGCCGTGCCCTTTTCGCTTCGGGGGAGGCCTCTGGGGACTTGGGGTATTTGGATGGAGGAGTCCGTCACTCTGTCGAGAGTCCACTTGGCCTGTTATTTTGTATTTTAAGAGGCCGTCCCAAGGCTAGATTTCCACTAGTTCGCTCCCCAGTGCGGCGCTGCCCGTCCCTTCGTGAGCTCGCTAGCCTGGCCGAGGAGTTTTTTGACGAATCACGACGATCTTATCCGCGGAAGCCAAGCCGGTCAGTCAATATCTCCACGGGCAGAAGAATATCGAGCCGAGCGAGTTATCCTGACCCCTTCTCAATAACGAGTTCTCCCGCTATCACCGAGTTTAATGGCAAGGGTGTTGACCATCAGGCATCGTCCGTGGAAATTATCGATACCCCAGCCATCCAAGCCATCCCATAAGCTTCAGCCTAACACACGCGGACATGCTGATTGCACGGTGGAGAACCCGTTCGAATTAGACTTCAAGTGCACAGTGAACTAATGTCGGGTGTTGCAGCAGCTAGCACCGCAAGAAGATGCAGGGAATATATCCGCGGCGTGTTAGGTCGGATCACCCTCCACCAGGACTCGTTCACCGTGGTGGGAAGTTTTCGACCGTCCGAGCTTTTTTGGGGATAAAAAAGCAATTGGACATCCATAACTCAGTCTAGGAGCGTATGATGTGCTCGCCCTGCTAGCTTTTTGCCTTGAATACCCCTGATTCGGTGCGATCTCCCGTCTCATTTTGTCCCATCTTTCTCGCCTGCCCAAGTAACGAGCTAACCAATCTCCCCAAATTTGAAGGCTGCCTCCCCACCATGGGACATCAGTGAGACCAGCGGAACCCGCTACCCGCTCATCTTCGGTCCTCCAATTCTCGCCCTCCAAGGCTTGTCCCCACAGCTGGTTATCGACCATCGAAGGAGTGAGTTGCCTGGTCCTAGACAACTTCTTTCTGCGCAGAATTTCCTCCAACATGTCAGGCCCATAAACCCCGGAAGCACAAAAACGTCCTTTCAACTACCATCCTTCCCCTCTCACTTCGTCTCACTGTACCTCGGATCGTAATGAGCTGCACAGATGTTTTGATAGATGCGGCCATTTTTGTCTTACACGGCATATTAAACCTGTTGCTCTGTTCGAACCAGCTCACTGATAAGTACATCTCGCCCCAACTAGTCGGCTTCTTTAGGAAAGGTTATAGCACCCTCTCAGTCATGTCATGGACGCAGCAAGCTCTGTTGCAACGAAAAGTCCCGTTCTCCAGGAACGCGTCGCAGATATGGCTAGAAAAGGCGAAACCGCAGAAGTAGTCCATCAACAACGCCGCCAGCAATGTTCTAGCTGCTCTCACAATGGTTCCTCTAATAGATCAAACGGGAATGATACTGGAAATACAGGGTCAGTCTGTCTATTTTCGAACTTTTGGCTTTGGTACATTACAATTCAAATTCTTTTGCTTACAACGCATATACTCCGTACAGATCCACCAAATCATTGGCTGAACATGCTGTTAAATACGTCTTTGAGAATGGCCGCCGCTACTGCAACGATATCTACTCTATGCCTAACGACGAGGTCGAACAGACGCGCCAAAGTATCTTGCACCAACTCTATCTTACCGCACTAGATGGTCAATTGACACTGATACCCCTTCCGGACTCTCCATCACGTATTCTAGATCTCGGTTCCGGACCGGCTGACTGGGCAATTGCAATTGGAGAAGAGTATCCAGACACTGAAGTCATCGCCACAGACATTAGTCTTTTTGATCCCCAGTCCGTCAGCATTGCTCCGCCGAACGTGTATTTTCAAATAGACGATGCAGAGGGCAAATGGACATTCCACGAGCCCTTCGACTTCATCCACGTCAGAGGGCTCTCCCGAGCCATCTCTAACTGGCCACGACTTTACCAGCAGGCATTTGACCACCTTAAACCCGGCGGGGCAATCCAAGTGGTCGACGGAGACTTATCAACAGAATCTCTACCGCCAAACTCATATTTTAACATTTTCGTCTCCGCCGTTCGTTCCGCTGCAGATGTGGCAGGATATATGCCGGAATACGGGCACCTTCGTCCCAGTGCATTGATAGCTGCTGGCTTTGGGGATATTCAAACCTATCATATTGAAGTGCCCATAGGAACATGGCCAACTGACCCAAAAATGAGGACAATGGGTAAGATGGGTCTGATAGTGGTCCTGGAAGGCCTTGAAGCAATAAGTATGCGTCTCCTGACGAAATACATGGGATGGAAAGCAGAAGATGTGATTGATTTATGTGAGAAAGTAAAAATGGAAGTTGTGAGCTATGAAGGGGCCATGGGATCAGCGAAGATCGTGGTTGCTCGAAAACCTCTAGCGGTTAACTGATTATTTTCACCTATGCATCTACCTTTCGCCTTTTCTTTTATTTTCGCGGAAAAGTGTTTGTCGACTTTGGCGACTTTGCGAAGGGGTATTATTAGCACCATTTATTTCAACAGCGCCAATTACATACGAGCTCCGAGCACCGAGACTCGTCTCCACTATGCCTAGGAGATATTCTTCACTGTTTCAGCGGAGGAAGCGGAAATGAAAAAGGTCCTATGGATTATTCTTCCACCGGACTATGAATGGAGTCGAGGATTTATCCTGGGGGGCAGCTTTAATTTGCTTCTTCGCAATTACAGAGTACCTCCATCTTCCACACGGCTATCCACCCGCACTGCACCGATGGACTTGAAGAATGACATTTTTTCTTTTATTATTTTTTCTCTTCCTTTCCCTCTTTTGAACTGCATTATCGGCTGCCATCCAGGTGGGATGGATTCGCTTTTGATCATGTATGCATGTGTTGGCCCGGCGACCAGCAGGCTGCCAGCTGTTTCATTTGGATATTTCAGAAGGTTTTCTCTCGGTTAAAATAAGGCAACAATCTCAGAAGACTAGTTAAACATGACATATCACATACTGTGTACAGTTGTGGTAGCTGCACGCAGTCAGTGCCGCTTTTAGCAATACCCGAAGAGACATTATGCATGATGGAAACTGTGGCTATTGGCTTTGTGTTAGATATATTACCGCAAGGCGAGGGAGGACGTCCCTTTGCGATCAGTCCTCTCTTGAATTACAGGAACATCCCACCGCTGGCGGCTGACAGTCCAGTTCATTGGAAAAGCGTTGAACAGAGGGTCCGTCACTGGAGATTTGTGGGCATCCAATAGCTCCATTCCCAATGGCTGAAATGATTACCTTGGCCGCAGCAAATTACACAGCTATATAATTCTTCGAACTATCCCGTCTTCTTTATGTCTGTGTGCGATTGCCGTATCATGGATCACGAAATCAATATATCCCTGCGGCATTCATTTGCGTAACTTCCATGAAGTAGGTCCGAATGGTGCAAACTTCTGACTTTCTACCAAGAAGGTACCCCATTCTAACGTAGCATGTGAACCTCACTTCACGGCATTTGACTGTGATGCCCCTGGATAACCCTGGGCCTGGAAAACTGCTCATTTGTATTCTGATGCCTTTGGCGACTCGATAACTGCACATAACTGCTGGGCTATAGGGCGAAATCAGTGAACAAGCTGAGGATCAGCCTCCAAGCCCTAGGCTGATGAGTCCTGAGGGAGAAAGGAAGCATTTAGACGAATGGACCAAGGCCTGGCGTCTAAATCAACCTATAAAATCCTCGCTTAGGGGGCGTAGTTAATGATGGCTGCCTACATCCAGAGACACGACGTGCACAATCCAGATGTCATACGCAGTGATGGTAAGGAGTCGCTCTCTTGGTGCACCTGCTTTGCTAAAATGGCTTTGTGCTCTATATGTTTTAGGGGAGGTTAAAGTCTGATTCTATGAATGGACTAAATTTCAGCAAGATGGCCTCAAAATGCTTGGAATATACCACATATTATGAGGTTTACGTTCTAATCACAAAAGAACCGGCGAATCTGCTGCAGGTTTATATATTGCTATGCCAGAATTACAGCATCTTTGACTAATCTGGACATTTAGCTGCATACAATTTCCATATGTCCACAATCTTTTTTTGCAATTCATCACCATGAGAGAGCGGTAAGCTAGAATGGACAACATTGAGATGATGATACCAGCTGAGCTGGAGCCAGGCAGTGTGGAGTAAGCCCACAACATGCTCTTCCATTACCCATCCAGTGCTAGCACGAAGGAGGACAACCATGGAACCCAACACTGAGCTGGATCCCAAGGACCTTCTTCAGAGGCTGAGGCACTTGTCAATCTCTTTTTCACGAATTGGCAATCCTTCAAAGATCACTTTAAATAGTCCTCAGAGAGCTTCACAATGTGCAGCATTCATTGGATGTAGCGCTGCTAAAAAAAAAAAGGGCTTGGTTAGAACACCCTTATATACCATCACATGTACAAGCTCACCAACGAGATACAGAAAGGCCCGTTGAAAAACCCATAGATTTGGGACTTCGACTGCATTTCTCCAAAGTTATCTCCATGAAGGACCCCAATCATGCACTTCTGGCACAGCCCACCAGCAGAATAGGAAGCCTACAAGGCAAACTGGCGCCCCATAACAGCCGAACAATACAATAGTCTGACATCGTTGCGCAGCAGAGAGCAAGCGCCAGGACTGGGGGAGACAGCATAGGCATAAAAAGCCGTGCGGTCCGAACGGATATGTATTGGATTGGGTGGGTCGATCCATGCGTGAACAGGTGCTTGATTGTTGGGTGGTTTGTGTACGCTCCATCGGAAGAGCGGCTCCCCGATATTGTCAAGGAATGTGAAACAACAGCCATCGCCAACTCAAGAAACAACGAGATCATCAGGGTATGAGTCATAACACCATATTGTGACCCTTTCACTTCCTTCTGGGGAGTGGGGGGATGAATAAAAATAAAAAAAATAAAAGTCAATAAAACAAGACAAAAATCGAACCTGTAGAAAGCTGCAAGATTCATTTAAAGAGCAAGCGCGGATCCTCGAAACAATTAGGTATCGAGATAGTTCACATTGCAGACATCATGCGCCCGTAAGTCATGACCATAAGGATTACAGCTCTATGCCAACTCCGGGAAAATGCTGTCGTTGAACGAGAAAGCCTCCAGGCAAGACCAGATTCCAAAACAGAGAAACACATAGGAGGGAAGAAGGAAAGACATAAGAAAGATGTCAGTACAGGGACAAATGCCGAGGCAACGGTGCTGCAAGTATATATCGAGGAGAGCTGGCTTAAAGACGGAAAAACGAGGTCCATAAATCGGCACCAAGAAATGCAATAATTCAGCTTCCACAAATGCAAGCGTAAATCACATGGATACGTATGTGGCAGCAGCATTGAGTATACTGGAAATAGAAAAAGTAGAGATAAAAGACCCGATGCTGCTCCGGAGAACGCATTCCTAGAGGGCAAGAAGTTGGATCTAGAGTAGAGCAAAATATCCGTATCCAGACCAGTAAAGAAAGGAGAGAAAAATAATAGTGTCATCATCGGAAAGAAAAGTGGATGATTTACAAGATAAGAAAGGGAAAACGGGTCCAGGGATCTAAGAAAAGTCGTTTCATGATCGTCACGAGAAGGACCGTATATACAACTGAAAAGAATTGGATGAACCAAAATAAACCCAGAAAGACTCGCAGCCTTTGCGCGCTTCGTACCAGGCAGTCCTCCAAGCTTGGATAACTACATCGAGGCTAAAGAGGTCTAAACTAACAAAGCCGAACTACCAAAGAACGACATGCAGCCCAGACCACTCCCAGCCCCAACTGATGCATATCCGGCGATGACCTGTTAATCGAAGGCTCAAGGCGTTAACGGAACGCCAGCAGTCAGGAGACTGTAACCAGGTTCTGTAGACACAAGAGAATGAAACACGTAGAAAAGTCGTAAGATATCGTCGCGACAAAGAGCCAAGAGTGCGAAAAGATATTGACCCAAAGGTGAACCTAGAAAATGCGAAAATAAGGTGAAAGCGGAAAGAACTGGATTTCGGTCTACGGGATCCAGGTAAAGCGTATGACGCTGATCGGCTTTTGGACTCCAAGGCTGCTTTTGGTAATGAGCACGCTTTCAAGGGTTGATTCGCTGCACAACACCGTATCGCTACGCGCGAAATCGCAACCCAGAACGATAGAGCGATTAAAATCCTTCTTCACCAGCTTTGCAAAGTCTAATCTCGCGGACCCATTCTGACTTCAAGACCTGAGAAGCTGTGATACGGCGACTGGGGTTTGGGTCCAGGATGGAGTATATAACGTTACGGCATCGGGCCTGTACAAAAGTAACGGTTAGCAACTAATTTTCACATGGACATCACTTGAATGATAAATTGGGATCTACATGCCCGATGCAGAGTTTCAATGGGAGCATAACCATCCTCATCCCGACGGCCCTCTAAATACCGCTCATAAAACTCGTCTTCATCCTTTTGTGCTACTCTCCAAAGGTGCCTTCCGGTTCGCATGGCCATGTATATGACACCGGTAGCCCACACGTCAACCGCCCGTGGATCAAACTCTTTGTCGGTATATTCTTCAGGTGCAATGTACGGAGCAGAGCCACATAATCCCGCTGTCATGTGAGCTTCTTTTTCCCACGCCATACGGAAACATTCTCCATTTCCAAAATCGGTAATTTTCAAGGCGCCATGCGTAGTCAACAACAGATTTTCTGGTTTGAGGTCACGGTGGGCGACTCCCATTTCGTGCATGTATTCGACACCTCGCATCAACTGTTTGAAGTAGCAATCCGCCTCCCCAACTTCTAGCTTCCCAGCTGCAAGAATTAGAGTGTATAGATCTCCTCCTGCGCAATATTCCATAACTTCACAATAATCTCCTTTAGAGTCCTGCATTAGATCTAATGTATGGATGATATTGGGATGGCGAAGCGAGGAAGAAATACAAAATTCGGAGGTCAGGCGTTTTTGGTATTTTTTAGCTGTTTCCTGGGGACGACGGCGAAACTCCTTGACGGCGTACAGCTGCTCCGTCTTCGAGTCCTTCGGATCAACCTTGTGAGAGATTCGGACAATACCAAACGCACCACGACCAACAATTTCCTGACACTTGCCGTACTTATCGACCAAAGATGCCGTATTGTTCGGGCCACCCTTCTTGTCTGAAGCAAGTTTATCTCTCTCTGTTTTCAGTTGGTCTACCCATGTGGACATGAGAGACAGCTGCTGGTCTTCAACGTGGTCCTCTTTCTTTTTGCCACCACCAAGCATATCCCGAAGCATACTCGAAAGTTTCTCCTGCCGTTTAGCACTCTTCAAGTAGTGGACGTGGGTGCCATCAGAGAGCATGTCGAAACGTTTCATAGGTTGGACGGGCTCCCTTCCGGGCTTCTTATCCTCCGGCCGCTTGTCGGTCTGCTGTTTTGGCGTAGGCTTGGGGCTGGTGGCTTTTTCCAACCCGTCGATGACAGCGGCCGATTTGGACGATGATTTGCTCTGAGTCGAAGTATCAGAAGCGGTTTCTTTCATGTTTTCTATTTCCCTGTGGGCTGCTCTCCCGGTCTGGGAAAACATTCGGGAGAAGGGATTCGTCATTCTGGGCCTTGGGGGCTTCTGAGGGAGCGCAGCACCATTGGCTTTCTGTGAACCATGGAGGTGCATTCCCTCCATCACTTGTGTTATCTGCTCGCCATCAGGAGGCTGTGAATTCTGTGAAGCGGTAGATGTTGTGGATGAGGCCGATAGCGGGGTGGGTGGATTCATGTGCGTCGATATATTTCTTCAATCGTTCAAATCGAGCCGGGACGGACTCTCGTCGGATTCAAAGCCGGGATTTATGGAGTTTGACGGTCAGTCGAAGTGGTTGGAGGAAGGACAAGGAGAAAAAGGCAGAGGGTGATCGTGGGCGGGTGGATGGGCACCGATGAGGTCTGGCGACACCGGCGAGGAATGAGCAGGTGACGGAGCAAGTTGGGCTTGGTAACTGCCCCAAGCGAGGCACGGGATGCCCACAAAAGGGACGAAACCCGGGGTCTGATTCAGACTCACGACGACAAAACGGTTGGTGTTCTGGGAGCCGATGAGATTGCGGGGGTATCTCGTCAGCTACTTCCGGGTCTGAGATTGTGGTCAGGATGGAGAGACAGAATCAGCGAGAGGGAGGAGTTCACCAGGTGGGAGAGAAAAACTCGGGGAGGCGACGCTCTGAAATAATTTTGTAAGGCGGTGCAAGGAATGTGGCCGAAGCTCCAACTGTTGGCCTGTGAACCGTGGAGCAGCCTGCGGTGGCTTGAAAAGACACCAAGAAGAGGGGGATTTAAGGTTTGTGTACGGAGTATGGTATTACAGAAAACAGTTATATTACCTTGGTGCGTCAGAAATGCGAAAGATAAATTCCTGCGTTGGAAAGAAACCTTTTGTTCAGGGCGCGTCTGCGGCGTGGTACAAACCTGACTTCGAGGCGGTCTCTTGTCGATGGTGTGGGAGTAATAATCAACTCCGTTATGTGAACTTGAGCTCCAAAGCACTGCTGCAGTAGAGCTCGAATGGATCATCAGAGCACTGAAGATCCTCCATGGCTGTCTCAGGCTATCAAGTTTAAGGACAGCTGATGATGTCAGAGAATGGAATTGCTGCGAATTTCTTGGTTAACTGGTATTGTCTTTGCGATGGATAAACCTGGCCCGGGAGAGAAACAGAAATCAAACAGTGTCCACCTCATGATCATGTGGCGAATGGAATAACTGCACGGTTCGGAGCCAGATATCTGTAACTCTTTACTAGTTACACCATATGTTCCTGATATGGATCCATGGAACCCCAAGGGCTGGATTTGCGGTCAGTAACAAGCAAGCAAACAAAAATAACAGAACAGAAATCCTTTTTTTGAAACTACCATGAGCTGCTGAAGAAATAGGACTTCGACTTCTAGCAAGATCTTCCAATTACCGCTGTCTCCTATTAAGCAATCTGGCATGACAGCTCGCCCTTCGATCCTCAAAAATTGCCGGAGGACCTGTCAGGCTTAGCTGCATTGGTCGCGCATCTTGGCCGGCTGTTGGGCGAGTTACGGATATTGAGAAGCCATACTATATACGGTCAAAGAGATGCGACAGGAAACTTAACGAGGGCCCTCAATAGTACCAGACCCGACAACAAAGAAAACCGGATTATTCTCTCCTTCTCCTAAAAAAATACCCCGTACAACATTGCTTCCCGTTCTAACCGTTCATTGTCATACAGCAAGTCAAAATAGAAATGGAAAAAAAAAGAAAAAAAAAAAAAAAAAAAAGGAAAGAAAGGGAAGGGAGAAAGAAAGAAAAAGAAAATAAGGGAGAAAAAGCAATACAGAAGTTACCAGAAGCTTAGAAATCCATAATTCCCGCTCCGGCTCCAACGATGGTGTTCTGCAGCAGATCATGAAAATTGGGCAGGGATGGCGCGACTAGCGAGTTAGGCCGGAGGGGAGCACGGAGCACTCTCTGATACTTTTATCCACAGGATTAACTCACTAGTTCAGCAGCTAGAAGTCCCATTCTTAGTACAGAGGACATACGCCATCCATACACTCGCAGGGATCCTCCGTACAGTTATGGCCGAGGAAGCAAAGCCAAAACTCTTCAAAAAAAAAAAAAAAAAAAATGCAATGCTCCTCTTTTCGAATCAGCAAGCTGGAGTAGCAGATGTCCCATAAACGTAACTCCTGCCTGACTGCTCTTGGTGCAATATGCGTCAAGCCGATTCAGCCGGACAGAGCAGTGTGCGAGGAGGTCCAGCGTGAGCGACCCCTCACCTCGAAGCCAAGTAACGATACAATTCCCCGTTGAGTATCAGAAATCCACTTTAACCAAGCATATGTAAAGCCACCCCCGGATGGATAGCAACCCATCCGCTTGAACCAATCCGGTTTGTCCCTCACCCTCTCGGCAAGCTGTGCAATCTTGAAATTTCACATTTAGCCGCAGTAGTCTGTTTCTTCTCCCCCTCTCCAGAGTCGGCTTGAAAATTCAGCCTTTATGATTCCGAGAATCACTGCAAAACTTATGCGTGACCGCACAATACATACATGTCATCATCAAGTACCGAGAAAACAAGTCGGGATCTCGATACAACAAAAATGAGACCTTGCTCCTGCGCTGTTGGACTTCTTTTTCAGGACACATGCAGGCTGACCACGTCCAGCCATCCGGATCCCATGAGGATATTCACGGTGATGTTTGGTCTCTTGTGATTGGACCCGGTCGGACTCGATCGCTCATATCCTCTCGGCATTTCATTGCAATTCCGGCTCACACGACGGCAAGCCAAAACCCGCCGGGTAAACTGACAGGGCTTGTTTTCCGGAAAAGCAAAAAAAAAAAGTAAAAAAGAAAAAAGGGAAGGCCCCATTGACTCATCGACATACGGAAGCAAATGCGGTGAGTGCTTCCATAGCAAGTCAAATGTATTGAATTTCGGCTGCAGTGGCTGTGCATTTGATGTCCAAGTACGGAGTAAAAGAGGAGATGCAACTGCAGGGCCAGGATCCATTCGCGGTTGAATTGCCTTTTTCTCATTTGCTCGAACTGCTTTATCCATGCATCGTCCATCCATGCACTGGGGTGGCCGCGCGAAATGGAAAAAAAAAAAAAAAGCGCGCGTGGGGAAACGTCGCATATGTGGATTTATTACCTCTGGTGTATGTACGCAACTGTATTTTACGGAACAAAAATTACGCATTAACGTGTGCTCCGTCCTTTCATACCGTATTTATGACCTCTTTTTCGCTCCTCAACACTCGCTCGTCGTCGACAAGGTTGGGTCGAGGCGGTCAAGTTCATACCTCAAACTGGCAGTCATTTCGTGAATCCCAGCTGTGTGAGAGAGCCACAGACTTGGCTGCTCTCGGTTTGCATCTCGCATCCACAGAATCCTCAGATAAAATTATTGCCCAGAAATGGTCAAAACTTTGCATGATGCAGAATATCGTGGCACTTCATGGGGCTGACGTGCAACTAGCGAGTTAGCTTCGTTGGGGGAGTCATCAGTATTATGACGTTCTGATGAATGATCTCTGTGATGGTCTATCAGGCCGCATCATTCAAGGGACGACATACGGCCCGATAGTTTCGCGCCCCCATAGTCACCGTTCTGACAGAGCATTGGGAGTGAAACCGGGCCCGGACAGAGCATAGAGTTCAAATAATTTTTCAAAGGGCCTTAGATACACAAGCCCGACTTGAGAGGATATGCTAACGTAGTGATGAAATCCTCGAGAGTGTTCACGGTTGTATGAAGCTTGTTGCCTTGGATAGTTACATACACGTTACGTATCGATGAGAAATGCTCGCTCCCATTTAACTAGCTGCTGAGCGTCAAGCATGCAATCTCGTCGTCAGAGGGGAAAAATAGCCATACAAGCGCACGCCATGCCACTCAATCCTGCAGATGGGCCAATGCATCGCTGATACGGTTGGAGGTTGCTCCTTCGATCGCCAAGGAGGATTTGACAGCAAACGCCACAGTTGCCCTACGCGAACATATTTTGCCCTACAACGGCGAACATCCAATCGAGGAGCTTGCTCAACCACCAAAGTCACACATTTCGTCATTATATGCTCTCTATTGGGATTGAGCAAAAGGATGACCTGACTCAAGCATTTTCGCCCAGAAACGGGCGGAAAAAGGCTGAATATGATTGCTTTCGAATTCCTCCCGCGTTGACATGGGTCAAGCCACACAGAAACACAATCCCTACGATTACGGGGCCGAATTGCGGCTTGACGGGCTTTGCGTCCAGACTCCTGTCCACAAAACTTTGGCCTTGCACCTTGTACTTCTGTGCCACATCATCATGTGGAGAACAGCCACAGCTCTAATTTATGTCCGTCGTATGTTTCTCGAACGCCCGCAGCCCTGTCCAGGCTATGTCCTGGACATGAACCGGCAGATTGATCCGAGTCCAGGTCAAGAGGACGTGGTACGGAATACAGGGAGCGGATCAAGAGAAGCGTCGGTGAAAGGCGTCTTGTGGACTTCTAGCCTCTAAGAATTTGACAAGGAATGCTTTGCGCATGGGGGGGGTGTTGTCTTTGTTTAGGTTGTGGCAACGTCTTTGCAACGAAGAATCCCGGGAATGTGCGGCACTGAGATCTTATCGCCGTTATGGTCAATTATCTGGTTGCACGCCGAGGCTTTAATTCAGCCCAATCCAGCCGAGAACTCTTGCCATATCAGATGCAACCCACCCGGGTGTTTCTTTAAGGCGAGCTTGGCGTCCCGCCCGAGAAATCGTATTGCGTAGTAGGGCTGACTTGTACCAATGAGGCGACAACGGAACCGACAGGCATCGTGATTCGATCAGCACGCGATAATGGCCTTGCCGAAAGGCTCAGTTTATGATAAAACACGAGTCTGAAAAGTCAGTCTAATTCAACAAACACCGGAGAATGCCGGTCGTGTGGGGAGGGTTTAGCCGAAGCATACCACGAATTGTTCCAGGGATTCCTCAAAAAGTTCATTATTCACTCCTATACCGCCAGGATGTTCAACGGGAGATAGTGGGTTCTTGACGACTGTAACGCCAGATCAGCATGTGTACAGAGGAGGAGCGGGGATATCTGGTCATAGACCAACCATATTCGACGTAGAGATTGACATAGATCTGATGCAAGGCAAGGCGCATATTACTGGCTTTGATATCCGTAAGCATAACGAATTTAATATTTGTTGGCGTTTCGTAATAGTGAAGTTTGTACTGGCTGGTGCGGTAGCAGAGAAAGCTGCACAGTCATGTTCCGTTAACGGTTTTGATTCCCGGAAGGAATGTCTGCCAATCCTATCTCAAGGTTGCGGGGTATCGCTCTCTCACTTATCATCATCTCCACCAAGCTTGCGAACCATATTCCGCAGCGAAAACACCGTTCCAAATATGAGTTTGGCGTCGTCTTCCGCACTCAGGGGTCCCCCAGGGGCGCTTTTGGACACGCCATTACTCAGGGGTGCTGTGTCGGAGGCGGGACGGGAAGTTTTGGGAGGCACGGATGTTGGACGAGGCAGCCAACGACGTTTGTAGATACACTCCGCTGTGCAGCGTGAGCTTGTCAGCGCAGAACACCCTGAGAGTAAACCGGGGCTGAACACGCCTTGCGTCGGACTTACCGTGGCGGTCAAAGATATAGAAAGAGTAGACGACCATCTCTTAAAGAAAGTGCACGATGCCAATGACAATGCGCAAAGAAAAGAGTGCAATTCAACAATTCGCTCGTTAGTTGCTCGGCCCTCGTAAAAAGCTGCAATGCTGTTTCGGAGAGCGTCGAAGTTGATGTTGTTCGGTCTATGATGCCAAGGCTCCGGCATGCTTGCTAGCTCCAGCAAATCACCCACTTCCTTCACCTTTTTTGTTTACGGCACCGAACGAGTCTCCAGCATCTCAGTACGAGGATCCACCGAGGACAATTGGATGGTTCTCCATTGTGTAGGATCGGCGAAAAGGAGATCTCCAAATTGCGGATGAGAGTTAGGTTTGTGCTGTATCATCCCACCAGCGAACGGGGCTAGCCTGCTGCCCTAGCTCCTCGTTGCCGTAGTCGCCCAGGCATGGCCGGCCTCCCATGCAGATGGAGCCTGTCTGGTCAATCCAATGGCCAATGAATCCGCCCAGCAACTTTTGTCAACGAAGAGTCACTGCAAGTGCCACAATAAAAAGAAGCCATGATCACGGGGTGGGCAGCAAGCAACATCTCGCAATAATGTAGACCCTGTCTCGCTACGGCAGTCTTGGGCATAAATCATCCCAACCCCACTCAGCCCTACTGCAGTTCGCTTCAACCTCTATATAACGCTACGGCAACGGCTCTTTGCACTTCTTTCCCTTTCCTTCGTCCTTCCCATACATTATTGATTCGCCGTTAGCGTGGTCTTCAAGCCCCATCATGAGATGGCAGACGACGTGCCCAAGCCTGAGCCTGTAGACATCCCGAACCCTTCCCCCGCAAATGAAAGCACCGCCGCAACGGACGCCACGAGGCCACGGCCTCTGCGAACAAGCGATAATAGGTACGTATGAATCCGGCTCTGTCGATTGATTCCAACCCGAAAAGTTATGTTATCGTATTTCGATGGTGGCGGGAGACCTAAGCAGCATCAGGCTCCGGGGTCGGCATCCTGGAATTCTCAGCCTGATATCTGATACTTACGCTTTCTGAAGATATTCCGTTGCTGACACCTATTCTGTCTCATCAGGTCCCCTGTACATACATTAAACAGCCCATTGAGGCATCATACTCGAAACCACACGCTGCCACGAAAAGTCAAAGTTGGTTGGCCCTCTGGATACTGACATGCTTCCGGAGAAATTTAACTGAACCTCCCGAAAAGGAAACCCTCAACGCTCGATCGGAATATACAAATAGCCAGGATGACGGCACAGCAGAACATCGTATCAATCAATATTTGATAAAACAGGAGATTGGAAGAGGCTCGTTTGGTGCCGTCCATCTCGGAATCGATCAGTATGGGCAGGAATATGTGGGTAGTCTCTGGGCACCATCCATAGCATCCGGCAATTACTGGAGCTCGCCTTTTCTTTTCTTTTCCTTTTGAAGGTCAATCTTTGGCACTAATATCACGAACATTGAGCGTCGTTGTAGGCGGTGAAAGAATTTTCGAAATCACGGCTACGGAAACGTGCACAGTCTCATGTCCTGCGCAGTCGTTCTGGGCTTCGCCGCCCCGAAGCACGCGCCGCCGGCACTGGCTTCAATGAGCCCCTCCATCGGAATCCTTCCAGCCATGACATGGAAGAAGGCAATTCACTGCACTTGATCAAGGAGGAAATTGCAATTATGAAGAAGCTGAACCACCCTAATCTAGTGTCGTTGTTCGAAGTACTGGATGACCCTACCGAAGATTCTCTCTACATGGTTATGGAAATGTGCAAGAAGGGTGTAATAATGAAGGTTGGCTTGGGCGAAGAATCCGATCCATATAATGACGAGAGTTGTCGCTGCTGGTTTCGTGATTTAATATTAGGAATTGAATATCTCCACGCCCAGGGCATCGTCCATCGAGATATTAAGCCTGATAACTGCTTATTGACCAGCGATGATGTGCTAAAGATTGTCGATTTCGGTGTTTCAGAAATGTTTGAAAAGGATTCGGATATGTATACCGCCAAATCTGCGGGTTCACCTGCCTTCCTTCCACCAGAGTTGTGTGTAGTGAAGCACGGGGATGTTTCCGGCAGAGCAGCTGATATATGGTCGATGGGAGTTACGCTTTACTGTCTGAGATACGGGCGAATCCCGTTCGAGAAGGAAAGTATTTTTGAGCTATACGAGGCAATTAGGAACGATGAGATCGCCTATCCCGGGGAAACGGATGACGTCTTCAAGGACCTCATGTCCAAAATCCTAGAAAAGGATCCTAAAAAGCGAATAACGATGGAGGAGCTCAGGGTAAGGCTTGAATCCAACCATGCAATACGAAATAACTTTTAACAATATTAGGAACACCCCTGGGTGACAAGAGGAGGCACTGACACCCTCCTTTCGGCCGAGGAAAATACATCTAACCTTATTGAGCCCCCAACTGAAGAAGAAATGAACACTGCTATCACCAGAAATATGGGCCATGCTATAACAGTGGTATGTCCTTTTGATGTGGTTTCGACCTTTACATTATACTATAGGCTAGGCGGTTGACATTTTATGTAGGTGAAAGCGGTACAGAAGTTCAAGAGGCTCATCGAGCCGGCGAGTCCGGGACTCATGAAAAGCATTTTAGGTGAAGACGAAGAATCCCACTTTGTCCAGCCACCTCTTTCCATAGATGAGTCAGATTATTATGAGATACCGAGGGACCGAAAAAAATATAGGCCCGAGGCTTTTATGTCGCCCCGAGTTCATGATGTCAGTCGCGGACGAGATGCGACTAATAGAGGTGAATCACCGACATTTGAGAACATAGCAGCAGGTTATCCTCAAAGGGAAAACAGTACTTTGTCTCAAACCTCGGACAGCCCTGCGCGTCAAGGTTCGCGCACCGATACCCCGAGCAAAGGTAGCTTTTGCGAAGGGACCCGAGGACATGCGCGGGATCCGCTAGAAGAGGAACATCCATATTTATTCATCGGGCCTTCCAGTTTCTCCACGCACATGAGTGCCCCTGGTGGAGACAAGGCATCATTGGAAATCGATGATGGGGCTGACCTACCAATTGATGTATACGCAACGCCGGTCGTTAGTGAATCTCCAAGCGCTGCTGATATTGACATTTACGAGACAGCATACACGGAAGAAATAGAGCGAATTCGGAATAGGAGCCGCACTTCCCGTGCTCCTGCCCCCAAGGTCTACCTGACTCGAAGAGTGGATGGAAAGAAATCCAGCCTGGCGGCGCTACTAGAGCGAGCTAAGGAGGAAGGGACATTACAAACCCCTCGAACGTCTAGTGAGCCCGGAACGGGATTGGAAGACGATGAAAGTGTCTCGCGAACCTCGCGAGCGCGGGGATCTAACATTTTTGCTGCGGCTGTTTCTTCTCTGAATACGTCTACGCTGGCACATCGGGAGGCACCCCAGGATACGGAGGCGGCATCAATAATTGGAGGCTCGAATACTCGGTTGCAAGGGTCTGTAGCGCCAAAATCCCCCGCAAGACCTAACCCAGCGGCTATCCGTACAACAACAGAAGCAACAGCCACAGAAAATGTAGCCCCGGTGAGCTCAGCGCAAAGGCGAAGCGGGCTAAGAAACTTGCTCAATAAAATTAAGGATGGTCGTTGATCATTAGATGTCGCTGCTGTCAGATTCCTAGCCTTCCTTGGTTGGAGAGAAGGGCGCGAAGCTGAACATAAAAAGTCTGCCAAACTACTCCACATAGTGTCGAACATCGGGCATGTGGCCCCCGCGTTCCATAATACGATATCTTTGATAGCGTCAGGATTGTAAATACAGTGGTGGATATCAGCTGAAAGTGTGGTGTTTTCGAGAGGCAGCAAGGCCGGGGCTCAATGCAATTGATCAGCTCAGTGCCCATTAGTTATCTAATCAGACATCACAGCCACATTTTTGAGATAAAATTAGCCTGATCTTGGTACATGTATTACGTAGATCAGCCACAAAGTTGTTTGCACCACAGCCACGGTTTCTACCATTCACCCGCCAAGCCAAGACTGGAGGCACGACGACGTTCCTTTTTCCGCCTTTCTGCTGCTTGTTAATCTGCTGTTGATTGAATTTGAGTGAGTATCCGATATACCAGTCAAGTCCCTACTATTTGAATTTACTCAGCGCGGCTACCCCAAAATACGACAAGCGGACCGCCATTTTCGAGCGCAATAGTTTCGAGGCTGGTTTCAACAAAGCGCGATGTCTTGGGCAGGTATGCGGGCTTCTCTCGGATGCAGAACCTTGCGCCTTGAACGGACAGAAAGTTAACGAGCGCCATACAGGGTTCAAGAAGAATGTTAACCGGGCGACGACCCAGGTTATGATGAAAACTGGTATGCAAATTCAACGGCTCGATCGGATATGTCTTTAGATCCCAGAGATTGGCAACGGAACGAGCTAGTTCAGTATTGGCAAGCATTTGGAGACATCCGATGCTGATTACGTGTGAGCATGGCAGGACATGTGGAGAAAACAAATGATCGGGATTATGAGATAGAAGAACGGTATGGGAGGATCATACAAATCGTTTTCTCGGCGCTTCGTGAGCTAATTGTATAGACGCTACCGGACCATGGAGGCGGCTGCGAATCGACTACAAAAGGAAGCAAAGGGTTACTTAGATTCGCTGAGAGGTGAAGTCATCTCTGCACTGCTCTTTGACCTTTGCGGTTGATGGGCTTCAGCTGACTGAGTTATGTGGTTCAGCCATGACGGCTTCGCAGATGCGCATTGCGGAAACTATCGATGCGTTTTACGGCGACGCAGGTGCTAAGGACGGCGTGAGCAGAAGCTATAAACAGGCTGTGGAGGATCTTGATGCGGAAACGATTAAGGCACTTGACGGTCCATACAGGTATGCTTGGGAAAATCGATCACCACCGATGTACAAGAGGCGCAGGCTGATCCGTACAAAATCCTAGAACGACGGTCTTGGAACCTATCTCGCGGTTTTGCGCATACTTCCCGGATATCAACGAGTGTATCAAGAAACGAAACAACAAGCTCCTAGACTACGACGCAATGCGCGCCAAAGTAAAGAAACTCGTTGAAAAACCCGACAAAGATGCCACCAAGCTCCCCCGAGCGGAGAAAGACGCAGAGATGGCTAAGCAGGCTTACGACCAGCTGAACGATCAATTATTCAACGAACTTCCTCAACTAATTGACCTTCGAGTACCGTACCTGGATCCTTCTTTTGAGGCTCTGGTGAAAATCCAACTGAGATTTTGTGCGGAGGCCTACAGTCGGATGGCACAAGTACAACAGTACTTGGATGCGGATACGAGAGAAGAATATGCATCTGGAAACCTCGACAACAAGGTTGAGCAGGTGTTGCAAGAAATTAGAGACCTAAGTATTGCTGGAACGGTTTAAAGCACATAATTTAAGTTAGCATGGCTGCTCGCTTTCGGCTTTCTTTTCTTTTCTTTTACCTTTTGGAGAAATGCTGTTACTCTGGTTCCAGTCAGATGGCAATGATGGAAGAACCACTTTCCCATCCTCTATCTTTATAGGTGTTTTTGTTTGATCCGCATACCCCCCATTGTACAAGCTAGGAAAATTTCATGGACTCTACCAAAATTTACCTGTCCTCAATTGAATAGCGGACAGCCCCATTTCCATGAGCGCCAGCTGACCACGTATTAAGAGTAGCTCCACAAAAACACGGGGTTTAGGGTCAATTATCTTCTGCTGCACTTCCCTGCGTTTTGAGCGCACAATTGCAGATGTTGATCTAAAATATCACAACCTCAAATCAAGCCTGTGGAAGCCCTTGGGTAGCACAAGTACATTAGCTAACAACAGATGCTTACTCCATTTGAAGAAGCACACCCTCAGAAAGCTTTGAGCCTTATTTCTATCTCTCAGGTGTCCTAGATAAGCAGAATCATGTCTGGAATGGTAAGAAAAAAAAAGAAAAGAAAAGAAAATCACTTCCTTGCATAAAATATAGTGCAGATGCTTGCATTTGTGTGTATGTGCATGTATTTATGTGCAGCACGTCTCAAAGCTTTGAACTACATGCCAATCCCGGAGTGTGGTTCAAGCATGGTCCTCTCCATTGCAGCAGAGGTATGTAGCAGTGTAGCTACTCCCAACGCAGCATGTCACTTCAGTGTGCATGAAAAAAAGTAGTAGAGCGATATCTCTCTCGCACTCTCCCGTTTCATTTATATATATATATTTACCCTTCCAACTGATTGGGCTGATTAAGGGGCGCAGTATCCAGGATACTCAGACTTCTCGAGCTTTCTTTCCCTTGGATTGCTTTGTTTGCTTGTTTGAGCTGATCCAGGAAGCGCATGCAGAGTACGTCGTGTCCTTGTCGCATAAGAAGACCGGCGGTTGAAGCCCTTTTGTTGGGATAAACTAAAACAGCTTGTCTTCTACCCGCATGCTGCAGGGATGTCTGTTTGCCGAGATGCCATTCCAGGTGGGAAGGTGGATTCCAGTTGATGGGTGAGCAAGGGTTCTGGACGGGAGAAGGGAGTTGATGACGACGCAGTTTGCGGTCCGCTCCCCGACGCAGTTCTGTGCGCGTCGGTCTTTATTGATATAGAAGGCGAACTGTCGTATGTATGGAGATTAGTTTGGAGAACGAGATCCGACAAGACGTATTTTTTCCATACGTACAAACCGACAAGCCATCGCATGTCGCTCTGCCGTACTCCGTACTGATACTGTACTCCGTACGCGAGCGACCCATAATAACATGGAAATGTGTACGGAGTACTTCGTACTCCGTATTGTAAAAAAAAAAAAACGAAAAAAACGAAAAAAACCAAAAAAAACCTAAGTAGCACTCAGGCCTGTTGACTGCAACGAGGTACATTTTGTATTCACACTAGTAATTTAAATGATCGCCGCTAGGAAAGCTTCACGACGAACGCCTCGCACTGTCATCACGTCCAATCCGTCGTGCGGAACAAGGTCCTCCCCGGCCGCAAAGTACGATGACTGGCATATGTCGCGCATAAAGTTCGTTCAGAATCCCTCCTCAGTGCCTACGCCTGCAAAGATTCGCCCCAAGGATGATTTGCGCTTTTGGGAGGGGACTGGGAGAGAGATTTCGCATTAAAACATTCAAGCGCATGACAAATTTTCCCCCATGACCCTGCCGTCATGATTTGAAATCAACCGGTCAGGATTAACTAAGCCAGCTAATTGACAAGGGAAGTTTGAAATTCGAAGCAAGCAGGGGCATATGTAGAGTATGGAATCTTTAAAGCTCTTTTTTCACAATTCGTACATCTCTACGGAGTATAGAGTAACTCTTCCATACGGGGCGGGTTGTTCAAAACATGGAACCATTGGTTTTTCTGCAAGCCACCCGTCCATATGTCAGCACAAAACAGGAGGCTGGCTCGGTCTAAATTCAACCAGCAAGATGCCTCTGGAGGACCTCGTACTCCATGCATACGATCGGTATTCATGGTAATTTACTCCGATCCTCCGTTCTTCGCAGATACTCCGTCGTCAGTGCATGGGTCGGAGCGAGAGCGTCTTCTCCAAAAAAAAAAAAGAAAAAAAGGGAAAGGCAAAACCTCTTATTAATATAGAAAATAACTGAGTTCAGCCAAGCAACCCCCGATGGTGTAGTTGGATATCACGTTCGGCTGTAAAGGGAACTTCTCATGCTACCGAAAGGTCGCCGGCTCGACTCCGGCTCGGGGGATGAAACACGATTCTTTTTTTTTTTCTGTTGCTGCTTTTTCTTGGCTCACACGGCCCATACGGAGCTCGATAATGAATGGACCCTTTTCTTTTCTTTTTTTTTTCTTTTTTCTTTTTAATTTTCCCGAGGTCCTGTGTATGACAGACGGTGGGTTGGATTGACCTGTAAGATGTGGTATCAAGCTTCTCTCCTGCAACGGATTCTTTCATGCGTTATGCTTCAATTCCCGCGCGTATCCCCAGCATACCTTTCTTCCTGACAACCGACCGGTGTGTAGAAAATACGGTATTCATACTTTTTGTTTATTTGCCCTCAGGCTGCCTCTTCTATCTGTGGTCATGTTTATAGATACGGAGCTTGTTAGATGCATAGTATATCCATCGGAACCAACTCCAAGAGAATACACCCGCCGATCCACCCAAGACCAAAAAAGCAAAGACGAAAAACGGGAAGAGCCAAAAAAAAGGAGAAGAGAACAAAAGAAAACGACAATACCGCCGATTCACTTCTTGAGAAAATTTGCAAAAAATTCCCATCCAACAAAAAAAAAAAAAAAAAAAGAAAAAGAAAAAAGACAACGAAAGAGTGAATAAGCGCCGAAAACCAATTCTAAATTTTCGTAGGGAATTCCAGGGGTGGGAGGAAAGGAAAAAGGACACAGGACGGTTTTGAGAGCTGACTTGTGGGACATCAGCGATGCGTGCGAAGCATGAGGTAACAATTGTCCACACACAAACAAGAAACTGAAATTTGAACCAGCCTCATAGGTCAACGTAGCAACCAAATAGATCAGGAACATCGGAAATAGAATGAGATATTGAAGATATAATCATGGTAGCGACAAGCCAATTATGTCATATCCATACGTGTCATTAGAAGTTAGTATTGACTCTTGTGGCAGGGGGGTAGAAAAAGAAAAGGGTTAGGAAAATATGAGACTGGAGAGAGTGACAGGTTGGGAAAGATGAGTGAGAGACATAATTCGTCGTACGATTTCTGTTTCAGGAGCAAATAGAATCCAATTGTTGATCCTATTGGAGATTGTGGCTGTCAATCATATCTCAGGACTTGTAAAAACCTCACACTGGAATGGTCTCTCGCCAAGTTCAGTTAGAGCTGTGCGGACAATCCTTTTAAAAGGGGGTTTAAGGCCCTAGTCCATCGGACGTCCGAAGCTCCATATCCGGCATCAAAGAGACCGGAAACAACCAAAGCGTTGTCGCATTGGTGCCTTAGCTGTCGACGCAGAAAATACAAAAAAAAAAAAAAGGAAATTCGTCAAAAAGCCTCCCATGGGTCATAAGACTTGTCCTGGAAGTCTTCCAAACACACATTCCTTCATTATCGTCGCCGTCTTCTTTTTTTTTTTTCCCGACAAAAGAAAGATTTAATCACGGCCGTGACGGCCCTCGGCTAGAGGCCCAAGGGCAGAAGGAGACAGCCAACACATCGCTCCCTCCTCATTTCTCTCGACGGCTCTCTTTTATAACCCAAAGTCTGCGTCTGTCTCTCGTGCTAAGCTTTTCTGCTGCCAGGTCAGACTTGTTTCCCGCCATGTGCTTATCTCCTCATGATATCTCCTCATGATATTTCGTTATCATCAGCGCATTTCACGTCTCTCTCTGCTCATCCAGAATAGAATGCGCAGAATCAACGCCAGCTTCTGCTTCTGTTACATTTGAAACAAGGGTGCTATCGTGTCTGGGGCTCGGAAGCCCAGAACGGGACTGGATGATGCCCCTGAAAGATTGGCTAAATGTAGTTGGAGAAGACGATATCTGACCCTCTAAGGTTCTTGGCATGGATTCCTTTGCTGGTACCCCCGATCCTGGGTTCCCAAATACCTGCGCACTCATTACGCCATGCGGTGCTGTCATACGACGAACCTGTATATCTTCTGTTTGCGATGTCGGCTCATCCCGTGGGCCTTGGAAAGAGCCGGCGTCGCCATGCCTGTGTTGTTGCTGGGCAGGCAAAGATTGCTGAAGGAGGCCGGCAGGAGATGGGTCTGGCTCAACTCCTGCCCTCATCGTCGGTGATGCAGCGCCGAAACCCTTCTTCGTAGCCGGCCTTTTGGGGGCCGGGTATTGTTCCCCTCTAGCCTGTGCCATTAATGTTCGTCTTTGTATTTCTGCCTTGCTTGGTCTGCCTCGTTTTCGTGGCGGTTCCCCCCTTGCTGGGTCGGGAAGCCGCGGTATCCGAAGAGAAGCTCGTGCCTGGGCTGCCTGAAAGGTTTCACCTGGTGGAGTGGGCTTTGGCTGAATAGCGCGGTGTGCAGATGATGTTTTATCTAGACCAAGTGGTGGAAGAGGTCTCTTTCTATTTTCAGGGGATGTCTGGGCCGGGGCAGGAGGACCTGGGAAACTCCGCCTGTACGCATGTGTATACTCGTGTTCCATGCGAAAAAACGCTGTTTGGCAAGAGTGGAGGGATCTCCCTATACAGGCTTTTAGCAACGGCAAAATCCTGATCCAGCCCTTTCCCTCCGTGGTGTCATCGGGGCATTCTTGACCCCCAAAAGTTGGTTTATGCCTGAGCGGTGGGGAGGCTCATACCTTCAGGGAGGGGAATTTCCATCCAATTGGGGGATATCTGGTTCTCTTTTATAATGCTGAACAGGAACGACGAGGATATTCCAGCCTTTTTAAGGATTTCAGTGAGGAGAAAGTTCTGCAACACATTCAGTCAATATTCTTGGAAAGCTAAACAAGGTCGCAACGCGGCCGAAGGCAACAACACAATTTCGTTCTCATAGGCGAAGATTTACCTTCTCCTCCTCGGTCCATGGTTTGTCTGGTTGGCTCGACATATCCAGCAATTCATGAAACTATGGGCGATGACCAGCTTCGCATCAGAAGAGCTCCAAGAGCGCCCCAGGGGTTGCCGCGGGCGGGTTGGGGGGGAAGAGACGGCGTTCAGGCAGGTGGCGCTGGGGCAGCGAGGTGGGGCATGAAGACGTCCACGGCGGGCTGCGGAAAGGGCGCGCGAGCCGCAGAGGGCAGGCAGGATGGTTCGCGGGGCAGGAGGGCTGTTGGATCGCAGCCGCGGAGGGAAAGACCACAGACCAGGAAGAGAGAGAGAAGGGGGGAAAGAATACCAAACAGTCGGATCGGGTAGCTGCAAGCAGGGCGATTGCGACTTGGGGAAGTAACGAGCGGAAGCGTAAACGCGACGGATGGGGAAGGCGACACGCGCGGTGGCACTTCAAGGTGAAACAGGCGGGAAGGAGGCGACTGCGATTGAAGCCGTCAACATTGAGCCATTGGAACGGGCCAGATAGAGCAGTCTCCTTTTTCAGTCTTGAAAACGCGTCGCTGGCGGGAAAAGAGAACGTGCTTTGAGAAGCAACAAAGAAAACACGGCCGTGCGGTGGATGGGGCGGGAGGAGAGGAGCAAAGTAAACAAGGGCAACGCAAACAATGGGATCAACTGGGGCGATGGGGGTTGTTTAGCCACTAGGATGTTTCTGTCACCCCAGACATCAGAAGAAAGAGAGGTTGGAAAACAGAAGATAGAAGAAAAATGAGCGAGTGTAACGAAGCGGAAAGGCAGGGTGAAAAAGAGAGGGGAAGGGGAGGGGAAACGAAGGAAAAGGCGGAATGAGTGAAGGCAGGCCGTCGTGGTCGCGATGTCGTTGAGCGGGTGGTGAAAAAGAGCGAGAGAGAGAGAGAGGCGAGAGAAAGAGGAGACGCTTCGGGAGGAGGAAAGGGAGAGCAGCGAGCCTCGAGGTACTGCGAGGTACCTACGTCTTGTAACGCAGAAATTCGATTTCCAGTACACACGCAGCTCCTGAAATAGCCACAGAAGGCGTGGTAACGTACTGGTAACGTATGTAACGTCCTCCTCAAAGCCAAACGAAACACAAGCTACTTACGGCGCCAAACTTGTTTTGTTCTAGTGCGGATCCCAGGCCAAGCTTAGGTAATTTTGGGGAGTTCAGGATGGGCTGCAGAGCGAGGGAGCGATATGATTAGGCGCATTCCAGAATAATCATGGGCAGCCAGTGGGATGAGGGCGAGATCCGTTCTGAAACGAGCCTTATATCGTTTCTGAGGGAGACTTATCAGCCCTTAAGAACCCTTGTCTCCACGTATGCGGAGCCCATGCATGCTCGCTGGATGTGCAACATCCTGGTTGGCAAGTCCTGGACGGTTGTTCTTATGTTTGCTTAGCGATGAATTGTTGTCACACACATTGAGAAAACGTCGGACTTTAAAATGCATGAGCATATATAAAGCTCGAAGATGATATATCCGATAAGGACGGCTGCGGGCGGCATGGGTGGTGACCTTGCTTTGGGCGTCCCGGATCCTTCTCTTGGATCTTCCATACTTATAAACGGTCCAGGTTCGTTCAACACACGCCGCGCGGCGCTATGGACTCTGGCCTTGATGCCTCCTAACCTGGCAAGAACCAGCGGTCAGAACTATCACACAGCGGAGAGCGCCCGGAATCAGAAACGAGGTATATCTTCCCGGTTTACCATGTGAGTTGGGTTGAAGGTTTGACCGCCGAACAAGGCATAGCTCAGCGTCCAGTTGCACTCCTGGGGGGCCACATCAGACTCTCAGAGAGAGGGAAGAGAAGAGAGAGATAGACGGTGTCGCTTGCGGGTATCAGATATCAATTGAGGCTGTGTAAATTGTTGCCGACGATGGCCTTTGGTAGCACTTCATCATGATCTGCCCCAACATTATGGATCGTATACATACGTCGGGGTTCGAATGTCTCAGATACATAAAATACATGCCGTGCTGGATATGCTCGTGGGTTGCGTATTCATAATAGGAACCCATCCCCTTAAAAAAAAAAAAGGAAAAATTTAAAACAAAAAAAAAAAAAATCCAGCGACGTTGGCAACGCTCAGTTGCCAATCCATTTTTGAAAAAAGTTTATGTTTTGTGTATTTTCTCCCAGTTTTAATAATTTGTCACCTTTTAATTGGACTGACCAACGTCAGCCAGAAGCTCCTTGTTGTCGGCTCTGGGATCAGGACCCAGTCGAAGTTGGCCCATGCCAACACAGCTTCCATTGGAATCCCGCCAATTCAAGATGAGTCAACTGACGGCCAATTCCAGACGATATCCCCGGATTCCGTTTAGCCGGCTTGGACTCAACCTCGACCTCAAGCAACTAGCAACAGCTACTTAGGTCAGTGCAAAGGTGCTCTGGAGGGAGTAACGACGTACCGCCATAGCCCTATCATATGACTGCATCCATTCGGATCATTGTTATTATGTCAAGAGAGAGTAAAAGGCATCGGGCGCGAGACAACACGATGAGATCGAGATTCCACGCGCTCCCTCGTTGGATCGCCCGAGCTAGAAGCCAAAGAACAAAATAGTGGAGACCGATCAAGGCTTGTGATTGGACCACGGCAAGGCAGCTTTCATGCAGGAGATGGGCATGGGGGCGCGGTTGACTCCGTTGCTGCATACGACCAGTCAACGCAGAACAGAGAGAGCCTTTTTTTTATTATATTTTATTTTTATTTTATTTTTCTTGTCTTCCTGGGCTGGCTGACATGGCAAGACTGGCGATGACAGAATGTAACAGGCTGCAGATATTCCGCGTAGAGTTACAATGTCGAAATAGGTCACCCATTCTGGCAGGTGAGAGGCCAGGCATGTACTCAATTTCCCATTTGGCTCGAATGTCGATGCCGGCGGGCTTTGATTGGCGCCAGTCCGAGCGGGAAGCTGTCGTAATTCTGTAGTGTAACATATCCGTGTACCGCGCGCTGCCCCAGAGAGAAGAGACAGGCAGACTCCGTCCCTCTGGATAAAATGCTCGGCGGCCAGTCTCAATCTCCTCATCCCTGCCCAACACTGGGTTGAATGTAATATGCCGTTCGTGCAGAGGACTGGTGTTTTAAGACGGAGTGGGCAATCATCCCACACCACCCCCCCTCTTCTACCCCCAAGAAGAGTGGGTTCTGTCGTGCCTTGAGACAGATACGTATGTATATCGGACCAAGTGTTGGAAGCCCAGACGACAATTTGGGCTGTTGAGTTATCTGGGTAGGGTTTGTTTTGCTGATGTCCCAGCCGTGACAGCCAAGCCGAAATAATACTGTATTCGAAGGTAAATTAGCCCGCTTGGACATACGGCGCGTATTGTACCGTAAGACCGATACAAGTCTGGTTACTTCTGTGTACCTCGACATGCATCGACCGCTAGATGAAACACAAACCGACGCGCTCATGCTGTACCTGCAGACAAAGCAGAGCTCTGCTAGCCATTGATTCTATCTCTCTCCTCCGCAATCTGAAAACCATCTTAAGCATGCGAGTGTCAATCTAAATATGTCCCGCGCACGTCTACCTAAACTTTCCCGTCTCGCGGGGCAATTCCATGCACACACAAACCCACCCCTACTCTCCGCCCTGAGTTTTTTTCAGTAGTTTAGGCCGTTGCACGTCTTTTTTTTTTTTTTTTTTTTTTTTTTGGGTGGGCATAGAACTCGGACCGCCAGAGCCTTTGGTGAGGCTCCCGGCCCCATGCTTGCAACGATGGTATTGCCGACTAACGCCAGGAGCTAATCGCGGTGCCAATGTCATCGTGGGAGGAGGCTTTCTCTTCCTTTTCACTGCTTGGCCTTTTCTGCAAACCGATTCGCCATTCGTCTGGTCGATCCAGCGGCGTTTCCCAGCCTTACCCGACCACCGCCCCCACGAACTGCCCAAAATCCCACCAACGAGACCTTCGAGAAGATGGAGGAGATTATTATTATTTTTTTCTTAAAAGTCCGTTGCCCAGACTGGCCCTGGTCTGTGCCTGTATCCACAAATCCTTTTTCCCCGGTGCCTAAGGTTCCTTGTCCTCAAACCAAATTTTCCGGACTGACCATTATTGAAACCACGACCCTTCATCGGATTTCAATGGCACCCCAAGCACTCGATCTTCTGAGATCGGTGCCCATGGCCCTTTGTTCGCTGACGAATACAAGGAAAACTCCGGCCAGATCACTTCTGAACTACAGCGAGCTATCCATCTTAAGCCACCCATGAAAATCCTGAATATATACCCTAAAAGGCATCCGTCTGCAGTCTTGTCATGCTCTTCTCCAAACTTCAGTCTGCTCAAGATTCCTTACCGTTCTCATCTCGATGCTTTTTTGGGTGTTAGGTTGTGCGGTTCGGCGATGGCGGGGTAATCCGCTGACATCGTTGTATGAGCTTGGCTTCAGCCATCCCAACACAACCCGCAGCGCTGCTGCCACAGATATAGTTGTCCACGCTTCCAACAGGCCGCCGGGGTGTCGTTTGCCTTATGCATTCGATGCTTCCTTGCCACTGGCACCAGATTGCGAGATCGCTGCTTACATATAGTGCCATGCTTTGCTCTGTGTGGAGTCACCGCAATATCGCTACTTCATTTAGGAACATCCAACGGCTTCTCATTCCCAGAATTGCGGGGAACATATGCCAGACTCGCAGGATCTCAGACACAGTATAGGGGCTGCTCTTCATGGTCAATTTAAGTTGACCTGGCATATGCTCTCGTTGTTTCCATTCATGATCTCTATGCTCCAAAGCCCCAGCTGCTTCAAAAGACATACTAATTCTGCGTAGGTGCTGCCTCTGTTCTGCCGGAACTGTCCGTGCGGCTGTTTCTCATTCTGTAATATAGGTCTGTGGCTCTTATTATATGACTAAAACACGTCGCCAGCAGCTGCCAAGTTCAAACACGGTTTGATATGTGATTCGCCAGGATTTCCCATGTTATTCGGTTAGAGCTGAGAAGTGAGCGCTTCAGCTTCAATCCCGGAGTCATCACGGAAAATCGCCACTTTGTTGGAGGGGCTACTAACTCTTGGGACACTTATAGTGGGTGTCGCATGAGCTGGATGCATAAAGGGAGAGAATTTCATGTTGTCTTTTTTTGTGGGGGGGAAAAGGAGCCCTTCTTTTTTGCTGTTTGGGGAATATCTGTGTTTGGCTCATTGTGGCCAGGCCTCCACGAGAAACACTTGAGAATCCGCGGGGGATTTGTTGTCCGCATCAAGATCGGAGCCATAGCGTTCACAGGCGACCCAAAGGAAAAAAAAAGCCGATCTTGTTCGCAGAGCACCACTATTTCCACCCACCAAGCGAAGCTACCACCCCATTCACACCTTACATTTTTCAAAGTTGCCCCATCATTTTTCCAACCTCCACCTCATCATCCCTTGGTTTTGCAATTTCATCGATTTTCTGTGGACAAAGAATAGTCGAAATAGGAATAAATGACAATGAGATTGGCTCGATGCCCTTGATGGCATACTTTTCTTCTTTTCCGGAATTGGTACCGATAGAGAACAGCCGCTCATCGCTGGATAACCGCAATTTTGCTTCCTCGGGGCAAGGTCATTTGGCTACTACCTATGCGGTCTGAAGTAGCAGGCTTCGGAGATATCCAAAGGAAGAAGAGGGCAGAGGGGAGGCAAGCAAGCCGGATTCAATTACACTAAAGAAAGAAGAGGAGAGGGAAAAAAAAAGCGCCCTTTCTTTTTGTTCCCTACGCAGTGTCCGCATCCTCTGCTGGGCAAAGCTTTTCGACCGCAACTCTCAGGCATCGGACCTCACGCGATTGCCACTATCTCCGTTTCTCCTCCTATTCTCACAGCGCATCTTTATTGTGGGAGAGGGGCACATTTTGTTCTTTTTGTTGTTTTGATCCTATTCACGGACTGGTCGTGTCATCTCCGTTCACACTCTATCCATCCTTCTTCACCCCATCTCATTTCCTCCTCCCGCACCCCGGCCATTCCATTCTGTCGTCAAACACATCTTCACTCCAATCTTTGCCTATTTTACATTCCTTATTACTTCCTGTGTCCTATTACACTGCCCCTGTCTCCAAACCTGTCCTCAGGGCTGCGGAGCCGCATCTGCCGCTGAAAAACATTAAGCATCAGGTTTGGATTCTTGGCGCTTTTTTCCCACGGATTCCTAGCTCATCTCCGCCAAATAAATCCACGATTTTGGCGGCACACCACTTCCCTTTATCTCGCTGACCTGCGCCTTTCCGGTAACCACCACATATTAGTATCCAGCTGCGTCGCTGGTATCCATTATGGCTGGCCATGACGATGAGGAAGCCAGGATAGAGACAGTAAAAGATGCAGTGACCGATATGAAGCTTGAACGCCAGTCATCCACAGAGAGTATAGCTCCAAACGGCATTCTAGACACCATCACTCCAAAGGACGAGCCAAATGGCCATTTATCTTCCAAACCCAGCACTCCATCTCTAAAACCACCGAAATCTCGATCCCGATCGAGCAATTCACTTGCCAAGGATGAAGTACCAGAAGAGAAAGTTGGCGGTGATATTACCATCAAACAAGAACCCGGTCAACCGCCAAAGTTGGCTCGCTCTGCCTCGCAGAAGCTACCTGCTCGCGCTGCACCGCTGTTCACTGATCTACCCGACAAGACGACAGAGGCTACGAGTACCTTCCAGTTGATGGAAGTGTGCACTTATGCCAATAAGTATCTAGGCTACACAGAACATGCCATGGACTGTGATTGTGCTGAGGAGTGGGGTAAGTTTCCCCAGTCTGGTGATTCCTGTACAGGCGATACAACCGCGGACTTCGGTCTCGTCTGTTTATTTCATCTTCAACCTCTGTTCTCCCTAAAGCCATTGTCAAGGCGTTTACAGAATGTATCTACACTTCACTACGCCAATAGTGCTAATTATGCCATTCAGATGCCGCTACTTGCCGAAATACAGCCTGTGGAGAAGATTCAGACTGTATCAACCGTGCCACCAAGATGGAATGTTTCGGCGACTGTGGATGTGGTGACAGCTGTCAGAATCAGCGATTTCAACGACGAGAATACGCCAAGGTATCGGTCATTAAGACGGAAAAGAAAGGCTACGGCCTACGTGCAGATTGTGACTTGCGTCCCAACGAATTCATATTCGAATATATTGGTGAAGTAATCAACGAACCGCAGTTTCGTCGCCGAATGATTCAGTACGATGAGGAAGGTATCAAACACTTCTATTTCATGTCTCTCAACAAGGGAGAGTTTGTTGATGCGACCAAAAAGGGCAACCTGGGCCGCTTCTGCAACCACTCTTGCAATCCAAATTGCTATGTGGACAAATGGGTTGTCGGAGAAAAACTTCGTATGGGAATATTTGCTGAGCGATATATCAAAGCCGGCGAAGAACTGGTGTTTAACTATAATGTTGATCGCTATGGTGCTGACCCACAACCATGTTATTGCGGCGAGCCCAACTGTACAGGTTTTATCGGCGGGAAGACTCAGACTGAGCGCGCAACTAAACTGTCCCATGCGACAATCGAAGCTTTGGGAATTGATGATCCAGACGGATGGGATACTGCCGTTGCAAGACGACCTCGAAAGAAGAAGACTGGAGAAGATGATGAAGAGTACGTGGATAGCTTACAGCCTAAATCTTTGGATGAGAATGGTGTCACAAAAGTCATGGCTGCTCTTATGCAGTGCAAGGAGAAATGGATTGCTGTCAAGCTGCTTGGTCGCATCCAGCGCTGTGAGGATGAACGAGTCCGCCACCGAGTAGTGCGGATGCACGGTTACCAAATATTGAATTCCCAACTAAACACCTGGAAAGATGATTTCAATGTCGTGCTCCAGATCCTCGATATCCTGGATAAGTTTCCAAGACTCACTCGGAATAAGATCATTGATTCCAAGATCGAGGGAACTGTCAGCCCACTCCAAGAGTGTGATGATGAGCGAGTTGCAGAGAAAGCGAAAGCGTTGCTTGAAATATGGTCTGCTCTCGAAGTTGGCTACCGCATTCCGAGAATGAAGAGAGATCCGGCGGCCGTTAATAACACACCCACTGCCAACCATTACGAGCGTCGGGAAACGGCGAAAGACGACCGCAAACCCAATTCGTCTAAATCAAGGTCAAGCTCCCGATCTCGGTCACGGTCTGTGGATGTCACTCGAAATGCCCCTCGCGGCCCTGCTGCTCTTACAAGAGGTGGTGGGAAAGGGCATATGCATTCTTATCGTCCAGGCCAGCGGCCATTCCGTCGGCCGTTCAATCCCCTTCCAAAAGGATGGTTTGCTGCAGAATCTAATGGAAGAACATATTATTACTCGGCTACTGGGGAGACAACATGGTCAAGGCCAACTGCGCCGGCGGTGCAACCACCCCCGCCACCAAAACGCGAATCAAAGGAAAAGACACTGCAGGATATTATTGATGGTATCATGAATGCCAAGGAGAATACACCAAAGGCGAAGGATAAATCTGCGACGCCGGCCACTCCGGCTGACGCGAAGATACCGGAGAAGAAAGAACACAAAGAGAAATGGCGATCCTACAGTGAAGAGAAGCAAAAAAAGTTATATGAGAACACGGTATGCCGTCCATCTCTCTGTGCTACTTATCTCGCAGTACTAATGGATTGTAGCTCTTCCCGCATGTGAAGTATATTGTCGATAAGTTCAAGCATAAGCTTCCAAAGGACGATTTGAAGCGCTACGCAAAAGAGGTATGCCTCAGATTTACCCCTTCTGGCACGTAGGAATCGACTAACATGGATATTGATTAGGTCGCTAAAAAACTAGTGAACTCTGATTTTAAGAACAATCGCGTCGAAGATCCAACGAAGATCAGCGAAAAGCAGATCAAGCAGGTTAAGAAATACTGCAAAGAATACTTCGATAAAGCGGTCGCCAAACACCGGGCCTACGAAGAAAAGAAGGCAGAAAGGAAGTCAAAGGGATCTGTTAAAGCGACAACTTCTGCTACGATAGATAAAGCGGAAACGACTTCAACCAAGGCACCGCCACAATTTGACGGTGCTGCAGAAACAGGAGACGGAGATAGTGACGTCCAGTTATCCGATGCGGAGTATGAAGACGGCCAAGAAGGATCTTCTCATCACAGCGGCCTCAAGCGAAAGCGTACAGACGACGAAGACTTTGAGAATGACCACGAAAACGGCGGTGTTTCCCCTACTAAGAGACAACGATCTGCCTCGCTACCGATCATTCCACCCCCTCCGCCTCCAATGAGTCCAAGTAACCTCGTTCTGGACGATGGATCTCGAGAAGCCCTCAAACGTCAACGAACCGAAGGCGCCGAAGACGACGAATATGGTGACTCTACCATCTCGTCTGGGAAGCGGCAAAGATCCGAAACTCCTCCGCCGCCTCCACCGCCGCCACCTCCGGCGGATATTCCTCCCGAGAACATCGAGAGCGAGAATGAGAATGACAAGGACCAGGAAGAACTACAAGACTATGACGTGCAGGAGGCTAAGTGGGGCAAAGAGGATAATATTGCCATCCAATCTCCTTCACACTCACCATTCCCGGCACAGTCGATATCCAACCACAGCAACACTGCGCATGAGACAGATTCTCATTCTTAACATTTTTTTTTTTCTTTTTCGAATAGTGTGTCTCGCGTGCAAGTCGATAATATTTTTGCTCATGTACATCTTCTTCAATACATTTTCCATTCTTATCATCGGTTTTTTGTCCCATATCAATTGCTTTCTTTTTGCCTGGACTTTTTTTTCCCTTTTTTAGCGGGTCATATCAAGGAGGTTCGATCCATGTTTGGGAGGCGTTTTGATTTTAAACCCCATCGCGAGGGTTCTCCTTTTTTTTAAAAAAAAGAAAAATCCTCTCCAGTAGGAATAATAGAGAAAACAGCCTTTCATGAGGAGCAGTTGTACTACGTTTATTAATTTCCAACCCGAGAAAAACACGAAGGTGCCGTTTTTAGACAGGTTCAACATCAGATTTTCGGTGTTCTTCCGTCTGGGGACACCTGATCTTCTGCAGTCATCAAAATAATGCTATCATAAATAGTCATTTCCGTCCAAAACATATCAAGCAAACCCCTCCGGATGCTCCTTTATCAGTAAAAGCTCTCCACCAAAGTCTCCTTAGTCACATTTCCTAATCCCTGGCCCGCTGCCTCGCCCAGCCTAAACACACTCTCCACGACACTCAGCTCGGTCGCCGTTGTATCTAGTCCAGTCACAGCGAGCCAGTCATTAACCACCATTCCAGCACCAACGACCGCAGAGCCGCGATTTACACTGCCTGCAACTAAGGGTACCTGGAGTAGGGACGAAAGTTCGTCTTGATCTTGGATTGGGGTTTTGGGGTGAACGATGCCGCCTTGGTTGGAGAGGGCCATGTAGGAGCCTGTTAAGACGTTGTCTGCGATGGTCTGGCGGAAGACTTCGACACCGAGGACATCCGATATTCTTTTTTTTGATAAGTTATTCGTTAGCAAAACTTTCCCTTTATGTTTTTGCTTTTTCTTTTCTTTTATTTATTTATTTATTTCTTTTTTTTGAGGAAGAGGAGGAGGAATGCATACATTTCTTCAGTTTCTCGCTCTAAATCCGGATGCACAAGGGCAACGTGATCGTTACAACATATAACATTACCGAGGGCCGATAATCTTTCTTCTACCCGCTGTATCTTGACGGAGTCTGGGATCGAATTTCGGAGATGCTGAAGTTCTTGATCTGTGGTCGTGGTAGGAACGAGGAGACCTTTACGGTTTCTAGAGAGCAGGAAACAGTCAAATTAGCCGACGTTCCCTTTTCCTTTTTGTCGGATTCAAGGACGGTTTGAGAATGATAGAGTGTTGCTTACCCAGCTGTTAATCTCCCAACGATCCTTGTACCTGCGATTGTGGCATGGCATATGGGGATGACATCTTGCAATTCGGCCTCGAAGACACTGTAAAACCGGAACTCACGTATTAGCCATCTGGTTTTCTAAAAGGTTCCCTTCACTAGGCTCCACGACAAATATCCAGATATCGCCATGATAACATATTGTTTCAAACGCTCAACAGGTGTGCCGTTGCGGTAGGTAACCTTCGGTGTCTCGATGCAAATATCAAGTCGGTGGTCATATTCGTCTTTTCCCCCATGGCTCTTCGTGACCTCACAGGCACCATCCTATGCCCAACTAACCATTCGCTGACCACTCATCACTTCTCCCGTCTTTTCGATCAACCAGACCAGAGACTCCGAGCTTTTTTAGATATCACTAGGGCCCAGCGGTCGTTCGGGTGACCATATCGCCTCGGACCCAGCACCCGCAAAGAAACCCCCAAGTGGAAAATTTCAAGAGGAGCAAAAAACGGAAAAGAAATCTCGAAACAAAGGGCACCTAGAGGGACCAACCTGTAAAAATTCTCCGATGCGCCAATCGCCACGAGAGCGTAGGAATTTGTCAATGTCGCAAAGACACCGACCCTGCGGGGCAAAAGAGTGACACCCTGTCAGCGTGCATGTATGTTCCCCGCGGAATAAAAACGCAAGGCGAAAAAGAAAGAAGATAGATTCCTCTCCTCCCTCTCTCAAGGCCAGAATACCATCTGTAGTAGAGGGAGCAGAGAAAGGAAAAAGGCAATTTAAAAAAAAAAAAAAAAAAAAGGCATGCGGCGGGGGAAGAAGAACTCAACTCGTTCGAATTCTCAAACTGTGCGCGCACAGCCATGGCTTGTGTGATTTTCTGGGACGCGTGTGGGATTGGGAAGTAATTTTTGAAGTCTAAGTGGAACAAAAAAGCGACTGCTTGATTGTCTATATTTATTTCGTACACGCGAATGCGTCAAGAGGACAAAATGATGCAGATGAGTGACAAGCAAAGAAGCAGAAGAAGCAGAGGAAGAAGAAGAAGAAGAAGTGGTGAGCTGGCTGGGAGGGGCGGGGCGACCACAGAAACGAAACGTCGAAGCTCTGCGAAAAAACTGATCCGTTGAGCGGGAATCTACATATCCTCTCGTCGTTCAAGGGTATTTAAAGCACTTCATTCAGCTAGTCTAAGTCTACCATCTGTGGGCCCGGTTTAACTACCGACTCTGGTCGAAGCTCCCAACTCACTCCTTTGTATTGAATCATGAGTCACTCACGATCCACGCTGCGGCCTCTCGACGCAGCTCAGCGATGCGACCCTTTGCGCTGGACACGAGACCAGCCGCGGTCAAAGAGGAGTCAGCAGGAGTCAGCGTGAGCAAGCAAAACTTGGCGTCACATATATAAGGTGTGTAGCTGGATTACACTTGTTCAGCTCGCTGCTCGCCGACGGTCCTCTTCACATCGTCAAATAGCTTCTACTAGCGCATCATATTAATCCCTGATGCTTAGCAGCTCCAAGCTCTCAGGCGGTATGATAAAGCTGATTCCTCTGAAATACGAGTATTTTTTTCTGTCCCTTTTTTTTTTTTTTTTTTTTTTTAAACATTTTCGAAAAGCTTTTCTCCTACTAATCATTTTCAAAACGCAGCAGGTAGGTAGATACATACATACACACATACACATGAGAGAAGTCTATCGGTAACCCATGCCAATTCGCAAAATAAAGTCCCATTCCTCAAACTAGCCCTTGTATGCAACCCGGCCTTCTGTTATCCACCGGCCTTGGTCCTGCTCGGCCAAACACAAAGAAAGGCGAAACCAAATGCAATAGAAATCAACGAGTCATCGCAACCATGTACATGCATTCTCAAGCCTTTTAAGAAAGGGAAAAAGAAGAAGAAACCTCAAGCCCCAGTCCAATCAAACCAAGGAAGCCATAGACAATCTCATAGTAGTACAAAGCAGTACCAAGGAGGGGGAAAGAAACGAATATTCCTTTTTCCTGAAAATAAAAATGAGGAATCGGGAAAAACGACGACGAAGAAGACCATATCATATTGTACAGAAGCAGGCACTCCCAAGTGTCTTTTTTTTTTTTTTTTTTTTTTTTTTTTTTTTTTTTCCCGCTGTTTGTTAATTCTTTGCACCTCAAAATTTATACCGTCATCATAAGAAGAAAAACAAAGACATGTCCTAAACAACGTTTTATTCTCATCAAACCCGACCCCAAGGACTCGACAAATTACCTCCCGCATTCTAATAGCGCGGCGGAGGTGGAAGGCCCTGGTGCAAACCATGCTGCCCATGCGGAGCCTGTGGAGGTAATGCTTGATGCGGTCTGGGTGGCGGAGGGGCAGAGTGCGGATGATACGGCGAATAATACTGTGTCGGATACATCGAATGCTGATGGTAAGGTCCTGGTGGAGGAAGTGGAGGAGGAGGGGGAGCGTGAGCGTAACCCACCGGTGGACCTGGCATGTACTGCGGTAGGAGGGGCGGTGGGTAGGGACCCGATTGAGATGGTCGATGAGTCTGATGTCCTGCTGGTGGAGGCGCGTGAGCGGGACCGGCTGGATATCGCAGCCCCGGAGGAGCGGGCAGGTGCTGCGGTGCTGAGGAAAATGGATCCGGGAGCCTAAGCTGTTCGCTCAGTTGCTCGCGAATTGGCGGAAGTCCCTGCGGTGCTGGCCTTGCGGCAGGGAGCAGTGGTCGAGGGAGAGCGGGATATGATCTCGACGGAGCACCGGCGGGTGGCTGCTGCGGTTGCTGCGGCGGAGGTGGCACCTGGTACTGTGGTGCGTAGTACGGCTGATGTTCCGCAGGGGCGGGCAGAGCCTGTGTTGGCATTGGCTGTGGCAGGATTGCCCGGTGCATCGCTCTCGGTGGGAGCTGTTCGGAATACTGTGGTCCCATGTATGGCTGTGGAGGCAGCTGAGAAGTTCGCTCAGTAGGGACACCCGGATGCTCAGCAGAGACATGACCAGCCGTGGCGCTTGTGGGCAGCTGCGCGTCTACTGCTCGATGACCAGTATCCACGCTCGACGCCTCCATGGAGCTCTTCAAGGCGATCTCAGCAAGCGCATTCAATGCATTTGCTGACTCTGGCTTTGTTGTCATCTCCGCCTCTTCTTCTTCCTCCTCCTCCTCTTTTCTTTCGTCCTTGGTTGCACTCCTACCTTCCGCAAGCTCACACGCATCGGCGAGGGCAGACATGAGACGTTGGAACCTTGGATCGCTGAATCGAGGACGATTGCTATCTCCCTCAGCGGCTTCGTCTTCCGTATTCTCGTCGTCCTCGGCCACGGCTTCCTTGTTCTTCTTCTTAGCTTCCTCACGCCGTCGCTTTTGCTCTTCCTTGTCCCGCTTGGCTTCCTCGTTCATGTCTTTCAGTAACGCGAAGATGTCTCCACCGATCCTGGCTCTCTGCACAAAGTCATCCCATCCGCTGTCGGCACGCTCGTAGAGCGCTGCTCCACTGGGATTTCGAATGTGAGAGCTGTCGAAGCCACGGACGGATTGGTGGGCGACGCGACGATTGACTTTCGAATACTCCATGTCGGATTCTTCGGTCTATAAAAGAAGAGGCTGTCAGGAAAGCAGTACAACGGTATCCAGATCGGATTATATTTACCTCTGTATGGTCTTCATCGCCCTCCTGGCGGCATTGATCGAGGTATTGAAGGAAGCTTCCTTGTGCAGCGAGAATATGCTCATCTCTGACCGACTCGACCATCTCCTGCCCGAAAGTATTAGGATATGCACCATAGATCGAAATGGGGAGGGCAGGAACGGGTTTTAAACGTACCTTGAACGCTGACTTGATCCAATGATCGTATGCCTCAAGGGTATTCTTCTCGCACTCCACCTTGAGCTCATACTCCCGGTTGATGATGGCCTTTTTCCTGCCAAGCCTCTCTTGCAGGTCGTCGAGCACTTCTTGATACAACGGGGTTTCCATGTGAGCCTTGGGGTCTTTGACGAGGCAAGCCTCCGATCGGTTGGCCAGCACAACAAGAGCAGCGCGCTGGGCCGATGCGACTCTCCGGAAGGCGTGATGCAGCTCTTTCTGCCGGTCTCTAAGTTTCTTGACAGCAGCGCTAGCTGACGGGGACAAGTTTCTGTCGTAGAGGTGCAACTTGGGGCCGGCTTTCCCGGCGCCAGCAGCTTTGCGACCCGTGGCCGCTTTTCTTCCTTTGCCTTTACCGCGCGGCCTGCCGCCTCCACGAGCTCGGGTGGTAATAACCGGGACAGTGCTCGCAGAGAGATCTGCTGCTTCTGACTGGGTTGCTAGCGGAGACATGGACATTGCGGATCGGGATACTTCATTTCCAGCGGGAGTCTCGATATCTGTGGATTGACCCGTTGGCAGGTCTGTTGACAAGGTCAAGGCAGGGACAGACCTGGGAGGCTCGGCTTCCTCATTACCATGCGACGCAGTCTCAAGTACTTGATTTTCATCGGACTGTTCCCGCTTAGGACTTTTGATGGACTGTGAGACTTCAGGGACTTTCGTTTCTCGGTCGCCGGGTTGCCTGGTTCTTGGGAACCCATAGCTGTCAACGCCGTTTGACTCGATATCCGCACTAAAACCAGCATTTGCTTCTAACCAATGGCCCCGCAAGGAAGCAAATCCGGCGGACGGGATTTCTGGGATAGCTGGCTCTCCTGGAAGCGACTCATGGGAATGGTCAAAGGATGTCAGTGGAGGAAGATTGGGCTCCATAGACGCCGCCTTTGGCAACTGCTCCGCGGCATTTCCGACATTCGGCGACGGATCTGTGGCGCGACGCTTTGAAAGGATGCGTGCAGACTGTCGAGTAGAGCGGGGAACCTGGGCTCTGGCAAATTGTTCTGCTAGTAAGATTTCCTCTTGGGTTCTTCTCTTTTTTCTCGCTGGGGTTTGGGGCTGAGAAGAACCGGGACTGCTGCCGCCGCCGTTGGCCTCAAGGCCTCCTGGCTGACCGTTGCTTTGTTGAGCTGGCTTGGCGCTAGTGTTCTTCTCAGGAGTAACAGGAGAAGATGACGGAGAAGTAGCTAATCAGGATTTGTAAGCGACGAAGATCTTTGTATGTTCCGGTGCTGGAAACGGAACTTACTCTGCGTTTGTTGGGTGGTGGTCTTCTCTGGGCTGACATCTGCGGGTTCTTGGGATGTGCCATTTGGCTCGTGCTCGTCTTCTAGCTTTCGTTTGACACCAGCCATTCTGACCGCCTGCGAGAGCAAAAGTAGGGTGGTTAATATGGGAAAAAGGTTTAACCCTTGTGAGTAATAATGTGCAGGCAAGAATGTAAGTATGGTATGTATGTACGGAGTAGGTAGGTTAGGTAGTATGTAGGGAGCGACAGGGCCCAGCAAAGGGAGTGGAGTCAGGAAAGAAAAGGGAAGGGGGGAAAAAAAAGATTGAGAAGAGAGTGTGAAGGAGAAAGAGAGGGAGAAAGAAGAAAATTGAAGAAACGAGAAGTGAAGTATGAAGACAAAGAAAACAAAAAAAAACAAAAAAAAAAAAAAAGAAGAAGAAGAAGAGAGAGAAAGGAACAACTTGGGTATCAGTGCAAATTGTGATGTGTTTGGTGGTGAATGCGCAAAGTAGTTTACAAACGCCGAGTTGGCGGAAGAACCCAGGCCAAGCAAGTTGATCTCCACAGGAATGACGGGTTGATCGGGCAGAGAAGACAGCAACAGTGGAGGGACAGAGGCGATGCGAACTTCAAAGGACACGGTCGCGCAGTCGATGGGAGGGAAGAATCCGGCGATGATGAGAGGGAGAGGGAAGATGCGGTGGGTGAAGCATAAGGAATAATTGGAGGAGTTGGAAGCAAGCAAGTAGACAGGTAATAGATAGTTTCAGCAGTTTAAACTAAAACTAGCTGTCCGCTTCAGAAGAAGAAGCAGAAGAGAGAAGAATGGAAAAAAAAAATCATTCGAACTGACCTTGAGCCCGTTGTGATTGGCTGGCCCCAGATAAGGTGTGTCCAGTGTTAAACTTTGCCTGACCGGGATGATCGATGTATGGCCGGTGATGCTGCTGCAGGGAGGAAGAAAAGATGGGGTAGATGGACACACGGTGAGAAGTGGGAAAAAGGCGGCGAGCGCAATGACCGGGATGTGAAGAAGAGAGTGCAGAGCAGTGTGGATGGGAGAGGGAAGTCTTTTGCGGGTGGCGTGTAGTTTTAGTTGGCGGAGAGAAAAGACACAGAGAGAGAGAGAGATTGTGTGTGTGTGTGTGTCTGTTGCCTTTGGTTGTAACTGTAAATTGGGATGCAGATCGCGCGCGGCGTGTGTGGAGGCCGAGATCGCGAGAAGGGGGGAAGAGAGGGTTCACTTTGACAGCAAGCGGGCAAGGAACAGGAACGCAACCAAGAGCGTTCAGCTTCTAACGTATTGAGTTAGTGTTCCAGTTTGTTTGCCTCTGGAGATCGATGAATCGTCCAGAGCGTTGATGGAGATGGATTGAAGAGTATAATCGTGTGTTGTTGTAGTTGTAGGAAGAAAAAGTCGCTCTCTTTTTTTATTCGGTCTCCCTCTCTCTCTCTGTCCCTTGTCTGGTCGACTGACTTGCATAGATCCCCGTGACATGATGATGGGGAAGGGAATTTTCTTGTTTTGGAATTTTGCTCCGGCTCGCTCCAGCAGCGGCGGCGGCGGCGGCGGTTGGCCGTCTCTCGCTCGTTGGGTCGACGCGGCACTAGCTCTCGAGTTTAATTTCTCCCTCCCTTCTGTCTTGTTTTGTCTGTCGGTTGCTTTTGTGGCTCTTGCTCCACTCGAAGCCAGTTTTTGGGCCCTGCATGTGTAAATCCGGCCCACGAGAACTCGCCAGATACAGAGAACGCCAGTAACAAGGCGACGGTGAGTGGACAAGTTTCGTCGCATGAAAGTATGAATGAGGGCGATTCTGGGTAGGTTGATGAGTTACATCCTCTGTGCAGGGGCAACAATGGGAGGCTGTAGCTCCAGACGTTAACCAAACTATGTATCCCCACGTCGGTTGTGTAGTTATTATGTGCATTGTAGTACCTGCAAGCCAACTACATATTGACACAAACTTGTTGGCAGTTTGAACTCAGCTTGCTATCGCACCAGGACTTATAAGACAAGTCGAAATAAAGAGCCCGGCGACAAACAATGGCAGAGCATTATCTACATCATGATACATGTAAACGGACCTATCGATGTATCCATAGCGATGACAGCTTTATACGTTGATCTCCCGGCACTACAAAAGTATTGACTGGCTCTGGGGTACTCCGTGGCACTGTCGAGGGGAAGGGAAAAACAAAAATTAAAATAAAATAAAATAAAAAATATCAATAAATCAATAAATTAAAACGATAATAACAATAAATATAGCGCCATGGAGCCAATCTTTCTGCGGATCATGATCGACGAGACTGGAGAGAAGTGGTGATGTCTTCGACTCGGTCCAAATAGCGCTACGGGCTTACCAGGTAAACCTGCGCGCCCCCCCCCCCCCCCCCAAAAAAAAAAAAAAAGGAAAAAAAAACTGTCAGATGAGAAATTGGTTTCGGAGACATACCGCTGCAGATGGATGGGCTCGGGCGAGAGGCGACGGCAGCTGGACGGCGACTTATAGTTACCGCAAACCACGATTTTCTCTCCTTGCGTTCAACTCCCCTGGAATGCCACGCAGGATATATGTACTCCGTACAGACAAGTAAAGTCGTCCTTTTTTCTTTTTTTTTTTTTTGGATAAAATATCTCAGACAATATATCAACTCCATCCGACATGCCCAAAAATAAAGTCTGAATCCTGGAGATACGAGATCGTGTTGTCCCTTTGAGCCTGCCATCCCCACGCTGCATCCTTCGACCATCGCTACAGCTGTGGTTGGTTTGGTTGGTTGGTTGGTTGGTTGTGCGAGGAGGAGAGTTAACTCGCTAATTTACGCGGTTGGATTGCGCCGGCATGTCTCCCCCGTGCGGCGGCTCAGGCTCCAGTTTTCATCCCGCAGCATCTGGCGAGCTTTTTTGTCTTCCCTTACTTCCCCTTTTTCCCACCTCTTCCTCCCCTCCTCTTCTTCTTCTTCTCCCAGCGAGACACTGGCTGCTGCTTCTGCACGCAATCCGTTTAGGGTTTGCCAGCCCCGTTGTTTTGGCTTTGCGCTAAAAACGTGGCTGAACCTTGTTCTGATCTGCTTACCTCATAACCCTGCTGATGTAAGCACATCTCGCTCGCCAATCCTGTGTCCTAGAAAGAAGAGTGAGTAGAAAAAGCAGACGGTGAGCGGTGGAGAAAAGGCGGGCAGCCGCAAAAAGGAGTTCTCGCAGGTTCGCTGGGGGGATCGAGTTGCTGAAGGGCTGGATGGCGGTGTCGTTTTTTCCCCCCTCCCCTCTGTTTGTGTGTTGACAGACCGACTTTTGCTCACTTCGCTGAATATCTGTGGTTGTTTAAGTCACTCCCTAGTAGCCTCGTTCAATCGTTATGATTTAGGGATAGCAACTCGCGCTAGCGCGGGGTTACCAATTGCAATGTGGCAAGGAGATTAACTCCCTCTGGAGAGTTAATATCATTCCTTCTGAGATTCCATCATCCGCTTAGGTATAATGTAACTGCATCAGGGGATATGTGACCAACCATACAGTAAGAAGCGTGGTCATCGACTCTATGCGCTATGACTCCCTCAGATCTATAACTATATATTACACCTCTTTATCAATAATACTACTAGGATTAACTAGGTATGTAACCTGGCTGCGGAGGAAGGATCAGCTTCCTATCATCAATTACGTCGATACCCCGTCTTCATCTTTTGTTCAATACTCGGTCCTTCTACGGAGTATATCTATGAACAAAACCCCTCGAATCTTGTCCCTTTTTTTGGCCCTTTTCTTACCCCCTTCCAAGTGGCTCGCTAATAGTCAATTCATATTTCCCGGTCCTAAGCGGCTGAGGGCCAATCGGAGATATTGTGTTAACCCCCTGGTAACTGATGGAGAAAATGTATCGAAACCAGGTCTTAATTTTGAGTTACCTGTCCGGTGGAAATTTGAGAAAGCGGGAAACAAGGGAGAAAGAAGAAGGAAAAAGAAAAGAAGAAAAAAAGAAAAAGAAAAAGGAACAACGCCCCGAGGGTGGTAGGCCGGTTGGGAATGGAGTTCGCGTGCAACCTTCCCCGCTGCCGTCTGATGAAGCCTGTGTGTCGGTGCCTGAGATTCAGTTCGGATGTATACATGCATGTGTGGACAGGATATATGATCTGGAATCATTATCCATAGTGGCATGTCCTTAAAAAAAAAAAAAAAAAAAAAAAAAAAAAAAAATTAAATTATAATTGTTATGGGGGCATTAATGATACTGGTGCTGAAACTCCGTGCTCCATACGTGAGTGCATATTTATACATACTCCATGGATGGACCGTGGTACTCCGGATATAGTTAGGTATCAATTGGTAACACATTAAATGAGTCGTGGAGAACAGATCTCAAACAGAACCGCTTTTGCCGGGAAAGTTGAGCCGAGTGGAAACAAAAACAATGCAAGAACCCTAAAAAAGATCGCATCAACAGAGTACAAATACAACAAAACGCGGAGGGGAAAAAGCAACTTGGAGAGTAAGTTAAAGAAAAAAAAAAGGCCCCCCATCACCGGCAAGGTGGCATGGAGCTTCCACGCCTTCCCGATCTCCCGTGGTGTCTCCTGCTCCCGTAATCCTGGAGGCTAGTTCGACTGCCACCATCCGGGCCACATCCATATATCCGTGGATGTCCGATCGGCGACGGGCGTCTTATTCCGTGTAAATCAGCCTCCCGCCTCTCTTGCGCTTCCTCGTCTTCTTCGTAGGGAACAAGTAGACTTCGCGATCTTGGCCGGGAGAGCGACGATCGTGATCGTATCTGGCGTAATGTATGCATTGAGATCGTGTGACCCGCGAGCGGGGAGGCGGTAACCGTTGTTCCGGGCATGGCCAGTGGAGGGGCAGATGGGCTGTCGGAGCGGAATAGGGGATGGATATTATGTTCGCCTGCGTCGGTGTTGCGCCGAGAGCTCGCGACACTCAAGGCCGGTGAGGGTGCTCTGATGCTCCTGCAGTCCGATATAATGGGACGTTCGAAAAGGGAGTCTGGGGACTGGTCTCGAGAACGGCTCCGGGACTGGCTTCGCGAATGACGATGGAAGCTTGTCGTCGACGGATGAGTGGAGTCAAGCTTCACCAGCTCGTCATGAAGACCGGGGACGCGCCGCGAAAATCTTCGGATCCAAGTCTGAGAATCGAGAGATGCTCGATTTTCCCTTTCATTTAACGTCTCGGGGCCGGACTCCAAGTCCTCGGATAGGCGAGATAGTCTAGCTTTCGATAACGTCGATGATTCTGAGCTCGCCTTCTTATGAATTCGGGGGTCGTGCAAGGACTGGCGCTGCTCGGTTGAGTGGCGCAAAATTTCGGTCTTATCGTCATCTAACCTTGCGGGAGCCCTTGTTTTCACCCTATTGGTGCAAGGGAAATGCCAATTCGGCTCTTGTCGACTGATTTTTCGGTCCAAATATAACAAAGCCCCAAAGCACACAGCCTGTAAGAAAGCTGTCACTCCCCAAAGGGGACACCAAAGCGAAAATAGCCTTCGAACTTCTTTTTGCTGCTCTGTACTTTCAATATCCCCAAGCCGTGTCGAGCTAAATCCGAGAGCCATCGCTACAACCATAGCCATTAAAAAGAGGATAAGCCCTAGTATGATGAACAGCCGGGCTTCCAGCTTTCTCCTAAGGCGGATACCCTTCCTGATTCGCTGTCGGCATATGATGATCAAAACTCCTTGAACCCCGCAGCTCAGCGCGCAGCCCGTTACACTGGCAACCTGAAGACCCCCCAGATCCGGCAGTTCTCGACATATCGCTTTCGCGAAGATGCCATTTGCTACCGTGGATAAAAGACTGAATACGGTGGATAGGGTACCGGTAACATATATCAGTCCTATCCTTGCCATTGTCGGCTGGAAATCTGAGGAAGTGGGCAAATCTGAAAAAGGCCTAAAATTATAGGGACGGAACAAAGCTCAGAGATATGTCTTTGGAGGTTGCGCTTTTAAATTTCTCCTAATCCGACAGGATGTAGGGTATCCTTCCCCCAAACGACCTCGCCAGACAAGTATGGAAAATCAATTTCAACAATGCATTTCACCGGGAAATTGTATGTCAAAATACGCAAATATTCAAAGCGGACTGCCGCACAATATGCAGGTAGGAATCGTGTGCCTTATTGTGGCGTGGCGACTTGGAAACGCGCAGATAACTTCGACGAAACGGGCTCAACACGGAAAAAAGGAACCTGCCTTATAAACGAATGGAGAAGATAGTGGCTGAAGAGAGTGTTAGGGGAGCAATATCCAAATGTGAATGAGAAGCCGCCTGCAACTGACAACCAGGTCAGTGGAATTGGATAGAATAAGAAAGGCAGTGAGGGTAAGGATCCCATTGCCATGTCAGGCCCATGAATCATCTGTCAGCTATATGTATTCAGCTCCACAGTAATTATAGCTGGGCCAGCCAAGAAGAGAATTCGGCCTGTCGAGACGGCGTGCCCTGACTATCCGAAGCTGTAACAGCCGGACTGCTGCGCCAGAGCACGCGGTGTCACAGAGCCACACAGTGTCAGGATCCTTGACTGGAAATATCGGAAATTCAATTGTGACTCTTATTGTCATCATTCGCAATCAAAAGATCCAGATTGTTGGATGGTATTTCTGGGTTGGTGCTGGAAACATCGTCCGAGAACACCGCCCAGCTTCGGCTCGCCGACAGGGAGGCGGGAACCTCTAATTTCCGACTTTATGCCTTGCTGATAGGGGGTTCATTCATGTCTTGTCGGTACAGAATCCGGAGGATGTCCATAGATTCTCCAAGTTTGAGGATTGATCCGGTGATGTACCCAGCTGCCACATGGCGTGCATTAGGCTGGTTGCGTTGGTGCAACTTCGAATTTTGAGGAGTGTTGAAAAGCTGTGATGGACGAACATGTTCGTTTTGGGGGCGGGGTGCGTGGTCGGAAACAGCTGCAGATCAAACACCGGCCGTTTGCAGGCTCTTGGCTTCGTAACGGACAACCAATTGAGCCGGATCACCGTGTTCTCGAATCGTTGAAACCGCGACGCTTGCAAGGATGGGGGTTATCTGAGACGAAGCCAAAGTTTTTCTACGAACCAATGCTTGTGCGTCTGACAAAGAGCTCGTCCACAAGGAGCTCTTGTTTCTTCAACTCGTGTTTCTGGCACGGAAGCTCACTAACTAGTACCACTACTCCGTACTCCGTACTCATTATGGCATACAAAAAGCCGTGCTTGCTTGCGTGAAGATGTCAATTCCCCCACACATTTCGAGCCAGCTGTTGGCTTCCTCGAGCAAAGATGAACTATGCTAAAGGCACATTCGCGAATTCAGTTCTCAAGAAAGCCCGAAGCTCACAGAGACCAGCTTGCAGCACTTCCGTTTCTGACACATATCCAATCCGAACATATCCTTTAAACTCTTCGCCAAAACATTTACCGCCCGGCACGAACATGACACCCCTTTTCTCCTGGAGCACATGGCAGAACGTGGCGTCGTCGATTGGTTTCCCATCCCTCGAGAACCTCACGAACGCGGTAGTGCCAGCCCGAGGCACCACCCACTCGCACACATCTTGATGCTCATCTATGAAATCTTTCAGTATAGCCAGATTTTTCTTTGCTAGATTGAGATTTCGATCCAAAAGCTTCTCTACATGAGGAGACTCCAGGGCAAATGCGGCAATCCGGTCATCCACCTGGCTCACGGAAATTGTGGTATAGTCTCGCGCGCTTGCGCAATCTTCGATGATAGCCTTGCTTACGCTCGCAATCCATCCAACCCGAATTCCGGCTAGCGCGAAGGCCTTGGACATGGATCCCGTGACAATGGACCGCTCGTAGCCCAAGGAGAGCAGGGAAGGCGGCCATTCACTTTTGTCCAAGGTGTGGAACAGCGGCCGATAGACCTCGTCGCAGAGGACAAACATTGAACCTTGTCTAGCGATATCTACAAGTCCTGTGAGGATGTCCTTCGAAATCAATGATCCGGTTGGGTTTTGTGGGTTGCTTGTGATGTTTGACCGTGGTTAGCAATCGTATCCTCCGATGGAGCGAAATAAAACGGGAGCACGGAGTACCAACTTCACAATGATCAACTTCGTATTAGGCCGAACTAGGTCTTTCAATTCCTTGAGGTCAAGTTGCCATCCATCATCGCCGCTCGTCTTCCACAGACTAACCTCTGCGCCTAGCGACTCTGGCACCGAATACAGCTGCTGATACGTGGGATAGTGGCATATAACATGATCCCCAGGGTGAACAAGCGTATAGAGTAGTAAGAAATTTGCCTGGATTGCTCCCGACGTAATCAGAATGTTCTCAGGCGACACCGTTGTCGTTGAGTTGCCCGTAGAGTATAGTTTAGCCAGATTCGAGCGTAGCTCCTCCGACCCACGGATCGCCCCGTATGTTAACTTTGTAGATGTCGAGAGCGGATTCCGCGACGGGTCTTCTGAAAATGAACGGAGATCATCGATGGAGATTGATGCGCTGCATGTTTCTGCGATGTTGTATTTTGCCCATGTTTCGTATTTGTCCATCCACTATGATAACGGAATGAGTATTTATTAGTATATCGGGGTGTCTAATGGGCCTTACTTGCTCTACGGCGAAAGGAGTGATTTGGACCATGGCTGCTATCTGATGGCGGGGAGTCGATTGCGGGGAGTTATCAGCGGTCTGCGTCGGGTTCGGGTGTCACAAAAATGAACAAAACTTTAAGTCATAAACGTCCGGATAGCTACTTAAAATATTTTCTAGTTCGTGCCCCGTAGCTACTCGAACTCTCAATGGGTTGGTCACAGGGAAGCTCTCCTTTATTTCTTCTGGGAAGTTAATCTAAATATGCCCTTTCCGAGTCACTCAGGTCGTCGAAACGACGCCCTGCCTTTGACAAGTCTTGGGCGTGCGGCTGATAAAAATGAACAAGTTGGATAGCCCATTCCGAATTTTTAGTGCCTAGAATAGCTATCTCGAAAGCAAGGGAAATATAGATGTGTCAGTTTCTCACGATACAACTACCTGGCAGCATTGAATGGAGCGTTATCGAATGTTGGGTCTTTTACAATCAGTTTTAGATTAACTCACTCATGGACCTTCAGGCCTCGCTGCTTTGGTGAGGTTAAGGGTAACTAGAAACAATTAGCATTGGATTAGATCAGACGCTTGACGCTACGCGAAGTTCGGATGCTATTCTTCCATTAGCCCGCCCCTCTCCTGATTGCATCCTGTGAGTGGCGTATGAGCCAACCAACTCGGATCCCACGGATCCTCCAAAACTCCAAGATGTCGAAATGCCAAAAGTTGGAGTGACCCATTGCCTTCATCCTGATAAGGATAACCCTGGCCATAATACCAATGCGTGAAACTCTCGCAGTTTTCTTCCTCACAATAGACAACCTCGCGGGCCTCCGCATCTTGGAATAATTCGGCACTACGGTTATAGTTTCTGGGTTCGGCATCTTTGCAATCAAGCACATCTCTATTGTATATATCGGTGATCCTAGGATCGTTCAGCGGCAGATGCGGGCAAATCCGGATATCGCTGTGGCTAGCCAAGCACTCTTCAATGTGATTTCGATCCGGAAGGCCCTCACCCTCCATAACGTCGCAGATATTGACGATGGTTAGAATTCCCATGCCGGGTCTGTCACGCGAGACAACAAAGTGATGATCAATGACTACACCGGAACCAGTGTCTCGTGGGAAACAGCACGCCTCTCTGGATGTCCAGCCATGATTGGAATACGGAAGCGATTGGCGTAACATCTTGTTCGTCTGTTGCGCATCCCGGAAGCTCAGAGAGTGGTTGGGACAAAGAGGGAATATTGGTATTGTCGAAACGCACCACCGCAAGAATGGCTGCTGTCGCAATTCGTCCGGCGGGAACATAGTTTCCGGATGGTCCGTTAAACAACCTCGACAGGCAAATGTACGGATGATCTGGTCTCTCTCAAGCAGGCAAAGTGTCTCAAAGCGCTCTACCGGGAAGAATTCGATGTTTTTCAGCCAGGTGTAGCTCAAGTGATAAAACTTATGGCATGTATATGCGAGCATTTTCGCACTGGCGGGCGGAAGATGCCGTGTAACTTCCCAGAGGAGCTCTAATGGGAGGCCTAGGAGATGGGGTTGCGTTGATTTAGCATTGTTGGTGTCTCTCAGTGACACTAGGCACTGCTCGGCCAATTCGAGGAAGAGGCGGCGTTGGTCTAAAAGAGAAAAGCGCGACATAACTGGCATATCCGCAGTATTCATATGCGAGGAAAGAAAAGGACCAGACCACGAGATAGTTGGAGCAGGACAGCTTGGTTATGAGAAGAAGAAGACAGAAAGCATGGTCACATTAGGGTGTAAATATTAATGCCTCTGGTTATAAACCCCACCACAGCATTTTGACAAACTTGAAGAATTGCAGTTGCGATCCGACGGGCAAAACCCTTCAGATAGGCGTTGATTGTGTTTGATAACCTCCATGCTGGCTTTGTTCTCCGTGTTCAAGAGAATTTGGGCAAGGAGCATCGTGCGCTCGGTGGCGTTGAACCCATTAAAAGGCACTATTCGCCGTGGCCAATGCCGTGAAATATAACTCTTGCTCTGGGTAGCGAGGCAGTGAAGGAATTCTCCGACAACAATGACTTATTGCCTGGATTATCCTAACATATGTGACGGGAAGAAGGGAAGCGGAACTTGGAGCAGAGGGAGAAGGAGTTTTAAAGTTGGACTAACGAGCGCGATCAGGAATGGCGGACATAAAATATGAAACTCTCTGCCAAAAAGCCTAACGACCAATGGATGCTATAATTCGAAGGCCAACAGACAAGAGCTGCGTGTGTCTCCAAGGATATCGGACGCATTGGACGCATTGTTGTTTAGACTTGCAGCTTGGAAGGCCGCCTAAGTTGTTTGTTATGCAGCTGTGTCGAGTTGCAGCACACCCCGCCCCCCCCCCCACTACCAAAATTCAGCCGTCAACTCCATACTCTTTCTTGGTCGAGGCCCCTCGATTTCATCACCATCAAGAAGCGAAGTTTTCTGCTCAGAAAATTCACCGAGGGTCGCAGGTGATGATATTTAGCGAGCCAACTAGACCGATTTCTTTGAATATAGAGGTCTTTGCATTGGTGACGACTAGTCAGTACTTCCCGATGGCCGTTCACATTTCAACCTTTCTCTGGTCTGCGTCGTTGGTGTTCGTAAACATGGGCTTCAGATACCTAGATGCAAATGGATTCCTTTTGTTTATTCGATCGGAGGAAACTCGGCTAGTTTCCCTCGTTGCTTATCAATCTTGGCTGTGTGATGACGGCCTATCTTACCTTTATCATCGATAATTATGATTCACTTCCTGAGGTCGTAGTATTTTCGCCCGGCGCATATTACCACGGGGCATAATGGCGGCTTGGAGCAACCGATGGCGATGCTTGTGAAATGGTTATATATGAACAGGGTCCCCGCCGCTCGTTTTCCGGCATGTATGTGCACCTCTTAAATGTTACTCGTGAATAGGTGCCAGCGCGAATTGGAGCAATATGTTGCGCACGATTTGCTGTGAGCAGAGGTCGCATCCGTCAAAGGTCTCGAAGTGACTATATTCGGATGAAAAGTGGTCCTTGACCGCTGATTTTGACAAGCAAGCGATAGATTGGGTCTCTGTCATATTATTGTTAAAAATGATGTACTCCGTATGGAGTAGTGTGAGCGCTTTATTTTTGATGTTCTAACATCAACTAACCCGTATGTGGCAGATGCCTGGTGCATGAACAATGTATATTTGTGGGTCGGAAATGGTGCGACTGAGGATGAGGACGATCGAAGCCATATTTGACCAGAGGCATCATGGCTGCCCGTCCTGTTCAAAATGGCAAACTCCAGATAGAGGGACTCTTGGATCGTCAATATATGGGCTCTGCACTCTGTATATAGTTAGGAGTTTTGCATAATTACGTATATCTAGGTTATGTCTAAGAGCTAAAATTCGCAAAGGGGTATCGTGCTTTGGCTTCCATGAGCCAAAATGCAAAAATTCTTTGATACCACAGGTTAGGGGCATGTTAGGGGCGGGCTCGGGGCACTGAGGGTAATCTCCCGGGGGTGTTTAGGGTTAAAGGGATGCCGCGAGTTCCTGAGCGTGCTTCTCCAGGTCAGTTCCCCTCAGTCTTGGCGCGATGGTTCTGCTTATATAATAAGAGCTATCGATGATCTAGCTCTGATTAGGTTTAGCGTGGCGGCCTTGCTAGCGAGGGGCGCTAAGTGGACCAGACTGAAGTGACGAAAGAAGGCAGACGCCGCCTCATGAACTCTTCAAAAAGTGTCCTACCTTCCCACCACCTCCCGCCCAGCCGTCTTCCTTCATCTTTCATTTTGTGCCTGACACCTCAACCTGGTGTTCTTTCTCAGCTCTGGAACTGCACTGGTTACCCATATACTACCCACATCTCCTGTATTCTTTGACTCTTCTGTCTCCTCCGCTTGCTTTTCAAGTCCACCTCACAAGCGACGCCACATCATGAAGCTCACATTCAGGGTGGGATACCAGTCTTTATATTTCACGGGCTGGGACAGCCATATACTAATATGTTGCTTTGCATCATAGGATTTAAAGCAGCAGAAGTTTACTATAGAAGCTGAGCCATCAGAAACGGTGAGTTCCAATATCTCAGCTTTGCCTGCTTGTGATACTGATGTGCCTGCCTAGATCGGCCAGCTGAAAGAGAAGATTTCCCAGGAAAAGGGCTGGGATGCTGCGCAACAGAAGCTTATCTACTCTGGTGGGTCATGACTTGAACATAATTGATTGACTGGCTTCTTATTTCTCGCTGAAATCTAGGCAAGATCCTTCAAGATGTGAACACCATTGAATCATATAATATCGAAGAGAAAGGCTTTATAGTCTGCATGGTTTCCAAGGTATATACGGTGCCAATTACCAGTTGCGATTCTTCTTCACAACTTGCTAATCCATTACCCTGTAGCCCAAAGCGCAGCCTGCCCCGTCCACTCCCGCCGGCCCTTCTCAGACACCAGCCACACCCGCCGCCCCATCGTCTACGCCAGCTACGCCTTCTGCCCCCGCCCCCGCTACAAATGCTCCTTCAGCTCCCCCAGCGACGCCATCACCAGCAACTGCTGGAGCCACTTTCAATGACCCATCGGCCCTCTTGATGGGTCCTCAGAGCGAAACAGCTGTTCAGCAAATGGAAGCCATGGGATTCGCTAGGGATGACATCCAAAGAGCCATGAGAGCTGCATTTTTTAACCCCGACCGTGCTATTGAGTATCTATTGAGTGTAAGTGTCATTTCGTTTTGTCTTTGGATTAAAGCATTGCTTGGGCCGTTCTTATTAACTCCGTCAGGGCATCCCGGATCATGCTGAACAAGAGGCTGCCCGCCAGCAAGCGCGCGCGACTGCCCCGTCCAATGCCGCAGCGCCCGCGTCTACCCAACCTGCTGCGAATACTGAATCCGAGGAACCGGTTAATCTTTTTGAGGCTGCGGCTCAGGCTGCCCAAGGAGGTGGTGGCGCACGTGGAACCCGTGGCGGAGCAACAACAGGAGAAGGCTTGAACAATCTCGAATTCTTGCGAAACAACCCCCACTTCCAACAACTGAGACAGTTGGTACAGCAGCAACCTCAAATGCTTGAACCGATTCTCCAACAAGTCGGTGCAGGCAATCCACAGCTTGCTCAACTTATCGGTCAAAACCAGGAACAATTTTTGCAGTTACTGAGCGAAGATATTGATGACGATGCACAGCTTCCACCAGGTGCTCATGCAATTAGTGTTACCGAGGAGGAGAGAGACGCTATTGAACGGGTAAGATACCATCTCAAGTGTATTCATGGCGCGCAAGTTTTCTAATTCTTTCATTACAGCTTTGCCGGTTGGGATTTTCTCGGGATGCTGTTATCCAGGCCTACTTTGCATGCGATAAAAACGAAGAACTTGCGGCTAATTTCCTCTTCGAGCAACCGGAAGACGAAGGCGATAACTAAAACAGTCTTATGTCTCATTATCTCTAGGAAACCTCCATTAATGACCCACTTTCACCTCCCCTCACCTCCATGAGCATAGCACCCTCTATCCCTGCCTCTATGCTCTGCGCCTTTAAAGCAAGCAGCAGTTTATGAACTGAAATTGTGAAGCCCCCCGGCCGCTGGACTTTGTGGCATTTAATCCGTTGCTAGCTTTAGTTGTTGAGTACCAGATCATCATTCCAGTTATTTAGTGGTCGTGATTATTGACTCAAGGACTGATGTTTCTCATGAGTTGAATATGAAGCAATTTTGACAGCCAGTTGTGCCATATTTCATTTTGTGTTTTCTGGTTTGGAGAGAAAATTGTAAAATGCTCGGGTACCCCCCAGGGGTATTAGCTGGGGCATTAATTAACTGAGGGTTGCTCGCACTTGTCAACTGAATCTTGATATAGTTTAAGTGCCATTATGTAGTTATACACACCTGTACTCTGTGTGGAGTAATACTGTACTTTCGGGCATACATCAAGAATGAACTTGTTTGGGTTCGCCTTGGTGCAGGTGGGGGAGCAACGTGGGAGCAGTTGAACTCGCAAGGCCAGGGGTTCCTTTTGTTGCTTCACCTTCGCTTTCGCGTCTGCGGCATGGGGTAAATCTATTATTATTGTGTTGCAACACAACACCCATTTCAGTGGCTTGATTTTTTCTTTTCTTTGGAGCAACATTGTATTTAACAGCAATGCTGAAGCTGTTCTGCAGCGCTGGTACCTTCAACCAGAGATCACCAGAGCATGTTTACTTGGCCACTTGTCCTGTCGCGTAACCATCCCAGCAAGAACAATGTGGAGACGAACCTATCTTATCTTGCTGGTTATTCGCATTTATTTTGCATTGTCGCCGAGCTACCTTCATCCTGATGAGAACTTCCAAGGTCCCGAGATTTTTGCTGGTGAGCATCTGCCTAGTCGTGAAGTGCACACCACTAGCCCCTTGCTGCTCTCTCTGTCACCATGCTCAGCAATGATGGCAAATACCCTGTAGCTGATCTGCTAACATCACAGTTTGTAGAGCAAGTCTATTCGTACCCTGCGCACCTCACTTGGGAATTTACGTCGTCCAAGCCCATCCGAAGCATCTTCCCGCTATGGCTCAGTTACGGCTTGCCTATGACCGTCTTGAAGTGGTTCTGGACCGAAACCGGCTCCGGAAGTACGCCGCCATACCTGATATACTACGTGCTTCGCGGGACGATGTTCGGACTTAGCTTTGTGCTGGAAGATTGGGCTATACATGAATTGATTACTTCCCCGCGCCATCGTCGTGAGGCAGTGGTTCTGGTGGCTTCTTCTTATGTTACGTGGACATATCAGACGCATACCTTCTCGAATTCGCTGGAGACCTTGCTTGTAGCTTGGAGCTTAGTGGTTATTCAAAGGATCCTGGAGAATAGAGTGGGCTTTACTTCCATGCGCGCTCAGAATAGCCCCTGGGTTGTGACAACGTATTGGGAAAGTTGCTGATATCCGATGTAGCAGCATTCCTCCGTACTGGCTTGTTCAATTCTTGCTTTTACAGTTGTTGCCGGCGTGTTTAATCGAATTACATTTCCCGCATTCATTGCGATACCCGCGGTTCAGCTGATTCCCCATTTCTTTAAAAAGTACGCTTACATATGCTTGGAGATCGCACCGATATGGCAGACAGGCTAATGATGCTCCACAGGCCTTTTGCATTCGTTTCTCTCGCTCTCTCTGGAATCATCTTTTCACTGGTCGCGATATACGCTGATACGAGCTTTTACAGCTCTTCCCCAGTCTCAATTTCTGACATTTTCCGGAAACCGATTATCACCCCGCTCAACAATCTCCTTTACAACTCGGACAAAACCAACCTTGCATCCCATGGTCTCCATCCTCATTATCAACATTTCCTTATCAACGCACCGCAATTGCTTGGCCCCGTGTATGTCCTTCTAATTGCCTCTATTTTCTCCCGTTCGAGCCGGTCGAATTTTTCGCTTCTGAATATGAGAGCTCTCTCTGCCCTGACAGGCACCCTAATCCTGTCAGTATTCCCACACCAGGAATCCCGCTTTTTGATCCCTTGCGTTCCACTCTTACTCACCTGCTTCCGATTACCGAATCCTCGCGTATTTCTTGTTACATGGATAGCGTTCAATAGCATCATGGGCCTCCTTCTCGGCGTTTATCACCAGGGTGGGATCATTCCCGCACAGCTTCAGATACCAACCATCATATCAAATTTGAATCCCGGCCTGGAGAAAGGGCCGGCTTCTCAAGAGACTGCGAATGTGTTTTGGTGGAAGACGTATTCCCCGCCGTTGTGGCTTCTAGGGGATGCCGCAAATATTACCATTAAGACTCACGATCTCATGGGAATACCAGGTCGTGATATGCTTGAGAAACTTAGGAAAACTATACCGCGGTGCAGCGACGGCTCCATTCTTCGATACCCTAGATTCTCGGGGTCTAAATCCAATAATGATCGGCGTGTGGTCAATCCGACTCTGCTCGTTGCTCCGAACTCTGCTACTTTCCTTGATCAGTACGTGCGATCTGAGAATAAAGACGAGAGCCAGGACGATCGGTTGTCTTTGCAATTAGACCCTCTTTGGAGGTATGACTGCCATCTACATCTTGATGATATGGACTTTGGCGATGATGGGATTTTACCTACATTGAAACGGGTGGTGGGCCGACGTGGGTTGAATGTTTGGCTTGTTACCAGAGCATGTGGGTAATCTAATTTATCTACTCTTTACGGATGCATATGTTTGGAGGGGATCTTTTTACTGGTGCATTATCCATGATTTTTTTCGGATGAATTTGCAGATACCCCTGTTCAGGCTAAGCTCCTGCTGTAATTCCATTTCATAAAACTGATACCTGTGGGATTACTGTTATTTTTTTATTCCATTTGGTCTCTTTGCAGACTTAGCCTGCAGAAGATAATGCTTGAAATCACAAATTTCGGTTCATCATGGTGAACAATAGACGAAAGGAAAACTTTCAAATAAAATCCATATTAGACGCAAAAATGCTCGATGTAGCCATATCCTTCCTCCAGTGATATCTCGCGGGCTCAGCTGCCTATGGATATTGTCATTGCGGCCTCCTCTATTACTTGGTATAGAATGGGGGAATTTCCCCAAGGCAGGTCCAATATTGTGGGGGACAATTCACCAAATGGCCCCCAATGACCTGCATTGATATGCAATCACTGGCTTTGTGAGTCTTAAGACGAGACCTTCCAAAGTAGTGATGCTTGTCTGATTAACAATGGAAATACGTGCATCATGGATTAACTTCCAGGGAAGTTTGCTTGGCCGGCTGGCTGGCGACATAATATCACGTGACCGATTTGAGTGATGCCTGCCCGCTCCCCACATCATAGTGGCCTGTTGTTACCCGCTAAGCTCCTTCTATGGTTAACTCTCTTCCCATTGTTCATAAATACCAGACTCTTGCTGCTCTGTCTCCATCTTTTCCCTTCATTTCCACATCTCTTCTCCTCCATACTTACTGTCTAGCACCTCTGTCCTTCAAACAAGCTCTTTTTGGGGTTTGTGACAGTCAGTCAGGAGACAACTCCGGTGGAAGGTGGGTATTTTCAAGGGTGACATCTTCTCTCTGAGTGTCAAGAATATAAGCTGACTGACTATGTTCTTGGGATTTTGATGTTCAGCTTATTCTAGTAGACACTTATCGAGCGAAATAATTACACCATGTCTTCCACAGCGACGAGCAAGATTACTCTTACCAGCTCCGATGGAGTCGAGATGTCCATGGGTATGTTATCAGTAGCCCTTTGGCAGAAACTGCGATCCTACAGCTAGGAGACGCACTGACTTTACACCGAATAGAGCGTCAGGTTGCTGAGCGATCCGTCCTTATCAAGAACATGCTTGAAGACCTCGGTGACTCTGGAGAACCTATTCCAATTCCAAATGTGAGCTAGGGCACGAAGAGTGCTTCGAAATTGGGCCTTTACTGATTTCAATCCTACAAGGTCAATGAATCCGTCTTGAGAAAAGTTGTTGAATGGTGCGAACACCACAAAAACGATCCTCCTAGCACTGGCGATGATGACAACGACTCGCGCCGCAAGACTACCGATATCGACGAATGGGACCAGAAGTTTATGCAAGTTGACCAGGAGATGCTTTTCGAGATCATCTTGGTATGTGACATGTCTTCAATCCACGTGTAGAGCGCAAAAAGCAGAGTGCTTCTCTTCTTTTGGCCTCTGATGTACCTGAGGTGCGAGGTGTTAAGTGTCATGCTAGGCGGCAAACTACCTTGATATCAAGGCTTTGCTTGATGTCGGCTGCAAGACTGTCGCCAACATGATTAAAGGAAAGTCCCCCGAGGAGATTAGAAAGACCTTCAACATCCAGAACGACTTCACTCCCGAGGAAGAAGATCAGATCCGCCGCGAGAACGAGTGGGCTGAGGAGTAAGTGTCTTACTTTTGCATGTTTTGATAACTTTCTACTGCTAACCATTTGATTTGTCGCAGCCGTTAAATCAAGCGCCGGTTGACCCTCGAAAATCTCCTTGGCTACATTAGTTGCGGAGCACGTTGATGTCTCTTGAAAGAACTTCAGGATGTGCATTTCGTGGTGACCCGAACCGGCTTTTCAATTGTGATGACACTTGTGTTTCAATTTATGGATTGGGTTCGTGCTGGGCGTTTGGTGTGTGTGGCCATTAGGCTCATACTGGTTTTGTACCTTTGAGATCTCTTTATCGGACCTCATTCTCGAAGATGAGCAGGCCGGCATGATCAAAAAAAGATCGTAAATATGGACTTAGTATTACCACTTTTTCTTTCACCTTTAGATGGTATTTGCGCTCTACCATGGAAGGAGTTGATTCTTGTAAGAATGAAACGCAATCTTGCAAGATCCTGTAGGATGTTGAATAACTCTGAGCAAGATATATCATACAGCCACAATAACCTTCATTGATGACAGGTTGCACCTGTGCACCCAAATGTAGATAATAATCCCTTACTTTCGATTGGAAAATGGTGAAGAGATGCACTGGGAACCATGCATTGGGAACCAACTGATGAAATGTGCCATATAATTTCAAAGCAGAATAATCCTATTTCATCAAGGCATGAGAAGATGTTCATGAATTATTGAATTCTGTTTCCTACACAGAACGCAGTCCTTGCCAACATTTGTCCCAAACAATCAAGTCAAACTGTCCTGGACCGTCCCACCATTCAAGTCCCGTCTTCATATCTGGTTCTCATCGACTAAACTCATTGGCACGCTCTCAGAATACAGTCGCTACAGACAGAGAGAAGAGGGGGAAAAGGGCGAGGAACATGGCTCTGGAAACGAACAACTGGGGCGATAGACAAGGGAAGAGGTGACTTTCCGACAAGGACGAGCGTGTGGCTGTATCGATTTGACGCTGTTCGAGATGTTCCTTCGGGCGCTTTTTGAGGGAGATTGATCGTTTAGATACCGAGACGGGTCTTGCGCCAGTGTCTTCTCTTGGCGTTGTATCTGATGGTGGAGGAAGATGTTAGTAATAGCTTCTTTCTGTGTGCGTGTGTGTGTGTGTGTATTATGCCACTATGTTTTCGTTGGGTTCCCAAGTTGCCGCTCTCTTGAATATTTTGGATATTGATTAAAAGGGAAGAAAGGCGATCGTGTAGATTTGGAAGAGTTTGTTCGTTTCACATTTCCAAAGTCCAATCTCCGGTCGAGTTCCCGGTCGTTCTTTTCATCCAGACATCCTTTAAACTAGGCGCAAGAAAGGAGATCTTTACCTAATGGTATTGCCGGTTCTCAACCGAATCCACTGAGGGATGGGACGGTTCTGCTTCTGCGCTTTGGCAAGCTTTTGCTTGGTGCGGAATGACTTTTGGCTCTGATGGGAGGTTAAAAATCGCTGGTTAGCCTGAAAACGCACCTCCGTCGAGAAATTATAGATGAGGCCGGGAAAAAGCATTGGTATGCACTTACCGGCATCTTGACTGATTCGATTCGCAATAGCTCGTCGACCTTGAGTTTGCGATGTTTGGCGTTGAACGGAGCCCTCGATGGTTGCGATATCTTTTGTGTGGGCAACCTGCCGAGTTCGCTTACCCGTTCCGGTATTAGCCCATCACGTGACTATAATACTTGGCAGCGACGGAGTCGGAGGCTTCGAAGCGCCGCATCTCCGGGCTGGAGTCCCACAACCTTGTCACGACTAAATTGCAACACCAGAGAAAATGCGAGCTTTGAAGGTGAATGATGGAGAAATGCTGTTGCCTAGAACCATAAATTCTCCCTTGATAGGGAATGACCAGTTTCTGTTAGCCCATCCTCACAAGGTCCCGTGTCCCCAAACGTCATTTCTCCCAACGTGGTTAATTGAGTTCAGGCATCCAGATGTACGACGTATGTCAGAGAGGACGGGAGAATGCTCCACTCCCCTGAATCGCAATCAATTCCATGCTGGGAATTGTTCAACCTTGTATCTTTGGGGGGAAAAAAAGAAAAAGAGCGCCTATACTCTACAGCCTGCCACGTTGGATGCACTTGGAATGTCCCATTAGCATGCAGACGGGTGAATCATCCCCCCAAAGTATGGTTCGGAGGCGAACTTGTGAAATTCAGCTGCCTTTCGGAGTCGGAAACACGTTTTAGCGCATAACTTGTTGCGCTATGTCATTAACTTAAGAAAGAGAAAGCCACCCGATCTCCGAGCCCATCAGGGATGTCTTAACATGCTTACGGTGTACTCCGTATTCCGTACGGAGTACTCCGTACTGATATAAAAATTCCAAACGGCTGGGATTGTGAGTTTTTCGGATATTGGTTGCTATGGTTGATCGAACGGACCTGGGCAGCAGTTCTGTCAAGAATGCACAGACCATCATTAGCGACTGGCTCAATCTAGCCGAGACCCATCTGCGCCTAAGTTCGACGGACTACGAGTGACAAGCTGAGATCAACGATTTCCCGTCCGAGTTAGTGTTCCGAGAAGCAGCAAAAATGTGACCGCGTGAGGCCCACGTTTTCACATAAGTTTATCGGTATTAGTCATGTTTCATCCTACCTTGTGGATGTCACTTGCAGCTAAGCCAATAGGACAGCAGCAGCCACCGGCTTGACAGGAGGTACCATCCTGTGATTGTATGGAATTGTGCCGACAAGTTTTACGGTTTCATGGTTCTCGAGCGGTTGGCTCATGGCGAGAATGGACGAGGTTGCAAGCTGGGGAGGCAACACAATTTTCCCCGTTCGGCTCTCCGCCACGATGTGTCCCTTGTCACTCGTATTGACTCATTATTTTATGCCCAATTTTACCTGCATAACTCGCGAGAACCAGCCCGGTTTTAAGCCCCTTATTCGATTGATAATCAGCTCCCCAGACGGGCATCGACTTCGACAGCTTTCTCCATGATGCACTAGCTTTTCGTTTCCTTGCAAATATATTCATGCTTAGCACTATTTATATATCTAGAATAACCATCCATCAACCCCTCTTTCCTCGTGGTGCGAGAGAATTTACTGTGAATATTGCCTGTTACTTCATATCATCAACCTCTTCTACTTTTTAATATCTTTGATCGCGGTACTTCGTCTCTACGGAGTACTTACCTGCCGAGTGCATCTTATCTCCTTCTAGTTATCTTATATAGTTTATTGTCTTCCATACTCTGCCGCTTGGCTGTTGATCCACTGGGCTGTATGTGGTGGTGATCTCCTCATGGCAGGAGACCCCGAGAAGCCCAGCGAGGCGGCGGCGCAGCCGGCGGTGCAGAAAACAAGCAACTCCTCTCCCGGGACCGGGCCGTCGTCAGCATCCGGCTCGACGGTCGGCGATGGCGATAACCTCAAGAAGCTAGATTCCAAGCTAGCCAACGAGAAACGGGAGTCTAGCCTTGATGACTCCTTGGCTCATCTACTAGAGCACGAACGGGATATTATCAAGCAACAGCTTGAGATTCCTGAGACGAAAGTGAAATTTTTTACGCTATATCGATATGCGACGACAAACGACATCATTATCCTCTTGGTCAGCGCCGTTGCGTCCATCGCAGGTGGAGCCGCGCTGCCGTTATTCACAGTGCGTGTGCATTTCCTACCTTTCCCACCTATACAGTCCACTAATACAATACGTATGTACGGTAGATTCTTTTCGGTCAGATGGCTGGGACTTTCCAGCGTATCATTCTGGGTACTATATCTTATGATGAATTCAATGACACCCTGTCCAAGTATGCTCTCTACTTTGTATATCTAGGAATTGCTGAATTCGTCTTGATTTACACATGTACGGTTGGATTCATCTACACTGGTGAACATATCGCGCAGAAGATTAGAGAGAGGTATCTCGATGCGATTCTGCGGCAGAATATCGCCTTCTTTGACAAGTTGGGCGCCGGAGAGATTACCACCCGGATTACAGCTGATACCAACTTGATTCAAGATGGTATATCGGAGAAAGTCGGCTTGACGCTGACCGCTCTTGCAACGTTCATCACAGCATTCGTCATAGGCTTCATCAAGTACTGGAAGTTGACCTTGATCTGCTGCTCGACTGTGGTCGCCATCGTCACTATCATGGGCGGTGCATCTAGATTTATAATCCGCTTCAGCAAGAAAAATGTGGAAAGCTACGGCGAAGGTGGCACTGTCGCCGAAGAGGTGTTGAGCTCGATTCGAAATGCAACGGCCTTTGGAACCCAGGAGAAGCTCGCAAAACAATACGATGCGCATCTGCTCGAAGCACAAAAATGGGGTACCAAACTTCAAATGACAATTGGAATCATGGTCGGCGGCATGATGTCAATCATCTTCTTAAACTATGGATTGGGGTTTTGGATGGGTTCACGTTTTATCGTCAGTGGGGAAACAGAATTGGCCAATATAATCACCATTTTACTTGCGATTATCATTGGATCTTTCAGCCTGGGAAATGTGACCCCAAATGCGCAGGCATTCACCTCTGCTGTTGCTGCCGGAGCAAAGATATTTAGCACGATCGACCGAAAGTCTCCAATCGACCCCACGTCAGAAGACGGAGAAACCCTGGAGAAAGTGGAGGGGAATATTGAATTCCGTGATATCCGACATATCTATCCCTCCCGTCCGGAGGTGGTTGTTATGAAAGGTGTTAATCTTTTCGTGCCAGCCGGTAAAACTACTGCTTTGGTTGGACCATCTGGATCAGGTAAAAGCACTGTGATTGGTCTTCTGGAGCGATTCTATAATCCTGTCGGTGGCTCCGTTCTGGTTGATGGTGTTGATATACAGAACTTAAACCTCAAGTGGCTCCGTCAGCAAATCTCTCTTGTAAGCCAGGAACCGACTCTTTTTGGTACCACCATCTATAACAACATCAAGCAAGGCCTGATCGGTTCGCCATTTGAATTGGAACCCGACGAAAGCGTGCGACAACGCATTGAAAACGCAGCAAAAATGGCAAATGCACATGGTTTTATTATGGGATTACCTGAGAAATATGAAACTCATGTCGGCGAACGTGGTTTCCTTCTTTCTGGTGGCCAGAAACAGCGAATTGCTATTGCCCGGGCTATTGTGAGCGATCCAAAGATTTTGTTGCTTGATGAAGCCACCTCTGCCCTGGATACCAAATCTGAAGGAGTTGTGCAAGCGGCATTAGATGAAGCTTCAAAGGGAAGAACGACAATCATCATCGCCCATCGCCTATCGACTATCAAGACCGCTGACAATATTGTTGTTCTCGTTGATGGTCGCATTGTGGAACAAGGCACGCATGACGAGCTGGTTGAACGTGACGGCACCTACCTTCGGCTTGTGGAAGCGCAAAGGATTAACGAAGAGCGAGACACTCAAGCTATGGCTGATTCCGACGATGGCGAGGAATCGCCCATGGGTAGTGACGCTGACGCGCTTCGCCTTCAGAAGTCGATAACCGCTGCCAGCAATGCATCGAGAAGATTTGCGGATGAGAAAATGGATTTAGAGCTTCAGAAAACGGAAACTAAGAAATCATTGTCAAGCGTTATCCTTTCCAAGCGCGAGCCCGAAAAGAATAAGGAGTATGGCCTTGGAACATTAATCAAATTCATCTCCTCCTTTAATGCCGCGGAGTGGAAATTGATGGTTACCGGTCTCGCCGTTTCCATTATAAGTGGAGCTGGACAGCCGACTATGGCAGTCTTCTTTTCAAAGTGCATCTCCACCCTGGCCCTACCGCCGCCACTTTATGACAAGCTTAGAAGCGATGCAAACTTTTGGTGCCTGATGTTCTTGATGTTGGGAATCGTCATGTTCTTCTCCTACAGTATCCAAGGATCTCTTTTCGCATACTGCTCCGAAAAATTAATTTATAGAGCAAGAAGCAAAGCTTTCAGGTCAATGCTTCGACAAGATATCGCATTCTTTGACGTGGACGAAAACAGCACCGGAGCTCTGACGTCCTTCCTATCAACTGAGACCAAGCACTTGTCTGGCATTAGTGGAGTGACCCTCGGAACCATCCTGATGGTTACCACAACTCTTGCTGCATCTATGGTAGTGGGTCTCGCAATTGGATGGAAAGTTGCCCTTGTTTGCATTTCCTGCGTCCCAGTTTTACTGGCCTGCGGATTCTATAGGTTCTGGATTCTGGCAGCATTTCAGAGGAGAGCTAAAAAGGCGTACGAAGCCTCCGCTAGCTACGCTTGTGAAGCGACATCTGCCATACGCACTGTGGCCTCTCTAACTCGTGAACCCGACGTCTCCGGAACATATCATGGTCAGTTGGTTGTACAGGGAAAGAAGAGTTTAGTGTCCATTTTGAAGTCTTCGACCCTCTACGCGGCCTCGCAGTCCTTCATGTTCTTTGTCCTCGCTCTTGGATTCTGGTATGGTGGGACGCTGTTGGGCAAGGGCGAATATACGCTGTTCCAGTTCTTCCTGGCATTTTCAGAAGTTATTTTTGGTGCTCAATCTGCCGGAACCGTCTTTTCTTTTGCGCCTGATATGGGTAAGGCGAAGAGTGCTGCGGCAGATTTCAAAAAGTTGTTTGATCGAAGACCTCCAATCGATACTCTCTCTAAAGAGGGCGATGATGTGGAGCATATTGAAGGAACAATTGAGTTCCGCGATGTGCATTTCAGATACCCAACACGACCTGAACAACCTGTGTTGCGCGGCCTTAATCTTAGCGTCAAACCAGGGCAGTATGTCGCGCTGGTCGGACCCAGCGGATGTGGAAAGAGTACAACGATTGCCCTGCTTGAACGGTTCTATGACACTCTGTCTGGGGGTGTCTATGTTGATGGAACCGACATCACACGGTGGAACGTGAGTGCCTATAGAAGCTTTTTGGCTCTTGTCAGCCAGGAACCCACCCTCTACCAGGGTAGTATCAGAGATAACATCCTTCTGGGAATAACCGAGGACGACGTGCCTGAAGAAGCCATTATTGAAGCCTGCAAAGCTGCAAACATTTATGATTTCATCATGTCGCTTCCGTAAGTTTCCCCGGGCTTTCTTACTACGGAGCCCCTTGTCAAACTAACTTTTTCGCTAGCGACGGTTTCTCCACGCTTGTGGGAAGCAAAGGCAGCATGCTCTCTGGAGGGCAAAAGCAGCGTATCGCCATTGCCCGCGCTCTGATTCGAGACCCTAAAATCCTGCTCCTTGACGAAGCGACGTCTGCTCTTGACTCAGAATCTGAGAAGGTTGTGCAGGTTGCTCTTGACGCGGCCGCCAAGGGCCGTACCACCATTGCTGTCGCCCATCGACTGAGCACAATCCAAAAGGCGGACGTTATTTATGTCTTCGACCAGGGCCGTATAACGGAGAGCGGTACGCATTCGGAATTACTCGCAAAGAAAGGACGTTATTATGAGCTCGTGCACATGCAGAGTCTGGGCAAAACTCATTGAGCAGCATGCTTTCTTATCTGATGGGTATTTGACATTTGGTGCTCTTTGCGTACGATACCCTTCGACTCATATTTTATATATACCCGGTTTTCTTCACGTGTATATTTTGGAATTACTTTTTGATTTCGATTTCGTCTTTTTTCCTTCTCTTTTCTTTTCCTTTTTTCTTTTTTCTTTTTCTTTTTTCCTTTTTTTTTTTTTTTTTTTTTTTTTTTTGATAAGTGGACATTTGAGGAATGCTCCTCTGGTACTTCATACTGGTCCTCATTTGCATAATAGACAGACTAGATCTTCCCTTCTTTAATCTCCTCTCCCGGGCCTTTGTATACAGCCCCATGAACATGAAAAGTTTTTCGAGTCAACGATTTCCGGATGTTTCTATCCCCGGCTTGCCTCCTTCTCTCTTTTACCCCACTTACGATTGTACGTAGTGAGTATGCCTTGTCGATATAGTCCCAATCACCCGTCATGGAAGCACCAGTACTCAAGTAACCCTTATTTTCCCTCTGGGCAGGATGGCCGTTGGTCCGCTTCATGATGCGATTGGCTTGACAACTCCTACGCCAAGAAATGGCTCCCGTTGAGGCTGGTGAAGATTGTGGCTGGAGACCCCGTTTTCAGCCTCAATTCGATTCAGCCTCGCCGCTGCGGACGTGCAAGACGCTCTCAGTCTGTTCGGTTCAGTCGAGTGGCAAAGTGTTGGTATGCGAAGGCAGATTCCAACACCGATTTGAGGGGAAACGGGACTCTTCCGCTCGGGGACCGGAGTCTGTGCTGAGCTCCAACCCTTGTCGCATGGGTTGCTAGTTACATACCAATGCCGTGAAGCAGCACCTCGTGATGTCAACTTCAGGCTGCAAAGGGTGAAGGATCCGCCTTGATTGGCATCAAGGATTCTTCTATTTAACCACTTCATGTTTCCTCACTGAGGTCCCCCAAATGCAAGTCTGACCCACGGAAAGTTATCAAATCATTGAGTTTCCTGAGCTGAGCTGGGAAACCGATATATATTGCGGCATACTCGCGCCCAAGGTACATACCTACCATCACCATATATTATATTGCTCTCTTTTTCCTTGTGCATCTACCATTCAAATTCAATGTCTTATATCCGGGATTGTCCCGAATTTCGCCTAAGCCGCTCCGACTCCAAGGATCCTTTCACGACCTGCCAAGGTGTGAGATCCGACGGTCAAAAATGTCGCAGAACAGTCATATCTGCGAAGGATGTTTCCAAGAAGGAGGCTGCCGCTACACAGGCGAGTGCTATGACCGCTGGAAAGACCGAGATACAAGCAGAGAAGCTGTTTTGTTGGCAACATAAACACCAAGCCTCGTCGTTTAAATCGAAGGTTGCTGCTATTCCTGCTGCGCTGGAATTACGGAAGAGATCGAGCATTGATACCATCGTTGAGAGAGTCGGATTACTGACTGTGAACGATGGGGGTGCTACAAAGGCTAAAGATTCGCAACCTACGGAATCTCAAAATACATTCACTTTATATCAAGAAATAAAGAGGACCCAGAATCCTACCAAGCATCGAAGGAAGCCAACCACCCCGCTACAACCGCTGAAAAATGAAAACGAGCTGCAAATCCCGGCTACATCTGCTTCTAAGAAGAAGCCGAGCGCCAGAAGGCGATTGGTTTGCTTCCTTACAGGTGGTGACGATAGTGACACTCCGGAATTAAACGTTCGTCGACGAACTCAACACGTTAGATCTGCCTCTCATTCAGAAACCAGGGTTGTGAGGACTCCACCCAGATACCAGTATCAGCATGCGAAAAGGCCTACGACTACCGATAATAAAACCTCGAGACGTCACTCTGACATTAGCCTTCAAAGTCGACAATCCGAATCCCGTCAACGCAGCCAAAGACAAAGTATGCCATCTCATGTACCGAGTTCTCAAAGGCCAACTATGCTAGTAAATCCAACTACCTCTTCATCCCAAACCCAATCTCTACTCTCCTGGATTCCCACAACCTTATCACCGGAGACAACGTCGAAACTTCTTCAGAAGCTTTCTGAACCGCTTTCTCCATCTGAAGAATGGGGATATATCTATATATACTGTGTGACACCACAAAAGACGGTCCCTTCAGCAGATGTCCTCCCCTCCCTTATCCCACACCGTGGAGAGATTTGTCCCCCAACCCCAGAAATCTTGCGCTCAGCAGGAATTTCGCCAAATCGAACTCAGATGCACAACTGCAAGGCGAATACTATAACCCTTAAGATAGGGCGCGCAGTTAACGTATCTCGTCGTCTAACACAGCAATGCGCACAAAATCTGACCTTGGTTCGATATTATCCATATTCTCCATCTTTGTCTTCAACAAATTCACCACCTCCCCGAAAGGCGCCAAATGTTCATAGATTGGAAAGACTGATACATATTGAGCTGAATAATCGGCGGTTCAAGTTACAAGATCCCTGTGGACACTGTGGGAAGAGGCATCAGGAGTATTTTGAGATCGAGGCAAATACCGAGCATTTACGGATGGTAGATGAGTGTGTCCGAAGATGGGTACGGTTTAGTGAGCTAGATCCAGGCAGATGACCATCGAGCATGGATAGAGGCAATATTAGAACTTGAACCGGGCTGATAAACTTCAGATTTAAGTATTTCAACTGCCTATAAAAATCTTTTGCTATGAATTTTGGGACTCAATTATAAAGAAAGTCCTGGAAGCAGTCTCGAACATATGTGTCGACACCAGAATGGCTGCATTTGCGCGGCCGCCGTCTCGCAAAATTCATCCACTGAAGCTGCTTTGAGAGGTGCCAGCATTGTCATGCAGAATCGAGGAAACCTTAGGGCAAGATAATGCATCGCGCATCCGACTGAGTAGTCCATGGAAGCCCGCTCGATGTATCATCTCGATTAACTAGCCAACCGAATCGTCTCGACTCGCCCGTTTCGCAGGTGATATTTTTGCAAAAGCTCGGTTGGCCCCCAGATTCTATGCTATGCCACACTCCGCACCGGCGGATATAATTGACCCCATATTGCCGCGAGGAGCGGATTTTATCATGGATGCTGTGGTATTATGGCCGTTCTCAACCGCAAGGTCCCACGCTGTTCGGCCATTATGGTCTTTGACATCTTAGATGCCATGCCTTCTACGATCAGCATACGAGTGAGAGCTTCAAGGCCATTGCTAGCGGCTAGATGTAGTGCTGTTTGTCCGGAACTATCCTTGGCCTCCAGATCAGCCTTGCCTTCAACAATTAGCATTCGTGCAGCCATTTCATGATTCTTGTGGGCTGCTAGGTGCAGGGCAGTCTGTTCATTGTGGTCTTTGATCTCTACATTAGCTTTGAAGTCAACAATAAGCATCTGCGCCATTGTGTCGAGTCCGTTGCGGGCACTTATGTGAAGCGCCCTTGCGTCTCATGGTCTGGTGCATCGACATTGGCGTTCCCTTTGGACATTAGCATACGAGCAACTTCCTCGTGGCTGTTGTGAATAGCTAGGTGTAATGTTGTTTGGCTACAGTTGTCTTTAGCATCAATATCCGCTTTGAAGTCAAAGATGAGCCTGTTCGCGGTTGACTCAAAGCCACTGTCAGCAGCCGAGTGCAGTGCTGCCTGCCCATAATGGTCCTTCAGGTCAACTTTAGCATCGCCTTTGGTAATGAGCACCTTTACCGTTGAATTATGGCCGTGTTGGGCAGCCAGGTGCAGTAGAGTTCGCCCATTGCTGTCTCTACTCTCAATACTAGCCCCAAAGTCAGTCACAAGCATGCATGCAATGGTATCATAACCATTGCGCGTTGCCAAGTGTAATGCTGTCAGCTCATTGTGATCTTGAGCATCAGGTTCAGCCTTACCCTCAGAGATGAGGATGCATGCAGACTCCTGGTGGCCATTATTGACTGCTAGATGCAATGCTGTCTGGCCATAGTTGTCTATTTCGTCAACATCAACTGTACTCTCAGTCACAAGCACACGTACTACAGCTTCATGGCCTTTTTCGGCAGTTCACCTTGACAGACTTGTTAAATGACTTTAGTCAGGGTCGATAAGTAGATCAACAACCGAGGAAGCCCTCTCGCAACGCAGACAGGTCTACGCATGTCTTCTTCTCTAACAGGCGTCCCTTTTTCTTTGCCGTCTTCGAAAAGTCATTTTCCGTACAAGTTAAGACGTCCAGTCTCAGTGATGAGCAGTTGGCTAAAGCCTTTGCCCCTACCCGATTGTAACACCAAATCCTTAATACCTTATCAAAAAGATAATGGCCATAAAAAGGTACGCCCGTCCGATATCCGATGGAGGCCTCCAACACACGTGATGACCTTATTGCAAGGCCACAGCCACACGGGGAAAATTCAAGTATCTCTCACCTCCCGAACCCCAAATAACCGTTAACACTTTTTTCGACCCCTTCGTCGCCGTATCTTCCCAGACATGACAAGCTAACTCAAGCTTAAGCCGGGAGAGGGCGTTCTGTCAAACAGCAACACAAAGATCACAAGCCGCGAGTATGCTGTGGCTTGCAACTAGATAGGTTAAAGCTAACATGACGGCGGAGACGTTTGGAATGGTAGATGCCAATTCCGACAGATCCTTGAAAGATTATACAGCTTGTTTAGTAGAGAGATGGGGTCATTGCGGTAATCGCCATTGTTGACCACATAGATGCCACAATGCATAACAATTAATTTTGAGCTGCAGGGGGGGATTCATGTGCAGCCAACTCGTTGTGATGGTGCCTTTTTGGCCTTCGTGCTCCTTTTGTGCATGGTGGTTAACCAGCTATGTCAACAGCTTTTGTATAGGTAGAGGTATAACCCGCGAAGCTCATCCAAGAAAAAGACTCGGCTTCCAAACCTTTCTGGTCTGTGGCAGACCCGTCAAATAAGCGTCAGCCATCTGGGCATCTTTTTTCTTGCCTTATGTATCGCGATAGCCGCGGCATCAAAGCTCCTGCTTCAGGCTCCAGGTCAACGGTGACTGGGCCAGATAAGGCTCTCGTATTGCACACGCAGCTATGGAGGAGTTATACGAGTTCTCCTCGTGGGGCATTAGTATTTGTCAGCTCCTTCATCAGTGAATCCTTTGCCCGCATCTCTCCTTAAATAGACACACTAGGGTGTGATGTTTGAAGGGTGAAAGCTGCTCGTTCGTCTCAAGTCCGACCCGACCGAAGCACAGGCTGGGGAACATCCTGATCTACGTCCGGTACATTGATACATTTATCTATGCAGTATTAAACTCAACGCAAAGTCGAGAAAGACATTCAAAAGGGAACCAACCAACCAATCTTCAAAAGCCACTATGGAAGGACGATGCCAATGCTCCCAGGTCCGCTTTACCACTCCGCTGCCGAGGCCGCTTCAAATCTACATCTGCCACTGCACAGAATGCCGACATCAATCTTCGTCCTCGTACGGTCTGACTGCCATCTTTCCCCAGTTCGACATTCCGGCGCCTCAAGCAGATAGTGACAGCCCAGATGCCACTCCGCCAGCGGGGATAGGCTTGTACACGCGGCCCACTTTGTCCGGCAGGCAGCTTGAATGCTTGTTTTGCAAAAATTGCGGATCTAGACTGATGCATAGGGCTCGGGGCGACAGGACATTAAGCGTGAAAGCTGGGTGCTTGATTGGTTTAAGTAAAGAGCTCATGAAGGACGCGGTTCATATCTGGTGTAAAGAAGCGGTAACCGAGATTCCGGACGGAGTGGAAAGGTTCGAGGAGGAACCAGATGGCGGGTCTCTGCAGTAACTCAACCTTCGTTTGTGGGATTGTGGGCCTGCATGGTGACAAGCATGCGAACAACATGCTGCTAAACTAAATGAATATGGGGTGGAATAACGCGGGGTTCAAGGAGAGGAATTCAGATGTGTCGTCGTCGAGCAGTTGAATCAATGTGATTTTAAAGGCAATGCATTCTTGGGTTTTCTCTACTCCATACGGAGTACTCCGTACTCTCTCTTGAATTGATTGGTGTTTAGGGCTGGACAAGAAGCACGATGACGCCTTCGAAAAAAACCAACATTAGGAGCCGCTTGGTGAGCTGCGTTCTTGAGAAACATTAAATCCTCCCACACATTCTCACTGCAACTTAATCGTCAATCACCACAATCAAGTCGGAAGGGCATTCTTGAACTCATTCGCAAGTCATGGCCGTCAATTCTACCTCTACTAAGCAGCCCTCAATCCTATCCACGATATTGCTCAGGCTCCAAGCCATGCTCGCTGCTATCACTTCCACCCTGATCTCCCTCCTCGACCAAATAATACCTCCATGCCGTCGCGAGGAAATTACTTCAAGGGCTTATGCTTTTAGTCGGAGCAGGCCATTACTGGCATCCTTTCTTGCCTCCCAGCTAGTTTTCTGTGGAGTACCGCTCTCCTTGCTATTCCTCCACGTCGCCAGCGTGCTCTTTTTCTCCTTCGCGACCGCCATTGTCATTGGGTCAATATGTGCACTTTTGTTTACTGCCGTGTGTGTGGGACTGGCATTGCTTGTGCTGATACCTATATTGATGGTCACCTCATTTGTGGGGCTTACGGTGTGGTTCTGGGCATTGTTGGGATGGTATATTCTCGGCTGGACCGGGTTGCTAGAACAGCGGCATATATCAAAGATGGGAGTTGAAAAAAGAGAGAAGAGTGATGGTGAGACTGGGGCAGTCAAGGAGATCACCAGGAAAATGGATTGAAGGCCTATGGGGGCAATCCTTCCAAATCAAGACGACGAGATACCCTAAACGGGCTACATTCGCTTCTCACCGATTTCTGATATTTGCATGGCATGGATGGCCATGACCCTTTTATATAATTTTGGTATCTATTCCAATGTTTACTGCTAGTGTACCTGGGAACACTTTCCTTAGGCGGAGCCATAAGAGCCAACTCTTTCGGTCAGGGGGGTTCGTTCAAGGACTGCTGAGCGCTCGTCTTGGCCTGATGAAGCAACTCACAAGCTCGATTCATGCGGTCTTTCTATCTTTCGACCTGTAATATGATCTGACAACGCGGGAAACGCCTTCTATGTATGTGCATTAGCTACTCTTCAAGGATAGTCAGCGGATCATGCCTCCTTTTAGCCAGCCGTGCGAAAAGTCATGTTCTCTGTTTCGTTCTCTAGACACTTTCCGGTCCAGAATCGTCCAAAAAAAAAAAAAGACTTCCAACTTCTAAATATCAGACGTCCATTTATGGCTCCGCGCCCGAGCGCCTGCAAAGTGTCTTTGAGGTCGTAGAGGCGCGAAGCCATCTTATTGGTTGCAGCATTAGGCTGCAAGCGATCCCGAAGGGCCTCAGGCTTCTCGCCGATTTGATCAGATCCCACTTTTTAAAGAAGCTGGGTAGACCATGTATCCAGCGATCGTCACGGCGGAACTGTGAAGCAGAGATGCCAGATAACTCTTTAAGCTGTTCCTTCACTTGCTCGAACGGGACGGTTTTTTCTCTAGCACTGACTTTTTCTCGGTCAGAGTGGTCTGTAACTTGTCATTTTGCTCCTCAACTTCTTCTATTCGGGCGTGGGCGTTAAATATGTATTTTTTACACAATGAAATTTGATCTTCGAGGTCCAGATTCTTTCTATAAAGCCGTCGAAGTTGCTTTTCAAACTTTATTTTCTCCATTGTGTGCTGATCAGGGTTCTCTAAACTCGCTGTGATTGCCTAAGCGCCCCTTACCAGTGACAGCAGACTCTGTCTCGACGTTTGGTCCCGTTGGGTGTTGGATTGACCATCCCCTGTGTCTTCCAAATCCCGTGCATTGACTCCACTATCAATTCCATATTGCATTAGCAACGAATTTATGGATTTGATCTCCTCCCTCAGAGCTTCTCTTTCTGATTTGTGGCAAATTCTCAGTTTTTGGAAAAGGTCACAACGGTCCTGCAGCCGAGCTATTTCACAGCCCGCTCCCTCTGCTGTGGACTGCCATGTCTTCGATTGTCTAGCGATATCATCTTTTTCTCTCTGGGAGTGGCCAATTTCTTCCTCGAATTTGAAGATCGTCAACGGGCTTCTGGTTTTCATCAGGCAACAGCGCCTCAAGCTGTGCCCCAAGTTCGGTTCCCAATGGTCGTGTGCTCGTCTTTCCTTGCGTTAGACAGGAGCTCTTGCAATGAGGTCATGATTCCTCTCTCACTATCCAAGGTGGTAGTCTGGTGCATCAAAGTCGGAAAAGGGTGTGCAGTTTCCGTCTGGAAGTATGGGTCCTTTTCCAACGTCCTGCTGACTAGCTTTTCGCCCTCGTCGGGTTCAGAAGCATCAATGTTGCCATCTTCTTACTTTGTTGGTTCCCGCATCGCATCTGCGAAGTCGGTTTATATCTGGACCCCTAGCCATTCCAGAAGTGGTTGAAACCACTTGCTACCGATGACCGCGCTGTGGCATGCGCCTTGCTCCTAGCTGACTTCCAGTGGCCATTATCTTCGGCTCCTTTGATGCCCCACAGTACGGTCCAGGTTTAGCAGTATTATATTGCGCCTGAACGCAAGTGAATGACGGTGACTTGGGAGCATCATGATCTCGGGCCGACGCAAGATCCATTGGTGGCAACGGCTGCGAAAAGCCCATGCGGTTCCTACCACTTATGGAACGCTTCTGTTTTCTCTGGGGTTCTCTCCTGGAATTAGAAGATCGTCTGTATTTTAGCAGAAATTCAAATGGATGAACGCAGCGACACTGAAGGGCCTTGTATGTTGATTTTCAGTTGCAACGCCGCTATGTTGGTCAATATTAGTCTCTTCTGGATGTAAGTCTCTTACCTTGGGGTCACTCATTTTGGAAAACCTTTTAATATCGGGAGATGGACGAAAAGCTCAGCTTTGCCAAAGAAGTAGTCAGACTTGATCAAGGATAAAAGCAATGCGATAGCAGATATGTGAGGGCTAAAGTTGGGATGAAAGCGGCTAGGGGTCATATAGAAGCAGGTATCCTAGATTTGCAAAACCCTAGCCCAAAATCTTAGATATATACATCGATCCAGCAATGGTATTTGTGCAAAAGGGAAAAGCAACCGCTGTCTTCTTCAAAGGGAATAAAACAACGCCTGATAAAGAAAAGACAGGACCTACTATGGCAAGTTTCAGGGCCAGCCTTGGGGCATAGCACAAAGAGCAGGTGACACATGCTTGAGTATGAAGATGATTCCTGTTCTTTGTAATTCTGGATTATGGCATTATGGTGGCCACAAGCAGAAGCCCAGAGACTAGAGTGAGGTATTGTGCAGGACAACAACAACAGCGAGATGGATCCTTTTATGCGCAGACTGGAATCCTTGGTTGGAACTGTTGGTAGCTCGAGCTCCGACCCAGGAGTCACTGGTGGTTATTGCAATGCGTCGATGTCACGGCGGCTGGACTGGCGATTCTTGAGTGGATGACATAAGCAGAGGGATTGCGACCAGAGTGTCCTGATCAGCTCTGCGCAGCGAAGTGGCCTCAACAGTGCTAGCGCGACTTGGGCGACTGGCCAGCGAGCAACATCCACAAAACTCACCTCCCTTTGCTTCACCTCCCGACCCTCCGTCGCCTCCCAGCACCCGTTTCTTTTCTCTTTCTCTTCTTCTTCCTTTGGTTGCTTGACCGTAATCACTCCTTCTGCCGGCTTCTTTCAACCTAATTGTTTAATTCCTTTGCCTTTCTCGGGTCAATCGAGGAACAAGCCACCCATCATGAGCGGCCGTAAGTCGAACGTTCTTAGCACCTGTCGCGAAGCCATTGAAGCGCCGCTGATGGGCCGTTGGTCGTGATTGTCCGCTAACTGCTGCAGTTCGTTTCCTCGACTTGATCAAACCCTTTACGCCCCTCCTTCCGGAGGTGGCAGCCCCCGAAACGAAGGTGCCCTTCAACCAGAAACTGATGTGGACGGGGGTATGAGCTCCAAAATCACCCTACCGTAGCAAATATTCGAACTGACACGAGGATATAGTTGACCTTGTTGATCTTCTTGGTGATGAGTCAAATGCCACTTTATGGAATTGTCTCTTCAGATACCTCTGACCCCCTTTATTGGCTTCGAATGATGTTGGCCAGTAATCGCGGAACACTGATGGAACTGGGTATTACTCCAATCATTTCGTCTGGAATGGTCTTCCAGGTATGCGCTTTCAAATCTGGTGCTTTCTTTGGATATGCGTTTATAAGCCAATAGCTTCTTGCAGGAACCCACCTCATCGATGTCAACCTCGACCTCAAAACCGACCGTGAGCTTTATCAAACTGCCCAGAAACTTTTTGCTATCATCCTGTCCTTCGGCCAGGCTTGCGTTTACGTCCTCACGGGTCTCTATGGCCAGCCCAGTGATCTTGGTGCTGGAATCTGCGTCTTGTTGATTGTCCAGCTTGTCGTCGCCGGCCTTGTCGTCATTCTTCTGGACGAGTTGTTGCAAAAGGGATATGGTCTCGGAAGTGGTATCTCGCTTTTCATCGCGACTAATATCTGCGAGTCCATCATGTGGAAGGCTTTCTCCCCAACCACTTACAATACCGGCCGTGGCCCCGAATTCGAAGGAGCAGTTATTGCTTTGTTCCACCTCCTGTTGACATGGAAAGACAAGCAGCGAGCTTTGCACGAAGCTTTCTATCGACAGAACCTGCCCAATATCATGAACCTTCTCGCTACCCTGATTGTTTTCGCCGCCGTCATCTACCTCCAAGGCTTCCGCGTTGAAATCCCGGTCAAATCTTCTCGCCAGCGTGGCATGCGTGGATCCTATCCCGTTCGTCTCTTCTATACCTCCAACATGCCTATCATGCTTCAGTCTGCCCTTTGCTCCAACATCTTCTTGATTAGTCAGATGCTTTACTCCCGATTCTCTGACAATCTGCTCGTGAGACTTCTCGGAGTCTGGGAACCTCGTGAGGGTGGCTCCGCCCAGCTCCATGCTTCTTCCGGTATTGCGTACTACATGTCCCCCCCGCTTAACTTCAAGGAGGCTCTCTTGGACCCGATTCACACCGCTGTCTATGTCGCTTTCATGCTCGTTGCTTGTGCTCTCTTCTCCAAGACTTGGATCGAAGTTTCTGGTTCAGCCCCCAGAGATGTAGCCAAGCAGCTTAAGGACCAAGGACTTGTTATGGCCGGACACCGTGAGCAGAGCATGTATAAAGAGCTTAAGCGTGTTATCCCGACTGCTGCTGCATTTGGTGGAGCATGCATTGGTGCCCTCTCCGTCGCCAGCGACCTTTTGGGCGCTTTGGGAAGTGGAACTGGTATCTTGTTGGCCGTCACGTAAGTTGAGATATCGACAGTTTACTCTATCGCGGTCACTAATCCGGTCCCAGGATCATATACGGCTACTTTGAAATCGCAGCCCGCGAAGGTGACTTTGGCGCAGGCTTAAAAGGCCTTGTGCCTGGAAACTAGATGACACATTTAGTCCTATGTATGCAGGATAAAACCTGTATCGTTTCTTAAATCTTCTAGATTGTATTAGTGCACAGTGGGTGCTCTCTTTAACAGGCCCTGTTTCGGCTTTGCAACCATCGACCCATGGGGCAACTTAGAAATGGGGCAAATTATGTTCGAATATCTATGAAATTTTGCGTTTTTCCTCCTTCCTACCAGAGCGGGCACCCCAAAAGCGAGGTCTTCTATCTGTGTATATATGCCAAACCGTTCGAATCGATGAAATAAACTAATGATCATGGACCTGGTGCGAAAGCGATGGACTTGAGAAAAAAGTACAAGGCGCACCTACACAGACCTTGTCTATGCAATGGCCCAACATGGGATACTTTAAGCTTGCTCAATCAAAAGGGGATAAAGAAAAGGCGTTCGAAATTCTTTGGATGGTATTCCGTGCTCATGCTTTTTACGTTCGATAATCCCCATTAATAGTAACATATTCGTGACTGAAATCGCAGAACCAGAATACACCATCTTCTCCGCCTTTGCCTGCCTCGCCTTTATCCCCACCACCCAGGTCCACAACGATTTCCAAGTCTTCATTTTGTAGGATCGCAGATGCCCTCTCCTCATCCACAGCTTCTGGCTCCCCGTTCACTAGCAACTTCAGCTCGGGGCTTCCGTCGACAGGCTTGAAGCTAACGCTCGTGCGCTCGGGTATGATGGTGCCAGGGCTGATGCCCTGGGTATAGCCGACAGCGCACAGGATCCGACCCCAATTTGCGTCCTTTCCGTACAGCGCTGTTTTGACAAGCGGAGATCTGGCGATGGTTGATGCGATGAGTTTGGCGTCAGAGTGTGAAGGAGAGTTTCGCACGCGCACAGTGACGAATTTGGTGGCTCCTTCACCGTCGCGGACGACTAGCTGTGCGAGTGATTGGGTGAAGCTGGTCAGGATTGACTGCATGGCGGTGTATTCTGGGGATTCAGGAGAAGAGATTGGCTTTCCGCCGGCGACACCATTGGCTAGGACGGCTATGGTGTCATTGGTGCTGGTGTCGCCGTCGACGGAGATGGAGTTGAATGAACGGGAGACGGAATGTGCGAGTAGGGATTGGAGGGCCGGGGCCTCGATTGGTGCATCTGTGCAGATTATACCCAGGAGGGTGGCCATGTTGGGATGGATCATCCCGGCGCCTTTGGTCATTCCTGCTATATGGTACGTGCGGTCAGGAGAAGAGGGTAGGGTGAAGGATCGGGAAAGGAGTTTGGGGAAAGTATCCGTAGTGCAGATCGCTCGGGCGGTCTTTAGCCAGGCTGTGTGGGTGGAGGAGAGATTTGCGTAACCGGTAGGAATTCCGGATATAATCTTTTCTATAGGTAACCTGTCAAGAGTAATTTGGATAAGCTCACGTCAGTTAGGACTATTGGCAGAAGTCAAGACATACCGCTGGCCAATAACGCCAGTGCTCATAACCAATGTGCTTGAATCACCGTCATTGCCCGTCGCTTTAAGCCCAATGCACTGATCCACCTTTGCACTCATGGATTTCGCGTCCTGTATACCGCCTTTCCCCGTAACGGCATTCGCGCAGCCGGAATTTGCAATAACGGCGCGGATCCCACGTCCTGATCTCGCATTGATTATTTGCTTACTCACTTGCACAGGTGCAGCCTGGAATTTATTTGTTGTGAACACTGCCGCCGCTGAACATGGTTCTTCCGAGCATATAATCGCCAGATCTGGGAAGGTAATATTGGACTTTTTAACTCCCACATGAGTTCCTGACACACGAAAACCTAGTGGGTATGCTCCCGAACATGGAACGAATTTTCTTTTCGACTCCGGGATCGAGGGGTCGATGGGCGTGGTGTAGTGGCGGACTTGTGCTGCGAGAGCTCGTACGGCCCCTGGTCGAACCCTGGGGGTGTAACTGAATGCAGCCAAAAAGGGAGTATTTGGCACCATGACAGCAATTGCTCACCAAATAATCAAGGAAGAGGATAAAGGAGGTAGGGATGCTCTCCCAGCCAGCTCTGTCAATGCTGATGAAGCTGGTGATGAGTCAGTCACTCTGTTCGCTGCAAAGAAATTCGCAACTGGAGTTCGGCAGACCTGGCTTAGCGATCTGATAACGGGAGCTAACTAGCTTTCGAACCTTAATTTTAGCTCATCAGATAACAAGGATCGGATTATCTAATCTTTCCCCCAGCTTCGTCACGTGCTTTCGTGTTCAAGAACTCGATGAGCACTGGGAGAGAGAGACGACGCGATTGATATAGGCCTGGTGGTATCTTTGGGCTGCAGAAGGTTACTTGACAACGTATATTGGCCACCATCATTGTGCCAATTTGCTTCAATCGCCCTTCCGCAGCAGTTATGAAGCGTAAACAGTCACTGGCATCGTCCGACGATGATCCCCTTCAGGTCGAAGAGTCAACGCCACGAAAGCGGAGAGCATCTCCAGATGATCCTGAAACACCACAAACGAGCACACCATTGTCTCGGTTGCGAAGTCGCTCTAAGCCCAACCATGGCCACCCTCCGGTCGACTCGCCCACCCCTAAGCCTAAAAGGAAACCGGTCCTTTCGACACCTAACAAAACCTCAAAATCTCGCGGTATAGCCAGTGATACCCCTTCAAGAATCAAGAATGCCGATCGTTCTGCCAAAAAAAAAAGTGCGGCAATCCTTTTCAATCCAAATGAAGACGACTTGTGGAATGGCGGGGAGAAGTTGGCGCGTGAGATATGGGATATCGAGGAGGAGACTGAAGGTGAAGACGAGATCAACGGGATTCTGGATACAAACGAGGTCCCCGAGGCGGCAAAGGATGGCTTAAACAAGTCCACCGGTGCACCAGAGTGCAACAGACAACCCAGAACGCGGGCCAGGCGACGAACGCCGACCCCTGACGGTGACCTTCCGTCTCATGAAAGATACTTCTTCCAAAACCGCCCTGGGCGAATGTTGACGTCGGATAATACTCTTTCCAAACTAATTTTGCTGACGCATGAGGAATATTTTGACCAGTTGGAGAAACTGGATGACCCACAGTCTAAAGAAAAGGAGGCTCTAATCGACATCCATGAGCGATCATTCCCGCAATGGAATTTTGAATTAATTGAAGGGTTTAATATATGCCTATATGGATATGGCTCTAAGCGAAATCTTGTACAGCGATTTGCAGGTTGGCTATATGAACGGTATAGCGACCCTCCTACTATTGTCGTGGTGAATGGTTATGCGACCAATGTTACTCTCAGATCTATTCTTGCAACAATAATAAGCGCAGTCATGGGTCCTGAGGCTCCAACAAAGCTCGGAACACAACCGTCTGAGGTCTTGGATGTGTTGCAGTCCAATCTCAACGTGAGACCGCCAAAGCATTCAATAACAGTCATCATAAACTCCATAGATGCGCCCCCGTTACGCCGTCAGACCCATCAGACTCTTCTAGCACGCCTTGCCAGCCTTCCTCATATCAATATTGTTGCTACCGCCGATACACCTAATTTTCTTCTCTTGTGGGATATCGGGCTCCGAGATCAATTTAATTTCGCCTTTCATGATTGCACTACCTTTGCTCCATATGATGCGGAGCTCAACGTTGTTGACGAAGTCCACAGCCTCCTTGGCCGCAAAGTTCGCCGGATAGGTGGAAAGCAAGGGGTCGGCTTTGTTCTCAAAAGTCTTCCAGAGAACACCCGGAAATTATATCGTCTCCTTATTACAGAGCTTCTCACTATGCTGGGAGATCAAAATATTTCAGAAGGCGAGGTGGACCAAGCGACCACTGACCCGCGTGATAAAACTGGCAATGAGCGGAGGGAAACGGTGATTGAATGGCGCACGTTATTCCACAAGGCTACTGAAGAATTCATCTCTTCCTCGGAACTGATGTTCCGGACGCAACTTAAAGAATTTTATGACCACCAGATGATCATCCCGCGGACAGACTCGAGTGGCGTGGAAATGCTTGGAGTCCCTCTTTCTCAAGAGGAGATGGAGAGTGTTCTAGAAGATCTTGTCATAGAGCAGTGATACGTCATTCTGTATGTTTTCCTGTGCTATCCTGTCTTTGACCTATATTTGATACCCACAATGTACAACCTGGAGCACGCGCCACGTGGCTGCTTGTGATTTCTAGAGAATTTACGGAGTAAAGTCTATTTTTTATCTTAATATCGAACGCCGTTCCAAATGGTCGTATATTAAAACTCCGAAAATGCAGAGAGCATCAACGTCGTCCCGAAACTTGCTTTAAAAGCCAAGTTCTTTGTAACCGCTCGCCGGACATCGACGGACTTGACATACCGCTGAAGGAATTTGGGGGGGACGATATTGTATCCTTTGGATGCTGCCCACTAAATTACACAGGATATAGTTTAGCCCGTGCCTTAGTTTACATGGCACTGATAAGGGCGACATAGCTCAATTTGGGAAAGCAGTCGACTCCAGGCTTCTGAGCAATGAGGAGTTACGAACCTCGATGAGCAATATGGCAACACCCAATGTAAACGTCAGGGTCCTCGAGAATATTCTTAATCCCACACCAGCGACCAACCCGAGCACACTACCTAGACTGATCTGGCGAACCGTATGTGGATTCAAGCTACCGAAGGAGCAATCTCCCTCAAGGGGAGAAGGGCGAGAGCACCAGGCTGGCTGGCCAGGAGTCCGCGGAGCGTAGTCGCAGTGGATTACAACGGCCGGCTTGGGACAAAACAAGAGGAATGAAGCGGCAAGTGGCATAGACAGGAGAAGAGGGCGGTTAACGAACCGGAGGAATTGGGAGGCCATTGTGTGGTGAAGGAGTTGTGTTTTGTACAATTGGATATATATTGGTACGAACGATACTTTATACCTGGGGTTGCCGCTGCTTGGAATGCGAACAGTTGCACTGAGTGAGATCTGTCGACCTTGGCCCGTTGTCTTCTCCGCAGTTGCAGCCGCCCGCCTATGACTTAATCAGCGCGTGGGATCAGCATTATTATGTAACTAGTTATGTCACGCCAAGCAACAACACCTGACCAAGGGCAAGTCACGTGAAAGATTAGTTAAGTGAGCCAAGGGTTTCTGATTCGGTTGGCCAGCGCACAGGGAGTCGACGACTGGACATCTCGGGCGCATTCGCCCATTTCCGGGACTGTTACTAGACCAAAGCCTTATGGCGTAGGGTCTCTCGCATAATTTTAGGTATTGTTGTGTATCCCGACGTTTTTCATGAGAAGGAGAAGATGCCCGCTTATATCTGTATGAGACTCAAGCCACATCCCCAGGGAAGAAAGTAGGGCTTCTAAATTGCTGAGAATGACAGATTTCTAATGTCAGCGCTGGAGAAAAGGAGGAATGACAGACAGAAGAGAATTCATCAACTGCAGCACCTCCCGCAATGTTCTCACTGAAGATGCTGACGGATTTCCGTCAACGGCACTTCTTCAGCAGGCGAGAGGATACGCTTAGCTTACGGAGATACACGAACATTCGCACATTCTTTGTTCGACAGATCGGAGAGAAAACAGTTCCGTCCTTTACCTGAACAATTGGAGGCCAATGTACTAAACCGGTACATATACGGAGTATGTGCGATGCCAAGACGAACTCTTTGTCCTTGCAAAGAGGACGAAACTCCAGTAGATTTTTTGCCTCCCTCATCTCGGCTGCTTTCAAAGTCAAGTGGCCAGACAGATGCCACTCAGGTTAACATAAGACGAACATCTAACCCCTTTCACATTCCTCACGATGACAACAGAGCATGTCAATGTTCGTCAACAATAGGAAGCTTGGAGCCACGGTCGAGCGCACAAGTATATCCACAGCAAATTGTCCTATGTTTCAACCCGCTCAACCTTGAGAATAAGCTGCTCACTGCCATCACCTGTCACGAATGTTTCATCACCAGCGAAAGCTGAATCATCAATAATGCTGGTCCTAAAGTTGGTATAAATGGCAGTAACAGCAAAACGCATCACTATCCGAGAATGTTCTATCAGTACTCTATTCATTTCTTACTCTGCTTAGTGAAATTCACTCACATTCAAAGGCCAGGTTTTGGCCCAGGCATTGACGGCTACCGCTGCCAAACGCCCACCACCAACGCTCCCTAGCTCCAGCTTTCGGGTCGCTCGAGTCAACAATCCATCGCATTGGATCCCACGTCCTTGGGTTGGGGTAACCCTCCTCATTTCTGTGAAGGCACCAGGCAAAGGCACCCACCCGGGTTCCAGCCGGAACGTTATCACATGGTCCAATTGTAACCTTTCTACCTGTCGGAGTTATCCGTGGATTGAGGGTCGGGGCCGTATTTCGGAGGCGGAGAGATTCCTTGATCACTGCATTCAGGAAAGGTAGCGCCTCCAATGTTTGGGGAGTTGGGAGCTCAGTCCTCTTTTCATTATGGTACCGGAATGGCTGCGAGATTGACAGCAGCTCTTGTCGCAATTGCTCCTGGATCTCAAGATTTCGCGAAAGGTTCAGGATAACGTAAGAAAAGGTTATGCCTGCAAAGTTAGCCTCGACTATAAGAGTCTGGCTCATAAGTTGCTCTTACCAAATGTATCTCTTGTGGCAACTGGGAGACATTAGCTGGCATCCTTTTTTTTTACACTCTGCTTCGGGTGACGGAGATGCTCAACTTACCCAGGTGATCGAGGCATTCACTCGCAAGCTCATGCCTCTGAATGTTATTTGGTTCAAACCTTCCATTTCTCTTTTCGCCTTGTTCTAGCTCTATTCCTGTTTTAAGTGCATGATACAAAAGAGGCATATGTCCCGGACTAATTGTCTCGTCAGTTGGGTTGTTGCTAAGAACATCCTCTGAGAGTTTAATGCGTTTCATAGCCCAGTTTTCCAATTCCCGTTTCGCCTTAAGGAAATTTCTAGGGATCAACGGGATGCCGAATAACGACGCCATTTGAGACAGCACAGGATGTTCTGTCAGCCAAAACATGTTCTTGGATGGGTGGGTTTGGTCGTATAGATCAAGCCAGTCTTCGCGAGAGGCTGTGTTTTCTAAGAACCTGACCCCACGTGGCAACCCAAAAATGAATGCAGAAACAAAGTCCAACCCATAGGCGAGATTCAGCGCCAAAATATCGATTGGCTCCTCTTTCTCAGCTGTACGGGCGAGTATTGGAAGGATTCGCTGCTGTATCACGGCATCTAGAATTGCCCGAATATGGGGAGATGATTGGAGAAACGACTTCGAATACACTCCGCTGATTCTACGCCTATACAGAGCATGCTCAGAGCCTAAGGCACAAAATGTATTTCGGAATCTCCCCAGCGAATCAGTAAGAAGCTCGTCAAGTAGGAGCCGGAATCTTACCCATGATTTTGGAAGAAGTTGTACCATGGTGCCTTGTCGAAATTGTCATTGCCAATGCCATATATGTTTTTAACACCGCATTCCATGGTATTGACTGCCACCTCTTTGGGCGCAAGGCGAATATACGGGCCCTTCTGTCGAAACCCAGAGACTACTGCATCGAATTCCTTGTTGGTTAAGCGTTTCCATTGAATCCATAGCGAACTGACTGATGCGAGTGGGTGGGCGCTCGGTATTTTCGCTAGGGGAGAAAAGAATAGCGGATATAAAATCTTCTTGTATATGACGAACGCGAGTGTAAACAAGGTGCCCGCAAGCAGCAGCATGGTGGATACTCCAGGGGTCTATTACCTGTTGAACAAGTACTTCACCCCAAAACCAAGCTCTTTATTTCTTTTCGAAAGATCCAGAGGAATTGAGCCTCGGAATGGCATGTCTTATGAGAAAACTAGTAGCCACGGGGAAGATGAACTGTTCCTGGAAGATTTGAATTTTGGCTACCAGCCCTAGCTTCGTGATTGACGCTTGACAAGTTGCGTTTATCTGACTGCGAAGCACTTGCAGCTGGAGTGGCTTGCGCATCGCCCTGGGCTGGTTTCGAATCTTGTCATACAGATGACCGTTAAATCCTTCCTCTGACATCGGAAACGAATGCTTGCGCGAAGTTCGTTGAGGAACCAAGTTATTTCTACATCGTTCTCCATATGATGCACAATTCCATCCATGTCTCCAGCATTATCTCGCTGACATGACCAGGAAGGTAGAACAATTCATTCGGTATTCACACGAAGAGACACCGGTACGGCGAACGGCAGACGCAATACTCCGTACTCCATCCCGCATCTGATTGCGGGGGGATTTCTCCAGTATTTAAGCTCAGTTGGATTCAAAATTACTAGCACAGCGAGACCCACAGCTCGGATCTGTGGTAGCTGCGTCTGATCTTCAACAAGTGACAGAGCAACCCGTAAACTGGTAACCGACGATCATGGTGGGTTCAGGAGAGATTTGAATCGGCCCGGGGGGGGAGAAATCCACTTCAACCGTTAACGAATGATTTTACAAATCAAAGCTGTTGTTTCTCCACGAGGCTGTCTGATCAACTGCAAGGGAACATAACAATAACGACTCCGTCCCCGAGAGGCTGGCTGAAATGTGCAATCACGCACCGAATCCCGCGTCGACTTGGAATGGCTCAATGCCCACATGCATACGCATAATCCGAGAGAAAGCGCCCTGCTTCGCTGATGATTGATGGCTGATGATATACGGAGTACAGGGTGCTGTTAATACAAGAATTCCAGGGTTGTTTTTCTCGGAGAGAGGAGTTGGCCCACCAAGTTTCCGACGCATGGCCAACCGATACCCGACTCTGGGCTCAACCTTCGCCGCTCGGAATGAGCCATGGTCCAACAGCATACGGTGAGAAAGACAACAAATCTGAAGGGTGCTATCCACATAGGATATGCAGCGCTGGATTGTCAGTGTTGGACGGAGTACTTTATACGGAGTACGAGATATAAAGGTACACACTATTCCGTACAAAATCAATTGAGGGGCGCTTCAATCCGTGCTCCTCTTCGTTAGAGTGACTGCATTCTCTTACTACTTTACGGAATAACTTGCCGGCTGATCAGCCGGTCAAGCACAGCCTGCTTGTTGGTTCATTCATGAGTTTCAAAATTTTCAAAATGGAGACCCTTGCTGAGCAACATCCAAGCGAGAATTTTCGAGTCCTTCCTCTCTTTGTCATATTAACCCTCCTTGTATACATCATCGTCGTCCACCCTCTCTTCCTTGGGCCATACAGTCATATCCCAGGGCCTAAGCTCGGCAAAATATCTTGGTATTACATCACATGGTATGATTTTTGGCTTCAACGAAACGACAAAATCGCAAAATGGCACCAGAAGTACGGCAGCATCATCTGCTTTCGGCCTGGAGAAATTTCCTTTGCTTCTCCGGAACTCATGAGAGAAATATACGGAACAGCCGGGAAATACACGAAGAGCGACCTCTTTGAGAATTTCATGGTATATGGCCAGAAGCCTTTGTTTTCAATCGGGCCGTATTGGGAGCATAGGAAGAAGAGGATGTTGATCTCTTCCTTTTACCACAACACGAATATTACAAGACCAGTCATGGAGAAATGGCTGAGGAAAAATATTCACAAACTTATGGCTAATATTGACAAAAAAATTGGCCAAAGCCGGGGGAACAGCGATGGAACCATGGTTAAGGGCATGATAGATGCGTATCCTTTATTTAATTGCTTCGCCTTCGATAACATCACGCATGTACTCTTCGGGTCAAAGTACGGAGCGAAAACGATTGAGAATGACTGTCCGGAGCGTAAGATCCTTCTGGGGATCAAGCAAGCGCAGATGTGGGGCCCATTCAAGTTCAATTTTCCAGCACTTGCCTGGATAGCTTCCAAGATGATGCACATTCTCCCCGCGAACGTGGCCTATCGACTTCTTCCAGAGACCTTGCGTCTCTGTCTCAAGTCCGAGGACGAAATGGCTGAGTGGAATTGGCGGTCGTTGCACGCTGCGCTGGCCGATTTGGACTCTGTAGAAGATTACACCCTTCTTCGACGCATGCTTGCTTGCAGAAGTAAGGACGGTGATACCTTGACCACGTCATATATAGCCGCCGAGCTCTATGACAACATAAACGCAGCCCAGGAAACAGTGGCAGTTGGCCTTATTTATCTGATCTTTCATCTTGCAAGGCAAAAGGTATGGCAAACTAAAATTCGCAACGAACTTGCGGGTCTCAGCCTTACAGAGGATGGCTATCCGGGATGGACGGATATAGATGGTCTGCCTTTGCTTGATGCATTTATGCGCGAGGTATTGCGAGTTAATCCTGGTGCCAGCGGACGACAGGAGCGGTATATTGAAGACCCGAAGAAGTATTATGGAGGTTTTCGCCTTCCCGTTCGTACTCGTGTCACCGCCTCCACCATTGCACTACACCATGACCCGCGGGTTTTCCCCGATCCGGAAGAATTCTGCCCTGAGAGATGGCTCCACCAGACGGCCGAAAAGCTGAGGCAGATGGAGAAGAGTTTCATCCCGTTTGGATATGGAGCAAGGATATGTCTGGGAAAAGCTTTCGGGATCATGGAATTGAAGATGCTCGCTGCGTTCCTACTGCTCCGATATGAAATCGAAACAACGCCGGAGATGGGAGATGGGAAAACGGGTCCTATGTGGCAGTGCGGCTCGATAGAAGCGGTACCAATAGGATTGAAGGGAGAAATTGTATTCACCAGATTGCATTCAAGTAGCCGCTCTTCCACCAAATACATGGAACGGGACTGAAGTATGACGGGATTCAAACTTTCTCCTTGTGCACCTTACAAAAGTATATACAAACCTTTCTGAGAACCCGGGATTTGCTGCACCTAGACCAACAAGGAAATCTTTCTCAGAGTCCGTGTCTTTCGGTGCACCGTACTCTGTACAGACGACGAAGTAATTAAATCGTGACATCACCATTGCATTTATAATTCCGAGTGTGAAAGATCCCCATTTTCTTTGTCGATCGAAGTGGCTGGTCCGGGCTGCAGCGACCCGGCTCTCGGTTGTCACGCTTCCAAGGGCTCGGCGCATTCACGGATTTTAGCCCTAGGCCGAATAGCAACTAGTTACCCTCCGTAAAATGACGCTATAAAGTAGGTTCAGGGCGCTCAGCTTCGCCCAGGTCCAATTCTGACACGTAAACTTTGAGTTTATCGTACAGAGGACTCCGAAAGCGGGGATCTCGCGATGATGGAAGTACTACCTGGTCTCCTGCTGATGCAAACCGGGGTGCTCGCCTATACTTGTCGAGTCTTTTGCCCAATCGGTGTAAAATGAGTATCCCGTCTTGCATGATCGACTCAATCCCAACTCCTTGCTTTTTTAACCTGCATGCTGCGAATGCGACAGATATCGCCACAGACGAAACCTTGCGGAAATGCAAAATTGGCCTTGATCACAATATTAGTGGGATGGAGACAGGCCAATGCTGGTCATAGCTGGGTGACAGTCACCCAGTGTGGCTCTCCGCTTGGGTACTAGCCCATGGCGACGTGATGATGGCTGGCGAGCACAGCGGATTGCAAAGGATATCGTCGAGACAGACGCATCTCGACGCCAGCCAACTTCGCAATGGCTGCAGTTACCGCATCGGGAACTGATTTTCAAGGAAATACAAACATCCTTCGCCTTCCGTGGCCCATAGAAATAGGAGCCGCGAGGTGCTTCTCATGAGAGAGTCCAGAGCGCTCTGATACGATTGTCTTGTATTCTCCTGCACCATCTCTATACCCACCGTCTTGAGAGCTAACAGCTTAAAAAGCGTCTGCAATCATGCCGTCCGCCAAATTAGCCATGGTGTCCGCCGACGATGAGTGGTCTCCTCTGGAGTCCGTCATCGTGGGCCGTGCAGAACATTCTGCTTTTCCGTCTGAACCCGCCCATATGATCGAAGCAACGATGCCAGATGAGCATCAGCAATCATTCAAGCCGTCGAACCCATTCCCGCCGGAAATTCTTCAAAAAGCACAGGAAGAGCTCGACAACTTCGCTTCTATCCTCGAACGGGAGGGAATCCGGGTCTACCGGCCCAAAGAGGTCAACTGGCTTAAAATCGGCGGTTACACAGGAGCAATGCCACGGGATAGTCTTATGACTGTCGGAAACACCGTTATTGAAGCACCATTTGCATGGGGCTGCCGCAAACAGGAGGTGGAACTTGGATACAGCGATATTCTTTCGGCCCTTGCTGAAGACGGTCTCAGCAAAGTCGTCCGAGCTCCGAAGATTCTGGGAAGAGAGACGCTGTACGACGGTGTTGAGAACTGTTCGAGCAATGGAACCCACACCTGGGCTATTAACAACACAAGGCCTTCCTTTGATACGGCAGACTTTATGCGGTTCGGCAAAGTGATCATTGGGCAGCTCAGCAATGTCACCAACATGAAAGGTGTTGAATACCTGAGATCTGTGATCCCCGAGGGATACACCGTTGAAATCCTGCAAACAGACGATCCACACGCCATGCATATTGATGCCACTATCCTTCCTCTTCGAAACAAGCTCATGGTCTACCATCCTGAAAGAGTCACCGAGAAGGCCTTACGTCAACACGCCGTGTTCGAAAACTGGGAACTCTATGCGTACCCTTTCACCCCAGAGCAAAAGGATGGACCGCCGCTCTACATGACATCGCCATGGCTTGTGCTGAATGCCCTTAGTTTGGACGAAAACCGGATCATGGTGGAGGCCAAAGACACAGTCTTTGCATCATGGGTTAAGGAAAAGTTTGGCATGGAACCTATCATGTGTCCTTTCCAGCATGTTAATAGCATTGGTGGCTCATTTCATTGCGCCACTGTTGATCTCGTTCGTAGAAATTAAAAAGGAAGAAAAGGTTCCTGCTGGAATGGGAGGAATATACGGAATACCCTATGGAGATTTAAAGAAGAAACAGTGGACTTGGTCAGGGTCATTTTGGTGATAAACCGAATATAGAACTGCATGTATGAGAGTGATCGATGCAGATAGGCGAATTTCTACCGAGTAGGCCCCATTCTGACATTGTCACATCAACTATGGAGTCCAGCGCAAAAGCCAATTAGGAGCCCAAAGGAGAAGGCCAATTTGGCTCTTTTTCATGCTGAGGAAGCGAGAAAAGAACTAAAAGGCCTAATAGATAAAACTAAAGCCAGTAAGTCACTTTCCGTGTTTTACTCACGGCCGTTGGCGACAACTCATGATTAGTGGAGAGTTATATGGGTTGCCTTCACAAGTGTAGAAGAAATGACCAAGTTTAACATAGAGCATAGGTATCAGCATCGTAGGCAGCTTTATTTTTATCCCATCCTACAATGCCTTCCATGTCGTTTGCATAAGCTGCGCATGAATGCTAGGCTCTCAATGGATTATGCGCCATTTCGTGATTTAGAAGTGATGGTTGATTGAGTGCAGGGCAACCTTCTTTGTCAACAGGCGGAAGGCCTAAAAGAGGGGCCAAAGCATAATCCTCTGGCCAGCTGGACAGACAAAATGTAGCAAACTAGTACATGGAGGGATATCCAAGATTCTCCAGTAGAAACATAAGATCAAAGCAGCGGTTATTGATCCTTCCAGATAGGGAGGTGTCGGTGTCAAATTTGGATCCAGGTCATAAAAGCTCCGGGCCACAAAATTCCTGTATTTTAAATATTTGATCCGGAAGAGTTTATCGAAGTAGTCTCCATTGCGTTCTAAGGTTAATTTGCGAGTCTTGCTGGCAAAATCAACCGCGAGTGCCGAAGCCTTTTCCACAATCTCCCGTTCTTGCCAGTACATCAATTGCTCAAACACAGCTCGATTGACAGGAAATGCGGGTAGTAACAGAGTTTTGGTTATACATTTCCATCCATATCGATTGTAAGGGGTGTTGGATTCGTAGCCGACAGCTTCAATTAACTCAACTATGCTGTTATTTCTCGAAATTGTCATGTAACCTTCCGAGACAAAGGTATATTTACCACTAGGCAAGGGATCAAATTTCTGAACAAGATCGGACCAAGCCTCTCTAGTTGCGTCCGGACCAATATGATGAGCTTATCTGCTGATGATCTAATAAGGTCTTAAAGGGATGAGGCCTTTGAATTCGGGCTTTTTGGCTAAGGGTCTATTAGTCGATCGAAAAAGGGTTGGAGCCAGGGGGCATGCGATACTTGCTGTCTTAAGTACACCCAATCCACGGGCCTGAGTCATAGAGGGACTTTGGCTTCAATACAAAGACATCAAAGATGTCGTCGTCCTTGGTGATAACGACCTTGATAAATTAGTGTTGCCGGCGTGACTTAATTCATTCAACCAAAAGCACCAGTAACCTGGGGCTGGATGGTGTTAAGTCTTGCAAATAAGGTCAATGATGTTAGGTCACCAAAAACGCTATTCTGTGATCGCATCCGATCGCAAATATAGATATGATGGTCGCGGGAATCTAGCCCATTAAGTCTTGATGGATTCTTGGAAGTTCCAGCAAATTCGTCAGGGTTTCAAATTTTGTAAAGTTCAGAAGCAGCGATGTGGATTCGCTTTGGTCCTGAAAACCACAAGTGACTTATAAAATGCAAATACCCATGGAAACTGAGCTTATTGATATCATCTGCGGTAACATCACTCAAAGAAAAGGGTCCTTGGACTTCTCGACAAAGTCCTAGTAAGAAAACCGGGAAAGTCATAAGATAGCGGGAAATTAGGCCGCATTTTTGTGTTCTGAGGGACAAAACGAAGCCAGGTCCATCTGCGGGTTCAAGTTGTTATTGCACCATTTCAACTCTGTCACTTGATGCCCTGACCTTATTATTGGATAGGCGTTCATCGAATTTTCAAAATATCTCCGCAAGTGGTATGTCTTCGCTGCGGTGGAACTCCTTCATGGGACAAAGCGCATGAGAGCATTCATATCCCAAACAAACAGCGGATAACATCGAAATTTCGCAAGGGCTTGCGTCAAAGTATAAATTTAAGTATGTAGCTAGATTCCCGGTCCACAGTAAAAGGTATCGCACGGGAGGAGTGACCGGTACATAGATATTTTGCATAAAGGGGACAAGGGGAGCGTAAATACGCACATACGACCATAGGAAGTGGAAAACAGGGCTTCCCGTCCGCTCAGCCGTACTTAAACCACTTGCCGGCCGGCTAGTAGTTGGGTGGGTGACCACCAGCGAATCCCGGCTGTTGTATGTATTTTTTTTGAGCCATCAACAGTCCATTTCTCCTCGCAAAAAAAGGCCCAACAAAGGATATAGTATGGTATGGATCCGAAAATCTAGATTTTGCCAGCTCAATGCTACTTGGCTGGAGAGTAATTAGGTAACCCGCTGCACGTAGAGTGTTAGTTAGGGATCTTGAACTCACCCTGGGCGATTGGCCTTTTTGCCTATGTGGTCAATTATCTACTGCCTATGGCTCCGTCCACTGCAGAGTTGACGGAAAAAAGCAGCGCCGAAAATTGCGAGGTCATGTGATTTTCCTTGGCTTCCAACCAAACTTCGAAAGAGCCGCACAGACGACCAAGCTGAACATCATCAGACGTCTTTACTATGGGGAAAGCGAAAATGTTTGATGGACCGCACAAGTCAAGCAAGTTGAAGCGGGATTTCAGTGCCTATCCTGGTAGCCTGCTCGGACTCCAACCTTCACGCACGCTCATGTGGTATGCGCGAAAGGCTGCTGAAGTCGCCGGAGCATGTGTTGCAAAACATCTGATGTTCATTATTATTATTATTATTATTCATTATAGGCTTATGCAGTCAGTGACTATGAAGACTACTGTCTGATGTTCAAACAAGCCATAGGGATCCTGGCTGGCAAGTATCACCGTAATGTCAAGCTGGATTTCAGTGGGGTCAACTCCAACAGCTGTTTATAAACATGATCTTACCAGCTCCATACCGCCAATCACCTATCAGAGATTAAGGCGAGGCGTGCCTGATAATGCTAACCTTATCAATTAGACCAAATTCTGGCACAAGTGATGATAAAGGAGGGACCTGCAAGTATCATCGCTGTCTCTCCGAGAGCTCTACTCGTTCCAAGGTCTACTATGGACTCCGACCTTGTCCAAACCTATGTAGTAGCAGCTCTTTAGCCGACTTCTCGATACCAAGATTATACCCAAAATGGAAAAGAGGAATATTGTCTCATATGGATCATGATGTGGATGGGGATTACATCAACACTGTCAACTCTATGCGGGAATAGCTAGCGTGAGTGGCTGCGAAGCTCTCAGTGGAGTTGGCCTTGCGTCCGAGGAGCTCACCAGTGGCGGCTTGAGGGATTTCTGAGGCTGCTGCATTCCCCCATCGACGATCACGACTGACTTGCATGTAAGCACATATATGCATGCATACATATCCAACCTGCCTGAGGGTGAAGATAGGGAGTGGTGATGCGTCATTTCCTTACGGGAACTGGGACTCGGAACTAAAGCTTCCAAAGAAAGGCGTGGTGAGCAGGTCTCGATGCCACCCGTTGACGATGGTGCCAGCTTCTGAGACAAACTTTGCCCAGCACGATCTCAGTTCCAGCCAGGAATATATTTTTTTCACAACTTCCCTGGAGCGCATCCCGCGTCCGCATTCCACTGGTAGATCATGACGCAGCTTAATAGCAGGGTGGGCGAGACACGGCAATATTGAGGGGGTGGTGGTCGGCGATCCCATCGACCTAGTACATATACCGCTACCTAAAGAGCGTCATCTCAAAGACAAATCATCAAGCCACGCACACACACACATACGTTCAAGAAGAGATAATCTCTAAGTTAGTCACCATTCAAAACGGGGTTGCCGGCGGTTCGCGCAGGCGCATGCCGCCTCCCAAGAGTCACCTGCCCTCCGTCCTCCATAGCTAGGGAAGCGAAGACTCGAAGTCTATCTAAAGGTAGTGCCATTGAGAAGTCCTAATATGCTCTCCAGGTGAATAACAACATTTCTAGCATCTCAGAGTTGTGCTGAGGTGAATTTTCTTGATGTTGATTAAACAACAGCTGGATGGGAATTTTGTGATTGCAGGGTTGACAAAACATTGTAGGACCGCTATTACATCCATTATGGCAGTAAGTACGGAGTACATTCCATGCATTGGCCTGTGAAACCTCTTGCCATTGACTTCGAATAAGGGCTGACTATCTCAGCTTCTTGCACACAAATTCAGTGAAACCAAAATATCATGCATCCCGCAGCATCTAGCCCTTCTTGAAGACTTCAACCTCAGCAGTTCCGAGGGCACCCCCTTCACGTACCCATCCCTCGGCAGAGACAACATACTGCTTGTTACGATCCTGGACTTCAAAGTTGTTGGTCTTGGATCCCCAGGGGCAGTCCCAGTAGAGAGTGCAAACTGCCGCCTGCTCCTGCATCAACTGCAAAGCTCCTTCAGCTCCAGATGGGGAGTCCGATCGACCACAGGTGCAAAGGGTGTAGGTGGCATTTGGAGCAATCTCAGTGCTGTCGACATCGTCGGCTGAAATTTCTTCGTCTTTGTTGCCTTCCCTGTGGATCTTTCCGCTGCAGCCGGTAAGAGAAGACATAAGCATAAATGCATGCTTCATGTGCGAATTGGCGATTAACTTACTACATAAGTCTCAAATTGGCTATCTTAAGTGCCTTATTGGTGGAGTTGGTTATCTTGACGATAACCCACTGTTGGTATCCCATGGTTGCTGTGGATCTTGGGCTGGGTTGCAAATGAGCTACAAGACACAAACAAACAGGCTGATATGAGTATAGGGTCAAGAAATCATCCACGTACCTTGGTATGAGATATCGAATTCAAGCAGTTGGTAGGAATCTTCTGTCTTCTCTGTGTCTTGAGGAAAGAAGAGGCTGGCTATCGCTGGGGGATGGAGCTGTATTTAAGCCTGAACATATTTTTAACAGGTCCGAGTCCAACCGAGTTACGAGGGGTCTCTATTCAACTCGATCTATCTAGATCAAACACATCATAGTTGTCGAACCGGGCAGCAAACTGGGCGCATTGGTTCCCATTGAACCAACGGCTTGAGCAAAAGGAGCTGGGATATCGTTTCGGGTCTGCAAGAGAAGACTTTTATGAAATGTGCTGAGCGGGTATGGTTGCCACTTTTCGAGGATGGCCACTCAAATGTGCAGCGTTATGCTGCAGATCTGTGATGCAAGTGTGAGAGCACCTTGTATGCTTGTGAAGCGCTGCAACTACGGAGTTTAAAGATGAAAATACTCCGTAAACTTTTCGCGAATTGGAGAACATGCGTACATGCACATGACTGCCATGGATGGTAGCGGAAGCACAGACCATTGGGCCCGGGATATTGGCTGGCTGACCTGGATCCACCTAACCCCATTCGACCCGCGCATCTCAACGTTCATAAAAGTGGGATTCGAGATATCTAAATCTTGGGACATGCTATGGAGTAACGGGACATATCACCCGTGCAATACAGAGGATCCATCGAGACGGCTGATCTCAAGTGCTGAGGTCCTCGAAACCGAGTAGTGGACTTTTCTGCAAGGCATAATGACAGCAACAACAGGGTAGTTGAGGGACACGATATTGTCACTTCACAATTGGGTATCTTCACAGCATGCATTGCTCCACTGTGACAAGTATTACTGATGGCATGAGGTAGACTCAATGCAGCCAGGGGCTGCCTGATAAATGCCCGTGACAAAATGTGCAGGATAGCCATACTAGTTATTTTAGCCATGAACCCAAAGCAAGTTCAGTCCGGATGGAAATCTTCAGTGCAACACTTCTTGCTTTCAGTGCCTGCACATCTTCATAACCTTATGGAACTCCAAGGAGTAAGTCTGTCTCAATAAGGCGAAGTTGAAGCTTCCTCAAGTTAGAGATGACTATAAAAGCTTTTCCCTCCAAATGGGTCCCAAATTTGGCCAGCAATATTCAATCCAATATACTCTGAAGAATATTGGTTGACATTGCCTTCAACATTCTCCATTTTATAAAGTGTTCATCCAGAAACAACTTCATCATGCCTCAGCTTGTCCCCTTCACCCCCGATATGCAGCGAGGGCAAGGGTAGGCAGAATATGGACACATTATCAAAAGGCCAGATTGATTAATTCTCACTTCGAGTACTCCGTAGTTTCAACACCTTCTTCAAGAGCCCTGTGTCAGAGGTGCTGTCACAGTAACTTCCAGTGGCTCTGAATCCAAACAATTCAAGGCCGATTATGAGTCTAGTCTGATTGAAAGCTATGAGCAGTTATGTACTCCGTAGTACCAGCCTAAGGCGGACCGGACTAGATGATTGACTGAGGCTAACCGGAACAGAAAATTGGTGCAGTCCTTAGATATCAGCGCTGGTGCTGCTGTCAGTGGATGGGGCCAGAGTGCCAAAGTCGACGCTAAGTATTTGGACCGTACTGAGGTCTGAGAGTGACTCCGCACCTTAAGGTTGTCTCAATTGCACAGACTAATTCAATACGGAGTACGGAGTAAACAGTTCGAAAATAGTACTCCGACCTACCAGGTTAGAGTCAGTGTGCAGCAGCAAAGCTCAGTAGATAACGTCTACAAATTCAATAAGCTTAACAGTGGTAACCTTGCAAGCACATATGGAGACAGATTCATCGCCGGTATGGATGATCTACATGTGCTATTGTTATGCTAATGATAGGCTAAACTTTTAAGTAGATTTTATCCGAGGTGGATTATTCCTAGCTAGGGTATCAATTACCGTCAAAAATACATCTAGCAAGAAAGAAATATCCGAAGCGTAGCTTCCGGGGCCCGATCCCCCCCCCGTTGGAAATGGTGATGAGATTTACTACGTAAAGTGCCGAAGTTGCCTTCAATGCTTATGGTGCAGAAGGGAAAGTGACCAAAGATGTCAAGACCGCAGTCGAAAAGATACAAAAGAATTCACATGTCAGCATTAAGATTCATGAGATGACCGGTACTCAGTCTGAGGGTGGTCCTACTACCAAAACCGAAGCAGCAGGCTCAGACCTCGTCGCAGTGAAGGCCCGAGCAGATAGATTCTACGACGATGCTCACGCTAGAAAGCATACCTATATACGTTTGTGCGTATGGCTCTTGGCTGTCTTTCGCAATTGTCAACTTGGGGCTCTCACATCAAGGCTACAGTGCGATGCTCAGTCAATACACCCGTCTGCCGGATTTTGACCAATCTTGGTTTGTCCCTCTGGATTACTCGAAAGCGAATCTTCTAGTTTGACGTTGTTTCCAATCCCCCAGTTGGACGTGCACTGACTGCTATCGTTAGAGCTGGAGCCTCTTGGATGATTTCACGAAGTACTTGGCGACTGAGAAGATTGTCAAACAAAGTAATACAACCTACGTGTTAGACTTAGAGCGCCTCTAGCCTCTAAGGATTGATCCTTTTTGGCTCAGTTGGTTAGTTCAACACTATGTTTGATCTACGGAGTACTCCGTGCTGTATGCGTTCAATGACTGGATTATTTACATCTGGGTTTCGATGATAGTTCCTCTTGAAAAATTCAAGCAAGGTTTGCCACAGAAGGAAGAACTTGAACGTCAACGAATCGAAGAGGTCGACAAGATTAAACAGAGGGTACTTATGCAGCCACGATTAAAATCTCTTCGACAGTAACGTTGACAACTACTTCAGGCGCTCGATATTAGTAAAAAGCCGGACACTGCTACTGCTCCACCAACACATACACGCCCAGAAACTTTCAGGTTCCAAGTTTATGTTCGTGCCGAATCCCCGAAGAAGAACTAATGACATTTATCTGATTTCGTTCCTAGGAGGCCATCAAGACAGTTATATATATCGTTCAGAGTATTCCCAAGCCAGATTATAACTGGACCGATAGTGAGTATCATAAGCATTTAAGACCATTCAACTGGCACTAATGTGATGATTCTACACAGCAATCGATAAGTATTTAGCTTCAAATCCAGGTATACGATTTTGATCAAGTTCTTGGCACCACTGTTGTTTCTTTTGGCAAACATCGAAGAAGCGATGAATACCATTGTCTTATCGGCGAACGTTTATAGAACTACAACGATTGGAAGGAAGAGAGTCATTTCTGGGTCTTTTCCGAGGCTATCCATGGAGTAGCCGATATGGCCATTCTTGCATACGGCACAAGAGCGAAGAGATATCTCCGCCTGCAGGAGGGCGATCCCAGTGATTTGAGCCAGGTCAGCGGAAGGCCCTTTTTCTACTTTCATACAGCGTTCGACCCTGCGGCGGGGTCCTATTGAAGGTGATAGAGCCCAGAGATATAATAGTGACAATGTTAAGCACATTGCTAGATCCTTTTCTTTATGGAACACCGTCATATTTCTCAGTTGCCAGTCATCAATTTGCACACTCCGCGGCCTCGGAATAAGATGGACGACATGCGCCATGAACCTACTCCGTACACAGACTTGTTTCAAGAAGGTGGGGGGGGGGGGGGGGGGGGGGGGGGAAGTAAAGATAAAATACTCCGTAAATAACTGCGCGTTTTCGGATATGGAGTGAATTACAGACTAGCTACGGAGTACTCCGTGGTGGTTAATCAATCATTGGGTATTTTGAGGATCAGTGAGGAGTATGATTCCAGCGATCCTCCTTTTCCAGCGGCATGCTACTTATGCATAGCCGGTCACATCCTTGATTGAATTATAACAACTTCGCAAGCCACGGATCCGCATTGCAAATTCCGCAGGATGAGCTTCCCTCAGAACGGATACTCCATCCTCTGTGAATACGATCGGCCCGAGTAAGGCGAGTGGGGACCTCAACCGCTTGTCATTTCATTCCTGGCTTGTTCACTAGTTAACTAGTTAATTAACTAACTTAGCGTGCATATCCAGGACCGGACTGAAAAAAGGAGTATTGTACGGAGTGCTCTGCACTCTGTACTCCGTATCTGGAAGTTTGTGATGATCGCTCTATGCAAGAGTCAATGAGTAATAGAGTAGTTCTTGGTATTCCGTACGGAGTACTCCGTACATCAATGCCATTATGATGGATGGCAATGTAGTGGCGCACCTGGGGCGGGACCACCGCTTGGCTGCGGTCTTCAAAGATAAAAGTCGTTGCTCGCCCTGCAGAACTTCTGTACTGAGCTCCATTCTCCGGACACAGATTTATACTGTGTTCAAAATCGAATTGAAATACTCTGTGGTTCGACTGGCACCCAGCCTCCTCCCGCAATTGCTCCTTTGCCATGGTTTCTCTATCTTTGCTCTTATGTTCGGCCTTAGCCGGCCTTTTGCATGTGGCAAGCTGCATCGACGTGCCCGACCAGGCTCCATTGACGGGTGACGAATGCAAATGCAAGCCGACGAGTCCTAAGCCGGTCTACGCCATCGCCCACCGAGTATTAACAGAGGAAGGCATCCAGGCTGCTATTGCCCATGGCGCCAATGCGATTGAAATCGACATGACCGCTTGGAAATCCGGCTGGTGGGCAGATCACGATGGCTTACCCACCAGCGGCAATGTCACCGCCAAAGCTATGTTTCGCGAGGTTGCTCGGCTCCGTGAAGACGGTGCACACCTGTCGTTTGTCTGGCTGGACATCAAGAATCCCGACTGGGCTATCAGCGGCCGCTCCTCGGTCGCATATCTCCGAAAACTCGCCCGTGAGTATTTAGAGCCTGCTGGGGTGCGTGTGCTCTATGGATTCTCCAACCCTCGAAACAGCTGGGGCTTCAAGGAGATTCGCAATTTCTTGAATGCAAATGAATCGGTGAGCGTGTGGATGGACTCGGGTGATGCCAAGAAGATCTATGCCGGTGTTGGTAGAAGCATCCCGGTTGCCCAGAGAGTGGTGGATAACGGGCTATTCTCTTTATTCTGGAAACCATATATCTTCGATGATCTCCGTCGAAGCTCTGAGGCTCGAGATTGTTGCACGGTAGGAAAGGCGTTTGGATGGACGATACTCGCTGGACAAGACAGATACGTTGATAAGCTGCTGGGATATTCGGGAGTGGATGGCCTCATCTACGGTACTATGGCCAATGCATACGAAGACTCGGAAGATACCCGTGCAGCGGCTGCGCTGATTTCCAACTGGATCAAGAACCATCCTGATACTCATCGCGTACCGACACAGGATGACAAGCCCTGGTGATGAAGGCAATCCCAGCAAGGTTGTTAACTAGTCAAGCGCGTGTTAGCAATGGAGAAGCAGAAGAACATTCACACAGATTTTCTATTGCTCAGTAACTGCACCTACTCCTCCTCCGTACGTACGCCTCAAGTACTCCGTGATGCATCTCTCCACCCGCCGGTGTCAACCACAGTCAGGCACCCGGGAAGGCCTCCGATGGGCTCCATGCCCAATCGGATATCCGCGGCGGGAAGCACTCGGCGGAATCGCCCTCGGAGAAGCGCCTGTTCTGCCGGTCTGGGCAGGGCAGAGCAGAGAGCAAGATCGGGATCGCGTGCTCGCAAGCAGAGTTACGGTGGTGGCTTGTCGGGAAATTCTGCTGCAAACCTTAAAAAAAAAAATCGACGGGAAAAAGGCGACAAGGCCCAAAGAGTCTCTCCTTGTTTCTTCCCCCGCCGCCACGCCCTTTCGCCGACCAACCTCTCCGCACTCGCTCCTGTACATGCATTCTGATAGAACTGGATCACAGCACGCTTGACCATATATATATATATATATCTTGCCCTCAGGGAATCATACATACTGTGTATAGTATTTTGTTCTGCGTATCCCGCCCGTGACTCATCCTTCGATTTTATTTCTCCCCGTTGCACGGTTACCCCGCCGGAAGTTTTGAGATAAAGAAGAACAAGCTTTGCTCGTTCCCTCGCTCCGGAATAATAGAGACGCTCTCCTTTCGATAGACAGATATCCCCAGCCCAATTTCGTTCTAACCTCTCCCCACAATGGCCTCCGAGCAGCCCCAGGTCCCCGCCAACGGCAACTCCGCCCCGACCGACTTCGCCGTCAAGGCCGGATTGGCGCAGATGTTGAAGGGAGGAGTTATCATGGACGTCGTCAATGCGGAGCAGGTGTGTATCCTCCCTCAATGAGAACACTATCCCGATCCAATTCGTCTGGAATGACCAAGTTCTGATGAGGCTATCCCTTCGTACAGGCCCGCATCGCTGAAGAAGCCGGTGCCTGCGCCGTCATGGCCCTCGAGCGTGTCCCGGCAGATATCCGCGCCCAAGGTGGCGTCGCACGCATGTCCGACCCCTCCATGATTAAAGAAATCATGAACGCAGTCACCATCCCCGTCATGGCCAAGGCCAGAATAGGCCACTTCGTCGAGTGCCAGGTAAAACCCCCCTCCTCCCCCCCCCCCCTCCTCCAATATACCCGCAACCGAATCAGACCAAAACTGACCTCCACAGATCCTCGAGGCAATTGGTATCGACTACATCGATGAATCCGAAGTCCTCACCCCTGCCGACCACCTCTACCACGTCATCAAGCACCCGTTCAAGGCCCCCTTCGTCTGCGGCTGCCGCAACCTCGGCGAAGCCCTCCGCCGCATCCAAGAAGGCGCCGCCATGATCCGCACCAAGGGTGAGGCCGGAACCGGCGACGTCGTCGAGGCCGTCAAGCACATGCGCACCGTCAACAGCGAGATCGCCCGCGCCCGGTCGATCCTCACCTCCTCGACGAACCCCGAGGTCGAGCTGCGCGCGTACGCCCGCGAGCTGGAGTGCTCGTATGAACTGCTGAAGGAGACGGCGGAGAAGGGACGCTTGCCAGTGGTGAATTTCGCCGCGGGAGGTGTTGCTACCCCCGCCGACGCCGCCCTCATGATGCAGCTGGGCTGTGATGGTGTCTTTGTCGGTTCGGGTATCTTCAAGTCCGGTGACCCCAGAAAGAGGGCTCGCGCCATCGTGCAGGCCGTGACTCACTACAATGATGCCAAGAAGCTTGCGGAGCTCAGTGAGAACCTGGGTGAAGCCATGGTTGGCATCAGCGTGCAGGAGATGAGCGACAAGGAGAAATTGGCGAAGAGAGGGTGGTGAGAGTCTCGGTCGCCTCTCGACCACCCCAACCCGCTAGGAAATCCTGTCTGCTCAGTCCACATCTCTGACCCCTGATCTCACTTGACATATATATAGTTATGAGTGGCAGGAATTTTATTGGCATGTATTTTCAAGCGTAATATGTGCATGTATGTACAGATGTTAAGCTCATTTGGATATCCCGCCATGGCCAATTGGAAACAAAAGGAAGTAGTTAAATCTTTACGCGAAGCTATTTTCAACGTAAAAAACAATTCTTTTCGGTTTTTTTTTTCTGATTCAAAAGTAGAAAAGAAGAAAGGAAACATAACCCTCCCACATCTCGTCACTCCATTTACCAATTCACACCTAGCACCATCCCAAACCGAATACTCTACGGGTCACTCCGCAATATCTTCGAAAAGGGACTTCTCCAATCCTGGATGGAAAGTACGGAGCTTTTTATGTTCCCAGCAAATCAGGCATACGCAAAGCCCTTCCCCCGACACGAAACCCAAAATTCCCGAACCAGATTATTCGTTGCGCGCGATCCTCTAACAGCGAAAATCGACGCTAGGAACCTTGCCCGCTCAGACTTAGATACACCAGAATCGGCGTTGTGGTTATTGCCCGGCTGGCCTGCCGGGCCTCCAGCAGCTTCGTTCGAGCTCGCATCCAGCGACACAAGCGCGTTGCCCAGGTGCATCTTCGCAGCACCAGGGTGCTGAAAGGCAAATTTCTTGATAACCTCGCTGAAGTGATCAAGTTCGGACCGGGCGCATTTCCCGGCGATCTGGCTTATCACAACATCGCCCAGCTGCGCCAGATATGCGTCGAATGGTTTTGCCGTGGCGGTTTGTTCCTGTCCTTTGTAAAGGCCGTCAGGGGTAAAAGCAGGGGGCAGGTCGTGTAACCCCAGCAATGTTGTCCAAAAGGAGCATGCTGCACGCAGAGGAAGCGTATCCGGGCCTTTGAGTGTAACGAGCGTAAAGTGCAGAATAGCCTGGACTACTTCAGGCTTGTCTTGAGGCGCCTCGATAAGGCTGAAGAACGATCGGCTGTATTTTGGAAGAGACCGTGTTAGAAAGTCAATGCAGCTATGGGCCACCTCTGGATCATATTGCACCGGGTCCTGCGCCATCCGGACCATGAGGTTGTAACAATGAACTATGAGCTCAACAACTTCGTTGTGAATTTGTGCTGGGTTTGTCGCCCTTGAGGCTAGAAAAGCAGATGCGGTTCCCATAACAACAGGAAATCGTGTAGAGGTCATGTCAACTGCTTTCACAAAGCGTACAGTCACTTCAGGGGGAAGTACGTAAGGCCCTGGCGACTTCTCTGTGTAACCCGCTTTTAGGACGTCGCATGCACCTTCAATAATATCTCCATCGGCACAGAACTCGTTTACAAGATGCTCCAGAATTTGTATAATAAGCGACTGAAGCGAAGTCGCACGAGGATCACCTGTCCAGAAGTCGCTTCCGGCAGAACGATCTGGGCTCTCCTCATCGAGGTTAATACAAAACTCTTCCGGAGCTCGCAATCCCTTGCCGATGCTTGCCGTACAACCCATTACCCTTAAGCCACTCGCAAGACCTGCTTCATGCTGGCCGGTCCGCGAGATGTCTCTGGCCTGCTTTCCTTCTTGGCACAGGGGGTCGAGCAACTTCAGGAGCAAGTTTGCCTTGCCAAGTTCAGAACCGACGGCCTGGATCACCGAAGCGATGCCTTCCACAACTCGCTCCAGGGTATGGCCGTTTGTGGACGGATTGGCATGAAGCTGAGCGAACTTGCTGATAAATTCTTCGACATATATCGTTAAGGGCTGACGACAAGTCCCGCATAAACTCGAAATTGACTTTGCAGCTGCTTGCTCAGAACTGGGCATTCCCAGTGAACTAAACAAGAAATTCAACACCGGTGCAAGGAGGTTGTGGTTCCTTTCAAAATATGGCGTATATTTCGCAATCATATCAGAGAGCGTCTGGCGAGTTTTCAACGGAATGTCCGTTCGACCAAAGCATATAGCATCAAAAAGCTCGGAGTGAAATAGCGCATGCAACAGATCGTCGGCATGCTTATTCTCGGCAATCGTATCCGCCAAAGATGCCAGGCAAAACATAGCAACTTCAAATCTTTCCCAGTCATGGTCGCGTATCGCCACAGCAGCTCGCTCTTGGATTTGCTGAATCATGGGAACGCCCAAAAGTGGATAGGTAGCCAACAGAAAGTCACTAAAATCCCGTCGAAAAGTATTAAAGATTTTGACATCGTCGTCCTCCCATTCGCTCAGAACCGACGGGTTGGGATACCTAAATTTATCAAAACATTCCGCAATAACACGGGTAAAGTTTTCCTTGACCGAGAGAGTCGGTTCGTCAAAGGCGCCCTCCATAATTAATTCGCTTATATTATCGGCAGCTTCGGTCCAAAATTCAAGTAGAAGATTACTTGCCATGTCCTCAACTGCACCGACACCAGGCGCATGGAACAGTTTAAATAGTAAAAACAGTATGCGTTCATGTTTCTCGTCAGGGGAGTGAGTCAAGACTCGTATCTGAGTCTCTGACGAAGCGAAGCTGAGGAGCAATTCCAAAAATCGCATTTGATCATCTTCGAACTCCCCATTTAAGATGGCCATTGCGTATTGTTCTCCATCTGACCCAATTAAGAAATCCATGATACCGGTAAAATGATCCGGCGTGAGTAACTTTGGTTGACTTAGAATAATATCAGTAAGCAGTTCCATTGTGTTCGGGGCGAGGCGAGGCTCGGAGAGGAACCGGATCGCACAGGATATTGGAACATTGACTGCGGAAGAGAGAGCCCCTCTGTCGACGCGGACGCTGCGCATTGCAGTAATCCAAGCCTTTTACTGATGGTTAGCGAGGCAAATAGCATAGATGAACACTGTCAATTTACCTGTAGGGATGAGATGGCCTCTTGCGCCGTATTTGTTGGCTGATCAGATGAAGCATTGTTTGCTGAAGCTTGTGCATTATTAATAGCACGCTGGAAGGAATAATTAATCAGAAAAAAGGCATCATTCATGTTTGCCGTGAGTCGATCCTGATAGCCAGAGCTGTAATATCGTTAGAAATAAGACGCAGATCTACAAAAGACGACATGGAGACGGACCTGTTTTGAGCATGTCGGACAGATTCTTCGGCGAGTGTGGTTGAAAAGGACATGACCGCCAGGAGGCGGTCATAATTGAGTGAAGGTAGGACGAGGGTTTGGAAACTTTGCAGGTCAGCTTGCTCCTCTGGCAAATATTTCCCGTTCGCTAATGAAATGGCAACGTGTCGTATGCAGTGTGTCCATGGAGCTTGGGGCTTGAAGAACATTGCAGTCATGCTTGTGATGAATTTTCTCATGACTACTGACGTTTCATTCTTGTTGACTAAAAGCAGAAAACAATCCACCAGGCGGATGAGCAGATCCCTGACCATTTGCTCTCCAAGGTTGGCCCTGCACCTCAGGTTAGACTCCGCGAGGAGGATACCGCGCTTGAAAGCTTACCAGTCCTGGTGAATCTTCATGGTCAATGTAAGAGCGCCATAAAATCGGACGTTTGCATCTTCGCTTCCAAGTAGGCTATCCGCAATAGCCCAGCCCGCAGCAGATTTCTGCAGGGTCTGCAGACGAGCTTGGGCAGTCTGTACAAAGCTAGCGTTCCCAGGGGCACTCAGAACTTGAGCAAGCTGGCAGAATATGTTAATGAATAGTCCGCACAATAAAGAAAGAGATAAGGGGATAGCCTGAATTTGCAAACTGACCTCCGTAGCCTCGCGAATAAGCTGCGGGGCATCTCCTTGCTTCTCCATGGCTGCGCGATACAAGCACAGAGACTTGAGAACGGGATTTTATTTTATTTTATTTTATTTTTTTTTTCTTTTTCTTTTTTCTTTCTTCTTTTCTTTTCCTTTTTTTTTAAGTAGTTGCACGATTGGGTCTGGAGCGGGTGTTACAGAGATGCAGCAGTTTAGCGTGCGATACTCTTCTTCACCCAGCAAAACCGCGGTTCTGGCCAAGAGAAGGAAAGCAAGAGGCGCAGTACTATCACATCAAGTACTGGCAAAGTTTGATAGAGAGAGTGCACAGGAAAGAGCACCCAGAGCTAGGGTCCAGCGGGCAGATTGGAAGATTCAAGCAGCAAGGAGAATAGGGGAATGTGCGCAGGGCCGGCAAAAGAAAGGTGAAGGTAGAGCAGCGGCAGGATGTTGGTTCCTCTGGACAACAGTCACTGTATAATCTTTGTTTCTTCTTCAGCGGCCAAACTGATTCCATTTCCCAGCGGATGGCTTTGCCTGTCTGGCTTTCTTTTTCTTTTCTTTTCTTTTCTTTTCTTTTCTTTTTTTTTTTTTTTTTCCTTTTTTACTATATAGGGTGTTATTGTGAGAATATCCAGGATATCAAACTTGATGCTTGCGGGGGACAGGAGGCAAAAAGTGCGCATTCATTCAATTCATTTCATCCCACAAACCAACTCCAGCAAGCATCGGGCCTAGATCTTCTTCTGTTTGGCGAGAACGCAAATCACATGAACCAATCCAAACTTCAGATCTGTCAGACAAATCTGACGTTACTGTGGAGATACAAAAAAAGGAATAAAATGGACTTTCTCTCATGGACCGGCATGATGGCGCGTGGGCGGGTGTTGGTTGGCAGCAGCAGAAAGCGGCAAACCGGGGGGGCGCGCTTTGGATGGTTCGCAGGCCGCTTTTGGTGCCTGTGCGCGCGAGACACACAGAGTGACAGAGCGACAGAGAGACAGAGAGAGAGAGAGAGAGTGTGTGTGTGTGCCTGCAGCGAGGGCCGCTTGCGTTCGGGCGGCGTTCAGGGCTGGGCTTGGCGGTGGTCCCGTGACCCATTCGTCATCGTCAATGCAGTTAACTTCCGGCGCCGCTCGCCCAACTGGTAAGCGAGTTGATGTCAACGTCATGGTGAAGACCTCAGCAGCCAAGCCAGAAGCCCCTTCACGCGCTGTAGTTAGCTAGTGTAGACAGACAGAGAGAAAAGGAGAGCAAAGGAGATACAGAGAGAAACAGGGAGAAGGAGGAAGACCGTCAGTTCCCACCCTCCCGTCATCGCGGTTTGTGCTGTTCCACCCGATCCAACGCAGAAACATCCCGGGCGCGCGCGAAGGTTCCTTGCCTACCCGCTGCCAACCCCCTCACCGTCCCTCACCGTCCTGCTCCCCGCTCACTCCTCGCCGTATATCTGTAGATGACCCTCTTCCGTTCCTCTCTGCGTCTCCGTCTCCCGGTCACACTCCTCTCCCCACCTCCAATCCACAAACACAGCCGACTTTTCTCTGCAAGCCACCGATTGTTTACCGCCGCCGAGATGCCAGTGGACACGTCGCAGCGTTTGGCGAAGCTGAGGGAGTTGATGAAGGAGCGGCATGTTGATGTGTACCGTATGCTATGAGGTTGCCCCGCTCCATCTATCTCCCTGTTGTTTAAAAAGAGAGAGAAAAAAAAAAAAAAAAAAAAAAAAAAAAAAAAGAGTCCGGTTTCTCACGTTTTTCTATCCTCAAAAAACAGTCATCCCATCCGAAGACAGCCATCAGTCAGAATACATTGCACCATGCGACGCTCGTCGAGGTTAGACCCGGCCCTCGCCCTCTTTGAAGATACCAGAATTGCTCATCACATCCTGTCCCAGCATTCATCTCCGGCTTTACCGGTTCTGCAGGATGTGCCATCGTCTCCATGTCCAAGGCTGCCCTCTCCACCGATGGGAGATACTTCAACCAAGCCGCCAAACAGCTCGATGAGAATTGGCTCCTGCTAAAGCGTGGAATGGAAAACGTCCCCACCTGGCAAGAATGGTATGGCTGCTTTACATGTCTATGTCCTACAGTAAAATTGACAACTGATCTGTTTCTAGGACCGCTGAACAGGCAGAAGGAGGCAAAGTTGTCGGCGTTGACCCGTCGCTCATTACAGCGGGTAAGGAGAGGAATCGATCTCGAATCCAGCCATTGTTTAGTATTGACCATTGCAGCCGAGGCACGCAAGCTTTCTGATACGATCAAAAACACCGGTGGATCCCTCGTTGGTGTCCCAGACAACTTGGTTGATCTTGTATGGGGAGGAGACCGACCCGCCCGCCCAAGGGAGAAGGTCATGGTCCATCCTATAGAGTTCGCTGGGCAGTCATTCGAAGAGAAGATCACAGACTTGCGAAAGGAGCTCACCAAGAAGAAGAGGGCCGGCATGGTCATATGTGCGAAAACCATTCCAACCTAGCACCGTTGGGCCTTTGAACTAACTTTCACTCGCAGCGATGCTTGATGAGATTGCGTGGCTTTACAACTTGCGAGGCGCTGAGTACGACCGTCCCGGTCCTCTGAGTCTCTTGAGCGATTCTAACCTGCTCTTGTAGTATCCCATTCAACCCCGTCTTTTTCGCATACGCAATCGTTACTCATTCCACGGCCGAGCTCTTTGTTGATGAAGCTAAATTGACCCAAGCGGTCAAGGAGCACCTTGGGGATAAAGTCGCTTTGCGACCTTACGAATCCATCTTTGAGTCCCTAAAACTGCTCAGCCAGGCAGCGGCCAGCAACGGTGATGAAGGCCACCAGAAATTCCTGCTGTCTGACAAGGCTTCCTGGTCTCTTAACCTGGCTCTGGGAGGGGAGGAGAAGGTCGAAGAGGTCCGGAGTCCCATCGCCGATGCCAAGGCCGTCAAGAATGCCGTCGAGCTCGAAGGAACGAGGGCATGCCATATCCGTGATGGAGCCGCTCTGACGGAGTACTTTGCCTGGCTTGAGAACGAGCTGATTAACAAAAAGACTGTGCTCAACGAGGTTGATGCCTCTGATAAATTGGCACAAATCCGCTCCAAGCATAAGGATTTTGTCGGCCTCTCCTTTGACACCATCTCCTCTACCGGACCAAATGCTGCTATCATCCACTACCGAGCCGAGAGGGGTAATTGCCCAAATATTGACCCCAATGCTGTTTATCTTTGCGATTCAGGTGCGCAGTACCTCGATGGGACAACTGACACCACCCGCACTCTTCACTTCGGCAAGCCAACGGAGATGGAGAAGAAGGCATATACGCTCGTCCTCAAGGGTCTGATCAGCATCGATACTGCTGTTTTCCCCAAGGGCACCACCGGATATGCGATAGATGCTTTCGCCAGGCAGCATCTGTGGCGGAATGGATTGGACTATCTGCACGGTACTGGCCACGGAGTTGGCTCATACCTGGTGAGCATTTTTTTTGGCTCCCACTCATAAAAACTCTCTTCTTCAAGTTCATGCTTACTCATTTGATAGAATGTCCATGAGGGACCAATGGGCATTGGCACGCGAGTCCAGTATGCAGAAACTCCCATCACCGCGGGCAACGTCTTATCTGATGGTAAGTCCTTTTTCTGTATTGGCTCGATGCTACGTTTGGCTCACTGTCGTGCAGAACCTGGTTACTACGAAGATGGCAATTTCGGCATCCGAATTGAAAGTATGATACCTAATTCCCCCCCCTTTTTTTTTTTTTTCTTTTTTTTCTTTTTCAAAATCAGCTCTAACAGTGGTTTTAGATATCGTTGTGGCCAAGGAGGTCAAAACCCCGCATAAGTTCGGGGATAAGCCATGGATTGGATTCGAGCATGTCACTATGACACCTCTCTGTCAAAACTTGATGGACACTTCTTTGCTGACGGCAGAGGAGAAGAAGTGGGTGAATGACTACCACACTGAAGTCTGGGAGAAGACCAAGGGATTCTTCAACAACGATGAGTTGACAAGGAATTGGCTGAAGCGGGAGACACAGCCGATTTAAAAAAAGAAAAAAGGGAAAAAATCCTCTCAATGTGATGTTGATAGATGTCTGAATCATGAGGGTAGTTAACATTCTAGTATTAGTTATTGAATGTAAATCAATATATAATTATATTCCATTGCAATTAAATTGTTTACTCTGCGATACATACCACACGCGGTGAAGTTTTGTGATGAAAACGGATGCCTAGGATCAAAGGAAGTTCTTAGAGTGGCATGCACGATATTTAAAATGAATACTCTGTATCTCAGGCATCTAACATCGCCCTTGTAAAGTCTCTTGGATATCAGCACCATTGAATTTGGTGCACTCATTGTAGGCTCTCTTGATCAGCTTCCCGACTCCGAACTGAAACGATCCTCGACCCATCTTCGCAAACAAGCAACATCTCCGACGTCACAAGCTAACTAACTAAACTTCCAACACACCCATTCCGCAGACCACACGATTGACAAAAAAACAAACAACACCACACACACCCACCCGCATCCAGACCCATCATGGTCAAACCCCCCGCCGAATCCAAGCCGACCACAGCTACCATTCCCCAGGGAGATCTCCATCTCCGCAGTCTGGCATGAACTCCCGCAACGGCTTTCCCAACTCCGGCCCCAGCCCCTCCGATCGAAACTATGCGTCTTCGAGGAAGTTGGAAAACCCGGCGATCAATCCGCTAGTTACGAACAATGGCTATGGCCCTTCGGGCTCGCGAGAGCGTAGGCCCGGCGGGTACGGAGGGCTCTACGATACGCAGCCGTCCGAGCCGCTGGAGAGGGAGCGCCGGACGCCCTCCTCGTCGCGCTCGCGGGCAAGGTCGCGGGCCAGGGATGATGGGCGATTTGGTGGAGGGCAGGGCGGTCGGCATGATGATGGAGGACAGTATGGAGGAGTGAGAGGCCAGACGCCGGTGGGTTCGGGGCGGAGTCACCAGGTTGATGGTTGGTGAAAAAGGCTTTTTCTATACTGTTGTTTTATTGTCCTTTGACAAAACACATGGGTTGAGGGACCACTTCGTGGCTAACAGGCACTTGCTATCTACAGATATTATTCGTCTTATCCATCAGGAATGGGATGTCATGTCCAGCGACGACTGTATACCAGTCCAGATTGGGCTTCAGTTGATGGACAGCAGCACCCTCGGCCAGGCGGACAGAGAACCAGACTTTGTACGAGCGCATAAGGGTTTAAAGAAGGCTCTGAAGGCTATTGTCAATGGTTGGTTATATATCCTTGTTTTCCATCGCTTCTTGGGGTCCATCTTGACTTTGAACAGAACATCATCAGGGGTTTAGCGGCGCGATTGGCACCTATCACAGCATTCAATCTAGCATCCAAAACTCTCAAGGCCGGCTTCGATCGTTAAAGTCTACACTCGCAGAAGCTAGATCGGGATTGCTCACGACGAAACCGGAACTCCAAGGCCTAGCAACGGCTGCACAAAGCTATGATGATTTGTTGCAATTGCTGAACCAAATAGAACATATACAATCCCTTCCGGAGACGCTCGAAGCACGAATATCAGAGAAACGATTTATAGCCGCTGTGGGTGTTCTGAAGGAAGCAATGGATCTAGTACATCGCCCAGAATTCGAGAATATTGGCGGGCTCGGAGACTTGCGAACTTATTTTGCCAACCAAGAGACATCGTTGATGGATATTCTCATTGAGGAGCTACACGATCACCTGTACCTCAAATCCCCGTATTGCCAGGACCGCTGGAAGACACCCGCGGAGGATGGAATGGGTGGCGCGAGTACCCCGCGTGGAATCGCTACTTGGGATAAGCCAGTGTATAAGTTCTTGTCAAACCTCAATGTGACTACGCCCCTCGTTGACGATACATCCAATAACCCGGAAGCCGATACATTTTCCTATATCCATTTGATTATCGAAACTCTCCACAAGATGGGAAATATGGAAGCTATGGTTGACCGTATCGAACAGAGGCTCCCCGTTGAACTCTACGCTGTCGTTGACAAAACAAGTGCCGAAATAGCCGCCCGGTATCAGGATTCTACTCGCAGGGTGCAGAAAGATGCTCATGCCCCTGATAGGCCTCTGGATGTTATTGAGGAGCGTGGCCATATCCTTTCCGAATTTTTGTGGGGTTTGTATGCAAAATTTGAGGCGATCGCTGAGGGACATCGTGTCGTTCACGACATCGTCGTAGGAATTGCCAAGAGGGAAGGTAACCAGAAAGAGACATTAAAGAATGGCTTCAAGGAGCTATGGAAGTTGTACCAGAGTGAGGTGCGAAAAACTCTTAGCACCATCTTATATATTGGCTGCTAATGCTATGCTCAGATACGCTCTCTGCTACATGACTATCTTGCCACAGACGGGGCCTCCACATTCAGAACTGCTCCCGGCGCGGCAGAGGATCGATATTCCTCGATCCAACGAGACAAATCCAAAGCAAGTCGCCCAGGCCTTTTATCCGCTATAGCGAAAAGCTAACAAAGGTTCTAGAAATTATTCAAGTTGTCCGAAATCGACCAGAACTCAGCCGATATCAAAACTGAACAAGCTGACTTGGACGAAATCTTGCGATCATCCGTGCCCGGTCTCGTATCCAAATCGCGGCAAAAGCTTTCATCTAGCGGCCCAACTCGTTCCGATCAAGAAAGCTCAGGGACGGGCCATAAATTGCTTATCGAACCCAATGTCTTTAACATTAGCCTACTCCTACCTCCAGCTCTGTCCTTCATCCAACGCCTCACAGACATCGTTCCGATTGATTCGGATATCGATGTTAACAAGCTGACTACGTCTTTGGACGATTTCATGACACATGTCTTCCAGCCACAACTAGAGGAGGCTGTGACAGAATTATGTGCCATGTGTTTTATTGCAGCGGACGCATATATGGAGGATCCGCAATGGAGCTTGCACTCGACAAAGCCAATATTCAAGGTATAGGCTTTTGTTTAGGGCTTTTTGCTTTTTTCTTTTTGGATGCAGTCACTGATAATTTCAGGGAACAATCACCTTCATGGACCTTATCAGGAGGTTTAGCCGGGTCTTGGATAGTATTCCTCATGATCAAGCTTTCACACAATTGTTGATCGGCCAAATGGTCACGTACTATGAGAAATGCTGCGGCTGGTATAAAGGTAATATCTCTTTGTTCCCTTCATAAATTTGGGGTCTTCTCTCTAATAAGCAAACAATAGCTCTTGTGAGCCGAATGTCTTCCCTTTACCCAGGTGGCATCCGATTGAAAGCTTCGGCAGCATATGCAGAGGCTGAGGACACCCGCAGCATCGCGACGCAGCTTTGGGAGAGCCATGTGAGTGAGCGACAGGAGCTCATGAACAAGGTAAGCTCGCATGTGTTCATTTACCCCTTTTTTTAGCCCTGCACTAATCTCGACCAGGAAATTGATCTATTGATCAACCGGACAAATAATACATCCTTAGAACCGTACGATATTGTTTCAGACCCAAAAACAGTTTATTCAGTTTCATTGCTCTATAACAGCATGGTAAGCTTTTCATGCTCTCTCAACTTTTCGGGGACTAATGGCGTCCCTTTAGAATTGGCTTGTAAGCAGCCTGTCGAAACTGCGACATATTACGCCATATACGGCCGATTCTTCTCGAGGACACTCAAGGCAGCTCTCAGGTGGCCGTCGATGGACATTTTCAAAAACAAGATCTGAACTCTGGGCCCAATCTCCTCGTTTACCTATGACCGAAGAATCGGTTAAGGGCTTTGATACAACTCTTGAATCGATCAAAAGTCTGGCAATCACCGCTCTCTTGACACTCCATCTGGACATCCGATGCGGAGCGATTCACATGGTCACCCGCAGTCTAAAAGGCGGCATGAGCTCCCAGCGAACAGAAGCCACGCCATCAACTCCTGTATCCTCGACGGACAACAATTGGACCCACATTCTCTCGGCGCAGCCGACTTCTGCATCTCCTGCCATCCTTGAGCTCAACAACGACCTTATTTCTTTCGACGCCAGTATAACCACTTATTTAGGGCCCAGAGAACATTTCTTCATCACCTCCGGCCTCGCGAATTTGATAGACCGAGCATTCGTCTCTGGCACCCGATTCATCGGTGCAATGAACGTCAATGGTGCCCAGAGACTTCAACTGGACGTCCTCGTCCTGCAGCAGAATCTTAAAAATATAATCGTACCCCCACCCCAACCCGCAGCCAAGTCGACACCCAAATCGCCGTCTTCCGAACAAAAAATCAACGCCGTCATCCAGGAAACTGTTGCCCTTCCACGTAGCGCTAAGTTCCTTGACTGGTTCTTAGAAGGCCCGGATAAAGCCGTGCAACACGCCAAAGAGGAAAAAGAAGCCTTTAGGCGCGGAGATGTTCAAGCCATGGAGGCCGGGAACGGCGAGCCGTTTACGTACGATGAGTTAAAGGTGCTGGTCGAGCTGTGCTTTTCTGCAGTACTCAAGGGGCCAAGGGGAACAGAGAGCCGAGAAGACTTTTTGGCTGCGAAGAGGGGAAGTGGGGATGCATTGTTGCGACTGAGCGAGGTTATGTGGGATTCTTAGTTTCTGCGAAGGATTTGAGCGCGTTATTTTTCTTTTCCTTGTTCCCAGGCATTTCTTTTGATTCACCTCGATGAAAGGTGTTTTGATACTCCGTACTCGCTACATATGTGTTGCATTTCCTTTCCCCCTCTCCTTCACAGCCGAAAGCAATAGCTTCACTTGTTATGCTGCATTTATCCGCTATGATCTACAGAGTACAGTTTCCCCTCCCCCTTCCTTTTTTTTTTCAAAAAAAAAATTTTTTTTTCCAATCAACACAATGAGAATCTTGCCGTGCAATTTGTTCTATAGGCCGCGCTATTCGTATCGCTGTATAATTACCCAGCCAGGGCCCAAAATCTACATTTCAAAACCAGCTTGGTCTATTTTTCGTTTTTATCCGAGTAGATATTCTCGAGTTCAGAATCATATCACACCAGAAGAAACCAATTTATAATTAACTACTTGTTCAAAAGCAACAATTCAAAAAATTCCGATACCCTTGTCGAGTAACAAGTCAGTCCAGAATACCAGCGCTTGCAGATGCATAGGAGCGGCAAATCGCGATCCGCGCGCCCGGGAACTCCGCCACCGGGAGCGGGATCTACGAGACGAGCCGCATCTCCGCCGGTTCTTCTCCACGTTCCCGGGTTCGGGCCATCTCACCTGATATCACCTGACAGATCTTGGGTGCCAGGGATGTAGGTAGGATTCTCGTTCACCGTCGATATCCCAGTTCACCATTTAGGCCCATGCAGCCGCAGGACTACATTGCTTTTTACTGACGGAGCTGCTTTTTTTATAGATAAGAGATAGTAACGTCTGCATTCACATGGCTAATCTTTGATGATTGCCCTTCCTCTCATGTAAGAGGGTTTAAACACACTTAGACCTTTAGAAAACGATAACAAATATAAAACTTCAAACTTCATAAACGTCTGAACCCTCCCCAACCATTTGCCCATCGGAAAAAACATTAAAACCTTGATTTTCGCCACATCGAAACGAGACATCTGAAGCAAGCACCGAGTCCATCATCACCGTGTAACGCCACCATGAAGGAGATTAATCGAAGGGAGATAAAGGCATGCCACTTGAAAAAGATAAAGCGTCAAGTATCGTAAGCTCGTCGACGTTCCATCCATCGGTAAAATACAATCTGGAGACGGCAGCCGGGTCACAGAGCCTTTTAAATATCATCACCCGGAACGACATAAGGCTGAGCAAAGGAAAAAAAGGTACAAGGAAGGACGAAGACCAGCAAAAAACGATAAAAATGCATTGAAAGCTGAAGGGCGATTGACGAAAGGGTCTTTTAGATCTGGACGTCATCGATTTCGAGCTGCGAGAGGTCCTTGTCGTCGTCGTAGTCTGGAAAATCGAGGCCGGCTTCTCGGCATCGCTGCAGCCACTTCATCGCGAGGACACCACGACGGTTGACCTCAGCCTTCAGCTTGGCATTTTGGGCGCTGATTTCTGCAATGGCTTGAGTGGTGGTCATTTGGGTTGTGTCCCAACGATCAACCATGGTTTTATTATCCTCTTGCAACTTCGAAATGTACTGCACAGCACGTTGCAGGATAGAGCCTTTTGCCTTTTCGCAGCCAGGAACCAGCTTTGCGAGTTCATTGATTCCTTCGTTTATAGTCTCGCGACGACGTCGTTCGACTAGGCATGTGTAAGAAAGGTAAATATGTTTGAAAGCCGGAGTCCTGACAACTTACCTTCTTTGTGATTATTTTTTCTTTGGGTATGCCACTCAGGAGAACCCACGGGCGGTTTCGAGTGGCTGATGCTCTGAGCTTCGCGGGCAGCGTAAACAGCTGCAGCAGTGGAGTTGTGCCCGTGCACACCTGGCATGGCAACTTGCGTAACGTCTTCGCCGAACGCGGCGATATTGTGGCCGAGGGCGTTGTTGTCAAAAGCCGACTCTGGGGCCGAGAATTTAGGCTGGGGGTGAGCGGCGAGAGCAGCCTTCGCAGTCATCGCGTTATCATCGGAGACGCCATTCTGACCACCGACGTGTTGAAGAAGCTGCTGGTCAATGTGGCTCAGCTCGGTGGGGTTGTTTAATCCATGGGTATCGTATCCTAATTGAAATCGCTTAGCGGGGGGAGCTGCTTCTTGATAACCATAGTAATACTCGGGCGGGAACTGCGCACCATGGATGTTGCCATTGTTCGGGTGCATATTGGCGTTGGTGTTCGCCATGGGAGGCGAGCGAGCCAACCGCTGGCTATCACCAGCGTCAAGAGATTCGCGTTTGCGCTTTCCGTCAGCGGTGGAGATCGAGCCGATGTTGTCAGACATGGCTGCTTGTCCTATCAGCTTGGCAATTCAAATACGTTGCAAGGCTGCTGGAAAAAAAATAAATCATGTTAAGGCGAAGAATGCAACTGCACCGAGAGTACGGGTGGGGGGAGGCGTCAGGAATTCCGAATGGAAAACCTGACAGACTTAAGGTGTATTTTGGGGACTTTAAAAATTCCCTACCGACCTTCGATTTGAGGGAATAAAGTCTGCGGACCAAAACCAATCAGAAAAAGTCCATGCAATAAAAGAAGAAGAAGCAAGTGTTGATAGGGGCTCAGTAAAAAGTAGTAGAGGAGATATGGTTGAGTGTGGATCCAAGGAAGAATGTGATGTTGGTGAACGCGTCAACAGTTAACGCTGGGAGAACAACAGAGGGGCAATTTCGAGCTAAACAACAGAAAAGATGGTACCTGTGAATCTGACACCTTGCTGTAGCGAGAAAACAGTGAGCATCAAAAGAGTAGAGTGGTCTAAGGGAGCAAAGGTAGGACTCTAGTGATGTGTGAGGCTAGCTCGACGTCAGAGGTTGCGATGAGCTCGACTGCGGACGCTGAGATTTCCCAGCATTTTGCTGTGGACCTTCGTGGCGAGCAGCCGGGTGGAAATGGAGCATGATGAAGCAGAAACAAGGCAATATTCGTGTTGGAGACGACGATAGCAGGATGGGGATGTATGCTGGGGATGGTGCTGGGATGGAAGCCGGCCTACCTTTTGATGGTTTATCAGGTGACGAGAAGTCACCTGCTCGCTGGCCTGGAGGGTGGATGTGAGTGGATATAGATCTCGAGTCAATGAGAAAGTAGACAAAAAAGGCGCGAAGATGGAAAACTGCCGGGCGAAGGAAGTAGAGCAGATGCAGGAAAAGCGAGCCTGAATGGCAACCTGGGATTTTGAGGCAGGAAATGGAGGATGGGACGCGAAATAAGAGGGAGCGGAAGCTTGGGCGAGGGACAGCGAGAGGGCGAGTGAGAGGAGGATTCACGTGGCGAACAGGTGACGGGGTGGCTGCCCCTACGGCCGGGCAGGCGAGCCACCCCGCCGCCCTTCCCCGTTTCCCGATCGGGACTAGCCCCGTTGGCGGTGTTCGTGCATGAAGAGCCGCCCCGGCGAAAGGTCCCTGCGCCGCATCGCCGTCATCAGTACTCCGTAGACTGACTAACACTCGCACATTAGGCATGTTCCGTATACGGAGTACACTGAAGTGCAGGCTTTTAGCTGCCGGAAGACGACATCTATTCGACTTTAGCCTCGAATCCGCACTCACTCACTTAGTCTATCCAGACGACACCCAGTTTCGCATTGCGCGCAGACAAATATTAGCATTAGACCCTGCCTTTCTATTTTTGGGCTAGGGCATCTTCCATCCGTCCTTACTCTGTACACACGGTGCACACAGATGGGGTTATCCACTTACAGGACACTGTCCTCCGTCTGGCGTCAGCACCACACCACCACCCATCACCGTCACCCACCACCACCATCAACAACTCTTATTCCCTTCCTCCTGCCAGGTCATGTGCCTTGGTCCCGTGGCCTGACGAGCCCTCACTGACCACTCTTGGCGATGATGACAAATTAGCCCTTGCTCTGAAGATCTCCCTTTGCCACTATGATTGGATGCTTCTCACCTCGCAGTCATGAGGACCCTTGGCTCCTTCTGGCCATTCCAGCCCACCCAGACGCTTCGGACCTCCGACTGGGCTGGACCGGGTGTTTACGCCCGGTTCGCCCAGCTAGATCAACCGCAATTCCGCAATGCGGCCATGGCAGCTGGACTGCGGACGCTCTTCTGCCCCTGATATATATCCGTGTATGGCTTTCACCGTTACAGTGTTAAGAACGCAAGACATCCACACCCTTTCGAGGAACTGTCCCATGTTCCGGCTGCAAGGAGAGAGTACAAGCCAGTGATTCCCCTACCCCGGCTTGTATAGTTGATGCATGAGCTACAATCGATACTTGGTTCACTTCTACCTGCCTCTCAGTTAGACCGCTATGGAAAGACACGTGTATTTAAAGAATGGCGTGCCTGCTACGCGTTATTCTGAAGGTTATCCCTTCTTCAACGCTTTCCGATGGGAGTTTCCTCGGTGTAGGTTCACGCCAAGTCTTGAACAAGCTCGATCTCTAACGCGAACGCGCTGCCCTTGCGTCTGTGATAGACTGCTACTCGCTCACCAGCTTTCCTGTATTGGGATGCAATCAAGTTAACAAACACACTGGAGATGTTCATCCATATGTAAGCGAAAGGAAGACAGGTGATGGGAGACGAACATTACCAAAGGCTCAGAGGGGGCATCGGACTAAGTATCCCCTTTGCTCTCCTTGACTCCGCTGGGCTATTAATGACTAGAGAAGTATACAATGTCTTGTCGACAAGACGAATTCGGTCCCCGTTGCCATATATGCCAGGCTGGCTACCGCATCATGCCAGTCTAAAGCTCGAGCTCGTCCCTCACTGTCCGGAGAGGACGTCAAGGAAGCTTTTCATATCATTGTCAGTATTGTAAGAGTACGAGGTACCGTACATATACTCGCAACTCATCAGCCACGATCCATCTTTCGATGGATTGACGAGGATACTAATAAAAACAGAGGTGGGGATGAAGAAAAAAAAGCGACAAAAATTCAGAAGAGGGTGGAAAGTCTGCTTTTTATGTGTTTACCGTCTCAGCGTGGGTCACATGGGATCATGGGATCAGGATATCCATCTTGGAAAATTCCAGGGCGCAGGGTGCCGTAGCCCTGGGCACTGCCGCTCAAAAATCCGTTTTTGGACATGCTGGCTATGCGGCTGTACTCAAGTGTGTGCTTCATTATCATTATGCAGAAGAGAGCAGGGCCAAATAATTAACTGTCATTCGGGATAGACAACCTGTCAACCCCTGTTTACAAAGCCATCTAATAGAATCATGATCATAAATTACCAGATGCTTTGTTCTAAGACAGAAACCAGATTTAGCATGAAAAAGCCGCTGACAAACACAGTACATCCTCCTAGCAGTAGAACACATTTGATATCACTCTCCCTGCCTCCTGACAACCTTGAAAACCATCTTAGGAGGCAAATCTGTATCTACAAAGCAAACGCCTTCCTCAGCGCGCCCAAGTCTCTCCCAAACCACAATGTCGACGTCAAAATACCTCCGCTCCTCTTCTTTGCTGTTGTCTCCGTCATCTGCGTTTGCCTTGCGAATCCCAATTACGCAGCTCGTCCCCGCATATCGCGCCGTGTCCTTCCCCTCCATGCCCTCTTCCTCTCCAGTCCGGTTCGCAAACACAATGATGATCTCCTCACCGTCCCAGCTGTCCCTGGTGATCAAGGGCCAGAACCTCTGGATCCAGTACTGGAACGTGTCTGTGTCTGGCGTTTGTGGTTCGCCAGCTAATTCCTCAGAGGTAAGCCAAGTAAGCCATGCCATTGAGACGATGACCAGCTTTGCTCCGCTGTCGAGGACGTGCGTGGCAAACTCGTATGCAGTGTACGGAGCAATGAACTTGTAAGGGTTGATGTCCATGCATATTCCAACGGCCGTGGGAATGTGGACCGTCGATTGTGAGCGATTACTGAGTGTCTCGCCTGGTTTTGATCGTATAGAAACTGGAAGTGGAAAATATCCCTTTCCATTCTCTCCCTCAGATGCCCAGGGTTCATCCGTGTAATAGAGGAAGCATTTCTGGTAGTTGAGCAACGTATTTCCAGACGAATCTTCAATAATAAGCGAATTGAACCGCTTCTCATGTTCAAGATTGGATGTTTCGGCTTCAGAGGATTCTTGCACCGATGTCTGGTCGGATTTAGTAGCACGGATCTCCGGATAACCGACACAGACCACACAGCCTAGTCGGCGTGCAGTCGAACGAGCCCATTTTGCCGTTGGTCCGGAACGAGTAGGCTCAAGGTAAGGTTTGATAGTCTCCAGAGAAGAGAAATTGTAGCCTATATAAAAATGTCATTATAGCCAAGATTCAAATGAGAGGATCTCAGTGTATTCAAGTGTCCAAGCCGCCTTTACACCTACCAGTAAACGCCATCTCCGGCAAGACCAGCAGGTCTAGTTTCCGCGCTTCATCGCCATGACTTTGCTCCCATTTGTTGAGGATCTCCTCGCCGCGTTCAATATTACCCTCGACATCTCTCAGGCGCGGTGAGAACTGTAATGTGGCGATTCTCATTCTTTCCACCTCGCACTTGCTGGAGAATTCCCCGGCTTAAGCGTTATTAAAATAGCCTAGGACAAATTAGCGTTATATTTTATAGTTTCTATAATTGTAAGATTAGGGAGTGCTTCGCTTAAACATAGCAACAGTGAAGGAAATCAACGAATGTAAATAAGAAAAAAACAAAATAAAATAGATATATATATAGTAAAAATAATATCCGGAGATACGTACGGTGTCGTTGTCAAGGCCGTCATTGACTACTTGACCAATTCGTTAAAATAATTCCGTTATAACCAGCATTTAATTAAACATTTATATGTAAGAGTCAGCTATAAAATATGTCACAGTACTTACATACACACGGTACAAAGTATCCTTGATTTATAAAATTGAATCCTATCGTGTGACAGCGATACAATCTGCACCCATTGCTGTGGTTCACATGCAATGACTTGTTTGACAGTTTTACAATCCTTGATGTTGCATTTACTTCTCGATATGGAAAGTCAAGCAAAATCGCCAAGCACAATATCTCAAAAGATTCCCTGGTCTTCGATGCCTATCAGGAGTTCTGCCGCTGCTGGCGTCAGTGCATCACTTTTCGGAAAGCATAAAGATGCGGCATTATGTTGTGTTAGTAAGCAAATAAGTCTTGGCGGTAACTAACTTAATCCGAACTTCAACTGGCTGACTAACTAGCTGAGCTTAATTTGACCACATCAAAAGCTTCTTCGGATACCTGGCGGGCACTTTCTTTAAGCGTTAGTTTATCTCTCAGTTCCCTCAGTATATATTCTCTCTTTCCTCTCTTCTTCTTCTCTGTTCTTCACTTCTCTTCTGTTCTCCCCTCATGGATAACAACAATATATATATATATATATATATAAAAAAGAGGAACAAGGAAAAGGAAAATTACCTATTTACCATGGTCATCACTAAGGAGATGGTGAAGTTGCTGGGTTGGGTCGCGGGAGCTTTGAGGATGTCAGTTCTTAAGGCAGGGATCCAGTGGGTTGCTGCCACTGTGGCTAGATAATGGGCGGCCCATAGGTATGAGAGAACCCTGGCCTAGCTATGCTATTATCAGTTCACAGTGGAATAGGGTTCCTGCACCTCTTGTTCTATCCGCAGGTCTATGCCTTTGGGGAGATTGATGGCTCTCTACGAGGCATGGCGAAATATCAGATATGCGTCTCCTCCGTGGTCACCGACAGCATTGACCTTTGTGGTGCCGGCATACGTGGCGCATCAAGGTACACCGTACACATTAGCGCGCATACCCATCTTCTGGATTTATGTCCCGCACGTTTTAAAGGAAGCATCCAAATTGAACAACCCTGGCCATACAAGATATTAAGAATTCTACTCTACTTACCAGCGCCATGATGGGCAAAACGGACCAATCTGGCGGCCAAACCTAAATCCTGCGGCTGGAAAATCTGATTGTCACACAAAGTGAAGTAGTTTTGGTTATTACTTGCGACATTACTCCAAGCTGCTAGCTTTTATTGAAGGAAAAATCACAACGTCATCACACTCACTGTAATAGCGGGGATTTTGCCAGTGATTATAAATTGGATCAAGTTCACTCCCATCACTGCACTTCCAGAAAGAAGAATCGCAATCCATTCGCGGGCAGTGAAGTTCTTATTATTGTTACAAATAACATGCATCCTACCACCATGCTCAATGCCCAGAGCTGCAAGGACCAAAATTCCCAAAGGCTAGTGATAGAGGAAGCATTCCCCTAACCTAAAGCTGGATAGGTTTGAAATGCCAAAATGGGTCTGCACGACGCAATAAGAAGGATAAGAGCAGTGCAAAATATGTGCCAAGTTATAATGAAATTTTCAGCCGCTAGAGTTGACGAAAGAAGATCTATTTGTTAAGGAGGATTAGGAAAGGAGCAGAGAGCGTGTTCAAAAATGCCTGTGTGCAGAACAAACATGTGGCATCTTTTCAACCTGGCTCTATTCTATCTCCGGAGGCTTCTGATAAGGCCGCCAAGACCTGAAGCAGTGCCTCAGTGTCAGAGACTTCTTTCAACATAACACCATTCATGATATCGCGATGGAATTTGTTTCATTGACAGGAGGAATCAGTTCTTACTTCAGCTTGATATTGGTCAATTCGCCAGAAAAGAAGATGACCTTTCCTTGCATCTTAGCTATGGCACCATGGAAGACAGCTACGTGTACATAAAATAATGGTTCCTCTTTCCAACACATCGCCTCCATAGATCCACTGGTCGGAGAAAGGCAAGATTCTGCAGCTGAAGCCCATACTGGGCTTACACAAAGGGATGTAGTCCCACACCTGTTCCTTAAGGATGACCCCTGGCACAGCGGCAAAACAAGCTGCAGTGCAAGAACCAAAGGGATGCAGCTCCGAGTCAGATTCAGGAGCCCCAAGGTAAGCCGAGCGCTTAAGGAAGCCGTGCAACACTTGTGCCAAAGCGTTATGATTGAAATTCGTCACCCAGAACACAAATTCCATGCTTGGTAGCGTTTATGACTTGCTCTCTAATGCAGTCAATGATTTTGATTCAAATCTCTCAGTTTCGACGCCAGGCTGTATGAGAAAAAGGGCAACACTTCTCAACGTGTGGACGCTCAAGTACGTATTCTCGCCCTGGGATACGCTGCTGGTTACATAACCGACGCAGTATATGCAAACCGCACCAGCAGCTTCTTCGTCAAGGGAAACGCTTTCCATGTCAGCGTTCATTGACCTATGGCACGGTTCATATCTCATCAACAAGTGATGCTCCTACTCAGAATCAACTTGACCTGGTGCTCAAGAGCTGATAGGATCATGCCAGTTTTTCATTCAATAAGCAAGACAGCCTCGCGCGCCTCATCATCAACCACCGACATATGCTAGTTTAACCACTACACTGGAGACGTCCAGAAGCACCATTCATATTAGACCGAGGCATATCTATTCTGTATGTAGTACTGAGTTTGGAGAGAAATGTTGAGCGTTATTCATTCATGGAGGAAGTTAATATACATTAGAGAGGTGCATTTTGAATTCGTTGGATGCCGAATCTGTTGGGTCGACCGCGGTTACTTTTAAACAGGGGCTAGAATCACAAACGAACTATATCAGGAATGAGGCGTCGGACACCAGTTGTAAGTTTAACGATGGAGTTTGTATGATATCACGATCCGTGTTCCGTGCATAGGTGAAGCTGAATTCCAACTCAATCAGCGGACTTCTTTGTTAAGGTAGTGTCACTAGTCGGAAGATCTCCAACATTAGCAAATATTGGCTTCGATGAAATGATATCGTCTACCCATATCCACATCTCAGAGGATCAAACCGTTTATTTGACATAATCGTTTGGAAAAGAGAGGATTGACATTACAGAAGATTTGGATACTGCTCGGATACAGCTGCCAAAGGATATTATCTGAAAATCCTAGTGAAAACCTCACTATTCTTAGCCGGGGTTTTGAGGAGCCAAGAGTGACAAGCTGGCAGATGTTAAGTTCAGGTTTCGTGGCTCGGACAAAGGCGTTGTTCCAACTACATGGACGTTAACATTGGCCGCAGGGACAGTATTCTTCTTGGCGTCAACGGACGTCTAGCATCTATGCCCTCCGGCACATTCGACATCTTCGACTTAGGAGGCGCTAATAACCTAAGCTCAAGAGACCGTGTCGTGCTTCTTCCCTTGGATGGCCTGAGTGGTAAATTTGTTTCCCCAAGAAATACCAACCACTGATCCATTCTCTTCAGAATGAAAGTCAGAGATAATTTTCCCTTTGTTTATTTTTAGTTTTATTTCTTGGATAATATCTGGGTGTCAGAAATTATTCCCTGGTTAGCTCAAGGCTTTTAACCAGAGAGCTTTCACTCTTTTGGCTCAGTGGGCCCGTATTCCGATTCTCAGTGGGCACCTGGGTAGCATTTTAAGGAGTATGAGGGTGAATCAACGCCGAAAACCCTTCAACTTTGTCCTCAGTGGCGCCTTAATATGATTCAGTCAAAATCTAGATTCATTCTCAAGCGAACGATGTTTAGTGCCGGCATCACAGCTGTCATGTTGGGATTGGAGAGCCGGATTCTCTACATCCTTACTAGGAGAGCATTTTGGGGAGGAAGAGGCTCGGAGTTTGCTGGCACACTAACCATGCGAAGGGAATAGGGAAATTGTATCATCAAGGGTTCAACTGTTGGCAACAATGACCAACACGTTAGCAGTAACTTGTGAGATGTTGCTATGTTGGGAGAGCGAATGGAGCGGTTTTAGGTAGGGTTGCCCGGAGAGTTGCGTGCCCCTCCGCCCAACTGTCGCCAAGGACCATCGTCACTTTGGCCCCTCCTGCATGGTCAACCAATGCCGGCCATGATTCGGCTTGCGAAATCTCACAATGGGCTGAAATCCCGGAATGAGGCTGCATGAGAGCAATTGGGCGCCGCCATGTCAGCGCACTCGCTTTTGCCGATTACCATGGCTCTTGAAGCCCTTTTATGTCCGGGCCAATTCGCCGGAATGGGGCTCACTCTGTCTTCAAAGGATGTCAGAGAGAATATTAGTATCTACGAGATATGGTGAGTCATGCCTCCAGAGACTCTCGTTGATGAAGTTCAGACATCAGCGTATACCAGCAATGACGGTTCGAATCTCATTCGTTTTTTTCCTAGGCTCGACTGAGTTGCATGCCGATTAAGAGTTTTCGGCGCAAGAAAGCGGATACGGACTCATCTTCCACGGACTCCCTCCATGATAGAGTGAAGATTAAGTTCACCACTCTCTTCTCCCGCACGAAGCTCTTCGGTAGTACAGCTGCCGTTGTTGACGATGGCGTTGCTGATCCAAGAGGACCCCTCGGGCTGAATATCCTCCATTCACCGTCAGAGCCTCTCGTGGATTTCATATTCGTTCATGGCCTGGGTGGCGGTTCCAGGGAGACATGGAGCAATACATCTTCAGTCTGTCACTTCTGGCCGCAGGAATGGCTTCGCAAAGATCCTGCATTTAAAAACGTGCGGGTGCATACCTTTGGATATGATTCGCATGCGACCAAGGACAGCGTCCTGCACACCCATCATTTCTGTAGGTCTCTACTGAGCGAAATGTACACATCGCCGTATCTCGGTAATACAGACACGCCAATAGTGCTCATAGGACATAGCATGGGCGGCATAGTCATCAAGAAAACATACCTACTAGCCATACAAGATCCAACGCATAGGACACTGGCAAAGCGCATCCACTCTATCTATTTTCTTGCAACGCCCCATAGCGGGTGTGATTCGGCCAGACTTTTGAACAATGTCCTTACGATCGCCTATTCGTCCCGCGATTACCTCCTAGATCCTAAAGTGGGCTCCGCGGCTATTGACTCTATCAACGACGAATTTCGCAATTACGCCGATAACCTTCATCTCTGGTCGTTCTATGAGACTCGTAAAACTAAAGTGGGTCTCTTCAGTAGGCTCATTGTCGAGCCTAATATGGCGAAGTTGGGATATCGTGGAGAGAAGCAAATAGCAATGCCAGCGGATCACCGTTCAATATGCAAATTTGATTCACCGAAAGACCTATGTTATCTGATCCTCCGCGATTCCCTTGCAGAGACTGTTGAAAGTATCTCTAAGATAGGTAAGATGCACTCTACCTTTTGTCATGAATCCCACTAACTTTGTATAGTGCCGAAATTGGAAGAGAATCCAGCATGCGAACAGATCAAATTCTTAGAAAATTATTTGGACTTGTCAGGTGCAATAGATGATGACCTCCTAGTGGCTCAAGATGATCGTATGCCAGGAACTTGCGAGTGGTTTTTCAAAAAGCAAAACTACCTGGATTGGTCTGATTTCGCATCGGACACGCCGAGGATACTGTGGATTAAGGGGAAACCTGGATCTGGGAAATCTGTTCTTGCCGGATATGCCATCGATCGACTCCTAGCATCGAATGAAAGCTGCAGCTACTTCTTCTTTAAGCACGAGGACAAGTCCAAAGCCCGGCTTAGCTCGTGTCTCCGGTCGCTCGCATTTCAAATGGCGCGCATGGATGTCCAGATACGAGAAACGTTCTCGAAGATGCAAAAGGATGGAGTGAATATTGATAACGAGAATGAACATTCCCTTTGGAAGAAACTGTTCTTATCTGGTATCTTGCAGGCCGCTTCTACCACGAATTATTGGGTTATCGATGGCCTAGATGAATGTGAAAATGTCTCCTTTCTCTTCGACTCAATACTGCCTCAACTTGACAAGTCGATACCGCTCCGGATTCTAATCACGAGCAGAGAAACCCCGGAGTTGCAGGGGCATATTGTTGGGCTTAGTCGTGATCAATTTCGCTTGGAGATCATCTCACCGTCTGATATTCGTTCTGACGTTGAGTTTCTGGTTGGCGTAAAGACGAAATCTCCAGCTTTGAAGGATGCTGGAGACCATGCTGCCCTCGTTGAAAATATTGTAGAAAAAGCTAACGGATCATTTCTGTGGACGGACTTGGTGCTTAAGGAGCTGCCTATTTGCTACAGCGGAACTGAGATCAACCGAGTTCTCGACGGCCTGCCCCAAGAAATGGAAGCTTTATACCAGAGAGTGCTGGGTCAAATGGCTCTTAATACGCGAGCAAAGAACTTCTCTCAAGCAATCCTTACTTGGACAACGTGTGCGATGAGGCCGCTGATGGTGAAGGAGCTTGCTGGAGTTTTGAAACTGGATATTAATGAAGAGTTCCCTAAGCTGGAAGAGGCCATTTTGGCACGCTGCGGTCAGCTAATTTCGGTCGACGAATTTAGCAATGTACGATTAGCACACGAGACGGCGAAGAATTTCCTCCTTAAGGATGGTTTGGACTCCGAATTTGCCGTAAGTGAGACCGAGGCTCACACCCGAATGGCTAGAATATGCCTCCTATATCTCACCGGAGAGGCCATCAAGCCCCGTAGCACTGGCGGAAGTCGATCTACCTCCGCCGTCCATGACACGGACTCCGATTTCTCAGTCTATGCTTGTGAAGCCTTTTCATACCACCTTGTTAGAGCCGACTCTCGTGAACACGATATCTTACTTCTCGTCAATAAGTTTTTGGAGTCAAATATCATCCCTTGGGTAGAGATCATGATGGCTCACAATCAGAATCCTATCCTGCTGATACATACTGCGAAGAATCTCAAGAAATACGTCAATTCGTGCGCCACAGAACTGTCACCTCTTGACGGCGACGTGAAAATGGCTAAAGAGCGGGTCACAGAACTAGTCCATATTATTACCAAATTTTCTGATGCTCTCTTGACCTCGCCGTCGGCAATCTACTCGGCGATCCTGCCATTCTACCCGACGGAATGTACAGCATCCAAACCTGTGGGCCCCGGGCGCCCACTTTCCATACTAGGTCTGTCGGATGTTCAGTGGGTTGAGCAATTATGTTCCATGAGTTTCCCAACAAGGGGAAATCGACTCTCTTTGCCGTGCTGATGAATTTCAAAAGCATTTCTCTGCTCTAGCGACCACATTGTGTCTCGCGAGATCTTGCTAAAACATCTGGAGCACCACGTCACTATTCGAACCTTTCTTTTGGATACGACACATTCTGGTTCTATGAAGCCCCACAGAAATAAATCACAAACCAAAGGAGGTATGAAAAAGTTCCCAAGTGACAAAGTCAACTCTCTAGTCCAGGAATTTTGATGAGCGTCACGTCGGGAAACGTGACTTGACTAAACATCATCCCACGGCTGAGGGTTCCCGTATGGTGTTCTATTTCGTGCCTACGGCACCTCCCCTGATTTGTCCCCCCTTCTCCTCTCTCTCTCTTCCGGTTATGTTTCCGCCTTTACTTCCGGGGTATTTGAAGTACAGAGATTTTATGCGACTTTCCACGAGCCTCACTTCGGCAATCTTTATCCTCCTCCCGCGTCATGATAGATATGACGTACTTGGAATAGCACTTTTCTTTCCAGCATATTTACTATCTGATTTTGACATCTCTGGAGCTCTTGTTGCCGTTAAAGGTGAATATAAGATGGTAGAACATTTCCTGTGTTGGTTATAGTACATACATACATATAAAGATATATATATACATATATTTTTCAATTCTCGGCCGGACATCCTGGCTATATAACATATGACTTCCCTAGTCTACAAGATGCAGTTATCTTTTAATGAACGGTGCGTAGTACAGAGCACAGAGTAAGCGTGAACCTCGTCAAATTAACACGCAGAACCACCATGATCTAGAACAAATGCAACTGAAACACCACCAAGGACAGAGGATTCCGGACCCATTACATTTATACCAAACAATACAATATCCATCTCATCGCTCCAAGCGGTTATGCTCCAAACTCCATTTTCACAGTAAATGCAACGGCGCAATGCAATTGTAGCTGCTTAAGATATGGTGTTTCCCCAGGGAGCCCTCTGTTTCCCCTTCTCATTAGGCGTTCTTAAAAGGTTCGCAATCGGCTTATACGCAAGGCCATGAGCACCTGTTAACCGAATCCTCTGCTCTGTTCTGGAGAGACTCCTTCCTAATCCTAGTGGCGTCTCTGGAGCCAAGGCTACTTTGTACCCGTTCACCATGGCGTGTTGACCATCGCTGATCTCCCGACTACTAACGCTTGCCCGTCCCATAATAGATGACGAAAATGACGAGGCTGGTGTTGATGGGCGGGATACTGACTCTGGGAGCTGTGGAATACCATCAAATAAACCGGTACGTGACAGTTCCCTACCAGCCATACGTGCCGCAGTGAAGAGTAATTCATCCTCATCAATCAAAGACTTTCGTTCCGTAGCCTGCTTCGGCGGTGCAGCTTTTTGCTTGGAGAGTTCGAGGGCCAATAATTCTTCAACCGTGAGTGTTTGTTTAGGGCTAAGTTTGGCCATCTTCGCTTTTCCTCGGGATTGTTCTTCCTCGTTTTCTCCATCCAAAGCTTTGCGTTTTGCTACCTCCTTTTCAATCGCATTTTTTCTAGCCGCTTCCTTCTCTGCTGCTTTTCGCTCAATAGCCTCTCTCTTCTCTATCTCCCTTCGTGCAGCTCGTAACTCTTCTTCCTGTTCTCTCATCATTTTTTCTCGCCGTGCTGCTTCCCGTTCTACCGCCTCTTTCTTCTCCTTTTCAATTCGTGCAGCTTTGAGCCGCTCAAGTTCTCGCTTCGCTGCTTCTTTCTTGGCAGCCTCTACTTCCAATATTCTTCTCTTCTCATGCTCTCTCACGGCTCGTTGCTCAAGTTCTCGTCTTACCCTATCCTGGTCTTCGACAGGCTTCTCTGAGGGCCTCGAAGTTGGTGGTTGCACAGCAGGAGCTGGAGCCCCTTGGGTCTTTTTTGGACTTGATGGTTGACCAACAAGTGATGGTGGCGGATATTTTGGCTCAGGACCTGCAATGTCTTTATCTTAGCTCGAACCCTTTGCAAAACGGTGGGAGAAATAAACAAAGGAAAATTGCGTCTTGGTCAGCGGGTTCCTTACCTTTAACATCCAAGCTCTTCTGGTTCTGGGACCCGGTAAAGGGGGGGGTTGCGGAGAATGGATTTGATGAAGGTGTTGACGATATTATAGAGGTCGAAAGTACGGACTTCGTAGGCTTAGATGACTCTGTAGGCTGCGGCGAAGAGAAGAGCGACGTGGGCGCTTTTCCAGCATTAGCCTGAGAAGATGTTTGCTTTTGTAGCGGCTCGACAACTCCAAATGGACTTGGTGCGGCTTTAAGGATGTCAGCACGTGTTTAGACGATTGCAAAGCAAAAGCTGGCCACACTTACATTCACGAGACTCACTGGGCTGGAGGCCGAATATTCCTGCTGAGGTGGATGGGAAAAGAGGATTTTGTGGCTGCTCGGGATGGGCAGCTGAGAGTTTGTTAGGGTCCTAACACTCAAGCAAGAATAGAGAGCTTAGAAAACTGCTTACAATTCGATGGTTTGCTAACCGTATCCGCCGCAGGTGAAGCACCGCCCCAGGTGCCTTGGAAAAGCGTAGTAGATGCTATTTTCGAGCCCTGACCTTTGCTTGTTGTTTTCTGGATGTCGGGCTGATCAGTGGCTATTGTTGACGAATTACTTGTGAATGGTGCAAAAGGGGGCGTCTTAGGGCTTTCAACGCTTTCAACCGTGGCTACGGCCGGTGATGAACTTGGTCTTCCGAAAGAGACAGTTTCGGGTGCGGAAGGGGTTCCAAACAATCCTTTCTTGGCAGGGAATGGTGATAGTTGGGGCGCAGTGGCGTCTTTCGCTGAAGTAAGCTTCGATGCAAACGGGTTTCCGAAATTCGAACCAAAGGGAGAAAATACAGGCGCTGAGGGCCCAGACATTGACACAGACGGAAAAGGGCTACTCGAAACCGGGGGTTTGACTTCGTCTAGGCGCGATTCTATCGATGAAGGTACTGACTGTGCTGGTTGAGACTACATTTGGAAAAGGTCAGCACCAAGAATGGAACCGAATATCTAATAGATCCGTCCAAACACCAGGTCCACCAAGAATGGCATAGTCAGAAGGATTGAGAAAGAGAATACGCCCGTACCTTGGTGAAGTTTGTTAAGCCCTGAGGGACAAAAGGAGGAGCGCTAGCTGATAATGAAGATGTAGATGGTGAGCCGGCAGGGAATGTGCCCGTCAGATGGTTTATGAATGGGTTCGTGGAGGTCTGGCTATTTCCACTTTCCAAAGACCGAGAAAATATCGAGGGAGACGTTGACGGCATCTCTGCCTGGACCTCAATATTAGAAATGTTGTCGTGATTCTTTTGTAATTCTTTTTCGCCTTCGTCATCGCTAACAAAAAGACCCCCGTGTTCTCCGTCTCCTTTAGCGGACACGGCTGCAGATTCTGATTCTGTGTGAAGCAGCATTTTATCTATCATCCCATGCTTAAGTGCCTGTGAAACACTCATGCCAAGAATAATAGCTTGTTGAGTCCTTCCGTAACGTTTCGACTCGACTAAGCGTTCCGAGAAAATCTGTTGAGAAGACGGTTGGAAGGCTATCAATTCAATGTTAGATTGAAGTCGAAGAAAGAGTCGGAGTGGAAAGTCGGTATCGCGTGTTGGGCTTCTAGGAATACGCACCGACAGAGTCAACTGAACGACTCCCCCAATCGAGGTAAAGCCGTCCTTCAGAATCGGTTGCGAGTTCGAGGTCCTGATCTTCACAAAATTTAATGGTTTGGTCTTCGTCATCGAGCCATAGCGCTGTTGTGAGCCTATCAATTGTCCACTCTTGGTTTTTGTGCTGCTGGGAGAGTGGCTGTCGGCAGTAGGCTTTCCATATTGATCGAATCGCAGTTTGACGCACTTGGCTAAAATAAATCTCCGCAATACATGCCATGAGGTATGAAACACTTTTTGAACGGACCAGGTTGAAGAATCGTGAATAGAGCCCCTGAGCGATAGCATTAGGCCTGCGCGCATCAAGAGTTCCTTGATATTCCCAGGTATTCCCGGCAGCAGCAAAGAGTTCCAAGGCGACTTTTATTCGTGGAGAATGTAGTAATTCACGGGGCCACTTTTGAACACGTGCTTCCAAATCAGGGCGCTGATCGTGGATCGAAAAGAGAATGTAGTAAGCACGAAATTCATCTTCGTTCGGAAATACCATACGCCCTCGAAAATCATCATAGTAGTACAATAACGAGAGAAGAGTGTTGTTAAGTTGTTCCCGCTCTTGGTGGTGGTCAAACTGTTCCGTATTTGTGGGACTTGATAATAAATGGAGGGATAGAATATGGAAACGAGCTATCCGCTCGAGGCATTTAACTGCAATTTCCACGTCTTGTTGCTGCGTGAGTTGCTGGATAGACAAGTCATTGCGGATTGACCGAGTTCGGTCCCAGACAAATTTATGGATACCTCCAAGAGTATCATCGTCACTAATCACGTATCGAAGGATGTAATTTAGCGTCTGCAAGAGGGCGTTCGGCGTCCTGATATCAGAGGGCAATTGCTCATCATAGCCGGCCGCTGATCTTCGAAACCTCTTAATCATCCTAGTCTCCGCAATGTCAAGCTCTCCGGTGTCTAGGTTCAGTAACTAATGACCTAAAGTTAGAATCATCTGCGATGGGAAAACCGGCAAGTCCCAACCTTTTCACTTTTATCTACCATTTTTTGAACAATTCGTTCTACTCGCTCGTACTCAGGGCACATATCCGTGCAGGCGCCAGTAGGAGTGATGGCTCGATTTAGGGACGTCGGTTGGCTGGGGTCTGCCATAAGTCCTTCATTAATGGCCTTGGTACGTTGCTTGGTACGTTCACGTTTTAACTGGGATTGACGCAGCGTTAGTATCTGAAACGAAAGATCTAATCAGCAGCATGCAAGTTCTAAGTGGCTGAGGGAATACCTGTTCGAAACGACTCATATAGTCCTGATTCTTGTCCTTTTTCTGCGGCTTAAAAGGCGGAACTGAACCCTGTTGGCGTCGTGGATCCCTTGCGCGATCAATAGAAAATATACTATTGGTTGGCGCAGATCCGAAAGGTGACGATGATTGTGATTTGGTTCCTCGAAGGCCTGTTGTTTTTAAGCTGGGACATTGCTCAAGGTGGAGATGTTACGGAAATGGAATAATTAGCATACCTAGGATGATATCAGTTAGTGGTTAAAGTGTCAGGTCCCAACGATAAATGCCAGGGAAAATTACCTCTAGAGAGACCACCTGAAGATCTGCCATTCTCCATTCTCACCGCACTAGATGCTCGTTGCCCCCTCATGCTTGACGTTGTGCCGCTTCCTCTCCCGCGTCCAGCTTTCATGCTAGGCTCTTCATGGGCATTTGAATCTCGAATGGGATTGCTTTGTCTGGATGAAGCCCGGCTGCTGCGAGACACGCGACCCCGACTTGACGGAGCACCAAGGCCACGCTTCGTGCCCGTAGGAAACGTCGACATTGCTTCGCTTCCGGTACGGAAAATCTCGTACTTGGAGTTCAGGCAGGTTCAGTGTCCCAACCCGCGTGACCTTTGAATCAAAGATCTTATCGAAAGGCTCGGCGAATCGAGAGAACGGTCACCAAGGAGTACCGCTAGAGTTTCAGAGGTAGAAACGATTGGGCTATTCGATGAATCCGTCGTCAGATGTCGCATAGTGCATCGCTCGGTGGATCTCTGCACCATACCTTCCGTCTCCGACTAACCTGTTGATTGGGAATTGGATTCAGCTAGGACTTCAAAGGCGGTACTACACCACTGGAGCTGGAAAAAAAAACGCAACAAAAGATCCAGAATTAAACAGTCATAGCGGCGTAAGCTAACAAACCTGAAAGTCATAGAAACATAACATTCGTCATTTTATCACTAGTTAAGTGCGGGCGAAGTGTGAAGATAAGCCTGTTCCGGTTGAGGATGGAGTTGGATGACGGTTACAGAATGAGGAAAAGGATGTCATAAAAATATCAAATTACAATGAAAGGAAAATACAGGCCCGGCCTGCGAGATATGAACAGTTTATTCAGAGTAAATTCTCGGGTCCCATTTCCTTTGCAAGTAGCTATGTCGTGGACGCGGCGGAGAGTTGCTCGCGAGCAGCGACGTCGAGCTCGAGATACGCTTAGCTCAGCTGCCGGCGCTAAGTTACGTTAGTTAGTTAGTTTGGAACTAGTTGAAGGTCACCTGACAACCCTGATTAGCTAAGCTCACCAGGATGCCCTCGACCTTCGACCTCATCTCATCACCGAAGACCACCGCAGGAAGACGGGAGCAAACCCATTTCATGTAATTGCCACCCTTATGGCTGGAGACAGGTTGACTAGTGAAAGTCTCCAGCCATCTACAAGAGAATGCGTACCTATTATATACCACAATTGGCCGAGTCTACCTCGGATGCTTCGTGAGTGGGATATATCCCAGTCCATCCGCTGGCCACATCGGATTCGTTAGGAGTGTTTCCGCAGGTTACAATTTTCTCCTCGGTTCTGAGTGAGAAATATATAAATGCTTAATAAACCGTTGCTTACGTGCAGTGATAGCTAATGGTTTTGATGCCCCGAGAAATGGATCATTATATTTTGCCCTTCAGGGATGTAGGTCTTATTTTGACTAGATCACGGCTCCATGGAGAAGTGAATCGCTAGTGCCGTGGTTTGCCAATATTGAAACGGAAAGAGTAACTGTTTAAAATGAATTTGAAGGACAGGTATCTAACCAGCAGATTAATCTATGCTGTCGGCTTCTCATCATGATAGTAAAATAGGATGCATCTTGACCGATAAATCCCTTGCAGCCGAGCATAGCAGGAACAGGGTATCAAGGACATTTTGTCGGAGTGCCTATATGCCCAATGTCGCACCGCTTCTTCGCCTAACTCCGGGGCCTCGGAAGCTCATTGATAGAGACAGAGGTTTCGAAGAAGAGTGCTCTAAGTATATCCACAGTAGTACAAGGGTGTTCCACACTCACACCACCTGCTTGATCTCATGGCTTCATGGGGTAGACTCAATCTTATCCGACCCAAAAAAACCTATCGAAGAGACCTTGCGGCGAAACATAACATGACGCTTCCAATCAAGACTCATCTCCTACGATGAAGTGCTGAATCCGGAGCTCCAGGTAAATCATAGGACACCCCACACCGTTGTCTACGACTTGAAAGATGTGCCGACCCATACTATGAAGAAATTCCCGTATACAAGGAAATATTTCGGATCCGATTGATGACTGGACCGAATGCCTCTGGGAGGGGGTAGGCTCCCTTTTTCCTTACCCAGGCAGGGCCATTCTTCTCGAGGTTTGAATGGTATTTCCGCATGGGCCCGAAGATCACATTTAACAAACCTCGCGTTTGGAGTAGAGGCAGGAGTGCATGGATATCGACGGGAAACAAGGATCACCAAAGGCCGATTCCTGCCAATAGCTTGAAATCTTGATCTCGGACGAGCGATTAACGGGAGGTCAATCAACCGCCGCCTAACAAACGGACAACCAAACCAGGCTTATTAGAGGCTTCTGGGCGCCACAGATATCCTCGACCGATTCGCTGCCAATAAATGAATGAACCGAGAAGTGGAAGGATCAAAATTGCGGCCAACTCGGACGCAAATCACACACCAAGCAGGTTACAAACATTTTGGACAGTGACATTCGAAGGGATCGTGTTCAGTGCTAATAACAATTAACAGCACTAATCCTTTCCAAGTTTGGACCTATACATCCGGGTTCACCATGACTTGTTCAGGCATCGAGTTCCAGCACTCGTTCCAGAGTATTGCGCGGTGAGAGGGTGAAAATACAGTAACTTTGGGATAAATCAACGGCAGTTGAGAGGAAAGCATATTAAGAGGCTTTAGCCAAAGGCTCAAAGGAGATGCCCAATTATGTGGTTGTAAGATGGTTTCAAAAAGGTGTTGGGCATGTAACATGCATGCTGGGGTCTGGAAAACCCTGATCTGTAAAAGCAAACAGAAGGCCGAACTGTCCATACAAGGAGTTAAAGAAATACAACGGGGCTTCAAAAGAAGCCTCAGGGAAAATACTAAAACGAAAACAAGACAACCGCCACCTGCTCCAACCTATATTTAGCTTGCCCAGGGTATTGTAGCGCTTTGAATTTTCGGTAGACAAATTCCGCCCAGTATAAACTTTTCAAGAAATGAATGAACAAAGGTCCAGATGGAAAGGGTCCAGGAAATTATTTGTAGTGTGTAATCGATTCATCGGCCTCATGGTGAAGGAGATGAGGATGGCCTAAGGATCCAGGCTGGAACGAAGGGCCTCCTAGTGGCATAAAATCAAAATTGGACTGCATTCGCATATGCATGTCTGGAGTTGTAGTTGTTGGTGTCAAAGGCGGTGGAAGGGCCTGTTGTTGCTGAACGCCAATTGATGCCGGCGCAGCTTCATAACCAACTGGATAGAATGACGACTGTGGGATCGACCAGGGATCTGTTGTAACGGGGGTACCAATCTGTTCCACGGGGGAGGGAACAAATTCCTGGACTGGGTACTTAATCCCTGGTTTGGTATCTTCCATTCTGGCATATCCATTAAAATTATCCAGGTAAGTCTCCTTGTGTGAAACATGGCCGGAGTCGGATAGACATTCGGAATCCCGTTCACTTCTGGCTGTGGAATCTCGATTGATAACATACACGACAGCATCGGCGTCTGACGTCAATGTTAGCCATCGTCTATTCATATACGAATTCCCATCTGATGGCTCACCAATTTCGTCTCTTTCATAGCTCTCCTCCATCCTCCTAACGGCATATATCTCTTCCAGAATATCCCACCGCTCACGGGGCTTGATTTGGCGTTTGACGTCTCTACCGGCTTCCTCAAGCTTATCAGCCGTAATGTTATGAGATTTGCGAAGGTTTCGGATGATATGGACTAAAAGCCGAATACGTTCTATACACAGTGATTAAATTAGCCTTGGAGTTCGATCCAAAGACATGCGTGAGAGCTTACCGGGCTTCTTTAAGTGATCCGGCTCTCTATGGATCACTCCCGCAGGCCACCAATCGGGCTTGGTTTTTTCTGGATCTCCTTTTTCTCCTGACGCACCTCTACCTCCATTGTAAGGGTGCTTAACTTGTTTTCTTGGTTCGATGATTTTGATAAATGCCTTTGCAATTTGGCGGCAGTTAATCTGCTGGAATGCGCGGAAAGCTGATTCATAGTAGTCCAGGATCTTGTCTTCTTCCCCAATCTTAAGCGGAATTCGGTCCACGGTTTCAAAGCTGGCATCAGGTATTTCTTCCAAATCAAGGCGGCGTCTTTTTGGTTGAGCCTCTATCCTTTGGGATCTCGCGTATGTTCCTGTGGCCTGGATAAATCGCTCTTTAAGGTCCGGGGTGAAGATATAGCGGCAATGTCTCTCAAGAGACTGTGACGTATGATATCTCACACATCCTCTCCCGTCAATCGCTATCAATGCAAAATGGGTATATGGAATTGAAGGAAGTTCTGGATTCCTGGAGATAGGCTGTTATAACGTCAGCCACAAGATATAGCCATGTTTGGAGCGTCACATACTGAAGGGGTAAACCATGAGAAGTATCCGTCTGCAAGAGATTCTATCTCTTTCGACTCTGAGGGACAGATATCTGGATGCTTACTTCGCGAGCGGCTTGCTTCTGTCAGAAGGACAACCATGACTGGGCTGCGTAACGGTCCAGGAGCTCGACAACAAGTAAAAGGATAGCAGATGATAGCACCAAGAACGAGACAAAATATCAAGAAAAAGCAGATAAATGGAAGGTTTCGAGTATGTGAGTAAACCTGAACAGACCATTTGATCCTAACGAGCCAAAAAAAAGAAACTGCGATCAAGAACTGTCATGGGTTCAGAGGCGGAGTGAAGAATGAGGGGAAGAGAAAGAAGGCATCTTGAAGTTAAAGGGTTCCGACCACCGCCCTACATATTATATGAGCATTCTTTTGCACTGCATAGGGCCGTTCACTCGGAACAAGGGTCCCTTGAAGACAGCCTACGCATCGCGGTGCTAGTGAGTCGTCGCTGTTGACTTGGACTGGACGTGGCTACGCGGGGGCCGTGCGAGACTAGGGCCGACCAGGTATCTTGCAACAGAGCCCACCTGGGGGTCAGCAATTCACACTCCGTCGCCCTCCGTATCAAAGTACTCCAGGAGGCATACAAAAAGATTAAAATTCACCAATAGGATTATGGTTACATACCTGCATATCGCCTCTTTGACGTCCAAAGGCCCCAAGTTGAAATAGATTGAGAAAGGGAACGAATGGAGAGCCGCAATCATGATAGGGGCCTGTGGGACCGGCTGGCGACAGGCTCAAATTGGAACACCGTACGGAGTACCGTCCGCCTGGATCAGTGATGCATTTGCTCGCTTGGCCGGTTCTCGATCGAGCCCAACACCACATTCGGAGGATCCTAGACGTTGATTTCCCAAAATGGACCCTGTGCTTTGCTGCTTTGGGAATCGAGATTTTCCCTCCAGGCGCAGGGCGACGGGGAGCATTGCGGAAACGCCCACTGGCACATTCAAGGGTGGAGGGCCACACATTGATGGAAAAGGGATCGCACCAACTGGAGATGCAAGGTTCAGATCGCGGGATCTGGGGTTATGGGGCCGCCGGGTCAATAACTGGCTCACTCTTCTGTTGAGTGGCGCGCGCTAGCTGTGCGGTTCCAAACAAAACGTCCATCCCTCCTGAAAGGCCAATCACAACCATGTTGGGGCCGGTAAGGGCATCAGTGGCTCAGAGGAGTTTTGCATGGACAGAAGAAAACGCTTGACGGAACTCCAGCCCGCAGAACTAACAGGCATTCTCAGTGCAGAATTCATTGCCCACAGGCTCAGAAGTGCCTTGCAAACGGGCGACATTTGCCTCGAGGAGCTCGGGTGCGGTCAAATTTCGGGAATTTAAGTACATTTTTCGGCCTTGCTAGTTTTCCAGGGGGGAGTAAGACGGAACCGGGACGGGTTCGGTTCTACGGGTTCCTTGCGAAACCAGGCGGAAATCTGGCCCAAGCTCTAAGCCTTCATTC